TAGCCCAAGTAAATACACACGCGTATGTGGAGAACACAGTAGTACTCAACAAAGTCGGACAGAGTTTTTTCCGAAACATGCGCACATGCGCAGTCATCAGAGCTATTTTTAGCACATTTCAGAAACCGGACAGTGCCCTATTGTTACTACTGTGGCTACTGCTGTTACTACTGATACTAGAGCTGAAACAACTAATCGATTTAATCGATTAAAATCGATTATTAAAATAGTTGTCAACTAATTTAGTCATCGATTAGTTGCTAAATAACTTTTATTTTGCCGTAAGCGGCTCATTTCGTGCATATTTTAACTCTGCGGTGACCAAATGGTGGCAGTAATGAGCCACCGGAGGTTTTACAGCAGGAGAAGTAGCGAATAGCCAATAGCTGGCCTCCTTTTATGTCACATGCTTCGCGCACAGCTTCTCTTCAGCATACAGCAAGATGGCGGAGGCAAGCGGAGTAAGCTCGAGAAAAAAAAGGAAAAAAGCAGAAGACAAACCTAATCGAACGAAGTCATCCAAAGTGTGGGAGCACTTTACTTTGAACCTTCAAAAAAGAAGAGTAACCTGTAAACTCTGCGCTACTGACTTGGCCTGGCACGGGAGTACTACGTCTCTGCGTGAGCACCTTAAACCATCTCTCTGCAGTACTGACTGTTTGCAAAAGATGGCGCCACACTCACTGTTTTAGGCATAAAGTTGATCTTTCAAATAATTTGCACAAAGATGTAAAAAAAAAAAAACATTTATCAGTTTATCAACTTAAATAAGCCTTGTTCGGGATTTTAAACTACTTCAGAAGCCCTAAGGATTTTCATGGTGAAAACATTATTGGAAATCTCCTTGTGAAATTTGCTAGAGTATGTAACGGTCAGTGTTTTGTTTTGATGGTCAACATTGAGTTCACTAAAGGATTACAAAGACATAATAAACAGCTCCAGTTAAGTTTTTGATGTGGATATGAATATGTAAAATGGTTAAAATCTCTAAAAAGTCTATGTTGAATGATGAAGGCCCTTTGTTAACAATTTACTTGGAAAAAAATTGGCAAAACTAAAATATAAGTACATAAACCGATTAATCGATTAATCGTAAAAATAATCGCCTGATTAATCGATTATCTAAATAATCGTTAGTTGCAGCCCTAACTGATACTACTATTGTTACTAGGGATGTAAATCGGCGAACGTTTAACCGGTGGTTGACCGTCACAGCATTGATACGTAACATCCACACGCATCATCTCTCCCCTCTGTTACCGCCTGCTAGTTGCACACTGGTGCGGGTCAGAACTACATTGGAGCTTATATTTACACACACATACACACACACACACATATGTATACATGTATTGTACACACACACACATACCGGTCTGTCGCGCTCCTCTGTGTCACGGAGCCCAAAGGATTCGCGCAAATACGTGGCTCCAGTCAAACCACATGGAACATGTTTTTACTGCTGGTCCTTGACATCAGCTCCACACACATGACTTTTAAACTTTAGAGAAGACCTGTGAGACGCGGCTCGTCACTCGCTGCTCTGACCATGTGGACGTCTTTTGCTTAAAAAGCTTTAACCCGCAGCACAGAAGAATGGGAAGATTAAAACAGCAGTTCTCTGTGCGCAACGGTCCCGAAGCTGTTGCGGGTTTTGGCGCCGCTGTCTCGGCTCTGATCCAGTAGAACGCAGAGCTGCACTTATGAGAAGTACGCGGCTCGAAATGGCTATTATTTCAAAGAACGTGGAAAATTTTAAACTACGCGGTTAACCGGTTTCAACCGGTTAATGAGGCTCGATGAAAACCAAATTCATTGGTTTTTTACATCCCTAATTGTTACTACTGCTGTTACTACTGTGGTTACTGCTGTTACTACTACTAACTGCTACTTTTACTAGTGCTACTGCTACTTCTGCTTCTGTTACTACTTCTGATACTACTGCTACTACTACTACTGCTACTTTTACCACTACTGCTACTGCTGCTGCTACTAGTAATACTACTACTGCTTCTGCTACTACTACTACTGCTGCTACTACTATAACTGCTACTGCTACTACTACTACTACTGTTACTGCAGCTTGCATCTACTACTACTACTGCTACTATTACTACTACTACTACTACTACTGGTGCTGCTACTACTTTTACTGCTTCTGCTAACCCTACTGCTGCTACATCTGCTGCATCTGCTACTCATGCTACTATCACTGCTGCTCCTGCTGCTTGTGACCAGTTTCAAAGTACATTCCACGAGTCAGAGATGAGTCAGACTAATTACTGTCTAGTTTGTGATTTCGACACGTGACAAGTGCATGAAGCCAACTCGGCAAAACAAAGGTGTCGGGAAAGATTACTCTCATCTTTATGGATTCATTTATTTTACTTTTTGGATTTGATTTATCTTTATCTTTAAAAAAATCAGGAACATGGATTTTACTCTGATTCTTACTTTAATAATTTAACATTCTTGTTTCATTTGTAGACCTTTCCATTTTTACATTTGAATTTTCCACTATTTTACATTCAAATATGTTTTCATGGACAGTGTCATGTTTTTATCGGGTGTCCAGAAGCTGTCGGTGCGCCATTTTCTGATCTGTGTAAATCCCAGCTCTTCCACCCGGCCCACTCCCATCCACTTCTCCACGTCCCGGGAGATGGAAACCCTTTTAACCCCTGGATATTACTGCTACTGCAACTACTAATACTCTATACATTATTTAATCTGCTGCAAAGGAGAACCACAAATGTATCTCATGCCTCATTACTGCCACCATTATTTTATGTGAGTATTTGAAAAGGGTGGGGAATAAACTGTTGCGTTTCGGTGTTGTTATGGTTCTGCTACGACTTATAAATAATTGTTTTGATTTGTTTGATTGTATTACTATGTCAAGGCAAGTTTATTTATACAGCGCACACCATACTCAAGGCAACTCAAAGTGCTTAATATTCATCCATCTATTTTCTTCTCCCCGTATCCGAGCTGGATTGCAAAGGCAGTTTCCAAGTGCTCCAACTATTCAGCAATTTCACTTAAAGTAGCAATATGTAAGATTTTCAAGTCAAGTCATCATTAATAGGGCCCTAATCTATCCAAAATAATAACATCTTGTTATTGTTTTCATTTTGATGTCCCGCCCTCCACCGTTTGAACCAATCAGAAAGTCTATGATCCGGGCGCCAGAACTCACCGCGTGGAGCTAATCTCACTGGTAAAGTACCATGTGGCGCAGAACTAAAAAAGGTCTTGTTATGATTCTCAAATCATTAACGACAAAACAAAGAATAAAACCAGGATTTCTATCTTTGTGAAAAAGGTGTTGGTTATAGATTTGTTGTTGACAAAACTCTTGTCTATTCAGCTGTTATGGTCCCAGCTGGATTCGTCTGCATATCTGGCAACCTGAGTCAGGGAGAGTGGGAGAGGCTGCAGTACCACTTTTGGCCAGATTTTTACAAACTGCTCCTTTAAGTTTTTTTCATATTTGGGCAATTTGACTCGAAGGCAATTAGCTTTAACTGAAGTCCTTTGCAAACAGATTGTCCAGTTTTATATAGACAAGTCTCAGTGTATATCTGACAGTGATTGGCCGCTGTGGTTACCAACAAATTTTAATAGTCAGTGTTTTGCTCCCATCAATTAAGTTGAGAAAATAATGTGAGTAAATCTTGAAAAATATGTTGTGCATGGAATCTTTGGGGAAAATTAATCTCTATTTTTGCTGCTAGGGCCTCAGTCAGGGATCCATCTCCAGATATTGATGCTCGGCTTGTATCGTACAGGGGTTTAGTGGTAGGGAAAACCGGAGCTCCCGGAGGAAACCTATGCACTGGGTGATCATTCAAACTCCACTCAGAAAGGCCCTGTTCCGACCGAGATTTGAATCCAAGACCTTTTTGCTGCGTATCAAGAGTAGCCTGACTCTCGCCAGACCCATGTAGTTCGCTGCACTTCACACATGAGTCTGGTACTGAGCCATAGTGGTTGGGTTTCAGAAGGCAGGGCCCTGTAAAAAAAATCCTTGTATGTGATTGGATAGACCACTTGTCCATTATCTTGAATGAAGTCTGCTTTCAACCACTCACATCGAAGCACACGGCCCCCATAGGTTGCCAAATCCCAGCAAGATTTTCCAACCCAAAATCCGCGGTAATACCCCCCCAAAAAAAATTTTTTTTGGCTAAAAACGTAATATAAATCAACTTGGGCAATCATGATTCTGTTTATTGTCTTACTGTTTATTTAATACCTACAAGTGTCTTGGAAAAAATATGCGGAAACCACCAAACCTGGCAACCCTGCTGCATAGTGTGTAAACAGGAACATTTGACTCTTAAAACACACATGTATCAACATAGAACCATCTACATCTCGCCTCAAATTGCATTAAAAGTGACATCCGTGTCTTAATTCGATTGTATTTACTCTTTTAAAAAGATTCTCGGACTTTACGTCCGCCATCTTGGATTCCTCTTGCTGCTGCATGAGAGAAGCTTGAGAAGGTAGTGCAAACCCCACGTAACACCGGCAATCCTGATTGGTCGATTAAAAAATAATCTGGGGAAGGCGTTCGCTATGGGCTCGATACCAGACCCATGTGGTTCAGCCAAACGCCTCTGGTGGAGCATGGCGGAACTACAAGGGTCTGGCAGAGACAGGCTATATCAAGAGTGCTGCCCAGTGAACAACCTTGAGGAAATGACCGATTCTGAATCCTATTAATACAAGGCTATGTTACGGAGGTCAATAATGTATGTGCTTCATTTATCTGGCCTTGTTTGCTCTGCAGCGAGTACGAGAGTGCACCTTCGCACTATTCTCCATGAAGCCTCTGTTTTCAGCGGCTGAAGAAAAAGGGCCTTTCTCAATATGATAGAAAGCGCTGTTAGAAAATGCCATTTCTTTTTCTTCTCGTTTCTTGTCTCTTACTGCAGTTTAAATGATTAATGGTGTTAATTCTGTGTTCTCTTTGTCTCTTTGTTGTCTTACAGAGCACAAAGTCATTATTGTGGGGCTAGACAACGCCGGAAAAACCACTATTCTCTACCAGTTGTAAGTATTTGGACGTTTAGGAACACATTTCACTCTCAGTATTAGGACGAGATTGGAAAGTTCTGTATGTTACGGCAATTATAGCCACAAATAATGTCTTGAACTGACTGACCTTTGAAGAGGGAAGAGTAGCTTTGTTTTGCTTTTATCAATTTATTTAGTGCATTTGAAAAGAAAAAAACTAGTCCGTTTATATTATCATAAACATTGAACCCTGAATGCAAAAATCCAAGTAAATAATGTTAAACCCAGTCTACATTACAAAGCCTCATTGGTCCGGTTTGGTTTCAATCCAAGCAGCTGGATAAGTTGTGTTTGAGGCCCCTGTTCTGTAGGTAATCTTTTTCCATATGATCGAACATGGACTTTCTTGTTCTTCCAGCTCCATGAATGAGGTGGTGCACACATCTCCCACCATCGGCAGCAACGTGGAGGAGATCGTAGTGAACAACACGCACTTCCTCATGTGGGACATCGGGGGGCAGGAGTCGCTCCGGTCCTCCTGGAACACCTACTACACCAACACAGAGGTGCGGCCGTTAAACCAGTCAAGTACAGTACTTTCTGGACTATAATGCGCACCTGTGTTTAAACCACACACCCTACATTTGAAAAGAAAATTGTTGTTGTCCACATATGGCCGCACTTGCATATAAGCCGCAGGTTAGGAGAGGCCAGAGTGTGAGCGAGAGGCCAGAGTGTGAGCGAGAGGCCAGAGTGTGAGCGAGAGGCCAGAGTGTGAGCGAGAGGCCAGAGTGTGAGCGAGAGGCCAGAGTGTGAGCGAGAGGCCAGAGTGTGAGCGAGAGGCCAGAGTGTGAGCGAGAGGCCAGAGTGTGAGCGAGAGGCCAGAGTGTGAGCGAGAGGCCAGAGTGTGAGCGAGAGGCCAGAGTGTGAGCGAGAGGCCAGAGTGTGAGCGAGAGGCCAGAGTGTGAGCGAGAGGCCAGAGTGTGAGCGAGAGGCCAGAGAGGAAGTATGAAAAGGTTATTAAACAATATAATACATTCTAAATGTGTCAATCTTGGTATAAATAATCACACATATTCACAGTAAAACAAAAAGATGCATGGATCCCACAGAAATACATTATAAAGTATGAGACTTTTCGAGCTCTCTCAGAAAACAATCACCCTTGGAGTGGAGCAGAGACTCGACGAGAGGCGGAGAGTAGAGAGGGATTTGAAGAGTATTTCTGTTTCTCTGCAGTTTGTTATCGTGGTGGTCGACAGCACAGACAGAGAACGAATCTCTGTAACCAAAGAGGAGCTCTACAGAATGCTTGCACATGAAGTGAGTACACAAACTACCCATATATCTCATTTATCGCCCAATCTTTTTCCAATAGTCAGTACCAACCATGCTGGATATCGGTGTAATAAGCTGTTTCAGGCACAGAATGACTCATGTTTTCCTCTCTGCCCAGGACTTGAGAAAGGCAGGTCTGCTGATTTTTGCGAACAAACAGGACGTGAAAGGTTGTATGTCGGTGGCAGAGATCTCCCAGAGTCTGCAGCTCACTTCTGTCAAAGATCATCAGTGGCACATCCAGGCCTGCTGCGCGCTCACCGGAGAGGGGTCAGTACCAACGCTGCTACTGCTACTTAGACCAGAGAGAGAGAGAGACCAGTGAGAGAGAGACCAGTGAGAGAGAGACCAGTGAGAGAGAGACCAGTGAGAGAGAGACCAGTGAGAGAGAGACCAGTGAGAGAGAGACCAGTGAGAGAGAGACCAGTGAGAGAGAGACCAGAGAGAGAGAGACCAGAGAGAGACCAGAGAGAGAGAGAGAGACCAGAGAGAGAGAGAGACCAGAGAGAGAGAGAGAGACCAGAGAGAGAGAGAGAGACCAGAGAGAGAGAGAGAGACCAGAGAGAGAGAGAGAGAGAGAGACCAGAGAGAGAGAGAGAGAGAGACCAGAGAGAGAGAGAGAGACCAGAGAGAGAGAGAGAGACCAGAGAGAGAGAGAGAGACCAGAGAGAGAGAGAGACCAGAGAGAGAGAGACCAGAGAGAGAGAGACCAGAGAGAGAGAGAGACCAGAGAGAGAGACCAGAGAGAGAGAGACCAGAGAGAGAGAGACCAGAGAGAGAGAGACCAGAGAGAGAGAGACCAGAGAGAGAGAGAGAGAGAGAGAGAGACCAGAGAGAGAGACCAGAGAGAGACCTCAGTACCAACAGGAAATCCCTTGAATCAAAAAGGAATCATTTAAAAAATATAATCACAAAAAATTTATATGATCCTCGAAAAATGTCTCACGTCAGACGTGATGGTTTCCGTCAGTTTTTGTCTAAAAATCTAATGTCTGTTTTCACATTTAATTTGTTTTACTCTATGAAAAAAAACTCTTTCTACCCTGTATAAAAAATAAAAAATCTATGAATCAAATGTGGATCTGAAACTTCTGCATAACTCCTTCCGTCAAATCACAGAGCCACTAAAGGAATGTGACAAATGTATGTTCTAGCAACCATTTTGTTCTAGAAACTTCTAATGGACAGAGGAGGTATTTGGATACATGAAAAACATATATCTTTTGTCACTGTTTTATGCCCTTTAGAGCAGGGGTGCTCACACTTTTTCAGCATGCGAGCTACTTATAAAATTATCAAGTCAAAATGATCTACCTACTACAAAAATGAAAAACATATATTTATTTTTAAAAATATTGAGGATTCTTTATATCTACAATGTATGTTTATGTACATGTAAAACTGCATGAGCCAATATAGCACAACACAATTAACTATGTACATTTGTTGTCATTACCCGAGTTTACTCTGATGACTTGCACTGAATTGAATCAGCCAGGGATGCATAGTCCGTAAAATTGGCGGTAACTCGCTGACAAGTTTGTCGTGGTTTAGCTTTCCTGCACTGAGCGCGGTTGTTTGCGCATGTGCAGTCACCTAAGTGTCAGTAAAACATTACTGAGTAAAAGGCAGATGTAATTTGACTGTGGTGCCATGTCCATGTGCCATGCCTGGTTTTTTTAAATCCGAATATTTCCCCTCCTCCGTTTATAAAATAATTTGCATCCACACATAACCACATATCTGCGTTATCAACATGGATCTATAATGGTTATCGATCACATTCGTAACATTCCAAACGTGCGTCTCTTACGTCCTGTCCTGCGTTGGGGAAAAACACAGAAGTGGGCGGAGCTTTGATGCAGACGCCGGTAACGGCACTTTTACAGTCATAGAAGACACTCAGGGTAAAGACGTATGTTTACAAGCACTGATCCCCGTCCTCAGCCCTGGTTTAGTCCTGGTTTAGTCCTGGTTTGGTTGTTTTCGAGCGTGAGTCCCCGCGATCACTTTCCTGCCCTCTGATGTGGAGGGTGTTCGCTGCTGCGAGCATCTCAGCAGCGAACAGTTTTTAAGGTAGTATGATCCATGCTTCAGTGATCAGAGGAATTTGGGGGCATACTGTGGCGTGCGAAAACGCAAAACTCCGGTCATCTCTGGCTACACGCAAATGCATTAACAGGAGTTTTCAAAAATCTCCACTTTGCCCGGAGTTTTTTGTATATATTTGTTTATGATGTGTAATTTTTTATTTATGCAATCTACCAATACTACCTTTGCGATCGACTGGTAGATCGCGATTGACGTATTGAGCACCCCTGCTTTAGTGTAAATAAAACCATCAGGAGCATATGTGTGTGTTCATTGGTCACTTTATTATTACAAAGGCAAATGCAGACCTTAAAATGTTATGGTTCTGTTTCAAACCAAAGTGATTGAGGAGACAAAGGGGTCTGGTGTCATTAGTCGGACTCTTAATTCTCCATGTACTTTACTATCTATAGCAGTGTTTTCCAACCTGTGGGCCGTGGCATGTCTGTGTGCATGAAATAGTCCAATCTCACCTGCTTGGTCAAAATCATGTGAAAAGAAAATAATGTGACAATTAAAAACACTGAATGAATCAATTAAATATTTATTTCAAAAACCTGCACACATGATTTTCACAGGAAACAAGAAAACAAAATCACATACTGGGATTAAAAAAAGGTTGGAGGAAGAAAACGATGATATTAATCCAAACCCCCCTCACCCAGACACATCAGACAACACAGAAACAAGACCATACTGGGTAAATCCACAAATCACATTATACTGAAGTTTACTGTACAGTACTTACAGTAATAACAATACAGTGACTACCACGGATGGTTTGAGCAGGGTCTTGAAAGTCTTTATAAGTATGGAATTTTGAATCACTGTTTTCCAGGCCTTGAAAAGTCTTGAATTTTGTGTGAAATTCTTCATAAAGTATGGGATAAACAGTGTATGGTAGAATTTCACAGTATGCTCCAAGGCATTGTGAAATGAGAAATGGGAAGGTAGGCTATACAACTATAATTTTACTAACTGTACTGTGTTAGCCATTCCCAAAGTCAGTAACACTTTGGGCCCCCTTAAAAATCTGACGGGTCTGCGCAGCTCCCCAAAATAAAAACCCAGAAGACAATGTTAAAAATAAGCTCTTCTTGTTATTTTATGTGGGAGAAATATCCTCTGCTACAAACATGTAAAGGACGCACCCCGTTTGGTAATACAAAAATGATTACAATTTGATTATTCAAGTCAAATAATGAACACCCATCCATCCATCCATTTTCTACCCTTTAATCCATTTCTGGGTCAGGGGGGTGGCAGTCAGAGATGCCACCCAAGTCTCATAGCACCAGCCCCTCACTGACCCTCTGCAGGTGGTGAGTCTACAGGAGGACGGCTGCTCTCTGAGTGTGAGCATAGCCTTGATCTTTCAGTTGGGGCTTTGGGCAAAGTGGGGTTAAGTGTCTTGCCCAAGGACACAACGACAGCAGTCATCAGTGGGAGTCGGTGGAGAAGGTGTAGAGGTGGGAATTGAACCCACGACCTTCTGGCCTAGACCAATGCTCTACCAACTGAGCTTACTGTAATGAACACAAATATTGTAATTTTACAAACAAAATGATATTAATTTAACATACAATAATTATATATTTTGTTTTTTATGACTTCTCCCGGCCCCCTGCAATACCCCACTTTGGGAGACACTGACCTAATGGAATGATGCCCAATGCTTAGCCTCGTCTGGCACATTTTTGTGATGTCACTGCTGAGGTCTATTGACATGGTACAACCTCAACCAATGAAGAAGGCAGTGGGCACACATAAAGTTTTTAAAAAGTCTTGAAAGGTCTGGAATATTAATTTGGAAAAAGAGCAAGCACCCTGCACAAGACAGCACCACGCACGCACGCACACACACACACACGCACACACCACTTTTGCCGTCTGTGTGGCTTTTTCAAAACGGCTTCATCCAACCCCTGTTTCAAACCAGTATTAAGTAAAGATCTGTGAAATTGTGTTCTGCAGGTTTGAAATAAATCAAACTAAATAACTAAATTCTTCTCTTTTTAATAATAAAGTCTAATCTACTCGTGAGCATTTGGTAAATTGAGCTTTGACTTTGACGGAATCCAAAACACAAGATGTCGCCGCATGTTGCCAGGTTCCACTGCGGACAAGGACCTTCAGAGCAGTTTTATTTTTGTGTTTTGTTTGATGATATTTATCCGTTAGTATCAGCAAGAAGTGAAGATTACTCATTGGCCAGATGGTGATAAACTTGTAAAATTTGTGCACCAAGCAAAACAAACTTGGTACAAAAAATAGGCCAGATTTGTGATATATCTATTTGCTCAACTGCGCTTTAAAAGAAATCTGACTAATGTTAACTTTAGTCAAGCATTTGGAATCAGGGATTATTTGAAGAGTTCAGTTTAAGAGTCTGGAGCACCTCTCTCTCTCTGGTCTTTCTCTGGTCTTTCTCTGGTCGCTCTCTGGTCTCTTTCTCTGGACCCTCCCTTGGCTCTCTGGTCTCTCTCTCTAATCTCTTGTCTCTCTCATCTCTCTCTGGTTTCTCTCTCTCTCTGGACCCTCTCTGGTTTCTCTCTGGTCTCTCTCTAATCTCTCTCTGGTCTCTCTCTGGACCCTCTTTTGTCTCTCTGGACCCTCTCTGGTCTCTTTCTGGACCCTCTGGTTTCTCTCTTTCTCCCTGGACCCTCTCTGGTTTCTCTCTGGTCTCTCTCTAATCTCTCTCTCTCTGGACCCTCCCTTGTCTCTCTCTCTCTCTCTGGACCCTCCCTTGTCTTTCTGGTCTCTCTCTGGACCCTCCCTTGTCTCTTTCTGGACCCTCCCTTGTCTCTCTGGTCTCTCTCTGGACCCTCCCTTGTCTCTCTGGTCTCTCTCTGAACCCTCCCTTGTCTCTCTGGTCTCTCTCTGGACCCTCCCTTGTCTCTCTGGTCTCTCTCTGGACCCTCCCTTGTCTCTCTGGTCTCTCTCTGGACCCTCTGGTTTCTCTCTCTCTCTGGACCCTCCCTTGTCTCTCTGGACCCTCCCTTGTCTCTCTGGTCTCTCTCTAATTTCTCAGAGTTTCATAAAAACAGTTTTAATAATACAAATGTATCGTCTGTTAAAACATTACTACACACACAAGAGAGACTGAGAACTGAACCATTTCAAAGTCTGAAGTCTTTAAAGTCTGTTTCCTCTGCCTTCTCTCTCTGCAGCCTGTGTCAGGGTCTGGAGTGGATGATGTCCCGGCTGCGCGTGAGATGATGAATTTCCACTTCCGCCGTTTCGAGAATCGATCCTTCTGCCGGATTTACCGCAGACCTGGAGCTTGGAAACGAGGACGAAAACACAAACCCGCCTCCTCTCTCTTTGCCTGTGAATTTGAGACGGGCCTAAACTAATTTATTCTCCTTTTTTTTTCACGAGGGTCCGAACTGAACAAACGCCCTTGTATGGAAGCGGACATTGGCCCTTCAAAAATAGGACTTGGAATATTTAAAATGAAGCACGGTTTAGAGGTCAAAGCGGCTTGTGGACACACCCATTACCTTCTTGGACTTGTTCCTAAGCTGTGAGCGAGTCCAGCCCTTTCGGTGGCCTTGCATTCAGTATTTTTCCGGACTTTTTTGGTGTGGTTTTTATCGCGCCTTTCCTTATAAATGTACAGTCCAGTATTTTTGTTTTAACACGGTGCCTGCAAGAGAAATGGTCAGAAAAGGGGTTGAGATTCAAAGAGTGGAAATCAAGGAATGCTCTTTGTCTTTCAATCCCTACCAATAATCAGTGAATAAAGTGTTTTTATCTGTGATCAAGAGTCATTCATAATTTATTGACAATATATTGAACTCATTTAGCCTCATTTTTACCATAAGCTGACTTTACAATTGGTTCGGTGTCAAGAATCCAGATGTATTCCTCGAGCCCTTATTCTATTTAAACAAGAAAGCTACTTGACTTGTTTGACAAAAATAAATTATGTTTGTTCTTAATTGTACTTGCTGCTTTTCAGGGCTTGTGATGGTTCAGCAGGGAGGAGAAAAGGGAAAGAAAGAAGAATTTAAGGCCTTAGACCAGGTAAACTGTTGAATACAGAGAGGTTGAGTTTTTAGACCTTGGTATATACAGAAGACATGTGTCAGGGTTGATGCTGATGATAGGAGTCTAGGGTCTGGCACGGTGGCTGAGTGGTTAGCTTCTCGGCAAGAAGGGTCTGGGTTTGAATCCCAGCCAGAACAGGGTCTTTCTGAGTGGTGTGTACGTTGGGTGCCCCAGTTTCCCCCAACACTAAAAACATGTTAAAGGTAATAAAAGTCCTCCAGCTCTGGTCCTGATCAAGCCTAGGTGCTGTAGTACATTGACCACTGCTCCTGACAGAGGCCCAAGTGGGTCAGGATCTGGATCAAATGCAGAGGACTGCCCAAATGTAAGATTTAATGAACAAAAACAAAATACAGAATACCGAACTAAAAACTCAAACCAGGACAAAACGGGGACAATATCACAATGGACCAACAACGTTGAGGACAGTTACAAGCATCTCGGTATACCACAGGCAAATGGCAACCTCGAACAGGTGAGGAAAGCAGCAACTGCCAAATACCTCCAGCGAGTAAGGCAGGTCCTAAGAAGCCGGCTCAATGGCAAGAACAAGGCCCGGGCAATTAACAGCTACGCCCTGCCAGTGATCAGATACCCTGCAGGAATAATCAGGTGGCCAAAGGAAGAGATTCAGACCACGGATGTTTAAACTCGAAAGCTCCTTACCATGCATGCCGGGTTCCATCCCAAAACCTGAGACTGTACGTAAGCCGTAAAGAAGGAGGCCGAGGACTAGTGAGTGTGAGAGCCACTGTCCAGGACCAAACATCCAAACTCCATAACTACATCATGGAGAAGGCCAAAACGGATGACGTACTCAGTGAATGTCTGTGTTGAGATAAGGAGGAGAGCCCATCATGGGAGAACAAGCCCCTACACGGCATGTACTACCGGAGCATAACAGAAGTGGCTGATCTCAAGAAGTCCTACCAATGGCTAGAAAGGGCTGGCCTACAGGACAGCACAGAGGCACTCATGGCTGCACAGGAACAGGCCCTGAGCACCAGAGCGATAGAGGCCCAGATATACCACACCAGACAAGACCCAAGGTGTCGGTTGTGCAAAGAGGCACCTGAGACGATCCAACACATAACTGCAGGGTGCAAGATGCTGGCAGGGAAGGCCTACATGGAACGCCATAACCAAGTGGCTGGCATAGTGTACAGAAACATCTGTGCAGAGTATGGGCTGGAAACCCCAAGGTCTAAGTGGGAAACTCCTCCAAAGGTGGTGGAGAATGAGCGTGCAAAGATCCTGTGGGACTTCCAGATACAGACCGACCGAATGGTAATGAACCAACCTGACATTGTGGTGGTGGATAAAGGGCAGAGGACAGCCGTGGTGGTGGACGTGGCAATTCCAAGCGATGGTAACATCCGGAAAAAAGAACATGAAAAGCTTGAGAAATACCAAGGTCTCAGAGAGGAGCTGGAGAGGGCCTGGAGGGTAAAGGTGACAGTAGTGCCCGTGGTGATCGGTGCACTCGGGGCAGTGACCCCGAAGCTAGAAGAGTGGTTACAGCGGATCCCCGGAACAACCTCGGACATCTCGGTCCAGAAATGTGCAGTGCTAGGAACAGCAAAGATACTGCGCAGAAACCTCAAGCTCCCAGGCCTCTGGTAGAGGACCCGAGCTTAGAGAGGGAAAACCGCCCGCGGAGGGCCAAAGGTGAGTGGACAATTTTTAATTATTATACATATATATATATATATATATATATATATATATATATATATATATCTACACATACATACATACAGTGCCTTGCGAAAGTATTCGCCCCCCTTGAACCTTCCAACATTTCGCCACATTTCAGGCTTCAAACATAAAGATATAAAAATTACAATTTTTGTCAAGATTCAACAACAAGTGGGACACAATCGTGAAGTGGAACGAAATGTATTGGATAATTTAAACTTTTTTAACAAATAAAAAACTGAAAAGTGGGGCGTGCAATATTATTCGGCCCCTTTACTTTCAGTGCAGCAAACTCAGTCCAGAAGTTCAGTGAGGATCTTTGAATGATCCAATGTTGTCCTAAATGACTGATGATGATAAATAGAATGCAACTGTGTGTAATCAAGTCTCCGTATAAATGCACCTGCTCTTTGATAGTCTCAGGGTTCTGTTTAAAGCGCAGAGAGAACCATGAAGACAAAGGAACACACCAGGCAGGTCCGAGATACTGTTGTGGAGAAGTTTAAAGCCGGATTTGGATACAAAAAGATTTCCCAAGCTTTAAACATCTCAAGGAGCACTGTGCAAGCAATTATATTGAAATGGAAGGAGTATCAGACCACTGCAAATCTACCAAGACCCGGCCGTCCCTCCAAACTTTCATCTCAAACAAGGAGAAGACTGATCAGAGATGCAGCCAAGAGGCCCATGATCACTCTGGATGAACTGCAGATAACTACAGCTGAGGTGGGAGAGTCTGTCCATAGGACAACAATCAGTCGTGCACTGCACAAATCTGGCCTTTATGGAAGAGTGGCAAGAAGAAAGCCATTTCTCAAAGATATCCATAAAAAGTCTTGTTTAAAGTTTGCCACAAGCCACCTGGGAGACACACCAAACATGTGGAAGAAGGTGCTCTGGTCAGATGAAACCAAAATCGAACTTTTTGGCCACAATGCAAAACGATATGTTTGGCGTAAAAGCAACACAGCTCATCACCCTGAACACACCATCCCCACTGTCAAACATGGTGGTGGCAGCATCATGCTTTGGGCCTGCTTTTCTTCAGCAGGGACAGGGAAGATGGCTAAAATTGATGGGAAGATGGATGGAGCCAAATACAGGACCATTCTGGAAGAAAACCTGTTGGAGTCTGCAAAAGACCTGAGACTGGGACGGAGATTTATCTTCCAACAGGACAATGATCCAAAACATAAAGCCAAATCTACAATGGAATGGTTCACAAATAGACGTATCCAGGTGTTAGAATGGCCAAGTCAAAGTCCAGACCTGAATCCAATCGAGAATCTGTGGAAAGAGCTGAAGACTGCTGTTCACAAATGCTCTCCATCCAACCTCACTGAGCTCGAGCTGTTTTGCAAGGAAGAATGGGCAAGAATTCCAGTCTCTCGATGTGCAAAACTGATAGAGACAAAAAAAATTCTATATCTTTGTTTGAAGCCTGAAATGTGGCGAAATGTTGAAAGGTTCAAGGGGGCCGAATACTTTCGCAAGGCACTGAATGTATACGTATGTATCGCGTCCAAATGTAGTCCGAGCGTAGATAGTCCGAGCGTAGATAGTCCGAGCGTAGATAGTCCGAGCGGAGATAGTCCGAGCGGAGATAGTCCGAGCGGAGATAGTCCGAGCGTAGATAGTCCGAGTGTAGATAGTCCGAGGCGGTCCCGCAGGTCTCTCCCATAGACCAGTCTCTCCAGAGGATACGATGTAAGCTAGCTCTGTTCAGGGCTTGGTTTCTTTGATCATGTTTTGGCTTTAGTTCCCTCTTCTCTTCCTCACTGTTGTGTGGTTTGGGCTGTTTTGCTGTGTCTGCAGTTACAGCCAGAGGAGTTATAGCCACTTTCTGCCTCCATGCTGCTGTGTTTACTTCATAGATCCATGGTTTAGCAGCGCTGTAGAGGCTCGAGGACTCAGCTTGTTTGCTCCTCGTTCTGTGATTGGAGGAGAGCGGGCGTCACGCTAAGTCTCTACGTAGCATTTTTTACGGCCTGAATTCATACACAGCTGAATCAATTAGCTCAAGTTTTGAATTAAATTACGGATTTTAATGTAACTTGTATGTAGTAATAAGCATTTTTATGTACAGGGTATAGCTTCTTAATACACTCAGAAAGGTTCTGTTCCTAGGATTCAAAGCCAGTTGGAGTATTGGCCTTTGAGCCTGAAGGTTATGGGTTCGAGCCTGCCACGAGTCCTTCTCCACCGACTCCCACTGATGTCTGCTGTCTTCGTGTCGTTGTGCAAGACACTTACCCCCACTTTGCCTGAAGCCCCTGCTGAAAGATCAAGTCCGTGTTGTTACATACAGAGCAGCCCTCCTCCTGTGGACTCACCATCTGCAGCAGGACTGCCACCTCTGACTGCCACCCCCAACCCAGAAATGGATAAAGGGGAAGAAAATGGATGGATGTTTCAGATTTCAGCCGCATAAATCTAAAACGCTTCCTCTCTGTGGTAGTCCTGACTCTGGGCACCAGCAAAAGGCAAATGTGTGTCTATATTGTATCACAGACTGCAAAACCTCCAGTTGCGTTTTTTATTGCGACTATAAACTTCCAAAACTGCATAATTTCACCCATCTCTGAAGTCGTAAAGAGGGTCTGACTTTTCGACCTCCAACTGAAGGAAAACAAGACGCAGTTTCTAATCGAGGAGATGATACAAGTGTTTGTCGCACGCTAATAATACTTCCCACGTTCAGTGTGAGTGGAAATAGCTCTGGGGTCAGTGGATTTGATTGTTTTTGAATGTGGTTTGGGTCTATGTTTATCTGTGGGTGGTGTGGATGCTGCGGTTGTCTTACAGCAGCTGCTATAAACCCGTCTCTCTCGTAATATTTCCAGTGACTAAGCATGAGGCTGGGTGTCCGAGTCACTGCGGTTCACACGGGAGCTGAGTGAAATACGATCATTTTTGACATTTTATTCACTTGGATATAGGCCACTTCCATCTGGGTTTCTCCTGTTGTTACTGACATCGTGCTTAAAGGAGCAATATGTAAGATATTCATGTCAAGTCATCATTAAAGGGCCCTAATCTGTCCAAAGGCATTCATAAAATCTGCTCTTTTCCAATACTTCTTCAACTGATAACTGTGGACTTTAAAAGCAGTTTTCCAGCCCCTAAAACTTGTTGTTTTCATTTTGATGTCCCGCCCTCCACCGTTTTAACCAATCAGAAAGTCCATGATCTGGGCACCAGAACTCACAGCGTGGAGCTAATCTCACTGGTAAAGTACCATGTGGCGCAGAACTAAAAAAGGTCTCGTTATGATTCTCAAATCATTAACGACAAAACAAGGAATAAAACCAGGATTTCTATCTTTGTGAAAAAGGTGTTGGTTATAGATTTGTTGTTGACAAAACTCTTGTCTATTCAGCGCTGCCACCTGCTGGTCCTGCTGCAGTGAGAAACCATGGATCTACACCATGGATGTATTCTAATAACTGGATAGGGTATTACTAGCTTGTAGCTGAATAACTCATGTGCTCAGGGGATTCTCGCGGTACTGCAGACTGAACCAGACTAAATTCACGTGGGCTACCCAGAAATTTTCCCCATAGAACTCAATGCATATTAAAACAGCTCAACCTCAGCTGACAGAGAACCTACAGCTTTCATAAAGATCAGATTTTGTGGGGATTTTAGTGTCCCTTGTCATCCTGAACTTTTTTTCTTCTTAAATCCTTCGTTTTTCTTTAAATCCACACTTTAGTGCCACAAACTCTGCTCGTCTGGCTCTCGCTCTAACTCCCGCTCTGATGAACTGCTCTGATTGGTCAGAGCGCGGCCGAGCCCCTCTGTGCACGTGCGTAAGACCCGGTGTGAGACCCACACACGCGTGTTTGACGCAACGCATTATGGGAGATCATCCACTGCACAGAACCGGGAGGACCAGACGATGCCCAAATACAGAGTTTCCCAAAGATCTTTGCGAGTTTCCCAAAGATCTTTGCGAGTTTCCCATAGATCTTTGCGAGTTTCCCATAGATCTTTGCGAGTTCCAGGTGACTTCCGCTAATCTTTCAGTCCCCATGCCGTCACAAAGCGCCACTGAGCACAACCATTCATTTGAATAGGGCGCCATCTTGAATCGCCGGGGCTTGATCTACATATATTAATGAGAAACCCATATGTTGAAAATATATAATAATGAAATATCCTGCCAACAAAAGCACAATGCATGTTGGATTTGATCCAGTTGTAATGATCACTTCTAATAACGCAGACACAATTCAGACAGCTACAGTATATTATTATATTATTATAATATATTATTAGATATTTACTGCACAAAGTGATGCAAGAAGTTCGAAATTTATCTCAATATATGGAGATCAATTTATTGAGATAAAGTCTCAATTTGAGCACATTTTGACTTTAAAACAAGATTTTCTAATGGGACAAAGCAAAAGGATCTTGTTTTAAAAAGATACATGGAATATCTCCCATGGAAATGGGAATATAAAGCAGCAGTCATAAAACATGTGACTGAAAAGCATGTCAGGTCAAACGAACGAAGATGGCGGCAGCTGTTGGCCTGCGGGAGCATCCGCTGCAATTGAACAACAACTATCTGGCTTTACAGATATCTGCAGGTCTGTTTTGGTCCGGAATATATGCAGTTATGGTCCTGCTATTTTTACATCTGCAACAGCGCCGTAAAGTGGGGGACAAACAACATTCATGGGCACATACTGAAAGCAAGCACTATCACAAATGCCTAACACCAAACGCGCACGCAAAAAGGACTGTGAACCCCGTTACCTCATCGTACCTGGTTTTCGCGTCTTGTTTTCGCCGTGGTGTGTTTGCATAGCATCTTTAATGCTGCGGATGTCCCATTCCCACGCCACTTCGCCCCGGAGGAAGCATCAGTTGATCTACGTAGCCCGCCGCGGACGAGTGAAACTGACTGCCTTGTCACTGGTGTGATCCGAGTGCCCGTCACCTGCGGGTGCGGCTATCTGGGTACACCGGAGCCTGACGAAGAAGAGGAAGGGAAGCCGGGCCCGCGCCGGTGCCCTTGTGTAGCGCACCCCATTGCGGACGCCGCTCTGCCTCTCGGCTGGTTGGGGCCGGTGGAGGCATCGGGGACTTCCGTACAGGGAAAGAGCGAGACTGTCTATCCGCGCCGTGGATCTGAGATGAGCTGGTCACGGGCAGTTCTTTCGGTCCGCGTACTCCTATATCACAGATGGGCGCACTGCTCGGGTCCTGGATCTTGCTACGGTCCGCGAGGTAGCACGAGTGGCGGAGCTGGGATTCTACGACGCCGATTCGCCACACGGCTTACCTTGACCCTGCTTCTGTTTATTGGAAATGTTGAGCTAAATCCTGGCCCGGACAGTAACTTTTTTAACAACCTTTTCTTGTCCACCTTTTTATATTTTCTACGTTTTTACATGGATATCTTAAACAACACTCAAAATCTATGCCTGGTTCCTGCCACACAAACTCCTATAAGGAAACATTGTCAACTAACAAGCAGATTAAGGAACACCCCAGTTAAACTACAACAGCTTGGAAAGACAAGAGGTCTCAAAATATGCCACCTAAATATGAGGAGCCTTGTCCCCAAGCTAGATGAACTCAAAATCATACTTTGTCAAGCCAAAGTGCATGTTATGGCTATATCAGAGTCCTGGTTAAATCCATCAATACCTGACTCTTTCATTTCAATTGACAATTACTCACTATATCGTCAAGACCGGACAGACAGAGTGGGAGGGGGGGTGGCTCTCTATGTGGCACAGACATATGTGCATTCTGTTGTTAAACTCTCAACTGAGTCTGAATCACTTCAAATAGTTATTAACTTAACAAATCAGCTATCCATAACTGTCATTGTCACATACAAGCCCCCAAATGTTAGTCCTGCCACCTATTTACAGCAGCTGTCTGACATAATTAAATCTGTTAAATCTAAGGAGCTTGTTATTCTTGGTGATATTAACCTGGATTGGTCAGATAATTCCTCCAAATCTCTCAAAGCTACTGCAACTAAATTAGGCCTCTGCCAATTAATTAAAGACCCAACCAGATATGGTAAAACACGTAACTCCATACTGGACCTCATATTTACAAACCAGTCAGCTAAATACGGGATATCTGGAGTAATTAACACCACTGTCTCAGATCATTCACTAATATTTGCCATCAGAAAATGTCTTAAAAAACCAAGATGTCACAAAAACAACTTTATAAGAAAAATACCAAATTCAAAGCTGCCGCAGTTTAATGCTGATGTGGGTAATATTGACTGGAACAACGAGATGTCTTTGAAAAACCCCGATCATATCCTGGCTACGTTCTACAATCGATTGGGTGCAATTCGTGAAAAGTATACCACCATTTGTAAGATTCATGTCAGACAAAATAATCTGCCATGGGCAAACGCTGAAATTATGCAGCTATTAAAAAAGAAGGACTCTGCCCTTGAGAGGTACAGAGCTACTAAGACCCCTGAGAGTAAGATCTTTTTCGCACAGGTCAGAAACCAATGTAACTCTGAGCTGCGTAAAGCCAAACAAAGATACTTTGAAAAACAAATTAAACTAGGTGCGTCTAATCCAAGAACACTATGGCACACAATTAAATCTATAAATGGCGAAAGTAAAACAAAGAACTCAAGGAGCTTACAAATTTCAATCAATGGAAATCTCCTCACGGATCATGATAAAATTGCAAATGCTTTCAATAACTATTTTATTCAATCTGTACAGGAATTATCTTCTAAAGTTACTCTACCTCAATGTCTTCCACTAGTGTCAAGCCATGAATCTCAAGGATTTTCCTTCTCTGAAATTACACAAAATGATCTTATCAATACACTCCACTCTCTTAATGCTTCACGTGCCCGTGACATAAATAATCTAGATATACATTTTTTGAGAACCCATGCCATTACCTTACTACCACTATTTCACCATGTTATAAATCTGTGTATCAGGCAATCTAAATTTCCTGATACCTGGAAAATGTCCCAAATTACTCCCATTTTCAAATCAGACGATCCTACCAATATCTCAAATTATCGCCCAATTTCAGTCCTCTCAACCATTTCTAAATTACTTGAAAAAACACTAAACACCCAAATTGTGGATTATCTTGAGACTAACAACCTACTCACAGACTCCCAACATGGTTTTCGACCCTAGCGGTCGACAATGTCCGCACTGCTCTTGTTCACTGAACATATACGTGCTTCCCTGAACAAGGGACACACCATGGGAGCGGTGTATATAGATTTCCGCAAAGCTTTCGACACGGTCCATCACCTAATTCTCCAAAATAAGCTTCACTCTCTCAATTTCTCGTCACATGCCATAGATTTGATTATTTCTTACCTAAAGGATAGAACACAGCTCGTAAAGATAGGGTCAGTAAAATCTAGGCCGCTGGGCTGCTCTATGGGAGTACCACAAGGCAGTATTCTGGGCCCCCTGCTGTTCCTTATATATATAAATGATCTCCCGAATGCTGTAAACCATTCACAATCGCTGCTCTATGCAGACGATACAGTGATCTTTGTATCTGGCCCAAACACAGAGGTCATTAATCAAAAACTCAATTCAGATTTAAAGTCTTTACATGGATGGCTCCAAGACAATCATTTAACTATCAACATTAAGAAAACAGAATGCATGTACTTCCACTCACCATGGAGACAGCTGTCCATTTCCAACCCCCTTGTCATTGCAAACCAAAAACTCTCAACTGCTTTAAACTACAAATACCTGGGGGTAACCCTTGACTCTCATCACCTTACATACAGTGTCCACATACAAAACCTCACCAAAAAGTTAAACCAAAAACTGTTTGTGTATGGTAAGATCAGAGCATGTTTGTCATTACCCGTCTCAAGGACATACCTGCATGCCATCATACTCTCTACCCTGTCCTACTGTCTCCCAGTGTGGACGCTCACAACTAAGGAAATACTAGAACCTGTGGCGAGACTCTACAATAGAGCATATAAGATCCACCACAGGCTCCCTGGTTGGACCCACCACTGCACTGCTCTATCACAGTCTGGGGCCTTGACTTTCCAGAACTACGCCCTGAGCCATGGGATTAAGCTCTACTTCCACCTGCTCAACAACTGCCCATCGGCCTCACTGTCTGTTCTGGTTCCAAGACCCAGCTCTCGATCCGAGCGTTCAACCAGATCCACCACAAACCAAATCTTACCCATACCTCACCACAGGAACACCTACGGACAAAATTCATTCTTCTGTGAGCTCACCAGGGCCTGGAACAAGATCCCCCTCACCATAAGAACCATACAGTCACCTGGACCTTTTAAAAAGACTATGCTGAAACATCTGACGGACAGCTATCGTTGTGACCACTAGTGACGGACACTATAGCGCTCCTAAAGGAAGCCGTCCTCAGACGAAAGAGTGGTCATTCCCCTTCTCTGACCCCAGTGCATCACCACCGCTTACCTCCACCGGGTCAGCAGCAGCGACCCGAGCCTGCTCCTCACGCTGCTCCAGCGTCCCCGAGCACACAGCGTGGGTTGCCCGGAGCTGAGAATCAACACCCCCGCTCCCCTCCATGTGTTCAGCAGCGCCCTGGTTCGGACTCATCCCTGGATGAGCCCGCTGGTTCTGGCCATGGACACCGAGCGCCCTCTCCGCGGCTACGTCCACTCTTCGCCCCGACTACTCTGATTGTTGGAGATTCCATCGTGAGGCACGTCCGCTTTTTTAACGCGGTCACTCAGTGTTTTCCCGGAGCTACTGTGCCAGACCTGCTCATACGTCTCCCTCCTCTGCTTCAGTCCCTGCCTGATACCATTTCAAAGGTAATCGTGCATGTGGGGATCAACGACATGAAGCTGCAGCAGTCCGAGGTCACAAAGAAGCATTTTATGGATCTATTCCGCCTCCTCCAGTCCTCCGGGTTGTGTGTTTTTATCTCTGGTCCAGTCCCGACTGTAAACCGGGGAGACTGCTTGTACAGTCGCGTAGTGGCGTTGAACATGTGGCTCCAGTCTGCATGTAGCTCGTTTAACTTTATTTTTGTGAATAACTTTGGCCTTTTCTGCAAGCGTCACGTGGCTTATCGTCCAGACGGTCTGCACCCAAATAGATATGGCACCAGCTTGTTGACGGATTACTTACGCCACGTTATTCAGTGTTCCCCGAGGGGGGCGTGACTGTTTACATCGGAGCCCCCACCACCACCACCCTCCTCCTTCTTCTCCTGCTCACCAGCACCGGGTGAGTACTGTGGTGCAAGCACTGACCCCTTTCCGTCTGGCAGTGAAATAACAGTCTCGCCTCTGAACCGTGCTGCCTCCTGCTCTAAACAACGAAGCAATGCCGTCCTGAATCCGGGACTTACACAGCAAAAGAGTTCACATGTTAGACAAATAGAAACTGTGTGTGTTCCTCGCATCAGTTTCAAAAAATGTTTTTATTTGAATGGAAAACAAAATCATAACAGAAGGACAGCAGTTAGACATTCAAATCTAATTCCTGCTCCTTGTAAAAATCAATTAACTAAACCCACTGTTACTGATATTAATTTTAAAATTGCTATGCTTAATGTCAGATCACTGTGCAACAAATCATTTTTAATTAATAATTTTATCCGTTCTTATGATCTTGATTTTATGTTTCTGACTGAAACTTGGCTTGACCAGAGTACAGGTAATGCGGTTTTAATAGAAGCAACGCCACCAAACTTCAAATTTGAATCTGAAATACGAGAAAATAAAAGGGGGGGAGGCATTGCTGCATTATTTAGAGATCGTATTATCTCTCATAGAATTCTCCTTGGAAATTTTCTATCATTTGAGTATATTTCTTTTAAAATAGAACAAAAACAATCTCCTTCTATTCTTATCATTGTCCTGTACAAGCCACCGCAGTCTTGTCACAATTTCTTTGATAATTTCACTGAGTTGCTTTCAGTTGTTTGCACCGATTTTGATAGTTTAGTGATTACAGGTGATTTTAATATTCATGTGGATAATGGCAATGACAAAAATGCAAAAGAGCTGAGTTCTGTACTTGAAACATTTGGTCTCACTCAGCACGTGAGTGGCCCCACCCACAGCAAAGGGCACACTCTAGACCTGCTGGTTACAAAGGGGGTTGATATTTTAAATGTAAATGTGGTTGACGTGGCTCTGTCAGATCACTTCTGTGTATTTTTTGACATGTGTTTTGATAGTAAACAACCATATATATCTGAATCTGCAATTGTCAGACACAGACACATAAATGAAAACACAACCGAACTATTCATGGGAATGATAAACTTTGAGAACACATTGTGTTCTACTGTTGACGAATTGTTTAACTCTGTCACCGCCAATGTTATAAATGTTCTGGACATCATCGCTCCTGTGAAGGTTAAAATGATTACAAATAAGCCAAAGGCCCCCTGGACTAAAATGGACTCAGTCATGGTACAGAAGAGAGAGTGCCGTAGGGCCGAGCGGAAGTGGCGAAAATCCAATCTCCAGGTTGATCATGATATCTTCAAAAATGAGTTGTGCAAGTTTAACCGGGTGCTACGTAGAACAAGAGAAATTTATTTTTCTAAAACCATTGATGGCTGCAATAATAATCTACGACTTATGTTTTCAACAGTTAACGGATTAACAAACCCCCCTGTTCAGCTGCCATTCGAATTTGCTTCAGAATCTAAATGTAATGAGTTTGCACAATTTTTCAATGACAAGGTTCAGAGCATCAAAAACGCCATCACCTCCAAGGCAGAAATAACATTACAACAGCCGGTGAGGCTGTTTGAGCTATCGCACTTTGCACCAACAGATAATGAAACTGTCCAAGATGTTGTCTCTAGCCTTAGTTCCTCCACATGTAGCCTGGATGTACTACCCACTAAATTTTTAAAGTCTGTTTTGAGCAGTCTTTTACCTTTGCTCACACAAATAGTGAACATGTCTTTCTCATCTGGAACATTTCCAATGGCCCTGAAAACGGCAGTCATCAGACCCCTCCTAAAAAAGAGGAGTCTAGATGCCACAGTTCTTAAGAATTATCGCCCCATTTCAAATTTGCCGTTTATGGGAAAAATTCTGGAAAAAGTTGCTTACCAACAACTTACAGAATTCTTAGTAACTAATAGTTCCTTTGATGCGCTCCAGTCCGGCTTTAGAGCCAATCACAGCACTGAGACTGCACTAGTGAAGGTTACAAATGACATCCGACTTAACACCGACACAGGAAAAGTCACAGTTTTAGTAATGTTGGATCTGAGTGCTGCGTTCGACACAGTCGACCACGAGATCCTCATGCAGAGACTAGAGCACTGGGTGGGTGTCACTGGGACTGCCCTAAGTTGGTTTAGGTCTTACCTAGAAGACAGGAAATACTTGGTTCAGATAGGAAACTGTGTCTCAGATCATATGGCTCTGACCTGCGGAGTGCCACAGGGATCAATTCTGGGGCCTCTTCTGTTCAATATTTACATGCTGCCGTTAGGTCAGTTAATACGCTCCAACAATGTATCCTACCACAATTACGCTGATGACACTCAAATTTATGTCTCACTTACTGCAGGAGAACATGGACCAGTGGAATCACTCCTTCACTGTACTCAACAGATTAGTGATTGGATGCAAAATAACTTCCTTCAGCTAAACGCAGACAAAACAGAATTGATTGTCTTTGGTCCTCAGAAACAAAGAGAGAGCGTTATTCGTCACCTCCAGTCTCTCTCCCTGGAACCTGTAGGCAAGGTCAGAAACCTAGGAGTTATAATGGACTCAGACTTAAATTTTAACAGTCATATCAAATCAGTAACATCAGCAGCATTTTACCATCTGAAAAACATTGCCAAAATTAGAAACATAGTGTCTAAATCAGATCTGGAGATTCTCATCCATGCATTTGTCTCCAGTAGGTTAGACTACTGCAATGGCCTGCTCACAGGTCTCTCCAAACAGGCTGTAAAACAACTGCAGTATGTCCAAAATGCTGCAGCTCGAGTCCTGACCAGGACCAGGAAATATGACCACATTAGTCCAGTTCTCAGGTCTCTGCACTGGCTTCCTGTGGCTCAGAGAATAGACTTCAAAGCAGCACTGCTTGTGTACAAGTCTCTCCATGGCCTCGCACCAGGGTACTTAAGCGACTTGTTAGTCCCATATGAACCGGCCCGGACTCTGAGGAGCACAGGAGGTAGCCTCTTACTGGTTCCAAGAGTCAGAACTAAACATGGGGAGGCAGCGTTTGAGATTTATGGAGCTAAAATCTGGAACAATCTTCCTGAAGATGTGAGGCTAGCATCTACTCTGGCAATTTTTAAATCAGGGCTAAAAACTGTTCTTTTTAGCTGTGCATTCGGCTGAAGGATTTTATTGATACATACTCTTTTTTGTTAATGCATTGTGGTTATTTATTATTTTAATCCTGTGTGTGCTTTTAATATTTTAATTTTTTTTTTTTTTTTTTTTTTTCCATTACTTGTGATTTTATTCTGTTTTTAATGTATTTATTGATGTCTCTGATTTGTGTGATATTATGTGGGTTGTGAGGCGCTTTGAGTGGCCTTGTGTTGGAAAGGCGCCATACAAATAAAGTTGATTGATTGATAGCCTCACACCAGTGTGTTCCTTCTTTTATGTGTGACAGTATGTTTTGTGTCGAGTGGTGATGTTAATGCTGTGTTTGTGTGTTCTGCAGAGCAGGAACCTGCTGAAAATCAGTTTGTACTGAGCCAGGCCCGATTTTGTTTTAAATCTTTCCTGCCTAATAAATAAAATGAATGAACTAAAATGGCTTTGTCCCATTGGAGAATCTTGTTTTCCTGTGGACTCACCACCTGCAGGAGGATCAGTGAGGGGCTGGTGCTCTGTGTACTGGGTGCAGCTCTGACTGCCACCCCCCCGACCCAGAAATGGATTAAGGGGAAGAAAATGGATGGATGGATGGATGGACGGTGATCCAAAATGGCGAGCTGTTTTAGTTTACATCGAGTTCTATGGGACATTTTTATGTGGAGGCCACGTGAATTTAGTCTGCAGTACCACGGCGCCCCCTGTGTCCGTGGGTGGGACAGCTATAAGCTAGTTATACCCTATCCCGATCTTATTATAGATCCATGGTCAGAATGTACTAGAAAATTTACTCAGATTTTATCATTTTTTGCAGTCTTATTATTTCAAGTAATTGGAATGTTGTATCGCCAAGCACCTCTGTCATGACACCCCAATCTCCCCCCCACTCCCCCCTCTCACCGGACCAGGTGAGGAGTGAGCTCAAGCGACTGAAGCAGAGGAAATCTACAGGACGGGATCAGTCCCAGGCTGCTGAGGACCTGTGCAGACCAGCTCTCTGAGGTCCTCAGCTACATGTACAACCTGAGCCTCAGCCTGGAGAAGGTCCCTGTCCTGTGGAAGACCTCCTGTGTGATCCCAGTTCCTAAAACAGCGCACACCAAGGAACCATCCTCACCCATCTCCGCTCCGTGGTCAGCCCCACCCTCCGCTGCAGTTCGCCTACAGACCCAACATCGGAGTAGAGGACGCCATCATCTACCTACTGCAGCGGACGCTCTCCCACCTGGAGCCTGCAGGGAGCGCTGTGAGGGTCATGTTTTTTGACTTCTCCAGTGCTTTCAATACCATCAGGCCGGCACTGCTGCGGGGGAAGATGGAGGACGCGGGAGTGGACAGTAGCCTCACTGCATGGACCATCAACTACCTCTCGGACCGACCACAGTACGTGCGGCTGCAGCTTTGAGTCTGAGGTGGTAGTCTGCAGCACTGGGGCCCCTCAGGGCACTGTCCTCTCACCGTTTCTCTTCACCATCTACACCTCAGACTTCACACACAACACACACAGCTGTCACCTGCAGAAGTTCTCCGACGACTCCGCCATCGTGGGCTGTGTGTCTGAGGGGAACGAACTGGAATATCGGTCGGTTATCAAGGACTTTGTCGACTGCTGTGAGCGCAACCACTTGTGCTTGAACACCAGTAAGACCATGGAGATGGTACCTGTGCTAACACCAGTAAGACCATGGAGATGGTACCTGTGCATACACCAGTATGACCAAGGAGATGGTACCTGTGCATACACCAGTATGACCAAGGAGATGGTACCTGTGCTAACACCAGTATGACCAAGGAGATGGTAATCGTTTTCAGGAGAAAACCACTTTCCCTCACGCTGCTGAACATCCAGGGGGAGGACACAGAGCTGGTGGACAGCCTCAAGTACAGTACCTGGGTGTTGACGTTAACAATAAACTGGACTGGTCCCATAACACCAACACTGTCAGACTGTACAATAAGTCACTTCAAGTCACTTATGACCTGCACTAGGACTGAAGAACCTGCACTGCTATTGCCACTTTTTTATTGTACATAATTCTATCCTGCATCTGAGTGATCCTATTTGTGTGTGTATGTACATTTCTCCAGTGTGAGATCAATGAAGTTTATCTGATCTTATGTGTGTATGTGTGGTGTAAACATGGCTCATTCCTCTCCTGTGTTGGGAGGTGTGAAGGTAAAGTCTGCACAGATGCTAATGTGGCTAATGTGGCTAAAGAGGCGTCAGGAGCTTCAGTGAATGAGAGTCAGCTGTTCCTGTCCATCTCCAACCTGTAAGAATGCAGACACACAACACACACGGAGACACACACACTCACACAACACACACACACACACACTACACAGACACACACACAATCTGGTACAAAATCAATCAATCACAATTTTTTCAATCTGCCCAAACACACATTTAGCCCTGTTCTCCTGTCCTCTTGTCCTGCTGGGACTCTGAGGAGCACAGGGACTGGCCTCCTGCTGGGACTCTGAGGAGCACAGGGACTGGCCTCCTGCTGGGACTCTGAGGAGCACAGGGACTGGCCTCCTGCTGGGACTCTGAGGAGCACAGGGACTGGCCTCCTGCTGGGACTCTGAGGAGCACAGGGACTGGCCTCCTGCTGGGACTCTGAGGAGCACAGGGACTGGCCTCCTGCTGGTCCCAGAGTCAGGACTGACCATGTGGAGGCAGTCTGACAGATTTATGCAGCTATAATCTGCAACAGTCTTCCTGAAAATGTAAGACAGGCTTCTTATTATTTCAGATATTCTTATACTTCTCATATTTTTGTATTTGTGTTGTTGCTTGAAATGAATGTTTAATATTTAAGAAAATAAAAAAATCAACAAATGTAAAAAAAAACAACAGTTGGAAAAGTGAGCCTGGTTTTGAATCCCGCAAAGTAGAAACCAGTCCCACATCTATCGCAGCAGAGAGAATGCAGACACACAAACACACACAACACACACACACACACACAACACAGACACACAATTACAAACACACACAAACACAGACACACACACACAGACACACACAACACAGACACACAAATACAAACACACACACACACAACACAAACAGACACACACACACACAACACAAACAGACACACGCATGCACACACACAACACAGACACACACACGCATGCACACACACACAAACACACAACACACAGACACACACACAACACAAACACAGACACACACACAACACAGACACACACACACAATGGTTAATTTTTGCATCTTTACCAATTAAATTCATCTTTTTGTTTTGATCATTAAAAAACAATTTGGACAAAAGCAATGTTTACGCTTCACACAAAATATAAATGAATAAATGCATTATTAAATATCTTGGTGGCTGAGTGGTTAGCCTTTTCGCTTTTCAGAAAGAAGGTCCCGGGTTCAAATCCCAGTCGAAACAGGGCCTTTCTGAGTGGAGTTTGCATGTTCTCCCCGTGTCTGCATAGTTTCCTCCGAGTGCTTCGGTTTCCCCTACCACTATAAACATGTACAATAGGTCTGAATGCGCCTCCCATCTCTGTGTGGAGACAAACGCCCACAACATTTGTAAAGCTCTGTGTGACTCTGTGAAAGGCGCTATATAATTAAATATTACTTAATTTTTATTAGCACAAATCCCTCTTAGACACGGCCTTAGATAATGCACTTCACCCACATTAGAAAGAGTCAGGTGTGTGTGTGAATGGCTGATGCGGGAGGGGCCGATGGCACATATTGCCTCGCTACTGTCAGCGTGCCCCAGGGCAGCTGTGGCTACAGTAGGAGGCTACCATATGAACCAGCCCGGACTCTGAGGAGCACAGGGACTGGACTCCTGCTGGGACTCTGAGGAGCACAGGGACTGGACTCCTGTTAGTGCCCAGAGTCAGAACTAAACATGGGGAGGCTGCTTTTCAGATTCATGCTGCTAAAATCTGGAACAGTCTTCCTGAAGATGTGAGACAGGCCTCCTCTCTGACAATGTTTAAAACCAGGTTAAAGACAGTTCTTTTTAGCTGTGCATACAACTGAGGGATTTTATATTTTTATCTTTCTTTTTAATGTTCTGTGATTATTTATGATTTTAATGCTTTCTTGTTTTGTTCAGCACTTTGAATTGCCTTGTGTATGAATTGTGCTATACAAATAAACTTGCCTTGCCTTTATCACCACCGTGTATGGAGTGAATGATTAATGACAAAGCCCTATGAAACGGATGCATTATTATTATGTATTTTATTATGTTATATGTCGTGTCTGTTCTATCTTTTATAACTGTTTGTCTGTTGTGTTTGTGATGTGTTTGTTTTTTTATGGACTTTGAGTCTGATAAATAAAGATAATAATAATAATATGTCCCCGGGACCCTCTCCAAAACGAGATGAGCCTTTCCCCAAATAAACAAATGAAATAAAACCGTGATCCCTTGCTATTGTGACAGGCCTCGTCATCATCACCTCCTGGTTTTGCTCTTCTTCATCCCCTGTGACGCCCAAACAGGTGCTACTCTCGGAAAACCTCACTTTGGTATATTTAGATTCTGAAACCCGAGCTCGCTGGATCGCCATTGGCCCATTTCTGCACATGAGAACTTGGGTCACACTCTCCGCTCTGTGCTGTCACCCAGGGTTTCTCTGGAGGGAAGCTGGGGAGGATTTGGCGACTTGGGAGACCATTAATTTCCAATTCAACTGGTAAGCAAAAACAAAAACAAAAGGACCCCGTGTGTTGCTTGATGTTGAATTTTACGGCGTTGCTTTCGTTTCTCGCCAATATCTTTTCTCTCCCAACTTCACGCAATCTTATTTGAAGGCTCTCATTGAGGACTAAGGAGCTTGAGCTGCGACTTTCTGGATTAACCAATCAAAACAAAATCCAACGAGGCAAGCAAGATTTTCTTTTTTCGGGATTTTTATCACAGTTTCAACCTCGTTTTCCCAACTCACCGAAACCCCAACTCCATCCTGCAACTTCTTCAATAACTCCTGCTTTACATTATTACCCTGTCTTTTTTTGTACTCTTGAATAATCCTTTTTAACATATATACATTTCTAAGCGCGTAAAAAAAGCCAGTCAGTATGCCATCCTATATTTAACCTGCAGCCCTCAGAAGGCATTGCATCTCTGTTAGCTAAACGCAGTCTACCAATCAGCTTGTGGCATTAGCTTACATGTCAAATAGCACTGTAGCTCAGCTGTCGCCAATCCTCAACCAAGGGGCCTGCAGTGTCCTGTCTGTTATGGCCGACCGAGGGGGAGGGGCCTCGGGAACATATTCAAACTAGTGTTAACCCAAGTCTTGTTTTAATCTCGCTAACTTTGCTTTTGTCGATCCCTTATTCAAACTCATAGCTGTGTTTTGCATTTTCCCGCCGTTTCGTTTAGGGCCGGGACTAGCTTTTGGAACATAAGTGAGGGTTCATTGCTGGGTTTATCGGAAATCTTTCTCTGGTATGATATTTATCTAGAAATCTTGCTGTTTATGTTGAGTTTTCTGATGTCTTTTCAAACTTTATACAGACTTACATTGAAAACCGTGACGTAGGTTAGAAGCCAGTCTCTCAAAATACCGCCTTAAGCTTTTTGCCTTTGTTTTTTGGCTTGACCCTGATTAATTTCACTTGTTAAAACTAGTTCTAACATTGAATTTGTGTTTTCGTCAGAGCCCAAACCGTCTCGTAATGACGGACACTGAGGACATTGGGGAGATGGAGGAGGAGGAGTTTGAAGAGGTATGTAAACCAGACTCACTTTTCATTCATACCACCTTTAAACCTATCAAACACTGCAAATGGTAACGCTGCGAGAGTGAAAGTAACTGGAAAGCCAATAGTAATCACAGTAAACTAGCAATTACTGATTTAAAAATGCACATAAAGAAATTAGCTGAGGAGGATAGGTGATGTGATAGTTCAAAGTTATAGTTTATGACCAGTTTAAAACCATAATATTTATAAATGTATATAAATATGCTGCTGTCATTTTAGTTTCATTTATTCCACTGATTTGTCATCACGGTTCCTTACTTTAATTAGTTATTTATCTATTTATTATTTATGTATATATTTATTAATGTATTTTATTTATTTGTTTACAAAAAACAAAAAAACCGACAGACACATCAGCATTTAATATTTAACTTGAATATTTTCTCAGTTTTTTTAATATATATTATTTATTTTCAGCCAGTAAATTACAGTTATACATCCATCCATCCATTTTCTTCCCCTTAATCCATTTCTGGGTCGGGGGGGGGGGTGGCCAGAGATGCCACCCAGTCCACAGAGCACCAGCCCCTCAGTTATACATGAATACTGAATAAATAGTGTAATTAATCAGTATTTATTCAGTATTCACAGTTATACATGAATACTGAATAAATACTGAATAAATTACAGTTATAATGAATACTGTTAAACATTTCTTTCCCACTTGTATATTCAGTTATACATGAATATTATTTTTTGTTCACATGTATATTAAAGAATAACTATGTATAGGAGGGGAAAATAAAATAACTCAAATTTCTCATGAGTAAAATGGACATAGACCCATTTTTTTGGACCTGGTTCTAGTCGTTGTTAAATATTTTCTCAGTTTTAATGATTATTTTCCGGTGATCTGCTGCTGTTGGAGCCAAAAGCAGATTATCACTCCTACTACTGTATACACCACCAAATCCAAGTGGTCAAAACTGGTCAAAACAAATGTCCATTCTTTCTTCAAGTTACTTCAGGTTACTTTTTGCAGTGTATAAATCGGTGGTTGGCCCCGTGAATAGTCTTCACCGTCAGCAGTTCTTGAAGCCTCCATGTTGGATCCTGTTTCAGAGAGACCTGTTCTAACAATAAGCAATAAATCAAAATGAAATCACATTATTCCCTCATGTGATCTATAGAGAGCTGTTGTTATACGTAAAACAGCTTTATGAATGAGTCCTGAGAAGCAAGCGTTTAGTAATCTGATACTTTTGATTCTCTGCATTGCAAGTTATGGATTTAGAATTGTTGTAAATACATATACAGGGCTTCAGTCTCAGTAATTAGTAAGTAGTAATTAAAAAGACAACTCAAACTATTTTACTTGAAAGGAGAAAACTCTAGATCAAAGGTATTCAACTCGTTATATATATAGCACATTTTATAAACAGACCGTTCCCAAAGTGCTGTGTAAAAGAACCAGTGGAGGCATGCTGCAATACCACCCCAGGCCTGCGGGGGGTCTGCCAAACATATAGCGTTGGCAGACCTCTCGAAAACGTCTTTACAGGATGGTCCAAAAGTTGGCTCTTGGCCCAAAGCTCGGTTCCACATGTGTGTCAATGCTGAGGGGGGTGTTTTGGACCAGTCTAGTTCAGTCGCTGTGAATTTTTGAAGTCACTAATTTAAATGAATGAGGCTCGTGCAGCTGACGCATGCGCAGATGCGGGTTTTTTTTGACATTTTCAAGCCCCCGCGGCCATTTTGAAACTGCCCATAGACCGCGGAAGTTGTGGCACATTAGTTTGAACGCCGGAGACAGGCGTGACTACATCCGTTAATATTTACAGTCTATGGTAATAACAGACTAAAATGTAATTCAAAAATCCATAGTAAGAAAGTAAAATACTTTAAAATAAAATCTGAACAAAACATGTTTTTTATGTAAATATAACATTAAAACAAGATAAAATAAATCATTCATAAATTGTTCATATAATTTTGTATTCTCCATGTTTGAATAATTTCTGTAGTAATTATTAATACTAACTTTAGAATGGATTAATAATTTCATTTTGATTCTTTTGACGGTGTGAGGACCATGTTCCAAAGCTACTGTATTTTCAGTATTTTTATTTTTTTATTTTTTTAGCTCATATTTCCAGTACAAATAGCAGTAGTAGCTTCATATTATCAATACAAATAATAATATTAATGCATTAATATGTGTGTATTACACACACACACACACACACACACACACACACATATATATAAGCTGGAATCCCGATCTTTCAGGAAGCTGTGGAAACTTAGCATTTTGTTAAATCTACCTCCAGCAGTGCACAAGGGGGCGCTACAGTAGTGATAGTTACAAACGAGTGCTTTTTGAAAAGCAAAGCCATCTTTTCGATTGAAAATCCTGCGTTTTTTAGAGTCCATCCCCAATGGCAAATGACCGAAACAACGCTACCGGAAACAAACATCCCGACGTCCGGTCTCAAGCCTGGAAGTTAGCATTTTCTAGTGCACGGGGTCTATTTGAAAACATTAACATGATGTTAGCAGATTAGCTAACTGTATGTGTATCTTAGACATAACATCGTAGCCTTATGTGTAAATATGTGAAATGATCTAATCTAATAGTTTAAAGGTGAAACTCCTCAGAGTCCCAGATGTACGATTGGCCCTATACTTGAGGTCATGGAGAGACTTGTAACAAACAGAGCTGCTTTAAAGTCTGTTCTCTGAGCCACAGGTGCAGAGACCTGAGGACTGGACTAATGTGATGGTACTTCATGGTTCTAGTCTGGTCTGTAAGAGAGAGGGTTTCTTGTTCTGAAGACATTTAAATTCAGGTCCAAAGTGTGGTCTTAAAACTGAAACTGAATCATCCTGACAGTGTCTGGGTCATTACTAATCTGCTATTTATCTGCTCACTCCACTTTCTGCTGAAATTGACTTTGAGACGGAAAAGAAAAATCGCAAAAACACAAAAATACATCTTGCTAGAATGAAATTGAATTATTAAAATGGTGAAATGCATGAAACCAAATACAAAACAACCTGGACCTGTGTGTTTATGTCTTGTTTTAATAGTAACAAAGTTTTAATAGTATAAAATAAAAAACTCCCTGGCAGCTTTAGTACTACTCATAATTATTATTATTCTTTATTATTATTAGTATTGATAATAGCATTATTATGAATGATTGTTCTTCTATACTCATGTTTATAATTTTTTTAAGAGATGAGATGTCTATAAACTGTGCTATACAAAAAAACGTGCTTTGATTGTGTGATATGTATTTACGGGGCCAACCAAGTTATGTCGTTACCAATTCTATGTATCCAACAGGTACCACAGCTAAATGTAAGGAGTTATTATTGTTTTCTTATGTTTAAAAAATTAAGGTAATATTGGTGATTAAGCTAAACTAGCTTCTTTACATTTGTTGTCGTTTTTAAACCTTCTAAGCCTTAGGTACCACTGCTATATTGTTATTCATATATTGTCAATGTTCTGCTCAGTGCTTTGCTTATTAATGAAAAATGTCTGTAATATCTGTTGCTATGGGGTCTCCGTGTCAGCGTCCAATGGAAAAGTGAAAGCAGAAGGCTAAACGCTAATCCTTATTTCTCAGTGAAATAGGATTAAAATAGCCTCGTATTGTTTGTCATTAACACTGATGCCTTATACGGGAGACCATCTAACTCCTGTATAATATATCAGCCATTTACTGTCCTTCAAAAGATAGTAAATCAATCTGGGAGCCAAGACACGAAAACACACTCTATACACTCTGATTTCACTTAAACTTTCATCTGACGGAGGAGAAATTTAGCGTTTTTATACAATTAAGTAAGATGGCTTCTTATCTTATCGACAGAATGGGGAGAAACATAGCACTAGCAAGACGTTTCAAGCTAGTAATGCGTATGTGTGTCATAATATAACAAAAAACAAGCTATTATGAATAAGTTTGTTTGGATTTTAATTAGATTCTTTATACAACTATATTTCAAGTCTTATTTTAAAGGTATAGATGAGGATTTTCCCACATTTTAGCAAAGAACCGACCTCTCTACTTTTCGAACAAATCTCTCTGATCTTATTTGACGAGCACGTATCGGCAGAATGATTGACAACTGGGAGGACCAATAGTCTTGATGATCCACCCGGAAGTAGAAAATCCTCTTATATACCTTTAAGTAATCATAGCACGATAATAGGTTGATAGCTAAGTAAGACTAGCTAACCTTTTTTAGCATCTGTACAGGCTTGTGGTGGATCTTTCCCTTGACTCTTAAAAGGGTTAAAAATGAATAAGTTAATATGAATTTTAATTTGATTCTTTTAAAAACATTTTTACAAGTCTTATTTTAAGTAATCACAGCACGGTAATAGGTTTTTAGCATCTATACAGACTCATGGTGGATATTTCCCTTAATGGTTAAAATGGTGCTTCGGTTAGCTCTACTCTAAACATGGCTAATAAGTTAATAACAATTTTAGTCTGACTCTTTTAACCAATAATTTTCTAGCTTTTTTTTAAAGTAATAATATGGTAGTGTTAGCTAAGTAAGACAAGCTAACACTAATTAGCATCTGTACAGACTCGCGGTGGATATTTTCCTTGACTCTTAAAATGGTGCTTCCGTTAGCGCTACTCTGTAAACATGGCTAACACACTCCTCCATCGGCCTAAAACAGTCTCTCTTGGATATATGGAGTAATAAATCGTAGCGGACATTTTGTTGTTTGGTCACGTCGTTAGTGGGTCATTCAAACTACATGATTTCCCATTTAAATGAACAAGCAGCGGTCCTGGGACCTTAGAAAGTGACGTTGAAATCTATTTTGAGGAGAGTGCGACTGTGCTATTCACAGCGCTGCTTCCAGAGAGACCCAATATTCCATGTCACCTATAGATTCGTATTAATAGTGTCATAGATTTAAACAACTTCAGGCCTAACTTGCTTCAAAGTAACTATAGCCCCGTTTCCACCAGCCCTACTTCTCCCTACTCTACTGCACTCCACTTATACTTGGCCCTAGCCTACTCTGTTATACCCTACTCTACTCTACTCTACTTTACTCTACCTGACTCTACTCTACACTACCCGACTCTACCCTACCCTACTCTCTTCAACTCTACCCTGGTCTACTCAACTCTGCTCTACCCTACCCTACTCTTTCATACCCCACTCTACCCTACCCTACTTTACTCTACCGTACTCTACTGGACTCTACGCTTGTCAGCTCTACTCTACTCTACCCTACTCTACCCTATCCTACTCTACCATACCCTACTTTACTCTACCGTACTCTACTGGACTCTACCCTTGTCAGCTCTACTCTACTCTACTCTACTCTACTCTACTCTACTCTACTCTACCCTACTCTACCCTATCCTACTCTACCATACCCTACTTTACTCTACTGTACTCTACTGGACTCTACCCTTGTCAGCTCTACTCTACCCTACTTTACCCTATCCTACTCTACCATACCCTACTCTATTCTACTCGACTCTACCCTAGCCAACTCTACTCTACTTTACTCTATCCTACTCTACTCTACCTTAGCCTACTCCACCCTAACCTACCCTACTCTACTCCACCCTCCCCTCCCCTACCCTACTCTACCCTACCCTACCCTACTCTACTCTAACCTACCTGGCCAATCACTGTCAGTTTGAACACTTTAGTATCAGCTCGGCCTGGATAGAACCAGGACCATGAGGGACTAAAGAAGTACCTGGTATCGGTTAAACAGGGCCGATGGAAGCGCTCCCAATTAGGGTTGAGTAGAGCCGATGGGAGTAGAGTAGAGTAGGGCCAAGTAGGGCTAGTGGAAACAGGGCTAAACATGCTATTACCATGCTATCAGAATACAGGGCTTTTTATTGGTCGGATAGAGTCACTGGGTTCTGGACAGTAGTTCGTCCAACCTTACGACCAATTTAGAAGTAGATACTTCGGGATCTTTGGCGAGGGGCGAGAATGACAAACGAGGTGGGCATAAATAATCTCAATAGAATCTTCTAGAAGTCCAAATAGAAAGCCATAATATGAATACATTCAGTAATAGTACATATAAGTATATAAATGTTTTCCTATGGTTCTCTCCTGTCTGATTGACCGGGATAATGAAGCCACTTACAAATGTTGATAACTGGTTTGAGATGCTTTTTCTCTCAGCTCTGGTATAACAGATAGAACATGCTAGATTTTACAGGAAAAACAATGAAAAACAAACAATTGAATATGTATTTTTAGTCCAAAGTATGGTTATTCACAAGTATTGGCTATTAGTATAGAGCCAATATGAATCAGACAGAATATAATAACTACTTTACAAACACAATTGAATTGATTTTGTGAATGAAACAAGAAGGTTTTGGGTGTTATCTCTGAGAAAAGTACTCGTTTTTAGTTATATAGTAAGTGCCCCTACTTTTCCCGCCTTTTTACCATCATTCATTGACAACACAATATGTAACTTCTCAAAACACATTATTAACAGCATGTCTGGTCTTTGCTATAGATTTATTCATGCTAGCATCTGTTGCTCTATTTGGATACTTATTTAACAGCCTGTGAGCACTTCTAGCTTATCTTTCTTTCAATAAACATTTGGGTTAAGTTATATTTTCAAAGATCTTCCCTCGCCACAGACTTGCCTGTAATGTGAGCTGGTGCTGTCATAAAGCAAAAGTTAACCTGTGATTCATTACTCCGGAAATGTCTTCAGTCTCCACTTGGTCCCGCCTTTTTAGGACAAAGTCTCACTCAAAGTCATATGTTAAATGTACGTTAATTATTGGTTCTAGCTATTTGGCAACATTAAAAAGCTTTTGATCAGAATCTACTGCTGGCAAGTTTGAAGTTCCATTAAAAAAATTCCATTGAAGCTGCTAAACTTCAAAGGGCAGGTGTCACTACGATACAGGATAATAAATAAATCATGTAGCCATAATTATCATATGTCTGAAAGTCCTGTCTATGGCCAACATCATGCGTTTGTTTTATCTAAAATTGTCACCACTTTTAGACACCTTTATGAAAAAACTTTATGGGAAAACTTTGAGACAATTTTTTGTGTGTATGTGCTAGCTGCAGCCGAACTTTAGCCCCGCCTACATTAAATTAATTGCAAGGATTGGTCTAAGAATGACAGAGAAATATACAGTATCTCTAACTCAGGGGAGCCCAAACTTTCTCATTAATAAGTCCACTGACATGTACACGGTGATTCATATTTGACAGAACTGAAGTTGGCTGAATGATAATTAGCTACAGATGTGCCGTGATCAGAAATAGTCATTTGGAGCTTTACAAAGAAGAATATCAATGAGGTGGATATGAAACTAGCTTGTAGTCTATGATCGCTATGGCTGATTGTGTGTTAGCAAAGCAGAAGGCCATTGATAATGACACGGTGGGCCGCAATTGTCCCCCGGGCCATAGTTTGGACAGGCCTGCTCTAAACTAAAACAGAAAAAAATCTGTCACTTACACCAGTTACTGGGAAATATTCTTCAGCTGTTCTCTCCTATAGGCCTTTGGGAATGTTGTGATGTCACATGAATGCACTCTATAGCGGTTTTAGATCAATATAGGACAAAATGTGATAAAAATCGGTGTGTGGGCAACGCTAGCTGTGTACAGTGAGCGTTAAACATGGTAGAAATCCAACGGCCAGAGAACGCTATTGGCTTTGTTTTCATTTTATTTGGGTCAGAGTAATCCTGGGGGTCTTTGTGTGAACAGACACAGGGGATTGGAAAGCTGTGTAAACATTTGTGCTGTAGCAACTGATCGGCAGCCCCCCAGTACAGTGAATAAATAGAAACGCAATAATTGTCATCTGAGACGCGTCTGAAAAGCCTGGAGTCATCATAGTGAAATAGGTGTTTGAACTGCCTCCTTAAATACACAGGAGTGCGGTGGTCAGACATGCTGAGGCCATTTTCTTTTGTCTTGTTTGGCTTTAGCTTTACAGAATAGAATTGTTCAAATTGAGTAGTTCGGATGTAATGTCATTGAAGTATCATCAGATCTCAATATATACAGGGATAGAAGCTAAAGTCTACCAAACCAATTGAATAGATAGACAGATCGGTAGCTAGGTCGTTAGATAGATAGATACTGTAGGTAGATGGATAGATGGATAGATGGTATATAGGTAGGTAGATACTGTAGATAGATAGATAGGTCGTTAGATAGATGGATGGATGGATGGATGGATGGATGGATGGATGGATGGATGGATGGATGGATGGATGGATGGATAGGTCGTTAGATAGGTCATTAGATAGGTCGTTAGATAGATGGATAGGTCGTTAGATAGATAGATGGATAGGTCGTTAGATAGATAGATGGATAGGTCGTTAGATAGATAGATGGATAGGTCGTTGGATAGATAGATGGATAGGTCGTTGGATAGATAGATAGATGGATAGGTCGATGGATGGATAGATAGATGGATAGGTCGATGGATGGATAGATAGATGGATAGGTCGATGGATGGATAGATAGATGGATAGGTCGATGGATGGATAGATAGATGGATAGGTCGATGGATGGATAGATAGATGGATAGGTCGATGGATGGATAGATAGATGGATAGGTCGATGGATGGATAGATAGATGGATAGGTCGATGGATGGATAGATAGATGGATAGGTCGATGGATAGATAGATAGATAGATGGATAGGTCGTTAGATAGATGGATAGGTCGTTAGATAGATGGATAGATAGATGGATAGGTCGTTAGATAGATGGATAGATAGATGGATAGGTCGTTAGATAGATAGATTGATAGATGGGTAGCTAGGTTGATAGATAGATGGGTAGATCGATGGGTAGCTAGGTTGATAGATAGATGGGTAGATCGATGGATGGATAGGTAGGTGGGTGGATGGATAGGTGGATGGATGGATAGGTAGGTGGGTGGAGAGGTAGATAGATAGACAGCACATTGTGGAACGATCTCACAGGTTTTCTTTTTATGGTACACAAACAATTGGAAACCCCAACTTTCAATCAACCTGAAAAAGACCACCACCGAAAGCACACATTCAACAATCCAAGGAGTACTTTAGCTGCATGTTGCTGCCGCCGCTGTAGTGGTTATAGTACTAGTAGTAGTTGCAGTTGTAGTAGTAGTAGTAGTAGCAGTAGCTGTAGCTGTAGCCGTAGCCGTAGACGTATAGACAGAACCAGAGCTGGAGAAAATTCAACCTCAATCCTTGTGAATCTTGTGCTGTTTCTCCATAACCTTTGAAACCACACAGTGTCCCATATATTTGTAGTATGTTGTTGAGGAGTATTCCACCTCGGAGACTATCACTTCAACCACTACTACAAGTGCGGGTGAGACTGCGCAGGTAATGCACTCTTCCAGGGCACAGAGGACAGCTGCTAAACACTAAGCTACCGTGCATTGCCTTCCATGTGCGCATGCTTAAGTACATCTGATGTGTGCATTCGACAACACAAAATACACACCTGAGCTATTCCTGCAGTACTTTAGTCCATACTCTAGCATCAGGTGAGTATGATCTGCATGTGATTTCTAGTGTATTGTAGATTCCAGTTCACCATTAAGAACAAAACCGTACCATTTATAAGATCACTGTAGTGCTATTTTAAAGGGATATATGAGGATGTACCCAAATGTTAGGAAAGAACGACCTTCTCCACTTTTTGAACACAACTCTCTGGTCTTATTTGGTCTTGATGATCCACCCGGAAGTAGAAAATCCTCCTATATACCTTTAAACCATGAGATGCATGTAGACATCTGCTGTTAAGGACCACTAGGAAGCAGCAGGTAAATTACATACTAAGTGGTTGTTCTTTTTGCTGTAGTAAAAGTAGTAGTAGATTGATTGATTTTAGTGTAATCAAGTCAGAGTTTTCAACAATCATTTCCACTCATGCAACTGTGTCTAATAAGTCTGCCTTCATACATACGCCCTTAACCAACGGTAAAATGAATGTTGTCTAATTGCTTTTGCTTGGTCTTGGTCTAGTCTGGACTGGGCACCAGGAAAGTGCGGAAGAAGGTCAAGGTGGATACTTCCAAGTTCATGACTCCGTACCTGGCCCACAGCCAGAAGATGCTGGATCAGTACAGTCACGTAAGAGACATCACTCCTGCTTCACGGCCTCCAAAGACACTTATTGTACATGCACGTCCTCTCTGCGCATGACGGTACAGGGTTTGCCTTTGCTAGAGGAGACTATAGGGGATTCTCTCTGTAGGAACCTGAATCAGTTATGGTTTTATTCCTGGCTTCGGTCCACGCCTCGTCCCTTTCACCTTGTGGTTCCTGTAGTAAAAATCCCTGTTCCTTTTCTCCATAGAGATACAACATATATGTGTGCTACCATTCAGGGTTAACCACACACAGCTGTTTAGTAAGAGAACCACTTTTAGAAGAAGAAGAAGGTCCTTTATTCGTCCCACAATGGGGAAATTTCAGTTTGATGCATACACATACACACATATACTGTACATACACACATATACTGTACATACACACATATACTGTACATACACACATACACATATACTGTACATACACACATATACTGTACATACACACATATACTGTACATACACACATACACATATACTGTACATACACACATATACTGTACATACACACATATACTGTACATACACACATATACTGTACATACACACATACACATATACTGTACATACACACATATACTGTACATACACACATATACTGTACATACACACATACACATATACTGTACATACACACATACACATATACTGTACATACACACATACACATATACTGTACATACACACATGTACTGTACATACACACATACACACATGAAGGCAAGCAGCAAACATCACTTCCACGCTCCTTATAGGCAAAGTGGGTTAAGCGTCTTGCCAAAGGACACAACGACAGGACAGATCAGTGGGAGTCGGTGGAGAAGGTCTCGTGGTGGGCTCGAACCCATGACCTTTGGGCTCGATGGCCAATGCTCTACCAACTGAGCCACTGTCGCCCCAGTCAGTCATCACTAATACTTTCTCCTTATTAGATATAGATAGATTACACAGAATGCAACCTTTATGAAAGCTGCAGGTTCTCTGTCAGGTTCTCTGTCAGCTGAGGTCTGGCTGTTTTAGTTTACATTGAGGTCTATGGAAGGTTTCAAATAAGGCCGCACATCCCTGTAGTACTACTGGACTAGTGTGGTGGATTAAAAAAGTGCAAAAAAATGAAACCCTGAAAAAAATCCGCACAGCTTTTTGGTTTCAGCTGAGGCCCTTCATCAGACATGAACTCCAGACACACTTGGCTGCAATTTTAAAGTCCTCGACACGGGAGCAAAATCTGTCACGTGACTGATACCATATACAAAATACATTATAAGTAATAATACTGTATATACAAAATATACACATATATGAACACACAAGTATACATCCACATACACATGGGGCGGCACGGTGGCTGAGTGGATAGCACTCTCGCCTCTCAGCAAGAAGGTCCTGGGTTCGAATCCCGGCCGGACCAGGGCCTTTCTGAGTGGAGTTTGCATGTTCTCCCCGTGTCTGCGTAGGTTTCCTCCGGGTCCTCCGGTTTCCCCTACCACTAAAAACATGCACAATAGGTCTGGCATGCGCCTCCTGTACTGGCAACCCCGCTCCCATCTCTGTGTGGAGTGAGTGGACCAATGCCCAAAAATAATAACAATTGTAAACCGCTTTGTGACTCTGGTCTGTGAAAGGCGGTATATAAATAAAGATTACTTACTTACTTACAAACACATTTACAAAAACATGCATGTATTTAAATATATACACACACATGCATACATTTACTAATAATGAATATCATAAGGGTCGACCCATCATAAAGTTCAATATACGTGTGTGTCTCGGACTGTTTCTCTTAAGTGCAGTACCACGGGCGCCCTCTGTTCTTATTGGTGGGACAGCTTTAAGCTAGTTATACTCTATCCAGATGTTATTATAGATCCAGTAGAACCACGGACATACATATGCTCATCCTCTTCCTCTTCCTCTGAGTGCAGTAGTGATGATGTTGTGTAGTGACTCCTCTAATGCTCTCTCTGCTCTGGGCCGACAGAACAAGTACAGACATGCGTATGATGTGTCTAGAGGAACTCCGCCCGCTGTCACCACGGACTCGCCTGAGATGATCCGCATCAGGAAGGCCCAGGCGCAGCTCAGCGAGGTATCTGTTCTAGCCCATGGGTAAAGCATGGGAACGGAAACACTATTTTAATAACATTTAATTATGTGTCACAGGACGCTCTAACATTTATCAACATGGACCAATCCTATGGACCAATACATCTGCGTTTTATATTTGTTGTGTGTTAACTGTGATTTCAACGGTTTTGTTAAGTCCTCTGAGATAACTGCTGTTAAGATTTAAGGATATAAAAACATTATACAATGATAACAATCAGATGTCCATAAATGTCACACACACATTTTTAATCCACATTTTTCTTCTGCATGAAAACAAAGGTTGTATTATAGTATAGATTTTTTTACCCGCACCAAAACAAGCATTTGTGATAGTTTAGAAACAGGAGACAGGTTGTGATCACCAGTTTGTGATAAGAAACGAAACATATCGTCACCTTCACCAACCAAAATATTCTATGTCATTTTGAGTTTACAATCTCACACTCATGGCTCCCAGCAAAACTGAAAACCCTCTGTCCTCTGTAGCTTCTCTACTCAGGGGGGAATAAAAAGACAGACTTTGCTTTTCAGACGATACATTTCATAAAACCACAAAAACTAATAAAAGTAGAAGTTCATTTTCTTTGGTCATTACGAACTCTGAAATCTTATGTCACATGTTGATTTTTTTTTTTAAAGGGAATATTCAAAACAAATCCTTCATCTATACTTCAGTTGGCAGGTCTTCCCAATGTTTCGTTCTTAATCCAAAGAACTTTCTCAAGGGAATGAAAGCTCAAGCATGAGTTGGAGATGTATGACACTGACATGTTAATGAGTTAGGATCGTTAGACCTGACAGGACCGTTAGACCCCACAGGATTGTTAGACCTGACAGGACCGTTAGACCTGACAGGATCGTTAGACCTCACAGGACCGTTAGACCTGACAGGACCGTTAGACCTGACAGGATCGTTAGACCTGACAGGATCGTTAGACCTGACAGGACCGTTAGACCTGACAGGATTGTTAGACCTGACAGGACCGTTAGACCTGACAGGATCGTTAGACCTCACAGGACTGTTAGACCTGACAGGATCGTTAGACCTGACAGGACCGTTAGACCTGACAGGATTGTTAGACCTGACAGGACCGTTAGACCTGACAGGACCGTTAGACCTGACAGGATCGTTAGACCTGCTCCCTACCACATCTCAGCAGACTTTAGATGTCTGAATTAGCTTCACTCCCACAGGTTATAATCTCATGGATGAGCAACCTTTCCTCTGTTTTTTATTCAGAACACAGCTACTACTCTTTCCAAAGTAACGGAATACTACACATGTACACTCATGTATTCAGTATTCTGGAATGGAAGACATTTTAAAAGTATTCTACCCAACACTGGTAAAAGTAATGTGTAATAGTGATAAAAGAGAATACACAGACAGATATTCCTTTGGCAGATTCTGTGTTATGTCGTTTTTAAAAAGCTAAAGCTGAGTTTTGTGGCAGGTCAAATACCGGATGGAGGGAAACAAGGTTCGGACAACGAGTTTGTACGACGGTGAAGCTCGAGAGGTCGCCCACGTGAAGCGCGTCTCCGAGCTCATCAGCAAGGTAAGGCTGATGCTAATGCTAATGCTAATGACTGAAGACAAGATACACTTAATTGATCTCACAATGGAGAAATGCACATGTCACTTTTGGCATTGAACCACTCAGATTATGCAAAAAGACAGGAATTGTGCGACATGTGAAAAAGGTTGAAATATAGTCTTTTTTGTGCAAGATTTATTATGTACACTAAAAAACTGAAAAAGTGACAATAGCAGTGCAATTAAAGACTAAAAATCAGTCTTTTTTGCATGCAGTCAAAAAATACTGAGAATATACTTTTTATACACACACTTTCATACACAGTCCATGTACAACCATTAAATATATATATAATAATATGTCAGCCATACTGTACTTGTTGATTTAATACAATTAATGTTGTGTTTCTCTGTGTGTGTGTGTGTGTGTGTATGTGTGTGCGTGTGTGTGCGTGTAGGTCTTGTACAGGCAGAAGTGGGACGAGACCAAGGACCGGTACCTGCTGCCTCCCGATGCCCCTGAACTGGTTCTGGCCGTAAAGAACGCTGCTAACTACAGCAAAGTAAGTCACCCATTTTAATCTAGGACTGAGGCTGTAGACCCAGGACTGAGGCTGTAGATCCAGGACTGAGGCTGTAGATCCAGAACTGAGGCTGTAGATCCAGGACTGAGGCTGTAGATCCAGGACTGAGGCTGTAGATCCAGGACTGAGGCTGTAGACCCAGGACTGAGGCTGTAGACCCAGGACTCAGGCTGTAGACCCAGGACTGAGGCTGTAGACCCAGGACTCAGGCTGTAGACCCAGGACTGAGGCTGTAGATCCAGGACTGAGGCTGTAGACCCAGGACCGAAGCTGTAGACCCAGGACTGAGGCTGTAGATCCAGGACTGAGGCTGTAGACCCAGGACTCAGGCTGTAGACCCAGGACTGAGGCTGTAGATCCAGGACTGAGGCTGTAGACCCAGGACTGACGTTGTAGATCCAGGACTGAGGCTGTAGATCCAGGACCGAAGCTGTAGACCGAGGACTGAGGCTGTAGATCCAGGACTGAGGCTGTAGACCCAGGACTGAGGCTGTAGATCCAGGACTGAGGCTGTAGACCCAGGACCGAAGCTGTAGACCCAGGACCGAGGCTGTAGATCCAGGACCGAGGCTGAAGACCCAGGACCGAGGCTGTAGACCCAGGACTGAGGCTGTAGACCCAGGACTGAGGCTGTAGATCCAGGACTGAGGCTATAGACCCAGGACTGAGGCTGTAGACCCAGGACTGAGGCTGTAGACCCAGGACTGAGGCTGTAGACCCAGGACTGAGGCTGTAGATCCAGGACTGAGGCTGTAGACCCAGGACCGAAGCTGTAGACCCAGGACCGAGGCTGTAGATCCAGGACCGAGGCTGAAGACCCAGGACCGAGGCTGTAGACCCAGGACTGAGGCTGTAGACCCAGGACTGAGGCTGTAGACCCAGGACTGAGGCTGTAGACCCAGGACTGAGGCTGTAGACCCAGGACTGATATTTCATTCATTTCTCTCCTTCTCAGAAACTGTACGCTGAGGACTGGAACGAAGAGAAGACCATGTTCTACCCGTACAGTGACAGCCCCGAGCTCCGCAGAGTGGCCAAGGCCCAGGAGGTCCTCAGCGACGTGAGTAAAGGGCCTCCACACATTTTGTATTTATCTGTTCATTGTCCAAACTACAAATTAGTATATCAAATGTAGTTGTTCTTTAAGGCTCACACACCAATGCTATAATCAATACTTTACAGAGTAATATGAGTGACAATAACTAGTTCTTTTATCTCATATTGTTGATTCTATGCAATTTATCATTTGTATGTAAGGCTTTGGTCTATCTCTGGTCTCTCTCCGGTCTCTCTCTGGTCTCTCTCTGGTCTCTCTCTGGTTTCTCTCTGGTCTCACTCTGACCTCTCTCTTGTCTCTCTGGTCTCTCTGGTCTCTTTCTGGTCTCTCTCTCTCTTTCTCTGGTCTCTCTCTGGTCTCTCTCAGGTCTCTCTCTTCTCTCTCTCTGGTCTCTCTCTGGTCTCTCATTCTCTCTCTGGTCTCTCTCTGGTCTCCCTCTTGTCTTTCTCTGGTCTCTCTCTGGCCTCTCTCTGGTCTCTCTCTGGTCTCTATCTCTGGTCTCTCTCTGGCCTCTCTCTGGTCTCTATCTCTGGTCTCTCTCTGGCCTCTCTCTGGTCTCTCTCTGGTCTCTCTCTGGCCTCTCTCTGGTCTCTCTCTGGTCTCTCTCTGGTCTCTCTCTGGTCTCTCTGGTCTCTCTCTGGCCTCTCTCTGGTCTCTCTCTGGTCTCCCTCTGGTCTCTCTCTTTGGTCTCTCTCTGGTCTCTCTCTCTCTGGCCTCTCTCTCTCTGCCCTCTCTCTGGTCTCTCTCTGGTCTCTCTCTGGCCTCTCTCTGGTCTCTCTCTCTGGTCTCTCTCTGGTCTCTCTCTAGCCTCTCTCTGGTCTCTCTCTGGTCTCTCTCTGGTCTCTCTCTCTCTCTGGTCTCCCTCTGGTCTCTCTCTGGTCTCTCTCTGGTCTCTCTCTGGTCTCTTTCTGGTCTCTCTGGTCTCTCTCTGGTCTCTCTCTGGTCTCTCTCTTGCCTCTCTCTGGTCTCTCTCTGGTCTCTCATTCTCTCTCTGGCCTCTCTCTGGTCTCTCTCTTGTCTTTCTCTGGTCTCTCTCTGGCCTCTCTCTGGCCTCTCTCTGGTCTCTCTCTGGTCTCTCTCTGGTCTCTCTCTGGTCTCTCTCTGGTCTCTCTCTGGTCTCTCTCTGGTCTCTCTCTGGTCTCTCTCTGGTCTCTCTCTGGCCTCTCTCTGGTCTCTCTCTGGTCTCTCTCTGGTCTCTCTCTGGTCTCTCTCTGGTCTCTCTCTGGTCTCTCTCTGGTCTCTCTCTGGTCTCTCTCTGGTCTCTCTCTTGCCTCTCTCTGGTCTCTCTCTGGTCTCTCTCTGGTCTCTCTCTGGCCTCTCTGGTCTCTCTCTGGTCTCTCTCTCTCTGGTCTCTCTCTCTAGCCTCTCTTTGCTCTCTCTCTGGCCTCTCTTTCACAATTATTTACTCATTCACCCTGATTCTTGGCCACACCAGTCTCCACAGTCCACTGGTCCATGCTGACGCCTCAGATGTGGCCACTTCCATTCAAAGCAGTTATCCCGTCTCAGATGAACCACACATTACATTTCTGCTGATTCCAGACACAGAAAGAGGATGGATTAGGTTCAGGTTTCAGCAGCTATTATCCAGCTCTTAATAACCGTAGTAAATGTGAAATCTTTCCCGTAGGTCCTTTATAAGAAGGGTCACGATCAACGCAAGGCCAAGTACACCTCGCTCGCCGACCCTCCTGAAATGGAACTGGCCAGAAAGGCGGCGGACCAACGCAGTGATGTAAGAAAAGAATGTTTCTGTAATAATACCACCAATGTTAATGTACTAGTGCTGTTATGTATTAAAAATAATCTACTTTTTGATTATTATTCTTGTCTCTCTCTGGTCTATCTCTGGTCTCTCTCTGGTCTCTCCCTGGTCTCTCTCTGGTCTCTCCCTGGTCTCTCTCTGGTCTCTCTCTGGTCTCTCTCTGGCCTCTCTCTGGTCTCTCTCTAGTCTCTCTGGTCTCTCTCTGGTCTCTCTCTCTAGTCTCTCTCTCTAGTCTCTCTGGTCTCTCTCTGGTCTCTCTCTCTAGTCTCTCTCTGGCCTCTCTCTGGTCTCTCTCTCTCCGGTCTCTCTCCGGTCTCTCTCTGGCCTCTCTCTGGTCTCTCTCTGGTCTCTCTCTGGTCTCTCTCTGGTCTCTCTCTGGTCTCTCTCTGGCCTCTCTCTCTCCGGTCTCTCTCTGGTCTCTCTCTGGCCTCTCTCTCTCTATGGTCTCTCTCTGGTCTCTCTCTAGTCTCTCTCTAGTCTCTCTCTGGCCTCTCTCTCTCCGGTCTCTCCCTGGTCTCTCTCTAGTCTCTCTCTGGCCTCTCTCTCTCCGGTCTCTCCCTGGTCTCTCTCTAGTCTCTCTCTGGCCTCTCTCTGGCCTCTCTCTCTCCGGTCTTTCCCTGGTCTCTCTCTAGTCTCTCTCTAGTCTCTCTCTGGCCTCTCTCTCTCCGGTCTTTCCCTGGTCTCTCTCTAGTCTCTCTCTAGTCTCTCTCTGGCCTCTCTCTCTCCGGTCTCTCCCTGGTCTCTCTCTAGTCTCTCTCTAGTCTCTCTCTGGCCTCTCTCTGGCCTCTCTCTCTATGGTCTCTCTCTGGTCTCTCTCGGGTCTCTCTCTAGTCTCTCTCTGGCCTCTCTCTCTCCGGTCTCTCCCTGGTCTCTCTTTAGTCTCTCTCTGGCCTCTCTCTCTCCGGTCTCTCCCTGCTCTCTCTCTAGTCTCTCTTTAGTCTCTCTCTAGTCTCTCTTTAGTCTCTCTCTGGCCTCTCTCTGGCCTCTCTCTCTATGGTCTCTCTCTGGTCTCTCTCGGGTCTCTCTCTGGTCTCTCTCTCTAGTCTCTCTCTAGTCTCTCTCTGGCCTCTCTCTCTCTCCGGTCTCTCCCTGGTCTCTCTCTAGTCTCTCTCTAGTCTCTCTCTGGTCTCTCTCTGGCCTCTCTCTCTATGGTCTCTCCCTGGTCTCTCCCTGGTCTCTCTCTGGTCTTGTTGTGATTTCAAGTGAAAGAAGGACTCAACCTGTGCGTGACTCCAAATAGATTGTGATTTAATTGAATTAAACCAAATCTAGGATTAAAATCAAACACAAAAAGACGTGTGTTTGTGCCTCATACACAAACACAAAAATTAGTAATCTTTTCAGTTTTAAATACAAAAAGAAGAAGCTGATATATATTTTTTAAATCTCACCATGTTCGATATCTAATGTTATATTTTCAGCAAAACACATTATTCACATTCTGAATGATGACATTGCTGAATTAGAATTATGATTTTGTTCAACGGTCAAAACAATCATCAACAATTCTGAATATTCCTTTTCATTGTGGCTTCTGTGGAAACACTGTGACGTGAAACCAGGGGAAAACCAAAGCACCAGCTGCTCCTGCAACACAACTGTCTCACAAAACCCAACACGCTAACAATAGCATCTGTAGCTATTCCCAGGAACATACACAGACAGACAGACACACACACAGACAGAGATACACACAGAGACAGACAGAGACACACACACAGACAGAGACAGACACACACAGAGACAGACACACACACAGAGACAGACACACACACACAGAGACAGAGACACAAACACACACAGAGAAACACAGAGACACACACAGACAGACACACACACACACACAGACAGACAGACACACACACAGACAGACACACACAGACACACACAGAGACAGACAGACACACACACAGACAGACACACACAGACACACACAGAGACAGAGACAGACACACACACACAGAGACACACAGACAGACAGACAGACAGACACACACAGACAGAGACACACACACACACACACAGAGAAACACACAGAGACACACACACACACAGACAGAGACACACACACAAACACACACACACAGACACACACACACAGAGACACACACACACACACACAGATACGGAGACACACACACAGACAGACACACACACAGAAATACAAACACAGAAACACACACACAGAAACACACACACAGATACAGAGATAAAATAAGGAAGGAGAACTGAAAAATAAATCTTGTTTTAAGAAAGTCAAAATATACTAAAATTAAAATGTATAAAAAAGACTTGATTTAAGCATTTTTCACCTTATATTTTGTCACTTTTTGCAGTGATGTATCAAAATAAATCTAGATCAACAAAATGGAACAAAGTGACTCAAACTGTCTCTGTCTGCGCAGCTCAAGTACAAGGAGGACTACAATAAGAACGTGAGGGGACAGTGGTGCGAGACGCCGTACTTCGACGTGGCCACCGCCCGAGTCGCCATGGAGAACCTCAGCCAGGTAAGTGCGTGGGGGTGGGGGTGTACCCGGAAGGAGAATTACCCAATGCTTTTGTATGGCGCCTTCTTTCCGCTCAAAAAACGTCTTTACAGGATGGTCCAAAAGTCGCTTTTGGCTCAGATGCTGTAAAGTTTTTTTTGTTTTGTTTGGGCCAGTCTAGTTTAGCCGCTGTGGACTTTTGAATGCACGCATGCGGTGGACTTTTGAATAGGGCTAGTGCTGGCTAACGCATGCGCAAACGTTTTTTTTTCTAGGGCCGGGACTTTAACGCGTTAATTAAGATGAATTAATTACACAAAAATTAGCGCTTTAAAAAAATTGACGCATTTTAATCGTCATCTCCCTTTTTGCACCGCGGAACGTTTCTCACTGGATGAGTTTCATACGGACCGATTGTACTGAAGCACGGCGCCACTTCCAGGCTTTTCTCCGCAAATCTAACCTGTCTCTGAACCTCCCAATGCCAGAAGTGACTCAGAGAAACACTGTTCTCACTGCTGTCTCTGTGCTAAGTGTCTAAAGTTTGTGTTTGGTGCTACACTCACGCTGCTGCAGCTGCACTTGCTTCGCTATGACTGGCCCCGTGGATGGGAAGTATATTTCTAAATATGGTACTTCTACACTTAATGGCAAAAATGCACTGGTCTGTTGGACTTGAACAAAAATAAACAATATTTTAATTAATTACAACACCTCCAATTAATTTGATAAATTTTTTTGAATCGAGTCCCAGCCCTAGTTTTTCCACATTCTCCTGCCCCGCGGCCATTTTGAAAAAGCCCACGGAAGGCAAAAGTGGTGGCACATTAGTTTCAACGGTGGAGATAGGCGTGACTACCTCCGCCGTTTACAGTCTATGGTTTCAACAGTGCATGATGGATTGGTGTTCTTACTGTCTTTTGCAGAAAAGATACACGCAGGACTTTGAGAACGAAAAAGACCAAATATACTTCATGCAAACCGACACGCCGCTCTACGACACGCAGAAGAAGTCTCGCATCACGGCCAGCGAGGTGAGGGCCTTTACCTTTCCCACGGATGGGAGCACACACACATACACAGAATATACTTTACAAGGAGAAGTTTATGATTGTCAATATCAGCAAGTTAAGTCCATTTAGAAAAGTGAGAAATGAGCAAATATGTTCAATTCAATTCAATGTACAGTATTTGTGTATTGGCCTCAATCAAAGCAGTGGTGGTTTCGGACTTGTCCATTCCTCAACAACAAATCAGAAAATTAAACTGTAGGAGCAGGAGGACCAATGTCTCATAAATGTTTGTAGATCCAGGACTGAGGCTGTAGACCCAGGGCTGAGGCTGTAGACCCAGGGCTGAGGCTGTAGACCCAGGACTGAGGCTGTAGATCCAGGACTGAGGCTGTAGACCCAGGACTGAGGCTGTAGACCCAGGACTGAGGCTGTAGACCCAGGACTGAGGCTGTAGATCCAGGACTGAGGCTGTAGACCCAGGGCTGAGGCTGTATATTCAGGACTGAGGCTGTAGACCCAGGACTGCGGCTGTATATTCAGGACTGAGGCTGTAGACCCAGGACTGAGGCTGTAGACCCAGGACTGAGGCTGTATATTCAGGACTGAGGCTGTAGACCCAGGACTGAGGCTGTAGACCCAGGACTGAGGCTGTATATTCAGGACTGAGGCTGTAGACACAGGACTGAGGCTGTAGACCCAGGACTGAGGCTGTAGATCCAGGACTGAGGCTGTAGACCCAGGACTGAGGCTGTAGACCCAGGACTGAGGCTGTAGACCCAGGACTGAGGCTGTAGACCCAGGACTGAGGCTGTAGATCCAGGACTGAGGCTGTAGACCCAGGACTCAGGCTGTAGATCCAGGACTGAGGCTGTAGACCCAGGACTGAGGCTGTAGACCCAGGACTGAGGCTGTAGATCCAGGACTGAGGCTGTAGATCCAGGACTGAGGCTGTAGATCCAGAACTGAGGCTGTAGACCCAGGACTGAGGCTGTAGATCCAGGACTGAGGCTGTAGACCCAGGACTGAGGCTGTAGACCCAGGACTGAGGCTGTAGACCCAGGACTGAGGCTGTAGATCCAGGACTGAGGCTGTAGATCCAGGACTGAGGCTGTAGACCCAGGACTGAGGCTGTAGACCCAGGACTGAGGCTGTAGATCCAGGACTGAGGCTGTAGACCCAGGACTGAGGCTGTAGATCCAGGACTGAGGCTGTAGACCCAGGACTGAGGCTGTAGACCCAGGACTGAGGCTGTAGACCCAGGACTGAGGCTGTAGACCCAGGACTGAGGCTGTAGATCCAGGACTGAGGCTGTAGACCCAGGACTGAGGCTGTAGACCCAGGACTGAGGCTGTAGACCCAGGACTGAGGCTGTATATTCAGGACTGAGGCTGTAGACCCAGGACTGAGGCTGTATACCCAGGACTGAGGCTGTATATCAGGACTGAGGCGAACACTGGCGTACCGGCTGAGGCTGTAGACCCAGGACTGAGGCTGTAGACCCAGGACTGAGGCTGTAGACCCAGGACTGAGGCTGTAGACCAGATAGGACTGAGGTGTAGACCCAGGACTGAGGCTGTAGACCCAGGACTGAGGCTGTAGACCCAGGACTGAGGCTGTAGACCCAGGACTGAGGCTGTAGACCAGGACTGAGTGTAGACCCAGGACTGAGGCTGTAGACCCAGGACTGAGGCTGTAGACCCAGGACTGAGGCTGTAGACCCAGGACTGAGGCTGTAGACCCAGGACTGAGGCTGTAGACCCAGGACTGAGGCTGTAGACCCAGGACTGAGGCTGTAGACCAGGACTGAGGCTGTAGACCCAGGACTGAGGCTGTAGACCCAGGACTGAGGCTGTAGACCCAGGACTGAGGCTGTAGACCCAGGACTGAGGCTGTAGACCCAGGACTGAGGCTGTAGACCCAGGACTGAGGCTGTAGACCCAGACTGAGGCTGTAGACCCAGGACTGAGGCTGTAGACCCAGGACTGAGGCTGTAGACAGGACTGAGGCTGTAGACCCAGGACTGAGGCTGTATATTCAGGACTGAGGCTGTATATTCAGGACTGAGGCTGTAGACCCAGGACTGCGGCTGTAGACCCAGGACTAAGGCTGTAGACCCAGGACTGAGGCTGTAGACCCAGGACTGACGTTGTAGACCCAGGACGGCTGAGGCTGTAGACCCAGGACTGAGGCTGTAGATCCAGGACTGAGGCTGTAGATCCAGGACTGAGGCTGTAGACCCAGGACTGAGGCTGTAGACCCAGGACTGAGGCTGTAGACCCAGACTGAGGCTGTAGACCCAGGACTCAGGCTGTAGATCCAGGACTGAGGCTGTAGACCCAAGACTGAGGCTGTAGACCCAGGACTGAGGCTGTAGACCCAGGACTGAGGCTGTAGATCCAGGACTGAGGCTGTAGATCCAGGACTGAGGCTGTAGATCCAGGACTGAGGCTGTAGATCCAGGACTGAGGCTGTAGACCCAGGACTGAGGCTGTAGACCCAGGACTGAGGCTGTAGATCCAGGACTGAGGCTGTAGACCCAGGACTCAGGCTGTAGATCCAGGACTGAGGCTGTAGACCCAGGACTGAGGCTGTAGACCCAGGACTGAGGCTGTAGACCCAGGACTGAGGCTGTAGATCCAGGACTGAGGCTGTAGATCCAGGACTGAGGCTGTAGATCCAGAACTGAGGCTGTAGACCCAGGACTGAGGCTGTAGATCCAGGACTGAGGCTGTAGACCCAGGACTGAGGCTGTAGACCCAGGACTGAGGCTGTAGACCCAGGACTGAGGCTGTAGATCCAGGACTGAGGCTGTAGATCCAGGACTGAGGCTGTAGACCCAGGACTGAGGCTGTAGACCCAGGACTGAGGCTGTAGACCCAGGACTGAGGCTGTAGACCCAGGACTGAGGCTGTAGACCCAGGACTGAGGCTGTAGACCCAGGACTGAGGCTGTAGATCCAGGACTGAGGCTGTAGACCCAGGACTGAGGCTGTAGACCCAGGACTGAGGCTGTATATTCAGGACTGAGGCTGTAGACCCAGGACTGAGGCTGTATGAGGCTGTATATTCAGGACTGAGGCTGTAGACCCAGGACTGCGGCTGTAGACCCAGGACTGAGGCTGTAGACCCAGGACTGAGGCTGTAGACCCAGGACTGACGTTGTAGATCCAGGACTGAGGCTGTAGACCCAGGACTGAGGCTGTAGATCCAGGACTGAGGCTGTAGATCCAGGACTGAGGCTGTAGACCCAGGACTGCGGCTGTAGACCCAGGACTGAGGCTGTAGACCCAAGACTGAGGCTGTAGACCCAGGACTCAGGCTGTAGATCCAGGACTGAGGCTGTAGACCCAAGACTGAGGCTGTAGACCCAGGACTGAGGCTGTAGATCCAGGACTGAGGCTGTAGACCCAGGACTGAGGCTGTAGACCCAGGACTGAGGCTGTAGACCCAGGACTGAGGCTGTAGACCCAGGACTGAGGCTGTAGACCCAGGACTGAGGCTGTAGATCCAGGACTGAGGCTGTAGACCCAGGACTGAGGCTGTAGACCCAGGACTGAGGCTGTAGACCCAGGACTGAGGCTGTATATTCAGGACTGAGGCTGTAGACCCAGGACTGAGGCTGTATATTCAGGACTGAGGCTGTATATTCAGGACTGAGGCTGTAGACCCAGGACTGCGGCTGTAGACCCAGGACTGAGGCTGTAGACCCAGGACTGAGGCTGTAGACCCAGGACTGACGTTGTAGACCCAGGACTGCGGCTGTAGACCCAGGACTGAGGTTGTAGACCCAGGACTGAGGTTGTAGACCCAGGACTGAGGTTGTAGACCCAGGACTGAGGCTGTAGATCCAGGACTGAGGCTGTAGACCCAGGACTGAGGCTGTAGATCCAGGACTGAGGCTGTAGACCCAGGACTGAGGCTGTAGACCCAGGACTGAGGCTGTAGACCCAGGACTGAGGCTGTAGACCCAGGACTGAGGCTGTAGACCCAGGACTGAGGCTGTAGACCCAGGACTGAGGCTGTAGACCCAGGACTGAGGCTGTAGACCCAGGACTGAGGCTGTATATTCAGGACTGAGGCTGTAGACCCAGGACTGAGGCTGTATATTCAGGACTGAGGCTGTATATTCAGGACTGAGGCTGTAGACCCAGGACTGCGGCTGTAGACCCAGGACTGAGGCTGTAGACCCAGGACTGAGGCTGTAGACCCAGGACTGACGTTGTAGACCCAGGACTGAGGCTGTAGACCCAGGACTGAGGCTGTAGATCCAGGACTGAGGCTGTAGATCCAGGACTGAGGCTGTAGACCCAGGACTGCGGCTGTAGACCCAGGACTGAGGCTGTAGACCCAGGACTGACGTTGTAGACCCAGGACTGAGGCTGTAGACCCAGGACTCAGGCTGTAGATCCAGGACTGAGGCTGTAGACCCAAGACTGAGGCTGTAGACCCAGGACTGAGGCTGTAGACCCAGGACTGAGGCTGTAGATCCAGGACTGAGGCTGTAAAGTAAAGTAAAACCATGAATCCTCTCTGCTCTGGTCTGGACCAGTGTAAAACCATGAATCCTCTCTGCTCTGGTCTGGACCAGTGTAAAACCATGAATCCTCTCTGCTCTGGTCTGGACCAGTGTAAAACCATGAATCCTCTCTGCTCTGGTCTGGACCAGTGTAAAACCATGAATCCTCTCTGCTCTGGTCTGGACCAGTGTAAAACCATGAACACTGAACTGCAGCAACATCTCAGGCAGAAAAAAGCAATAAAAATAAAAACTGTAAAACACAAAACAACAACTGTTTCAGAGACACTTAGGACCTGCAGCTGTTTCCAGAACATTAAAAGTAAACCTCTTTACTCTCTTCAATCTCATCTTTAATAAAAGTAGACATCTCAACGCTAGATGGGAGTAAAAATTCTACCGTAGTATTCTTACCCATAGTACCCTATAGTTCCAATAGTACCCTAAAGTTCCCATAGTACCCTAAAGTTCCCATAGTACCCTATAGTTCCCATAGTACCCTATAGTTCCCATAGTACCCTATAGTTCCCATAGTACCCTAAAGTTCCCATAGTACCCTAAAGTTCCCATAGTACCCTATAGTTCCCATAGTACCCTATAGTTCCCATAGTACCCTATAGTTCCCATAGTACCCTATAGTTCCCATAGTACCCTATAGTTCCCATAGTACCCTATAGTACCCTATAGTTCCCATAGTACCCTATAGTTCCCATAGTACCCTATAGTACCCTATAGTTCCCATAGTACTGTTCCCATAGTACCCTATAGTTCCCATAGTACCCTATAGTTCCCATAGTACCCTATAGTACCCTATAGTTCCCATAGTACTGTTCCCATAGTACCCTATAGTTCCCATAGTACCCTATAGTACCCTATAGTTCCCATAGTACTGTTCCCATAGTACCCTATAGTTCCCATAGTACTGTTCTCAGTGTAAATATGTTTTGTCTGAATCTGAGAACTCATACATTTGCCTGTCTTCCTTCAGGTCCAGTATAAGAAGGACTACGAGAAGACGAAAATGAAGTGCGGCTACAACACGCTCCCCGCCACAGAAAACCCACTGCTACGACAGCTACGCTACGCCGGCACCATCCTCAGTGACGTAAGCTAGCACCAAACAATACGCCAACAATCTGAGTGACGTAAGCTAGCACCAAACAATACGCCAACAATCTGAGTGACGTAAGCTAGCACCAAACAATACGCCAACAATCTGAGTGACGTAAGCTAGCACCAAACAATACGCCAACAATCTGAGTGACGTAAGCTAGCACCAAACAATACGCCAACAATCTGAGTGACGTAAGCTAGCACCAAACTATACGCTAACATTCTGAGTGATGTAAGCTAACACTAAACTCTACGCTAACATTCTGAGTGACATAAGCTAGCATTAAACAATACGCCAACAATCTGAGTGATGTAAGCTAGCACCAAACTATACGCTAACATTCTGAGTGATGTAAGCTAACACTAAACTCTACGCTAACACTAAACTCTACGCTAACATTCTGAGTGACATAAGCTAGCATTAAACAATACGCCAACAATCTGAGTGATGTAAGCTAGCACCAAACAATAAGCCAACAATCTGAGTGATGTAAGCTAGCACCAAACTATACGCTAACATTCTGAGTGACGTAAGCTAACACTAAACAATAAGCCAACAATCTGAGTGATGTAAGCTAGCACCAAACTATACGCTAACATTCTGAGTGACGTAAGCTAACACTAAACTCTACGCTAACACTAAACTCTACGCTAACATTCTGAGTGACGTAAACTAGCACTAAACAATACGTTAACATTCTGAGTGACGTAAGCTAACAGTAAACAGTACGTTAACATTCTGAGTGACGTAAGCTAGCACTAAACAGTACGCTAACATTCTGAGTGACGTAAGCTAACAGTAAACAGTACGCTAACATTCTGAGTGACGTAAGCTAGCACTAAACAGTACGCTAACATTCTGAGTGACGTAAGCTAACAGTAAACAGTACGTTAACATTCTGAGTGACGTAAGCTAGCACTAAACATACCTACTCAGTGACGTAAACAGTAAACGCGCTAACATTCTGAGTGACGTAAGCTAACACTAAACAGTAAACAGTACGCTAACATTAACTGAGAGTGAGAGCGTAAGCTAACACTAAACTACGCTAACGCTACGTACACTAACATTCTGAGTGACGTGACTAAACTAAGCTAGCACTAAACAGTACGCTAACATTCTGAGTGACGTAAGCTAACAGTAAACAGTACGTTAACATTCTGAGTGACGTAAGCTAGCACTAAACAGTACGCTAACATTCTGAGTGACGTAAACTAACAGTAAACAGTACGCTAACATTCTGAGTGACGTAAGCTAACACTAAACTCTACGCTAACACTAAACTCTACGCTAACATTCTGAGTGACGTAAGCTAACAGTAAACAGTACGCTAACATTCTGAGTGACGTAAGCTAACAGTAAACAGTACGCTAACATTCTGAGTGACGTAAGCTAACAGTAAACAGTACGCTAACATTCTGAGTGACGTAAGCTAACAGTAAACAGTACGCTAACATTCTGAGTGACGTAAGCTAACAGTAAACAGTACGCTAACATTCTGAGTGACGTAAACTAGCATTAAACAGTACGCTAACATTCTGAGTGACGTAAACTAACAGTAAACAGTACGCTAACATTCTGAGTGACGTAAACTAGCATTAAACAGTACGCTAACATTCTGAGTGACGTAAACTAACAGTAAACAGTACGCTAACATTCTGAGTGACGTAAGCTAACAGTAAACAGTACGCTAACATTCTGAGTGACGTAAGCTAACAGTAAACAGTACGCTAACATTCTGAGTGACGTAAGCTAACAGTAAACAGTACGCTAACATTCTGAGTGACGTAAACTAACAGTAAACAGTACGCTAACATTCTGAGTGACGTAAGCTAGCACTAAACTCTACGCTAATATTCTGAGTGACGTAAGCTAGCACTAATTATTAGATATTTTTTTAGTTTAAATTTTTCTGTGAAAACCATGTGTATGTTTGGACAGGATCTATTTTCTTTGGAAAGCGAGGTTAGAAAAAATAGGACATAAAATGTACCCTAAACTTGAGATAATATGCTTAAGTCTGTTTATTGAATCTCCTCAAAACATAGACATGGAGATAATAAAAACACTTTTCCGTCAGAAAGAGAAGGACTAACCCATTTTGCTTTTATCGTTTATAACTTAAAAACAAGTCAGAGTGCATTATCTACACGTCGTGCCTGGGTTTCTTGGATTCCTTTTGTCACATCTGCGTTAAGTCGGTTAATTAAATGATCTAAATCTCTCCACAGAAAGTGTACAAAGCCAACTATGAAAGCTCCAGAGGTTCCAGCATCAACTACTGCGACACGCCCAAGTTCCAGATGGATTCAGTTCTGAAGAAGTTCACAGACGTAAGGATTAAGACAGAACGTGTTTTAAAACATGGAGACGCTTCTGTGCTCTCTCTGGACAATAACAAGTGTGGTTTTCTATTTGACAAAAGGCGCATTACAAAGACAAGTACGAAAACGAAGTGAAGGGACACTACCTCGGCAGCTACGAGGACGTGTACATGCTGCACTGCCAGAAAGTCGAGGAGTACAAGAAAGATGTAACTACACTCATTTTACTTTATTTTATAAAACCAATTTAATTTAATTTATTCAAATGTATTTTATTGTATTCAATTTTGTTATTTTATTTTATTAAATCAATTTAATTCAATTTAATTTTAATTTAATTCATTCAAATGTATTTTATTTTAGTCAATTTTATGTTATTTTATTACATGTTATTTTATTTTATTAAATCAATTTAATTCAATTTAATTTTAATTTAATTCATTCAAATGTATTTTATTTTATTTGAATGATATTGTATTATATTTTATTTTATTACATACATTTAATATAATTTAATTTAAATGTATAGTATTTAAATGTATTCTATTAAATCAATTTAATTTTATTCACATTTATTTAATTTTAATTCCATTTATTTTACTTTACTTTTTTATATTCCTTTATTAATTCATTTTTTAACAATATTTATTTAACACACAGGCAGCACAGGGAACTGTTAGAGTCTGGAGGTCACATGACTGCTCAGTGTAAATAGGGAAGGGCGATTTATTCATATGGGACATTTCAGAGACTCACCCAATCTGCATCAAAAACAAATTATGACACATTTGATAAACACAGACTCGGATCTCACAGGCTCAGATCTTAGAGGTTTAACTGAACTGGGCTGAAGGGAAGATTCCAAACCTGTGTCCTTTGGGATCCTCGTGTGTGTGGCTGGGTTTGTTTGTTTTGTTTGTTTTTATTCAGATCCCCATTAGCTACTGAAAGAGACAGTAGCTATTCTTCCTGGGGTCTATATACTTCATGTCACATAATATAACCTACAAAGGACAAAAATGAATGTACAAAAATAAAATTATATATATACATACACATATATACACACCACACATGTACACCATACATACACATATATACACATATACATACATACACACATACATAAGCACGCACACACAAACAATACAGAAACGTTATAACAAAAATACACAGTAACCATCTATACACACACACACAAACAAACACATCCACACGGCAACATTAACAGCAGCAACAACAATAATCTAAATTTTTAAAAATGTCTACATTACATTTTAAACATTCAATTATCCAAATAATGTAAATACAACTCAAAAATACAAAAACAAATCAGTACCATTCTTCAGTGAAAAGGAAAACTCTCAATCTTTTATGAAAATCAAAGAGAGTTTAGAGCGGCCATTTTGATCCAATGATAGTGATTTTTATAATGATATATATATAAAATTATCTCCAATATTTCTCCTTCAGCAACTGTACAAAGCTGATTATGAAGACATTAAGACCAGATGTTTCTACCCACAAACCATCACTCCGGAGTATGAGGTCACCAAGAAGCGCCACGACTGCACCGATGTAAGATCTTTGTCCTTTTGACGTCCGCTTTTGAGCAGATTTCAACGTTTTTGTGTGTTTTTGTGCTGGTTTTGTAGAAAGTTTACCGCCAACACCCGGACACAGTGAAGTTCACACAGGTCACAGATTCTCCCGTGATGCTGCAAGCGCTTCTCAACGGCAAAAACCTGAGCGACGTGAGTACTTCTCTGTGTTTATATGTTTAACTTTTGTCGTAGAGGATCGACTCGTGGCAGAGGAGAGAGTGGTCGATCTTTAGAAATGTGTTATTAACGGTTCAGTTTGTATGTGTAACAGGTATTCTCCTAAAACTCCAGGTTTAAACCTTCAAATATATACAGTATAAATCAGGGGTGTCTTACTTTTTAGTAAGAGGGCCACTTTAGTTCCTCAGACTTTACCTGGGACCGACAACCGGGATTTAGAAACTAGATTTGGATTCTGGATTAAAATGGGTTATGATGCGTCCTTATTGATTCACAGCTGCCTTTTAATTAGAATGTTGTGACAATACTTAAACAAATGTTAGTAAATAATAACAATAAAGTCAACGACTGGATTCCAGAGAGTCTAAGACTTACAACAAGGTATAGCACTGTATTGGTGGAGCTGAAGTTGGTTGGATGACACTCTCAAAGTGCCTCAATGGCAACTTTGTGTTAGCAGCAGAGGGCCACATGAAATGACACATGGGCCGCACCTGGCCCGCGGGCCTGAGCTTGGACATGCCTGGTTTAAATGATCATTCAAAGCTAAGTAGCTGCTATAGCGTTAGCATACTGTTAGCTTTTCTTATCAATTCAACTTCAAGTTCATTGTTTTCTTTTATTAGGCCGAGCCAATACTTTGTATTGGGGAGGCATATTGTTATTCACCGGTTTCATATTATTAGGCCGAGCCAATACGAAGTATTGGGGAGGCCTATTGTTATTCACCGGTTTCATATTATTATTCTTTTTTTTCCGCATCTTCAATTCGATTTTTGACCCTGAAGACATGCACGAAAGTCTGCACATGGGGGGTCTAAAACGACCGGTCCGGCGAAAAATTTGATAAAACGGACGTTTCCAGATTGTCCGACAAAAGGCGAATCAATAGCGCCCCCTTGAAAATTCAAATTTTTCCATTTCTATTGGAGGCAGGATTGCATATTTTGGAGTAGGTACACAAAATTCGGATGAGTGATAGATCTCTATGAGACGAGCATAAAAGCCGGTCTAAGCACATGTCTGGGACCAACAGGAAGTCGGCCATGATGGGCCAAAGTTTCGCCACTAATTTGACTTTTCATTTAGAAATTCGAACTAGTCCCTGGTTTTTCATCACACAGAGTTCTACCACGTCATTTCCCAATCTGGACGGATTGAAGTTATATAATCATCAAACAAAAGTTAGAAAATCTTCACCGTTTTTGTCCCTCGCCATGGCGAATAAGGCCTTCGTTTTGGCCATTTTCGCTGAGCCCTGAGGGCCACAGGCTCAGACCTACAGAGCTGAGACTCACATCAGTAATGAACGCAGTGACACTAAAATCACTCGCCCAATTTGAGCTCTTTAGCGCCACCTGTCGGAAAGTAATAGGGCACTAGTGCTCGGATCGGCCCAAAAATCGCTGAGTGTATTCTCTGGACCGAGATGAGCAAAACATTACATTACGCAAAAGTTGTAAGTCCTACACCTGACCACTGGGGGCGCCGGAAAAATGAATGAAGGAGCTTTTTGGGGCAAAATGTTTGTCCGATGAGGCTAAAAATGAATTCAGTAATACAGCGTATGACCCTGAACATAACGATATGCAACCCACAACTGTCAGTGCAACAGCGCCACCTACAGGCAGTTCAAGGTGTCGCATTTTTGGCTTCGTACTAGTCCCTGGATTTTCATCGCACAGACTTCTACCATGTAACTTCTCCATCTGGACGGATTGAAGTTATGCAATCATCGCATAAAAGTTAGAATTTTGTTATCGTTTTCATGCGAGGTAGCGGGGAATTTCTCCATGTTTGATGCTCTCCTGACCACAGGCTCAGACCTACAGAGCTGAAACTCACATCACTAACAGTTGGTAATGGCCTGAGAGTAATGGTGTGAAAACACACACCTAATATGACTCTACAGCGCCACCTATGGAAGGCTTCTGACCTAAACTTTTCCGATCTTCACCAAAGTTGCAAAATCAAATCTTTACATCTGCACGAGCAAAATACTACTCTACGTAGAGGGTGCATGTCCCGGAGGTGACCACTAGGGACGCACTTTATCATATAAATGAGCTTTTATGTACGTAATCCTGGTCAAATCGGGCTGCCAATTCGTCGGCGTGACGCTTGTGGGACCGGCGCCCAGGAGGCGGTCGCAAGAGGAGCGAGGCCTTTCATCGCCGCTTGCGGCTTTAATTTATTTATTTATTTGTTTATTTGACAGGGACAGTGTACATTAAGATGATTAGGAGGGCGACAGTAGCTCAGTTGGTAGAGCATTGGCCTTCAGGCCTGAAGGTCGTGGGTTCAATTCCCACCTCTCCACCGACTCCCACTGATGACTGCTGTCGTTGTGTCCTTGGGCAAGACACTTAACCCCACTTTGCCCAAAAGCCCCCACTGAAAGATCAAGGCTATGCTCACACTCAGAGAGCAGCCGTCCTCCTGTGGACTCACCACCTGCAGAGGATCAGTGAGGGGCTGGTGCTATGAGACCCCTGACCCAGAAATGGGTAGACCCAGAAAGGGCAGAAAATGGATGGATGGATGGAGTGTACATGAATGAACATTACTGTAAATGTAAAGAAACACTTATGTACAAAACATCATTGATAAAATAACAGTGTACATTTACCACATTTACAATCAGTTAAAAGTTAGTGTCTGTTTTGTGATGAACCATGATTTGAGGTGAGTTTTGAACAGATTGTATGAGGCCAGCTCTCTGTGTGATGGGACTGTTCCACTCCTGAGACGCCCTCACTGAGACGCCCTCACTGAGACGCCCTCACTGAGACGCCCTCACTGAGACGCCCTCACTGAGACGCCCTCACTGAGACGCCCTCACTGAGACGCCCTCACTGAGACGGCTCTGGCAGACGGCGCTCTTCCGGAGTGGGATAACACAGTCCCCACGGGCACAGCCCCCTGGTTACCCTGTGTGTGGTGTTTCTGACCGTCATAAATTGGTTGTAAGACGGTGAAGAGGATTTCATTTTTAATTTTATTTTTGAAAATTACTTGCTGTAAAGTTAGAATCAGAATCATTTTTATTGCCATGTAAGAAACAGGAAGTCACAGACTAAGAACCGGCTTTGGCTCGGTGCAAACAGGTCAAGAGAAGAGAAGGAGTTAGGCAAAATAAAACATTTCTAAAGTATAAAATGTTCTAAAATAGAAACAATTAAAAACTTACAAGTAAAATTAGTACGCTTATCTTAGCTTATTTAACACAAATGTATTCTGTTTCATTTTAAACAAAGAAAACAGAGACATTTCTAAGTATATTGGCCTAAACCTGTTATTATCACAGATGATCAGATCTGAATAAACAGAGACACCCAGACAAAACAAAGTCGATCCCCTCAAGTTTGCATGTTCTCCCCATGTCCCTCCAGATTTGCTCCAGTTTTGCAACAATTAAAAAAAACATGAAAAAAACAGATTCTAAAATCTCTGTGGGACTTTCCTTTTACATCGTTCAGACCCAGAACCAAAACATTTAAATAGAAAAATACTGACTCTGCTGCAGACTGTTGTAGAGACCAGCTCAGTTTTAACACAAATGAACTAAAAGTCTCATAAATGACTCATTCAGAATCATGTATTGTTCCACATGAATAGATAAAGCATTGCGTTTTTGAATTGGCGATGCCGTTTGGACAGTTTATCTTTAATGAAACTAAAAAAGCCTCGCTCTCAGACGTTCCTTGCTCCTCCACCGACAGCTGCAGAGAGACTGTTCCCTGGCAGCTATGGGAGTGGATCGGGTTCTCCTGGTTATGCTGATCACTTTAAAATGTGCCCAATCATGCGCACGGGGGCCAGCTGGCTCCATGGAAACTGGAGATCCACCGTGGAGCCGTAAAAATAGCAAGAGCAAGGTTTATTCTGGCCCAGAAAAAACCCAGTGATCAGAGCTGGAGCAGAGAGAGGGCGGCTGTGAGGCGGAGGAGCGGAAAGGCAAGGGCGACCTCTAGTGGCAGCTTCCCTCATACTTATTCTTACTTTGTTTAAAGTGGTTCTCACCCCCGCTCCTCGGAGCTTACGTTTTCTCACATTTCCTGTTGAAATCTTCCTCTAAATGGGCGTAGCCTGGAGGACTAAAGAGGGCGTGAACGAGACTGGGCCGTTTACATTACTCTGGGCGGGGGGCTGCTGACGTCAAGTCTTGCTTCAGACGTCAGGTCTTGCTTCAGACGTCAAGTCTTGCTTCAGACGTCAGGTCTTGCTTCAGACGTCAGGTCTTGCTTCAGACGTCAGGTCTTGCTTCAGACGTCAGGTCTTGCTTCAGACGTCAGGTCTTGCTTCAGACGTCAGGTCTTGCTTCAGACGTCAGGTCTTGCTTCAGACGTCAGGTCTTGCTGCCGCGCCAGTGTTGGCGCCAGATTCAAAATTCAAATGTAGTAATACAGGTCGCCAGCAGATGGCGCCTCACAGACCGTTTTAGGCAGAAAGTTTAACTTTCAACTAATTTGCACCAAAGTGACAAAGTATTCACAGTAAAGTATCTGGACTTTAAAAGGTAATAACCCAGTGTGGATAAAATCAAAAGGAAAGTCTGACGAATATATTTTTGGCGACATTTTAAACGAGCAGATCAGCCTCTGATTGGATCATTCTACTGTGACTCAGAGACATAGAAAATGAAATGTCCTCAGTCTGAAAAAGCGGCAGATGAACTCCACAGATAAACATGAACACAACATCAGGAAATCACTGGAATTATTACAAAAAAATAAAACACTTTTTTTTTAAATGACCCTTGATAAATGTGTAAGGGACGTGATGGTTTCCGACCATTTTTCTCTAAAGATTTAACTTGAGAAAAAAATGATAGTCTGGTTTCACATTTAATTTGTTTACTGTATGAAAGAAATCACTTTGTTTAATTATGTGTAAAAAATAAAAATCTCTGAATCAAATGTGGACCTGAAAATATTTAACAAACTTCTGCAAAGTTCTCCGTCAAATCATCAACGTTACTTAAAATAAACAGCTGCTTTAGAAAACTTGTCTAATGTATAAAACAGTTTTGTTCTAGCAACTTCTTCTGGACAGAGGTGTTTGGAAACATGAAAAACATAATATTATTTCTGATTTATTAGAATCTATTTTTTGGCCTTTTGTCAGACTTTTGTGCCCTTTGGTGTGAACAAACCCAGATCCTTTATCCGTCCCACAGTGGGGAAATTTCATTGTTGCAGCGCACAGACAGGACAGTAGTAAGATCACACAGGGAGCACACAGCATATACAAAATAAGCAGTAGCTATGTTTCTTAGCTAGCTGTAAATGCTTAACAAAAAAGAAACATTTAGTGCAAAGTTATATACTGTACATATAGGGCCGGGGGATCAGGAGATAAAGAGACATTCAGTGAACATTCTCAAGTTGCAGTATTTACTTAAAGCTATGGTACCCAACTTTACAACCATAACAATTCATTTATTTTGTATAGCTCTAAATCTTGAAAGATTTGAAATGTGTCAATTTACAGACACAGATCAGAGAATAGCTTGCTCGTCACTCACAATAGTTTACACACCAGAAAGTCTCAGTCCACCGTTGTTTACACACTAAGATAATTGTAGCTACTCACCTGAGCTGAAGCTCAGGTGATGATGTCCATCCATCCATCCATCCATTTTCTGTGTGTTGATCTTTCAGCTGGGGCTTTTGGGCAAAGTGGGGTTAAGTGTCTTGCCCAAGGACACAACAACAGCAGTCATCAGTGGGAGTCGATGGAGAAGGTGCAGAGGTGGGAATTGAACCCACGACCTTCTGGCCTTAAGGCCAATGCTCTACCAACTGAGCTACTGTCGACCCCCAACTGATGTCATTTAATTTAACCAAAACCACTAGATGTCGCCAGAATACTCCCAACTCACTACTGGGGCGTGTGTGAGACTTGGTTTCTGTTATGCTAGTTCAGCCAGGTTTCCTTAAACAGTCGCCCGATGAAAGGAAGGAAATTACAAACTTAGATAGATATAAAAGAAGGTTTAATATATAAAACAGAATACATATAAAAGACAGGCAGAGAGACAAGCCTGGGTCTGCTGCGGACGACAGGCAAAGCACAAAAGACAGACCACGCTGAAAGTTAGGCCTTCCTTCTTATACCAAAGTTCTAAAACACATGTGACAAAACAATCTTCTCATCCATCAGAAGAAGTGTCTTCTTGTCTCAACACAGATGTTTTCTGGCTTCATGCTTGTTTACTCTGCTCTTGTTTACTTATGCTCTTTCACTCTTGCCTGGGGGCTGGGAGAATTCTGCATTCTCACCACCCTCAATGCATGTTGGTTAACTTGACTAGAGCCTACTAACCTACACACATTTATTAACATGATAATACACATAACATTTCTTGACAGTTTCTTTTATACCACAGGAGCAGAGCAACGTCACGCAGCACAAAGTGATGTCACACTGCCCTCCAGAGCCAATGGAGAGGCCAGGACCAAACTCAAATGTAGAGCCATCGACAATGTAGAGAGGGCGCCACACAGACAGTTTTAGGCTCAAAAGTGAGGTTTTATATAATTTGCACTAAAATGTCCAAGAATTGAAATGTAGAGAGCACTACAAGAAGCATTTCTGCAGTTAAAAAAGTTGATTTGGGGTTTAGTTGTGCTTTAAATGTCCTGGATCCAAATTATCACGGTGTAAAATCCATCCAACTGGTTCCTCGCTCGGTCTCTGTCACATCTTTAGATCCGTTCTTTTAGAGGGAAACTCAAAAATGCAAGACAACAGTTCAATTTAATTCAACTGTAAACCTCTAAATCACAAAAGCAGTCGTCTCCGAGGACTCTACAGCGTTGTCGATTCCTCAACAACAGATCAGAGAATCAACACAGGATATGCGATAATAACAAACACACAGGAGCCATTGGTTCATATGGAGCCAATGATCAATGTCCAGTAGCTCGGGAGCCACCAGTAGCTCTCCACGCCCTTCTAGGTAGCTCAACAAAGAATTGAAAAACACTTAATATTTCAGATTGTATTATTCATTTTCATTAATTCTTATTGTAAATGCACTAACTTTGTCACTAGTTACACATTTTACCCAATATAAGGCTCGTTCACGCCAATATATCACCACATTTTTCTCAGGACCGCTTAAAGTAGTAGCTCTCTGCCTTTATCGTTCTGGGAAAGTAGCTCTCTGGGTGAAAAAGGTTGGATACACCTGGTATAACCCAACAGAATGATAAAAGAGAAAGTAGAATGCAAAGCCAAATGGGTGTGAGGTCATTATCTGCTGGTGCACACTGGGGAAGTCTTGCACAGTTATACCAATGTTGTTTTACTGCAAGTGACAAATACATTCTTGAATTAATTGTGTTGTATTTTTTGTGTCTGTTTCTGCAGCTGAACTACAAGAAACAGTACGAGGAGATGAAGTTCAAGAACAGCCTTCCTCCAGACTACCCCTTCTTCATCCAGTCCAGAGTCAACGCCTACAACCTCAGCGATGCAAGTCACAGCCGCTTTTATTATTATTAACATTATTTAAAACACTTTATTTTATTCATATCGCACCTTACATTTTAGGAAAGCCTCAAAGTGCTACAAACTCTTAATTCAACCCAAAAACAAAACCAAAAGTACATACACAAAAATACACATGTGGGTTAAAAGTTCATTAAAGTCCCAATAGGCTTGCTTTTTTGGATAACTTTAGTTGGGGTGAGAATTGTTATCTAAAGCATTAAACTATAAATGATAAACAACATACAAAATAAAAACAATAAAATGAAAGACCTAAGACAAGAACTCTGGCCCGTAACAAGACACAACATCAACCCTCGAGGCGCCACGGTTGACTTAAAGAAGCTATACCCGGTTTATATTCTAATGAGTTCATAATTACTACATACAAGTTGTATTATAATCCGTAATTTAATGTAAAACTTGAGCTCATTGATTCAGCTGTGTATGAACTCAGGACGTAAAAAGTGCTGAGTAGAGACTTAGCGTGACCCCGCTCTCCTCCAATCACAGAACGAGGCTGCGTCCTCTAGCCTCTACAGCGCTGCTAAACACAGTAGCATGTTAGCATAAGTGGCTATAACTCCTCTGGCTGTAACTGCAGACACAGCAAAACAGCCCAAACCACACAACAGTGAGGAAGAGAAGAGGAACTAAAGCCAAAACATGATCAAAGAAGAAACCAAGCCCTGAACAGAGCTAGCTTACATCGTATCCTCTGGAGAGACTGGTCTGTGGGAGAGACCTGCGGGACCGCCTCGGACTATCTACGCTCGGACTATCTACGCTCGGACTATCTACGCTCGGACTATCTACGCTCGGACTATCTACGCTCGGACTATCTACGCTCGGACTATCTTCGCTCGGACTATCTACGCTCGGACTATCTACGCTCGGACTATCTACGCTCGGGCTATCTACGCTCGGACTATCTACGCTCTGACTATCTACGCTCGGACTATCTTCGCTCGGACTATCTACGCTCGGGCTATCTACGCTCGGACTATCTACGCTCGGGCTATCTACGCTCGGACTGTCTACGCTCGGGCTATCTACGCTCGGACTGTCTACGCTCGGACTGTCTACGCTCGGACTGTCTACGCTCGGACTATCTACGCTCGGACTATCTACGCTCGGACTATCTTCGCTCGGACTATCTACGCTCGGACTATCTACGCTCGGACTATCTTCGCTCGGACTATCTACGCTCGGACTATCTACGCTCGGACTATCTACGCTCGGACTATCTACGCTCTGACTATCTACGCTCGGACTATCTACGCTCGGACTATCTACGCTCGGACTATACCCTCGGACTATCTACGCTCGGGCTATCTACGCTCGGACTATCTACGCTCGGACTATCTACGCTCGGACTATCTACGCTCGGACTATCTACGCTCGGACTATCTTCGCTCGGACTATCTACGCTCGGACTATCTACGCTCGGACTATCTACGCTCGGACTATCTTCGCTCGGACTATCTACGCTCGGACTATCTACACTCGGACTGTCTACGCTCGGACTGTCTACGCTCGGACTGTCTACGCTCGGACTATCTACGCTCGGACTATCTACGCTCGGACTGTCTACGCTCGGACTGTCTACGCTCGGACTGTCTACGCTCGGACTATCTACGCTCGGACTATCTTCGCTCTGACTATCTACGCTCGGACTATCTTCGCTCGGACTATCTACGCTCGCTCGGACTATCTACGCTCGCTCGGACTATCTACGCTCAGACTATCTACGCTCGGACTATCTACGCTCGGACTATCTACGCTCGGACTATCTACGCTCGGACTATCTACGCTCGGACTGTCTACGCTCGGACTGTCTACGCTCGGACTATCTACGCTCGGACTATCTACGCTCGGACTATCTTCGCTCGGGCTATCTACGCTCGGACTATCTACGCTCTGACTATCTACGCTCGGACTATCTACGCTCGGACTATCTACGCTCGGACTATCTACGCTCGGACTATCTACGCTCGGACTATCTACGCTCGGACTATCTACGCTCGGACTATCTACGCTCGGACTATCTACGCTCTGACTATCTACGCTCGGACTACATTCGGACCTGAAACTAGCTGTAATCTTTCAGTTATATATTGTGTTATCAGTGCGTGGCTTTGGTACCATTTCATCAGTGATTGTTGTACAGCTTACAAGACGTTGTGCTAATGCTAATGTTAGATCGCTAACAAAACTAGATGGCTCCGTGGGATGAGAGTGTAGGGGAAATGAGAAGCCTGTGAGCGAGTTGGGGGCGGAGCTAAACATTCAAACCTTACAGAAACGGGTAAAGCTCCTTTAAGTGGACAATATGTGGTACGGTTTAAACGACTGATTGTGTCAAGCAGGGTCCAGTCCAGTCCAGTTTATTTATAAAGTACTAATAAAAACAAGAAGATTGACCAAAGTGCTGTACATAAAAATACATACAAAATTACAGAATTATAAAATACAAAGCAGTGGCAAAAAACACACATTATACACATTATATATACCACAAGCACAACGCACACACACAGGGATGACAGAAGCATAAAACACACACAGACACACACACACTGGTCCAAACACTCTCTGACCCCACACCTCTCTCCCACTACTCACATCCCAACGTACTTCATTAGCGGTTCCTATTTGAGCATTTTAAACAATTATACATATTTTCTTTTCTTTTTGATAATAATCACTTTGTTTTTTTTTCAGAACTGCTACAAATACGACTGGGAAAAGTCTAAAGCCAAGAAGTTTGAAGTTAAGGGCGACGCCATCTCGATCCTGGCCGCTCGCGCTCACACCAACATCGCCAGTGATGTATGTTCATGATCTTATCATGTAAAGTATACTGTATATAATGTTAGCCTGGTCTTAGCCTGGTCTTAGCCGGGTCTTAGCCTGGTCTTAGCCGGGTCTTAGCCTGGTCTTAGCCTGGTCTTAGCCTGGTCTTAGCCTGGTCTTAGCCTGGTCTTAGTCTGGTCTTAGTCTGGTCTTAGCCTGGTCTTAGCCTGGTCTTAGTCTGGTCTTAGCCTGGTCTTAGCCGGGTCTTAGCCTGGTCTTAGCCGGGTCTTAGCCTGGTCTTAGCCTGGTCTTAGCCTGGTCTTAGCCTGGTCTTAGTCTGGTCTTAGTCTGGTTTTAGCCTGGTCTTAGTGTGGTCTTAGCCTGGTCTTAGTGTGGTCTTAGCCTGGTCTTAGCCTGGTCTTAGTCTGGTCTTAGCCTGGTCTTAGCCTGGTCTTAGTCTGGTCTTAGTCTGGTCTTAGTCTGGTCTTAGTCTGGTTTTAGCCTGGTCTTAGTATGGTCTTAGCCTGGTCTTAGCCTGGTCTTAGCATGGTCTTAGCCTGGTCTTAGCATGGTCTTAGCCTGGTCTTAGCCTAGTTGTAGCCTGGTCTTTGTCGGGTCATAGCCTGGTCGTAGCGTGGTCTTAGTCTGGTCTTAGCCTGGTCTTAGCATGGTCTTAGTCTGGTCTTAGCCTGGTCTTAGCATGGTCTTAGCCTGGTCTTAGCATGGTCTTAGCCTGGTCTTAGCCTGGTTGTAGCCTGGTCTTTGTCGGGTCATAGCCTGGTCGTAGCCTGGTCTTAGTCTGGTCTTAGCCTGGTCTTAGCCTGGTCTTAGCCTGGTCTTAGCCTGGTCTTTGTCTGGTCTTTGTCTGGTCGTAGCCTGGAGTTAGCCTGGTCTTAGCCTGGTCTTAGCCTGGTCTTAGCCTGGCCTTAGCCTGGTCTTAGCCTGGTCTTAGCCTGGTCTTAGCCTGGTCTTAGCCTGGTCTTAGCCTGGTCTTAACTTGGCCTTAGCCTGGCCTTATCCTGGTCTTAGCCAGGTCTTATCCATCCGTAAACTCTGGTCCATGATAATTTCCTACATGTACGTCTGGGTCTGCTCCTAGTGGCTGCTGGTACCTTGGTTGTATCCCATCCGACCAATCAGAGAGCGGGGGAGGCGGGTGTAGCTAGTTGTCGGTAATGTCAAGAGTTTGCGCCAAATTTGCTGGTTGTAGTTTGGCGGTGAATGGGATAGTAAAATAATCTGTTCTGTTTCGGCTAGGGTTAGGGTTAGGGTTAGATGTTGTGGCTTTACTCCCCACGGGCTTCGTTAGCGGCAAAGGAGATGGCTAAAGCTAGGCTAAATACTATTGCTAGCAACTCACTCGGGCGCATTACATACGTCACGGTAAACTCTGATCCAATTGTTTCAATCTGCCAAAGGAGTTAACCCCTCCCAGCGCAATGGAGCAAACCAAGACCTTTGTACCAAATGAAATTTGCTCCGTCGAGCAAAGACGTGTCTCAGACCGCTCCTGCTTCTGAACGGCTTGCTATCTCCTGTTTTTGTCTTTTTCCTGGAGTTTTGCCACAGACAACTTTAACAAGAATGGAAATGATTAACTGGTCCCTCAACGCAATTGATTCTATCTTTTCAACACGTAAGCGTGGGTCTGGAGAGCCCGTGTGCCCGGACGGGACTTCACCGGCGGGGTATACTCTTGACAGCTGGAACAAGTTTCAGCCCCTCTGTCTGTCGACCCTGTCCATTGAAGATTCGGAAGACGTATATATCTTTGGCATTTTGGTGGTGGGAATCCTCCTGTTTGGGTTTGGAGCGATCCTCTTCTACCACAAATTCGGAGGCATGGCAGTTCGCAAGATTCACGACCTGCTGGCCGACAAAATTGATGGGATGTACAAGGAGCTAAGCCGTGTCGTGGTTGAGAGTGCCGTGTCTGGACAAAGGAGAGTGGTTCTGGTGGAACAGTTGATAAAAGACCTCGCAGCTCGTTCACTCGAAGGGAATAAAACTCTGGAATTGAGATTGAATGACATCGTTTGCCAGGCTTGAACTCTCTGACCCGGCTTGGATTTGCCCCTGTGTACAGGGTCTGAGGGCGCCGTAATTCGGTTTAATTGGAATTAATAGAATATCTGCCTGCTTTTAACTGCTACATTGCATTTAATATTGTCCCTCACAGGCGATGTGTTTTCTCCTCCTGTGCCTTCTCTCCACTCTTATCTCACATTCCTCGGCCAAGGCCATAATAACAAAGGTCCCACAATCTACAACAACTCACACTATTCAGTCTCCAGCTTGGATCCCCTACCCCCGCCTCCCTCTATCCATCTTGCTCCCTCCCTCCCCTCCACTCCTCACTGTGTTTCCGACTCACCCCCTCCCTGACCCCGCCCCCCTCTGACAGCCACATTGGGCCGGCTGTAGGAGGTGCTTCATCCCGAGAAAAAATCCGTGCTTTATACAAAGCACAAATGTGTCTATCCAACTGTCTGTGAAACTGTATGTTATTGCTCTCTGCTGTTTATTCTACTGTTTGTCGCATGGCGCCGTAAAGATGGCGCCGTGGCAAGAGCTCTGGTGTGTGTCGTCTTCTCTGTCTGGTGCACACCGGGATAGTCTTGCACAGTTTTTCCAATGTGGTTTTACTGCAAATGGCAAATAAATGAATCTGAATCTGAATCTGAATCTGAAATGAGTACAATGGTGTGGTAAGACCAGGCTAATATAATGTATGTGTAAATTGTGTTTTTTCTTTAGGTTAAATACAAGAAGGAGTATGAGAAGAATAGAGGACACATGATTGGAGCTCTGAGCATCAAAGACGACCCCAAACTGGTGCATTCTCTTCATTTGGCAAAGATTCAGAGCCATGTGAGTCCTTTAACATTGCATCTGTGTGTTTACTTATTTATGGAGAGCCCCTTTGAAATGAATCATCTCTTCATGTTGTTAAAAGGCTGGCTGAGACATGCACAACTATACAATATTAGGAAATTTAGCAAACAAAGTACAGTCAGAAATCTTGTGTATCATAAATATCACTAATGACAGAGATCGACTAGTTCAGCTTTTGACACATTTCTAAAAGACCTGTATTTAAAGCAATAATTAATAATAATAGTTTTCTGACACTAAAGAAGTCCATTTTTAAACAAAACAAAATGTCAGGAAAAGTCACAAAGCTTGAAGAGCAAAAATATAAACTAAAATCTGTCTAATTCACTGCTCTGTTTAAAGAAGCAGTTTGTCAAAATCTGGCCAAAAGTGGTACTGCAGCCTCTCCCACTCTCCCTGACTCAGGTTGCCAGATATGCAGACGAATCCAGCTGGGACCATAACAGCTGAATAGACAAGAGTTTTGTCAACAACAAATCTATAACCAACACCTTTTTCACAAAGATAGAAATCCTGGTTTTATTCCTTGTTTTGTCGTTAATGATTTGAGAATCATAACGAGACCTTTTTTAGTTCTGCGCCACATGGTACTTTACCAGTGAGATTAGCTCCACGCGGTGAGTTCTGGCGCCCGGATCACAGACTTTCTGATTGGTTAAAACGGTGGAAGGCGGGACATCAAAATTAAAACAATAACAAGATTTAGGGGCTGTAAAAATAATTCTGAACTACTGTTATCAGTTAAAGAAGTGTTGGAAAAGAGCAGGTTTTATTCATGCCTTTTGACAGATTAGGGCCCTTTAATAATGACTTGACATGAAAATCTTACATATTGCTTAAAGCGTTCTCAGAAGTTTGAAATATGTGTTTTTGACTGCTGCAGAAAGAGTACATCAAGGACTATGAAAAGATCAAGACCAAATACCACAGCCCTCTGGACATGATCTCTCTGACCACCGCCAAGAAGTCCCAGGCCATCGCCAGCATGGCCGGGTACCGCAAGATCAGCTCAAACTACTTCATGCCCTACGACAGCATCCTGCTCGACCTCGCCAAGAAGGCCAACATCATCCAGAGCAACGTGAGCCACTCCTCTATCCTCTATACACAACTTTGTATTTGCATTTGTGGTCAGGCAAAGGTTTTCTATACTCCAAATCAGTGTCTCCCAAAGTGGGGCGAGGGTACTGCAGGGGGGCCGCGGGAGGTCATAAAAAAATAAATATATATATATAATTATTTAATGTTAAATTTATAATGTTTTGTTTGTAATATTAAAATATTTGTGTTCATTATTTGACTTGAATAATCCACTGTAATCATTTTTGTATTACAATGTTTGTAGCAGAGGCTATTTCCCCAAAATAAAATAACCAGAAGAGCCTATTCTTAATGTTGTCTTCTTGGTTATTATTTTGGGGGGCCACGCAGACCCGTCAGATTTTTAAGGGGGCCTCGGTGTTACTGAGTTTGGGAATGGCTGCTCCAAATGATTCAAAAAGGATGGTAATACTGTGGGATGTGATCACTCATTCCAGACCCACGTAACAATGAATTTGTTTTGCCGTTTAATCTATTCAGACCAGTGGGGGCGGGTCCCGGATTCAAAAGTGGCCAAAATGACGTGCGCTGACATGCTGCAATACCACCCCGGGCCTGTGGGGGTGGACCCAGAATAAGAATTAGCCAATGCTAACATATAGCATTAGCAGACCTCTCGAAAACGTCTTTACAGGATGGACCAAAAGTTGTCTCTTGGCCCAAAGCTCCGGTCCACATGTGTGTCAATGCTGAGGGGGGTGTTCTGGACCACTCTAGTTTAGTCGCTGTAAATTTTTGAAGTCTCTTGTTTAAATGAATGAGGCTCGTGCAGCTGACTGTTTTTTTCACATTTTCCAGCCCACGCGGCCATTTTGAAACTGTCCATAGACCTCGGAAGTTGTGGCACATTAGTATGAACGGCGGAGATAGGAGTGACATCCGTTAATATTTACAGTCTATGATTCAAACACAATACGATGAAATTCAGTGTATTTTGCCTGAAAAGTTTATATTCTCTCTTGGAGTTTATTTGTCAATGTCACTGCATGAACAGAAAATGAGTTAATACAATATACAGTAAAAGGGAAAAAAAATGAATGGGATAAATACTGTGTTGTGGTGGAATGCAGGGGACTCAAAATGCAAGAAATGCAAAATAATGGTTTAATAAAGATGCTAGAATAAAAGTCCAAGTTAAAAACAAACGTAAAAAGGTTTTTTCCAGACAAATTTTTTTTCAAACAGTAATGGAATGGACCAGATGCCTACTTTTGTGTGTGTTTTTCTTCCCAGAACGACTACAAATCTGACTACAACAACTACGTAAAGGGCTCTCCGTGGGTCACCTTCGGCTCGATGGAGGTGGAGAAGGTGAAGAAGGCTGGCGAGATCCTGAACGAGGTACACAGTCATTCATTTAGGGTTTTATATGATCAAACACACGGTTTGTAACACATGCATTTGTGGCTTACAGAGAAAGTACAGGCAGCACCCAGACACCATTCCCTTCACTCCCATCGACGACCATCCCATCATGATGCAGGCCAAGGTCAACCAGCTGCAGAGGAGCGATGTGAGTCTGCACCGGGGAAAACTTATCCATGTCTGGCTGGAATTCTCTGAAATGTATTTTTGCATAACCCTAAATCACAAAATCATTACAGCAGAGATAGAAGGAAATAAGAGCACTCAGATTGCACACATACAACAGAGTCAGTTAATTAAGAGAATGGATAATTGGACTGAATGTATGAATGAAATGACAGTTATTCTCAAGATCATGTGACTTAAGGGACACGGTTTAGTCCAATAACACCTAATATTTGTTCTTGAAGGTTCTTTATATGTTTGATTTGATGTTGTGTGTTTGCAGATGTTTTACAAGAAAGGCCTGGAGGAGATCCATCAGAAATACTCGCTGCCTCCAGACATCCCCGAGTTCCTTCAGGCCAAGTGCAACTCCTACAACATGAGCAACGTGAGCGCCATTCAAGACAGTCATAACAAGGCAGTAGAAGCCTGTCTCACCTTTTCAGGAAGACTGTTCTAGGTTTCAGCTGCATGAATCTGAAACAGGTTTAGACATCAAGGCTATTTTCCATATAGTTACATTTATTCATTATTTAAAGAGTCAAAGAGACCCATATTGTAGGCTGTGCTCTCTGCTGATTGGCCGAGGACAGAGCCAAAGACACACACACAAAGTCATTGGAGTCTGGGAAGAAGAATGGGACAAAATTACTTACAAATATCCAAAGAGGTTGGCTATTTTTAAGTTTTATTTTTGCCGCCGTCAACTGGAAAAGTATTGACAAAACACAATCGTCTTCTAGAGATTCAAAAATATTAATAATAAAAACATTTTGGATGGATTTCCAGTGTCTGTCACCAGTTCATCAATCCCGAGAAGAGATTTTTTTCAAGCATTCAATTCAGTTTTATGAGATGAAAATGCATAATTCTCTATAGAGTGAGAGTCAGATTAAGTGTATTGTGTTATAAACATAAAATCAGGTATTTCCTTTCCTTAATCTGTGTATTTGTTGTCTGTTACAGAAAAACTACAAGCAGGCCTGGCTGGATCACATCGCTAAAGGCTACGACATGAGGACTGATGCTATCTCTGTTATTGCTGCTAAAGCTGCTCGTCACGCTGCCAGTGATGTAAGTATTTATGTCCTATGAGGATCTAAGACTATTTTTTTAACACAATTCACAAGAGAGCAGAAGTCGCCCAGCTTTTTCCCTCAGAGATTTACTGTTTTTTAAATGGGTTTAACCCCGTTTCAATCCACAATCTCTTTAAAACGTTTTCTTCCTGTTCCACCTTTGTCTGCTTCAAATCACATTTCCGATCAAATCAAAAAGTCTTGCTCCTAAAGGGATTGAATTAGGAACATGATTGATATGAATCACTGTGAGTTAGAAAGGGTGGTGAACAATGGGGGCTCCACAGGGGACAGTGCTTGGTCCATTCCTCTTTTCACTCTGTACAGTAGACAACCCAATTCAATCTATTCTTGTACAGCCCTAAATCACAACAGTAGTTTTCGGAGAACTTTACATAGCTGTTGATTTGCCAACACAGATCAGAGAATCAAACAGTTCGAACCCAAGACATGCATTGATAGAAAACATAGCCATTGGTCCATAAACACAGCGGACTTACTACACCAGTCTGACACATATTTATTAAGTATATATATAAGTATTCAGACGACATCAATACTAATAATGATAATACTAATAATAATGATAATAATACATGGTCGACAGCGGCTCATTTGGTAGAGCCTTTGAGCCTGAAGGTCGTGGGTTCAAGCCCACCACGAGACCTACTTCACGACTCCCACTGATGTCTGCTGTTGTTTGATGGATGGAAACCTCAAAGTACTTAACAATATATATTTTAATATTAACAACACACAAAAAAAACATAAAAAAAAAAAAAAAAAAAATTGCGGTTGTGGCTTGTATCTGGTTCTTTCTAATGATACTGTCTTTCTCTTTGATGCCTTTAGGTCCAGTATAAGAAGGCGTACGTCAAATCCAAGGGGAAAATGGTCGGGTGCCGCAGCATCAAGGACGACCCTCTGCTGGTTCACTACATGGAAGTGGCCAAACACCAGAGCGACAAGAACTACAAGAAGGACTACCACAAGTCCAAGCTGAAGTACCACACTCCGGTCGACATGATGAGCCTGGCCCACGCCAAAGCGGCCTCTAAAGCCCAGACCAATGCCGGGTACAGGAAGATCCCACACAGCTACTGCCTCCTTCCGGGCGCCATGAACCTGGAACTGGCTCGTAACATGAATTTCAACGCTAGTGATGTGAGTAGAAGCGATTTAAGTGACTGTAGTCGAGCTGGATGTTTCTTTGAGACTGTCTTTACTACATCTTCACCAAGTCTGATTTTGTTCAGTGTTTTGCCAGCTTGAATGAAATCAGGGAATTTGCCAAATATGCCTCAAGGTGTGGCGTTCCGGGAAAATGACTATATTTTCTGAATGTTGTTGCTACAAACAGGCAAAATGTTCTTTAGTTAGTCTGTACTCATCTAGATTTTCAATTGTTTTCCATATGGATATCTATACAACTCTTGGGTATACTTAATAATGTATACCTAATCAGTTACTATTGTCTATGGTGGTAAGATAAGATAAGATAGACGTGGTGGATGTTGAGCATAGACTGCATTGAACATTTTGATTTACTTGAAAATACTGACGCAAGTACAATACACTACAATTCGATTTATTCTTGTATAGCCCTAAATCACAACAGTATCATCTCAGAGACTAAACAAAACCGTTGAAATCACCAACACAGATCAGAGAATCAACGGTTAAGACACAGAAAATACACATATGTATTGGTCCATAGGGAGAGACCAATGTCCATGAATGTTGATAAATGTCATTCATGCTGTAGAACATTGTAAACAACAACAAAACAAGTAAAACCATTGGTATAATAATTGCATTCATGTCCGTTTCATGTGAGCAGTGATACTAATCTATGTTGTGTTGCAGGTGAATTACAAAATGGAGTATGAGAGCTGTGTGAAGGGCACGGGCTGGGTTCCCATCGGCTCTCTGGAAGTGGAGAAGGCCAAAGCCGCCGCTAAAGCTCTGGACGAGAGAAGCTACAGACAACCTCCAACCGGCTTCAAGTTCACCAGTGGAATGGACTCTATGACCATGGAACTGGCCAAGACCAACAGCCGCAACATCAACGAGGTTCTGCTCACTCACACAGACACAGACACACACACAGACACACACACAGACACAGACACAGACACACACACACACACAGACACACACACACACAGACACAGACACACAGACACAGACACAGACACACACACACACACACAGACACACAGACACAGACACACACAGACACACACACAGACACACACACACACACACACACAGACACAGACACACAGACACAGACACAGACACACACACACAGACACACACACACAGACACAGACACACAGACACAGACACAGACACACACACACACACACACACACAGACACAGACACAGACACAGACACAGACACACACACACACACACACACACAGACACACACAGACACACACACACAGACACAGACACACAGACACACAGACACAGACACACACAGACACACACACAGACACACACACACACACACACAGACACAGACACACACACACACAGACACAGACACACACAGACACACACACAGACACAGACACACACACACACGGACACACACACACGTACACGCGAGAGAACTAAAGTTAGAATAAAAATGTGAAATCCTGATTCTCCTTCTGTTTAACCAAAATACCAAGTACCAAAACTCAACAATCAAAACAATTTGCACCAAAGAATTGCTGCAAATTGTTATAAAACTCCTCTCACATGTTGTTCTCTTTATGTGATTTCTATGTTTAGAAACTTGCTCAACTGAGGATCTAGTTTTTGAATCATTTGCTGACTTAACTTTGCTGTTGTCCCTGTGACTTGCAGAAGGACTACAGAGCCAGTGGAGAGAAGTTCATGCACACGTACCACCTTCCTGCCGACGCCCCTGAGTTCCAGCAGGCCAGATACAACGCCGTCAACGTCAGCAAAGTAAGATTTTGTTTATTTTTTCACATTTACTGTATCTCGTTGAGCGACTGCATGGACTTACAACCCCAGACTTACAATCTTTACCTTTGTCAGTTCTATCACAGGACTTTCACACCTACCGTCATTTTTGATTATGAGTCGCTTCGGAGTCAAAGTCGCACCTGCTGAAAATGCATAATAAAGAAGGAAAAACACATATATCAGCTGCATTTCTTGGGGAAATTTAAGAATTAGACATTTCATCTTGAGTCAATCTCATCGTCAATTATCTGTGAGATGCAGTTTTGATAAAGAGTAGGAGCAAAAATGTAGGTAATACAAAAAAATGTTTCTACAACACAACAAAAGCTATAGTCCTAAATTGCACTAGCCTGGTTTTACCACACCATAGTACAAATGTACATTTCGTACTAAGGTCTGGAGTTGCTTCATTGACTCCGTGAACAGGTGGGAGGGGTTAACTCCTTTTGCAGATTGAAACCATTGGATCTGAGTTTACCGTGACATATGTAATGAGCCCGAGTCTGTTGTTAGCATTTAACATTTAGCCTAGCTTTAGCCATCTCCTTTGCCGCTAACGGAGCCCGTGGGGAGTAGCGCCACAATCTTTGCCAGCGATTACATTTGCTAAACATTCTTCTTGCTCCGGCTTCAACATCTTGACAGAACCAGACCGGAATACTTTACTATCGCATTCTTCGCCAAACTACAACCTCCTCGTTCGACGCAAACTCTTGACGTCACCCACAACTAACTACAACACCCGCCTCCCACGCTCTCTGATTGGCCGGATGGACTTCAACCGATTGTAATCGCTAACACAGGGACCAGACCCAGACGTTACATGCAGGAAATGATTATTGACCGGAGTGTACGGATGGATAAGGCCAGGCTACATCAGAACTATCGCGTGAAGATTCTGTATTTAAGAATTTGGCGACTCAACAGGAGAGATTATACTTTTAAAGGATGAGGTAGAGGCCTTCGGGCACAATCCGGAAAACCTGCTAACTCAAGTACAGATGATGGGGTGATCAACCTCACATTGTTTTCTTAATCTCTTAATCTCAATCTTAATTCTCTTGCAGAACTACTACACCTACGCTCACAGACGAGACCTGCTCAAGGGACACCACATGAAGGAGGACTCCATTCCCGTGGTGGCTGCGAAGCTGTCCACCCGCATTGCCAGCGACGTGAGTAGTGAATGTGGATTAGATGAGATTATTATTATTATTAAAGGTCCAGGTGCTTTACACAGACACCACAAATGCTCACATACATCACAGAAGACATTAAAAAGACCAAATCAGACACAGGTAGGAGCTCCATCAGAGACCTCCGGGACCACAGGCAACAGATGTTATGGAGGTGAATATTCCAATAGATTTGAATAAGAGTAAATTTTCTAATAGATTTAAATACATTTTTAGTAAGTACAGTGTTAGTTCAGTTCAGTCCAGAGTTTATTTGAGTTCAGAGCGACACATACAGTTCATACAACAACAACAAAAAGAAGAATTTTGTCTAAGTGCTATATAGAGCTCAAAAAGAGTAGGCAGAAGTATAACAAAATAAAACTCAAACACCTAACCCTTCATTGCATAATTAAATAACATGTTCAAAGATTGTGTCTGTGCTTTTCACTTCACAATTAAAAACATACAAAAGAAAAACAAGTCAATTCCAAACCTCGAGTCCAGAAGAAGCATCATTAACACAGTACACAGAGGCCTACACTGCAAAAAGTGGTGAAAAGTAAGTCAAAAATCGCAAAATGTATCTTAATTCGAGCACATTTTGACTGCCTAAAACAAGATTTACTATTGGGACAAGGCAAAATGTATCTTGTTTTAAAAATATACAACAAATGTCTTCCGTGGAATGAGAAAATAAAGCGACAGTTCTTAAAATAACGGCTTGGTCCCATTGGAAAATCTGGTTTTAGAGTCAGAATGTGCTCAAAATATGACAAAAAAACCACTTATTCAAACAATTATTACTTAATATTTCATCATTCTTTGCAGTGTATGTAGTCGCCCTGTGCTTAATCAATGGAACACCAATAATAATACAGCTATTTGATTGTATTTCCCCAGTACAAGTACAAGCTGGAGTTCCAGAAAGCCAAGGGACACCATGTGGGCATCCGCAACATCAAGGACGACCCTCTGCTGGTTCACTACATGGAAGTGGCCAAACACCAGAGCGAAAAGAACTACAAGAAGGACTACCACAAGTCCAAGCTGAAGTACCACTCCCCGGTCGACATGATGAGCCTGGTCCACGCCAAAGCGGCCTCTAAAGCCCAGACCATGGCCGGGTACAGGAAGATCCCACACAGCTACTGCCTCATGCCCGACAACATGGGAATGCAGCTCTGCCGAACCATGATGGATATCCAGAGTGATGTAAGTGTGGGAAAATCAGAAACAGTGTGTCTTAGCTGGCCTGGGGACACCTGGGAACGCCTTGGGATGAGCTGGAAGCAGTGTGGGTGGAGCAGGAAGTCTTGGGTCTTTGCTGAGCTTGCTTTCCCACAGATTACTACTATAATAAAGGAAGCACTGGCGATTCCATTAACTCTTTCCTCCTTGGACGCCTATTAGGAACTACACATACATGCATTACTAGGGCTACCCATAGAGCATAACTGTATAAAAGAAAACGAATGTCCACAAGTGATTATAAATCATTTCACACTCTGAAATTTATTGAAACATAGACATATTTGGTATCTCTGTAAACCTTAGAGCTTGAACTATCCATTTATGTATGCTTAAATGTAATTAAACTAAATTACAGGTATGTAACAGCTTATTGAACATTTTATTTTACCTAGTCAGGTGCAAATTCGAAAATAAAAAATGAACTCTGCATCTGATATATACATATTCTGAACACTGTATTCATAAAAAAATGTAAAGAAAAAAATGTAAAGAAAGTATTGAGACAGGCTTCATATTACCAGATACAGTGTGAGCAAGTGTATACCTGTTTCTACCTGTTATACACCTGTGTGTACCTGACTCGTTTTTTTACATTTAGCTTATTCAACTCATTACATTTAGCTTATTCAACACATTACATTTTCAACTCATAAAGGAACTCTGAAGTGATTGTCTTTTTGGAATATAATAAAAATATAATAACAATGTAATACCAACAATATAATAACAACTGAAAAGTCTGAAAAGCCAGATTTTCAGATCTGAACCTGGTGTGACTCAGTCCTCAGGTGGATGCAACTCCCGGAAACAGTCATTGCACATGTGTGTATTACATGTTGAACACCCATATACAGTTTCATGGCGACGTTCCTTTTTGTAGCAGCTTTTACACCTGCGGTGTTTTCCTGGTAGTCGGTCAAAGGAGTGCATCATCTTGCGTTTATGCGTATCGATGAATGGAGGAGATCCACACTCATGAATGGCAGCTCTCTTTCTGCTGGAGAATTCATTGATCAACTCTTTTCCCAGCTCCAAGATGAAGTCCTTCTGGGCATAGCGCTTCTTCCTTCCCATTTGCCTGGTCGATGCCAGCTTGTAAAGAATCCAGGCATTTACACGGCAGCAGTCAACCACAAACCATAATATGTACTTCCAGTACTTTTTGCTGGCACGTGATGCTGCATACTTTTTCCTCAGCTGATCATGAACATCAACACCATTCATGTGTTGGTTGTACCTGTTGATAGCCTGGGGTTGTGGCACAGTTAATTTCGGTCTGCCCACCTGCCGTTCACAGGTAACCATTTCACTTGGATGAGCAAGGCAACTGTGAGCAACAATTACAATGCTGTTGTCATTCCAAGCTGTCACGGTGACATTGTTTCTTTGAAAGGTCATGGTGTCACCTCTCTTTGGCAGCTTTTTTTTTAGCTGCTTCTTTTGTTTCAGAGCAGGTGGGGAATATTTTCTTGTTGTCAACATTTTCCCACAAGCATATATGTGGTCTGACAGGAGATGCTCCAGCAATGAAACGGAAGAGAAAAAACGGTCAAAGTAAACACAGTGATTTAGGCCAATTAAGTCCCGTGTCATTTCGTGAATTACTCAGTATCCTAGTCCATGACGCTGCTGAAGAGGGGTCTGATCACGCTTGCCTGAATATAGTTGAAAGTCAGACATGTAAGCTGTCCGGCCATCACACCTTGCCCAACATTTTATGCCAAATTTCTCTGGCTTTTGGGGCATGTACATGCGTAGCTCTGTTCTTCCTTTGAAGCCCTTCATAGCTTCATCAATGGAGATGTCACGATCATGCTTGTAGTACATTTTGAATTTCTCACGTGCCATGTCCACTACAGGAGCCACTTTTGCGATGGGATGGTAATCAGGATGGTTTCGACCAATACGCGCTGCCGCGTGATTACAGTGCAAGTACTGAGACAGTTTCTCGTACCTGTTCACGGTCATCACGCGCTGAAACCCGCTGACACCGAGGAATGGATCTCCACACCAATAGTCCGCGTATTCATGCATGGGATTTGCACCCATGAGTATTGCCAATCCAAAAAACGCTCTAATTTCTTCCCCATCAGTCGGCATCCAGTGCTTGTCAGCGCCACTCTCTCTCGCACATAGCGCCGCGTAAGCGTTAGTTTCTGTGGCAAGTTTATCAAACATCTCATCCGGGAAGAAAAGACTGAAGTATTTCAAGGGACTAGCCTCAGAAACATCCATATTTCGTGGCAATTTTGGTTCACAATCCAGAGTAAAGTCCCCAATAGTTTGCTCACATATGACGGGACTCCAGGCAGACGCGTCTCGCAGATTCTCCTCCTTGTCAATTTCACTCGCGTCGCTGTCACTGTTTTCCACAATGTAATCCGGGTCATCCAAGTCATCACCACTCGAAAATCCATGAAACTCGGAGCCAGAGTCACTTTCTCCAAAGTAATCCTCTAAAAATTGCCGCGCCTCAGTCACTCGAAAACTTTCTCCCGCTGTCATCTTTAAAGTCCCGCTGACAGCTCGGTTCCCGAAGCTAGAGCTGTCACTACTTCGGCAAACTTCGGAGAAAAAGTTTCCTTTAATCCTATTGGTCAGACTAGTATGGGCTCTGGTAGCCCCCACCAATCACAGCTCTGTTACTAGGGGAAAACCGCAGCCTTTCCATAGGGTCGTCAAATAGCGTCTTTATTGATATAGCGGAGGTGTCAAAACACGTCATTAAGGGTACCGGGGGGGGGGCGTCAAATAACGTCATTATGGGGTAAAAGAGTTAACATTCTATTGGAAAATACATTTGACTTTGCTATTTGCAGTAAAACCACATTGGAATACATTTCAATACAGTATCAAGTTTGCCATCTCATGTTTTGTGTAGTTTGTTTATCAACTATGAAGTTTAGAAGTGAATGTGTGGTAGATATGTGGGTATAGGTCTGAGGCTGTGACATAAATATTGCTTCTAGCGCGACTAGTTTTTAATTAAAGGAGCATGTTTTATTAATGCCTTTTGACAGATTAGGGCCCTTTAATGATGACTTAACATGAAAATCTTACATATTGCTGCTTAAATTAATAAAAAGTATTGTAAAAAATTGATTAATTGTTTTCATTTGGAGAGAACTATTTTATCCCAAAGGCTTAAAATACTTTCCGTGGAGTAGACCAACATTGGATTGGCTGACCATTCCATCACCTTGAACCCTCTTTTCTTTCTTCATCAGAACAATTACAAGTCTGAGTACAACAACTACAGCAGAGGCACCGGGTGGATTCCCATCGGCTCCATTCCGGTGGAGTTGGCGAAGACCGCTACGTCTGCCCTGGACGACAAAGGCTACCGTCAACACCCCAGCAGCTTCAAGTTCACCAGCAAAACCGACGCTATGCACATGGCCCTGGCTCTGGCCAACACCAAGATCATGGATAATGTGAGGAGGCAATAGTTAGGTTTGGATGGATGGATGGATGGATGGATGGATGGATGGATGGATGGATGGATGGATGGATGGATGGATGGATGGATGGATGGATGGATGGATGGATGGATGGATGGATGGATGGATGGATGGATGGATGGAAGGATGCGTGGATGAAGGATAGATTGATGAAGGATAGATTGATGAAGGATAGATTGATGGATGGACGGGTGGATGAAGGATAGATTGATGGATGGATGGGTGGATGAAGGATGGATGGATGGATGGATGGATAGATTGATGAAGGATGCGTGGATGAAGGATAGATTGATGAAGGATGCGTGGATGAAGGATAGATTGATGGATGGATGGGTGGATGAAGGATAGATGGATGGATGGATGGATGGGTGGATGAAGGATAGATCGGTGGGTGAATGGATAGATGAATGGATGGATGGATTGATGGATGGGTGGGTGAATGAAGGATAGATGGATGGATGAATGGATGAAGGATAGATCAATGGGTAGATGGATGGATGAAGGATAGATGGATGAATGGATGAAGGATCGATGGATGGATGAAGGATAGATGAATTGATGAAGGATAGATGAATGGATGGATGAAGGATAGATGAATTGATGAAGGATAGATGGATGGATGAAGGATAGATGAATGGATGGATGGATGAAGGATAGATGAATGGATGGATGGATGAAGGATAGATGAATGGATGGATGGATGAAGGATAGATGAATGGATGGATGGATGAAGGATAGATAAATGGATGAATGGATTGTTGGATGGGTGGGTGGATGAAGGATAGATGGATGAAGACTGTCTGTCATATGTATGTGAACAGCTTATTACAAACAAATAGTTTTCCATCATTTACAACAGTTGAGAGTAAATATTTAAAATGTTAGCATAAACCCTGTCGTTAGCATGTGTACAAACATAGCTATATCGTCCAAATGATGCTACAAACAATATCTTTCATTTGTTGGGTCTTTCGCAGGCGACTTACCGAGCTAACGGCGAGAAGTTTGTGCACACATACAACCTCCCTGCAGACAGCCCAGGGTTCCTCCAGGCTAAGTTCAACGCCCAGACCCTGAGCGAGGTAATGGCCTAAACATCTAAACGTCTAAACACACAAAACAAATGGAATGTAATGATGGATGTGCGTTCTCTCTGCAGAGTCACTATAAGCACAAGTGGCTGGAGACCATCGCTAAAGGCTACGACATGAGGCCTGATGCTATCTCCGTCCTCCACGCCAAGCAGGGAAGACACATCGCTAGTGACGTAAGTCATTTCTGTCACTAGAAGATTATAGGCAGAAGAGAAGAAGAAGAAGACATTTTCATAGCTTTTCCACATTTATTTATTTATTTATTAAGTCTACACAATCAACATGTGAGACACTACAGCATTTATAGCCAAGGCTAATTTTCAATATCCGTCCTTAGAAGTAACCTGGCAAGAGCCAGATTGATGATTGTGTAGAACTCTAATGCGTTCTCCACAATATCAATCTGGGACTTCTGCAGGAGAATCCTTTCGGGGAAAGGAGGGATAAGCAGCAGAATACTTCAAGCTGATTGGGCGAAGTGACGCTGTGTGCCCGCCTACCAAGGTTGCCGTCCAGAAATGCAAAAAGCGCCTCTCGCTGTTCATCTTTCAAAAAAGAAATTGGAGATTCTGCTAAACATGTAGCCATGTTTGTTTTGCTTCGGCCAGGCACTTCTTGCTTTCGTCAAACCCGGATATCCCGCCCTAAACCCCCAGACTGGCGCGTGATTGGCTTGAACACCTTGATGTTCTACTCGAAAAGGGTTGGCGGGAGCGGGACAAGATGCATTCTCGAGTGTTTGTGAACTCACAAATACCGCGAGAATTCAGCTTGCAGGCAAGGTTACCTTAGAAGGGCTTTTAGCACAATTAAAAACACATTATACATTATTGCATTAACATTATACCAAGGCAGGTGTCGTTCAACTCATCAATGATCACACAACTGGTTTGTTTAAAATAAATCGCTTCAGTTCGTTTCAGCCCAGTTAGAGTTCAGTTTTAACTGAGGGCTTAAAGAGTTTGCCCCTGGACCGAGAAGACAGAATGTCCGAATGTGGCTCTCCTAAGGGAATCACAAAATCCCCGTTAGAGGAGCCTCGTGTGACGGACTTCAGAGGAACTACGAAACCACACAGGACAGTAGGGGCTAATATTTGTACAGTAATTTACAGTCAAATGATCAAAAACATGGTACAGTTAGTTCCCCTAAAATTTACTCTCTCAAAGTTATTCTCATATATAGCTATTTATGCATGTTTGATACTCTCATATTCTCCCCTGATCTCAGTCACCTGACCAGTCCATCTATGGGCCCTCTGCATTTTATCATATGTTTTAGCAAATGTTAAATATGACCATGACACTTCTGGATATATGACACATGTTGTGGAAAGAGCTGTATTCTGTGTGTTTTAATTAGAGTAACATACAAAACATAAAAAAAGCATTGCAACAGATAGATGTGCAACACTATGTCCTGGGAGAATGCTGCCCTGAGAACACACAAACACACACACAGTCAATATAAAAGGGTAATATAGCTGTAGAACTTGGTGCCGGTGCAACTAGCTAAGCACCATCCGAGGAGCAGTCTGCAGCAGGAGCAGAGAACAGGGGTGCATTCTTGATGAACCGGACCACCACAGCTCCAGCCGATCACCCAGTGTAGAGGGTTAGGGTCAGGGTTAAGGCTTATTCTTCAATAGTCTGACCTCTGCTGGACAAAAGAGGAATTACACAGATAAAACACAGCTGTAACTCTGTCTTCTTTGAGTTAAGGTTCTGCAATAGTCTGACCTCTGCTGGACAAAGAAGGGATTACACAGATATCTTCACTATAAACCACAACTGTATCTCTGTCTCTTTTTGTCTTAGGTCCAGTATAAGAAAGAGTTTGTCAAATCCAAGGGGAAAATGGTGGGGTGCCGCAGCATAAAGGACGACCCTCTGCTGGTTCACTACATGGAAGTGGCCAAACACCAGAGCGAAAAGAACTACAAGAAGGACTACAACAAGTCCAAGCTAAAGTACCACTCCCCGGTCGACATGATGAGCCTGGTCCACGCCAAAGAGGCCTCTAAAGCCCAGACCATGATCGGCTACAAGAAGATCCCACACAGCTTCTTCCTGTTGCCCGACAATCTGCACCTGCGCCTTTGCCGTACGATGAACACCCAGGCTAGTGATGTAAGTGGCAATTTCATACATTACCAAAATACATAGATGTTTTAGGGAAGTATTTACTAGCAATAGCAGCTTTGTACAGTCTCGCATATAAATTGTACCTTTTTCCACACTCTAGACTGAGTACAAATCTGAATACAACAACTACGTGAGGGGAGCCGGCTGGGTTCCCATCGGCTCGATCCCGGTAGAGACGGCGAGAGTCGGTGGAGAGATTCTGAGCGAGAGGAAATACCGCACTCATCCTTCCATCTTCAAATCCCAAAAACTCATGGACTCGATGGACGTCGCTCTGGCCACTGCCAACAACCAGATCATGAACAAGGTATGTTTTGACTGCAATGAATGAATGAATAAAATAAATAAAACATGTCTGAGAAACTTCTGACTCATGTTTGGATTGTGTTGCTTTTGGTTGTTATAGCAAGCCTACACAGCCAAATGGGAGAAGGACAAGACCACAATCCACGTCATGCCTGATGCTATGGATGTGGTGCTGGCTAAAGCTAACTCCATCACCATGAACCAGGTAAAGGACTTTAGCACCATTTTCACCAGCTCTACTTGGCTCTACACGACCCTACTCGGCTCTACTCTACCCCGATTGGAAGTGTTTCCACCTGCACTTGGTACTTTTTTTGGTACCTGCTTGGTCCTGGTTCTATCAAGGCCGAGCTGATAAGTCTTCAGACTGACAGCCATCGACCAGAGAGCCGCTGGAAGCCATTGCAAGGATACCAGATACTAAAGCTAATGGAAACACAACCAGGTAGAGTCAAACCGAGTAGAGTGGGGCCAAGTAGGGCTGGTGGAAACAGGGCCTTACATTATGATGGCATTTAATATAAATGCATCGGTTTTATATAGCACTTTTTTGGACACCCAAAGACACTTTACATGTCATTATTCTTTCACTCCATACACAGTGGTGATAAACTACTACTGTAGCCACAGCTGCCCTGGGGCACAATGACAGAAGCGAGGCAACCAGTTTTTGCCATCGGCCCTGTTCCATTTAAATTTATAAACTGGTTTTGTGTTGTTCCACTGATATAAAACATACAGTAATTCATAGAGAATACCCCGATTGGGAGCTCTTCCACCGGCACTTGGTACTTTTTTGGTACCCGCTTGGTCCTGGTTGTATCCAGGACCAAGGGCTTGTGGAAACGGGGCCTAACATTGATTCAAAACACAATTCATAAATAAATGCTTGGATTGCAGGAGAAATGCAGGTGTCCAGTAGCAGCAGAAAAGCATCCATCCACACAAACAAAACAAATAAATACTGTAGATCATTCTAAAAATAGCTAAAATACAACAGTCCTTCAGGTCACAGCAGCAAAGGTGGAGCTTGGTTCTGACCATTTTCTCTGCTCTGGTCCAAAGTAAAATGCTAAATGCTTCATTAGCATTTTTCTAAAAGTTAGCATTCCTCCAGTGGATTTTCACCTGATCCACTTGGTTCGGACCATGAATCCTCTCTGCTCTGGTCTGGAACAGTCCAAAACCATGAACTTGAAATTTTCACTTCAACAAGGACAATGCAGCCTCTGTGTTTTCATTGTGTAATAACATGTGTTTATTTGACATTCTCCAGAAATTGTACAAAGCCGGTGTGATGGAGATGGCTCTCAAAGGACACAACATGAAAGCTGATGCTATCCCAATTCTTGCTGCTAAGAGTGGAACCATTATCGCCAGCGACGTAAGTGACACATTTATGACGCAGTTTCTTACGAATGACATATGAACTAAAATGTCTGGATTCATTTTTCTAGTACAAGTACAAGCTGGCGTTCCAGAAAGCCAAGGGACACCATGTGGGCATCCGCAACATCAAGGACGACCCTCTGCTGGTTCACTACATGGAAGTGGCCAAACACCAGAGCGAAAAGAACTACAAGAAGGACTACCACAAGTCCAAGCTGAAGTACCACTCCCCGGTCGACATGATGAGCCTGGCCCACGCTAGAGCCGCCTCAAAAGCCCAAACTAATGCTGGATACAAGCAGATCTCTCACAGCAACCTCCTGATGCCCGATGCTATGAATTTGGTGTTGGCACGGTCCATGAACACCATCTGCAGCGATGTGAGTTTAATAATTCAATATTTATGTTTTCTATAAGAAGTACCAGCGACATTTTGGAATACTTTTGAGTCCCTACTTTGCCAAACACAAAATAATACCATTCAATTTATTTGTGTACAGTACTAAATCACAATAGTAGTTATCTCGGCGGACTTCACTGAGCTGTCGATTCTCCAGCAAAGATCAGAAAATCAAACAGCTCAAACACAGGAAATGTAATGATAGAAATTGCTTAGATTCCTTGGTCCATCAGCGTTTATAAATGTTTATAAATGTCATTAATGTTGAGTGTCCTGGATCGAAACCCCTGTCCTCAGACCCTCCTGCATGTTAAAACTACACGACGACCGTATTAAGCCTTTACAGTTTCCTCACTCTGTGCGAGCTGCTTGTTAGAAACACAAAGTTAGCGATGTATTTGTGAAGCTGGGCTCTATTTTGTGATGAAAGTTCAAGAATTCAACATTTACATTTCAAATCTGAACTACCATCGACATTTTGATAACGTTTAGTCCCGGCGATGCCAAACAAATACACATTAGCTGCGTTTCCATTGAGCATCAAATTTCGAAGTTTGAATTTGCGCATCATAAAATGTCTAATGGAAACGCGCAAATTTCAAATAAACCACAGTTTTTCAATAAAAAGTTAATGCGCTTAAAATCGGTGGTTTTTTGGACGTATCGAAATTAAGTTTTTCGCAAAACGGCAATGGAAACACTTATTTCGATATAGCGGAGGAAGCCGGGTGTTGATAAACCCAAAACATACATCTCTGATCATCAGCTGATCGTCCACAACAGCCTGCAGGGTAATGGACGGCCACCCTTTCCTGTTAACGTAATCCCTGTAGCCATCCTTCGGGGCACGAATAGGGATGTGTGATCCATCTATTGCTCCATAGATTTGTGGCAAGCCCTGCGCTGCGTAATTACGCATGGCAATTTATTTTGCCTCATTCACATCTGGCAATGCGATGTATTTCTTCATTAGTTTTTTACATAACGCCTTACACACCCCATAAACACAACGATGGACTGTGGTCTTGCTCAGTCCAAATGTCTCAACCACTTCTCTATACTCCGCGCAAGTAGCCAGTTTATAGATAGCAATGGCAATGCTATGTGGGAACTGCCTCTCTAGGGCAGTGTGCAGCGGGAGCCACAAGCTGCCCCACCGCTTCGCACAGCTCCTCAAATGTTGTGCGCGTCATTCTGAAGTTTTGGATCCATAGTTCCTCTGTGAAATCATGTACCACGACTTCCCAAAAGGTTCTCATCCGCATCCTCTCCCAAGTATACGGAGATCGCCGCTCCATTACACTCAGAAGGAGATGCCACCAACGCTTAATCCGGTTAAGGATGAGAGCCGCAGCAGAAGTCAAGACATTAATATATCTCACGTAAATCAAAGTGTTGTTTACTTCTGTTGCCATGTTGACGTACTAGAAGCTAGTGAATAAACGCGCGAAAATAGTGTATACTTATTCGAATATGTCTTAATGGAAACGGCCGCTTTTGCGAATTACAGATTTTTCGAATTTTGAAATGTATCGAAAAAGTTTTTGCGCATTATTCAATGGAAACGCAGCTACAGACAGGTGTAAAATTGCCTCAGAAGCCGTCGGAGAGCGAGAACATACGAATGACATGTTGAAGTTTCTTAGCTCACTGCTTCTAAAATAGTCCTGTACAATATTGACTCACTAAAACTAAAACAAACTATATTTAAAACCATGACTGAGTTTAAAATGCTCACTTCTGGAGCTAAGTCTTGGCTGAAATCGAAACAGAATTGTACCCATTTTTTAATTTGTAAATAGCACTGAGTTTGTGTAAATGATTCAAACAGTGGGCAAGTTTTTAAGATATTGAAAATGTTTATGTAGTGTGGAAAGGCCCAACCAGGGACTGGAGTTAGCAACATTATCAATAGCGCTAAACTCTTTTTGCATCGCATCAGTTAAAGCTTGTTTTGTTCTGTTGACTTACAATGTCCCTGTCAAAGAAATGAACAAATAACAACTACATTTGTGACCAAAGCCGTTTAAGTTTCCTCACTCTGTGCTAGCTGCTTGTTAGAAACATAAACGTTAGCGATGTATTCTGGAAGCTGGGTTCTGTGCTGTGCTTTTGGGAGTTGTTTTTCTTAGATTACAGTCAAAGCACATTTACACACAGACGATTTCGCCCAAAGCTCCACTTTCTATTTATGTAAATTCAAGATTAGCACTTTCCATTCAAATGCATGGCCCTTTCAGGATATTGCAAAGAAAAACGGCAAAGAAATGGCCCATCATTCCTTCAAAGAGGCGCTCGATTCATTAGGTAAAATGAATGAACGCAATCAAATGATAAACATCTCTCTGCGGCGGCACAAATATGAGTTCATCTGAAGTGATAAGAAGTCTCTGTATTGGTGCTAATTCATCCAGGACTCTTTATGGCATGTTAAACGGAGGTAAAGAGAGACGCTCCTGCCTGCTACTTTAAGCTAACAATATTCAATTCAAGTAATTTTTGTATAGCCTAAGTCACAACAGCAGGAGAAATTTACAAAGTTGATGATTTGCCAAGAAGAGAGCAGAGAATCAAACAGTTAAAACGCAGAAAATACAATAATACCGAACACATATTGGTTCATAGGGAGCGGGAAGACCGTAAATGTCCTGGATCATCTCTGTCCTTAGACACTGCATCAGCAAGAAACAACAAAAAACACATTTGGGAAGATAGAGGGAGAGAGGGTTCCACTCCCAAGGACAGATGGGTATAGATCCAGGACTCAGGCTGTAGAATGAGGGCTGAGGAGGTTCCCAAGTGGGGGGGGGGGGGGGGGGGGGGCAGAGAAGGACGCCATGAAACAGACAATGGGACAGCGGGTGAATAGCAATGAACAGACGACAGATGGACCGCCTTTTCACTGCACATCGGAGTCTCAAAGCGGTTTACAATTGTGAATTTTGCTAGTGGGGTTGCCAGTACAGGAGGCACATGCCAGACCTATTGTACATATTTTTAGTGGTAGGGGAAACCGGAGCACCCGGAGGAAACCTACGCAGACACGGGGAGAACATGCAAACTCCACTCAGAAAGGCCCTGGTCCAACCGGGATTCGAACCCAGGACCTTCTTGCTGAGAGGCGAGAGTGCTATCCACTCAGCCACCGTGTATATATATATATATATGTTTTGCTTGTTTTCAGGTTGAGTACAAATCTGAATACAACAACTACGTGAGGGGAGCCGGCTGGGTTCCCATCGGCTCGATCCCGGTAGAGACGGCGAGAGTCGGTGGAGAGATTCTGAGCGAGAGGAAATACCGCACTCATCCTTCCATCTTCAAATCCAAAAAACTCATGGACTCGATGGACGTCGCTCTGGCCACTGCCAACAACCAGATTATGAACAAGGTATGTTTCGACTGTGATGAATGAATGAATAAAATAAATAAAACATGTCTGAGAAACTTCTGACTCATGTTTGGATTGTGTTGCTTTTGGTTGTTATAGCAAGCCTACACAGCCAAATGGGAGAAGGACAAGACCACAATCCACGTCATGCCTGATGCTATGGATGTGGTGCTGGCTAAAGCTAACTCCATCACCATGAACCAGGTAAAGCAGTGATTCTCGAATAGGCTGGAGTTTTCCTTTACACACAAGTTTTCAAGGAGACAGGACAGATGTGTTAAGACGTCGAAAGAGGGGGTGGGAATCAATCCTTCCATTCCTTTTCAAGTAGTGGGAATCAGTGTTCTTACAACCACTGCTTTTTGTTGTTGTAAATAATGTACATGTTTTCATTGTCTGCTTGAAATTAAGTATCACTTTCTAAGGTTGTGTAGCACTGTAGCTCTGAGGTTGATCAAAATCATCTTTAAAACTTGTTATTTTTAGTCTTGCTGCTTTCTCAAACAAGTTTCTCACCTTGTTAACAGATTTAGTATCATGGCCCCTTTTAGATGACACTATGGAGTAATCGTAGCAACAGCAAACATATCACTGGGCTGCAGAACGGAACGTTTTAAGAGGTCCCTTGTTTCTTTGGCTGTCAGACTGTACAACAAACCTGTCTGAGTTTGAAATGTGCACTATTGTTAGCTAGTGAGAAATGTTTATAAGTGATATACTTGTGTGTAGTTTGGTTGTGTTTTCTGCTGCTGGACACCTGAATTTCTCCTACGAGGGATCAATAAAATATCTATCTATCTCTCCATCTCTCCATCCATCTATCCACCTACCTACCTATTATCTATCTTTGGTGCTTTAGCCAACCTGAGTGATAACATGTTTATTTGACACTTTTATCCCCAGAGCTTATACAAAGCCGGAGTGATGCAAATGGCTCTCAAAGGACACAACATGAAAGCCGATGCTATCCCAATCGTAGCTGCTAAGAGTGGAACCATTATTGCCAGCGACGTAAGTATTTAAAAACCCAGATTTAGACCTAACAACATGCGGTATTTACAAAAATGTCTGGATTCATTTTTCTAGTACAAGTACAAGCTGGCGTTCCAGAAAGCCAAGGGACACCATGTGGGCATCCGCAACATCAAGGACGACCCTCTGCTGGTTCACTACATGGAAGTGGCCAAACACCAGAGCGAAAAGAACTACAAGAAGGACTACCACAAGTCCAAGCTGAAGTACCACTCCCCGGTCGACATGATGAGCCTGGTCCACGCTAGAGCTGCCTCAAAAGCCCAGACCAATGCTGGATACAAGAAGATCTCTCACAGCAACCTCCTCCTCCCTGACGCCATGAACCTGGAACTGGCTCGTAAGATGCAGTTCATTGCCAGTGATGTAAGTTTGTGTGTTAAATAAGTAGATATTTTAAAGATACTGATGAACGCCAAAATCGCCAGTGGTGTTTCTGTCTGTACAGCGCTTTGGTAAGCCTAGGCCGATCATTTTATAGACCAAAAGGGTTGGCGCTCTGAAGGTATTTTGTCTAACCCTGCAGTAATTACAAACTTTACCGCTGCCATTTGCTTACATACCCATTTGTGAATGTCAAACCAACTCATCTGAAATCCAACAACCCAATTAAACATTAGAAATCTTATAAAATATTCTGATGTATAGAAAGACAAAAAACGTATAATATTTTTTGTTCATGATGTGCCTCCATAAGGGGTTGTCCAAGACCTTTTACAGTTGAAAATGTGCACACCCAGGCCAAAATTCTGACCTCATAGGCCATTGTTTGGAGAGTATGAATGATAACGCATGAACTAATGTTAAACAGAAACTACTCAAATTACCCTGATTAGAAGTTTCCATCCCTAAATTTGTGTAGGCTCTCAGTCGCACTGGGATTATTCAAAACAAAGCAAGGTTGCTCACCCATCATCTGTACTTCAGTTAGCAGGTTTTCCGATGTTTCGTTCTTAATCCAAAGATTCCCTAGTTCTCAATAGTGGTTGGTGTTAACAGAGACTGCCCTTTTAACACCAATGACTACTCTACTCTTGTGGTGGAGGCTCTTTATCCTCTCTGATGTTAAAGATGCCCATTCTTTTCGGCAAAAAGTCTTCAGTTCCTGTAACTTCCTGAGCTTTTTAGCATAAACTACACATTTCATTTCTAGGACATTATATGCCTTCACACAACCACTAACTAATACTATTTGTGCACTCTCTGTTCATTGTTCTCAGAATCAGTACAAGAGTGAGTACGAGAGCTGCTTCAAAGGCCTGGGATGGGTGCCCATTGGGTCCGTGGCCGTGGAGTTGGCCAAACTGGCGGCTCAGAGTTTACGCGAGAGGGGTTACCGCCAACACCCAAGCCAGTTCAAGTTCACCAAAGACATGCAGTCTATGGATGTGGCTCTGGCAACTCTCAACAACCAGATTATGAACAAGGTACCACATCACTCATTCTATGGAGAAAGAAATGAGAAATTGTGATTGGCATTCTCTCTTAACATTATTATTCACTACAATTAGGATTTACTGATATGGTTGAATTGTGCAGAAAAAAACAGGTTTCTCTCTCTGTGTCTTCAGCAAGCCTACACTAAAGCCTGGGAGAAGGACAAGACATCTATACACATTATGCCTGATGCCATGGACATTGTTCTGGCTCGTGATAACAAAAAGAACTTCAGCGAGGTACGACATTAGTTCATTACAAAACAAAGATTTTTCAACATTCAGACGTATTGATTTGTGTGTTTTTGTTTCCAGAAACTGTACACGCTGGACAATTACTTGGCGAAGAAGAAGGGACACCATTACCGTGCTGACGCCATCTCTGTCCAAGCTGCCAAGGCCACCACAGCCATCGCCAGTGACGTAAGTATCAGGACGTTTCTGCCTTATTCAATTAATCAACATTTCTTTGTACTGCACAGTAAACCCAAAACTTTATCGCTTCAGTATCTTATAACAAACAAATTGCTAACTTTAACTTTTATTTCCTGAGGCTTTTATTATTACTCATTGAACGTTTCTAATGGGGATCATTTTGCGACATTGGATAAGTCACATAGTCGAGACCCTTCACAGACCTCTGTAAGGTTACGGGGGCTCTTTCATGCACTCTGGTGGCCAAGTGGTGTATTACAACTACATACAGGAGACAAGACCAATGTCAAAACTGACCAATGTCTGGCCAATTGGATGTTTTGAAAGCACATTGACTCAATCTCTGTTCCTCCGTTCATTATTTTTCTTGTATTTAAACATTTTGACATTGGTCTCAGTGATGCTGTATTATGAGCGGCACGGTGGCTGAGTGGATAGCACCTTCTCTTCTCAGCAAGAAGGTCATCGGTTTGAATCCCGGTCGGAACAGGACCTTTCTGAGTGGAGTTTGCATGTTCTCCCCGTGTCAGCGTAGGTTTTCTCCGGGTGCTCCAGTTTCCCCTACCGCTAAAAACAAGTACAATTGTTCTGGCATGCGCCTCCGCTGAAGTTCTTTGTCACCCTGGTCTGAGAAAGGTGCTATATATATATATATACATATGATTACTTCCTCACATTAATTGGCACAGCTTGTTATCGTTCACTCTTCGCAAGGATTCAAAACAGAGACTACTGATGATGTGTGAATGATCAGAGTATGTTGTTTTTGTTCCATCTCTAGTACAAGTACAAGGCCGGATACCGTAAGCAGGTCGGGCATCACATCGGAGCTCGCAGCATCGAGGACGATCCTCTGCTGATGCTGGCTCTGAACAACGCCAAAATTGCCAGTGACGCTCTGTACAAGAAGGACTTCCACAAATCCAAGACCAAGTTCCATCTGCCCGTGGACATGATCGCCTTCGAACTGGCCAAGAAGAACCAGATCCAAGTGAACCACGCCAACTACATCACAAGGCTGCACAACTGGACCTGTCTCCCCGACTCCACCGATGTGGTCCAGGCCAGAGCTGCCTACGACATCCAGAGCGACGTAAGTTACGCTATTTCCATCAATAAACCATATGATCAGTTTTCCAGACAGTATGTTATTAAACAAAAGATATGCTTCCATTCATAGGCTGTGTACAAAGCAGATCAGAAGTGGCTCAGGGGTATGGGATGGGTGCCCATTGGTTCAATCGATGTTGAGAAAGTCAAATACGCTGGTAAGATCCTTGACGAGAAGAATTATCGCCAGCATCCATGCAACTTCAAGTTCACCAGCACTGCCGAAGACATGCCCATGGCTTTGGCAAAGGCGAACAACCAAATCATGAACAAGGTATGTCCGCTGAACGCCTATTGTCTTCTATTATGTTTGTATTTGCGGACATGGCGGATCTTTTTTATATTGAATTCCTCTAAACCTGTTTGCAGAGTGCCTACACAGCCGCCTGGGAGAAGGACAAAACTACTGTCCACATTATGCCTGACGCCATGGATGTTGTTCTTGCCAAAGCCAACAAATCCAACTACAGTTTGGTACGCTTTTAGCTCCGTAACCCTTAAGTAGATTATTTCAAACATGTCTGTGTTTTTGCTCGATATTTATGCTGATTTTTCTTATGTTTCAATTCAGAATTCATACAAGCAGGCTCATGAAGCGGCTAAGAAGAAGGGTTACGACCTGCGCCAAGATGCTATTTCCATTTTGGCGGCCAGGGCTTCAAGAGACATTGCCAGTGATGTAAGAAGGCCTAGGTTTTGTTCTAGGCTTCCCAATCCAACACCTGAGTTAATCTTCCATCGCTTTGTCTTTGCAGTACAAGTACAAGGCCGGATACCGCAAGCAGGTCGGCCATCACATCGGTGCTCGCAGCATTGCTGACGATCCTCTGCTGATGCTGGCACTGAACAACGCCAAAATCGCCAGTGACGCTCTGTACAAGAAGGACTTCCACAAATCCAAGACCAAGTTCCATCTGCCCGTGGACATGATCGCCTTCGAACTGGCCAAGAAGAACCAGATCCAAGTGAACCACGCCAACTACATCACAAGGCTGCACAACTGGACCTGTCTCCCCGACTCCAACGATGTGGTCCAGGCCAGAGCTGCCTACGACATCCAGAGCGACGTAAGTAAAACATTTTCTCTGACTATTTTTATACGTGTACTCCTAGTTATGAAGAACACAGGGGCAGCTCTGGTTTGATCATATCTTCACTGACTTCCAGTACGACAAGAAACTAGAGCAAATTTGCCAAGTGCTGCCATGACAAGCTTTGCTGGAACTTCTGAAACTCACAAATAAGGTTTTAGACATTGAAAGACATAACCTTTCCTTCCTGGCTGTAACTCCCAAAATGCATCAGCTGATTCTGTGGAACTGCATGCTCCTGCGTTTGGTTGAAATAAATGAATAAATAAGAATTCTTCAAGAAAAGTCAAATAGAAAAGTCTTTAGTTTTCTATGTTTATACTATCTCCTGTTTTTCCACTTTCCTATTGTGACCTATAATTGTAAAGCACATTGTTATTGCCATGTTAAAGCTTTACACATGCTTGCTTACTTCTACACCCTTGTTCTCATCTACAGGCTGTATACAAGGCTGATCTGAGGTGGCTCAAGGGAACAGGATGGGTGCCCATTGGTTCAGTTGATGTGGAGAAAGCTAAATACGCTGGCAAGATCCTTGAAGAGAGAAGCTATCGCCAGCACCCAAGCAACTTTAAGTTCAAGATGACCACAGAAGACATGCCCATGGTTCTGGCCAAGGCCAACAACCAGAACATGAACAAGGTAAGGATGGGTTTCCCTGTTTGAATGAATGTAGCCGTCAGGGGTTATCTTGCATGTACTGTATCATGTTCCTAATCTCTCATGTTGTTTTTTGTTTGCAGACCTCCTACGTTGAAGCCTGGAACAATGATAAGACCAAAATCCACGTTATGCCTGATGCCATGGATATCCTCCTGGCCAAAGCCAACAATTATAACTTCAGCGAGGTATGTAGAAACAGACCAAACATGTTTATAATAATGATAATACATTTTATTGATATAGTGTCTTTCTGGGCACTCAAGGTACCCTTAAAGTAGTGCCAGGTTAAAAGCAAAAAACTCTTAAAACCAGACATTTACAAATGGACAGTGAAATCTAGGCTCTTACAGTCTATGATAAGGTCACAGTGAATAGGCCAGTCTGAATAGATGTGTTTTATGTGTTTGGATATATTGTGTTTACTTGACAATCTTTGTGTTATCATTTCTTCACAGAAAGCGTACAAGCAGGACTACATGGATGCCAAGAAGAAGGGCTATGACTTGCGCCAAGATGCAATTTCCGTTTTGGCCGCAAAGTTAGGAAGGGACATTATCAGTGATGTAAGCAGAGAACAGCACTTTTACCCCATTCGAATGTATATAAGACTAATTACTAACTCACATGTCGGGATATTTTCTCCAGTACAAGTACAAGACTGGATACCGTAAGCAGGTCGGACATCACATCGGCGCTCGGTGTGTCCAAGACGATCCTCTGCTGATGCTGGCTATAAACAACGCCAAAATCGCCAGTGACGCTCTGTACAAGAAGGACTTCAACAAATCCAAGACCAAGTTCCATCTGCCCGTGGACATGATCGCCTTCGAACTGGCCAAGAAGAACCAGATCCAAGTGAACCACGCCAACTACATCACAAGGCTGCACAACTGGACCTGTCTCCCCGACTCCACCGATGTGGTCCAGGCCAGAGCTGCCTACGACATCCAGAGCGACGTAAGTTAAAGCAGTTAAAGTTATTTTTGATAAAGTTTTGGTCTAAAATATTCTACCGTATTCCACAGGCGGTGTACAAGGCGGATCTGAAGTGGCTCCAGGGTCTGGGATGGGTGCCCATTGGGTCAGTTGATGTTGAGAAAGCTAAATACGCTGGAAAAATCCTTGAAGAGAGAAGCTATCGCCAGCATCCCAGCAGTTTCAAGTTCAAGCTCACGACTGAAGACATGCCCATGGTTTTAGCCAAGGCTAACAACCAGAATATGAATATGGTATGGAGTCAACCAACAGCTATAAAGTTTGATAAATGTTGAATAAAAATCTCTATTTCTGTCCAAATAGAAATCATATGTTGAAGCTTGGAACAATGACAAGACAAACATTCACATTATGCCTGATGCAATGGATGTCCTCTTGGCTAAAGCTAACAATGTCAACTACAGTGAGGTAAGCACCATCAAAACATAGCTACAATCTCTTGCATGTTTTTAGAATTTTACGTCACGTTTGATATTGATCATCTTTTGCAGAAAGCGTACAAGCAGGCGTATGTGGACGACAAGAAGAAGGGCTACGACCTGCGCCAGGACGCTATTTCAATTCTGGCGGCCAAAGCGGGCAGAGATATCGTCAGCGATGTAAGATGACAATTATATGCTTGATATTCTTTGCTAGGAAAGCTTTCAATGGTAGTTTTGATGTTTTTTGAGACTAGGGACCATTGAATATTAAAATGTTCTTCAACGAGAAGGAATACACGATTTATACTCTGCCCCATAGGTGTGACAGATCTTATTCATGACTAAATATCTCTCTCTGACCTCTCTCTAGTCTCTCACTCTGGTCTCTCTCTGGTCTCTCTCTCTCTCTGGTCTCTTTCTCTGGTCTCTTTCCAGTCTCTCTCTCTGGTCCCTCTTTCTGGTCTCTCTCTCATCTCTTTCACTCTGATCTCTTTCTCGTCTCTCTTTATGGTCTCTCTGTCATCGGGCACTCTCTGGTCTCTCTCTCTCTCTGGTCTCTTTTACTTATCTCTCTCTCATCTCTCTCTTTTTGGTCTCTCTCTGGTCTCTCTCTTGTCAGTGAGGCTAATCTCAATAAGACATTGCTAATCTGTTTATATTCTTGAGTGCTTATTATTCCAGGATGTGCATAGTAGTTTGTTTTTGTGTATTTTTGTGTCCTAGTTCTGTACTATATCATTCTGATATGAAAAGTCTTACTCTAATTGTGACTTTGGGTGGTGGATATGCTCAAAAGCTTCTTGCTTCAGCCCACTCCTTTTTGAGCAAAATGAAGACTGTTCAAATAAATAAAATGATTTGTATGTTTTCTTCCAGTACAAGTACAAGACCGGATACCGTAAGCAGGTGGGTCACCACATCGGCGCTCGCTGTGTCCAGGACGACCCCCTGATCATGCTGGCTCTGAACAACGCCAAAATCGCCAGTGACGCTCTGTACAAGAAGGATTTCAATCAATCCAAGACCAAGTTCAACCTCCCTGTAGACATGATCGCCTTCGAACTGGCCAAGAAGAACCAGATCCAAGTGAACCACGCCAACTACATCACAAGGCTGCACAACTGGACCTGTCTCCCCGACTCCACCGATGTGGTCCAGGCCAGAGCTGCCTACGACATCCAGAGCGACGTAAGCTAATCTTTTTCACCCAACATTTTAAACATACCTGTCATTTTAAAAATATGTTCTTGTATTCCCCAGGCTGTGTACAAAGCTGATCTGAAATGGCTGCAAGGTCTCGGCTGGGTGCCCATAGGTTCTTTGGATGTGGAGAAAGCCAAGAAAGCTGGCGAGATTCTGAGTGAGCGAAAGTATCGTCAGCATCCAAGTACAGTGCCGTTTAAGAGTCTCACTGACGCCATGAATATGGTCCTTTGCAAGAACAATGCACAAATTATGAACCAGGTATGACTGCATTTACATTACAACTTCTAGAGCTGTAAAAAGTGGTGGATTACATACAGTAAACAAAATTCAGATCTAGTATACTACAAATCTATTTATATTCAAAAAGTAGTATGTTGACAACGCTTTCTAAATATATAACATTTACATATGTCTTTGTCCATGTATAGCTGGACATTCTCTAAGTCCCCAACAGTAGTATACCATTAAGTAGGTTACTTAAATTACCTTCAGTGGTGGGTAATGCATAAACAAAAAGGGTCCTCTGATCGACACCTGGAGCACCCCACAACCTACCCTATATCCAGTTCCATCCATCCCACTCCTATGTCAGCTCCTCTGTCTTGATATTCTCTTTGGAACTGTTAACAACGTTCTTGGATTGTTGTGTGTTTTCAGCGCCAGTACGTGGAGGCCTGGGAGAAGGACAAGACAAACTTGCACATTCTGCCGGACACTCCTGAGATCGTCCTGTCTCAGCAGAACTGCATCAACATGAGCAGGGTTCGTACAACACCAACCACTTTGGAAAAACAGCCAACTTTATCTGCACAGACCATAACTCTTAACCGTAACCCTTACTGACAATAGGGCTTAAAGTTTCACTGAACCGGCCGCGGAATACCTCCTTTCAAATGTTTTCCGTTACATTACATGGTTCTGTCAGAGTTCTGAATTCTGAATACTTGTCAATATTTTTACTGTAAACATGTATAAATGCATTGCAGTATTAGAATAGCTCAGTTTGTGTTGCTTTTCTTCTATTGTTGATTAGAAAAGGATAAAATACACTTGCACACATAACTAACAGTACTGCTCAGCCTAAATTGTATTAACAAAATGTATCTCTTATACTAACAAATATATAGCTGTATCAAGGTAATATTCTGAATACAGTTACTTGTGTATTGCATAAACTAGGTGTGACTAATCTTATTCATGACTAAATATCTCTCTCTCTCTGGTCTCTCTCTCTGGCCTCTCTCTGCTCTCTCACTCTGGTCTCTTTGGTCTCTTACTGCTCTCTCTCTCTCTCTCTCTCTCTGGCCTCTCTCTGCTCTCTCTCATTCTGGTCTCTCTCTGGCCTCTCTCTGGCCTCTTTCTGGCCTCTCTCTGGCCTCTCTCTGGTCTCTCTCTGGTCTCTCACTGCTCTCTCACTGCTCTCTCACTGCTCTCTCACTCTGGTCTCTCTCTGGTCTCTCTCTGGTCTCTCTCTGGTCTCTCTCTCTGGCCTCTCTCTGCTCTCTCTCACTCTGGTCTCTCTCTGGTCTCTCACTGCTCTCTCTCTCTCTGGCCTTTCTCTGGTCTCTCTCTGCTCTCTCTCACTCTGGTCTCTCTCTGGTCTCTCACTGCTCTCTCTCTCTCTGGCCTTTCTCTGGTCTATCTCTGCTCTCTCTGGTCTCTCTTTGGTCTGGCCTCTCTCTGGTCTCTCTCTGGCCTCTCTCCCCTCTCGCTCTCTCTGGTCTCTCTCTCTGGCCTCTCTCCCCTCTCGCTCTCTCTGGTCTCTCTTTGGTCTGGTCTCTCTCTGGTCTCTCTCTCTCTGGCCTCTCTCCGCTCTCACTCTCTCTGGTCTCTCTTTGGTCTCTCCCTGCTCTCTCTCTCTCTGGTTTCTCAAGATAACATATTATGAACACAGTTACTAGTGTATTGAATAAACTACTTATACAAAAAGTTTATTCAATGCACTCCCATATTATTGCCTTGAGAAAGTTCTGGGGAAACCATCCAAATCCAAACAAACACTGCACACACATCTAACTGTGTGTGGGTGAAGTTCCATTGCTGTGTTTTGCTTTTCAGAAACTGTACAGACAAGGATTTGAGGACACCATCAAGAAGGGCTACTTCCTGCCTGTGGACGCCATTTCAGTGAAGGCCGCTAAAGGAGGCAGGGAGATTATCAGTGATGTGAGTAAATAAGTGATCAGCAACCTTGTTTCTATTGAACTCAAAGTATTTTAAACTTGCTCATGACACAATAACACAAATATTGTTTTTAAATTAAATAATGTACATTTTACAATTTCAGAAATTGTCTCCGTTTGTACATTATGCTTTATAATGTTGTTGTTTAAGATTATTCTGATATGTGAGACACTGAGCTGACTGGGCATGGATTGATTTCAAGATATTATTTTAATCATTCATCAGTTTTGTATAGAACTTTTTGGACACTCAAATACAGTTTTTCCAATGTGGTTTTACTGCAAATGGCAAATAAATGAATCTGAAAGACGCTCCATCATTCACTCCATATTACTACTGTAGCCAAAGCTGCCCTGGAGCAGACTGACAGAGTAGAGGCAACCAGTCTGTGCCATCGGGCCCTACAAGAGCAGGACAAGAATACCTTAAGTTTATGTTTCTCAAGTTCTCCCACTGTTTTATTCTTCAGAGAAATATTGTGATTTATTTTTGAACTATTTGCGTAATGCCACATCTCAGGATTAGCATGCAAGCCTAGTCGATTCCTGTCAAGTCAATTCTAATTTAATCTGGCTTTATTTCCTCCAGTACAAGTACAAGACCGGATACCGTAAGCAGGTGGGCCACCACATCGGCGCCCGCTGTGTCCAGGACGACCCCCTAATCATGCTGGCTCTGAACTCGGCCAGAATCGCCAGTGACGCTCTGTACAAGAAGGACTTCAACAAATCCAAGACCAAGTTCAACCTCCCTGTGGACATGCTGAACCTGGAACTGGCCAAGAAATGCCAGATCCAAGTGAACGACTTCAACTACAGGACGAGGCTGCACAACTGGACCTGTCTGCCCGACTCCAGCGACGTGGTCCAGGCCCGGAAGGCGTACGACCTCCAGAGCGACGTAAGTGCTGCAATTCATTCATCTTATTTCCAATCCACATCCAAACCGGGTAAAATGTTAGGAGACGTGAGATGCAAGGTTGACATTTTACAGCGTTTTGTCATAGTAGGAGAAAATAATGACACACATTTCGACATACTATATAGCAATTCAAGAACATTGCAAATATCAAGAGTAGAAAAGTAACACAATATCATAGTATAGTATAGTAACACATGCACATACACACACTGTTAAGCCAAGATAAATTCCACTTCGATATTTGCATTTATTTCGTAACAACCATATGCAGATTCAACATACAACTGGCCCTCTCACGGTTCACATAGACAAGCCAACATGTGGGCATAGAAGATGAACATTAAACCAAGAGCTAACACACACACACACACACAAACACGCTCTATCCAGTCAGGAACCCATGGCTCTCAGACAAATCTTAGTTGGCATTGATAGTAAGTTTAGTAGTATGTTTTATGCATTGTATTTCTTATGTATGAAAACGTTATTATGGTAACCAAATAATCCATTTTGAGACTAAGATCTCACTCTAAATGTGTTTTAAAAATCACACATATTCACAGTGAAAATATAAGTGTATGGCTCCCACAGAAATAGGTTTCAAAGTAAGCTAACCTCTGCTCTTCTCACTCTATGCTGAAGGCCTCACACTCCCCACGTACTACTCAAATGTGAACCAGCTGTTTAAGTGTCAGATTGATGTTGAAAAGATTTGTTTTATAATTCCCATTGTTATTCACTACGGCTTTCTCCTCCAGGCCGTGTACAAGGCAGATCTGGAGGAGGTGGTGGGTGTGGGATGGGTGCCTATCGGATCGCTGGATGTGCTGAAAGCCAAGCACGCCGCCAAAATCCTCAGCGACCGTTTGTACAAGCTGAAACCGGACACTCAGAAATACACCTCTGACACTCACTCCATCCCCATGGTCCTGGCCAAAACCAATGCAGACATCATGAACAAGGTAAGGATTTTCATGGTTTTTAGCTTCCTACCTGCATACTAATGAGTAATACCACTTTAATTTCAGACAACTTTATTTATTATCTATCTATCTATCTGTCTGTATATGTATGTATAGACTTGAACTGTTCTAGAACTAGGATTGTAATGCCCCAGAACTAGGCGTGAACTCTTCTAGAATTAACATTGAACTGTTCTAGAACTAGGCCTCAACTGTTCCAGTACTAGACTGACTTCAACTCTTCCAGAACTAGACTTCAACTCTTCCAGAACTAGACCTCAGCTCTTCCAGAACTAGACCTCAGCTCTTCCAGAACTAGACTTCAACTGTTCCAGAACTAGACTGACTTCAACCCTTCCAGAACTAGACTTCAACTCTTCCAGAACTAGACTTCAACTCTTCCAAAAATAGACTTAAACTCTTCCAGAACTAGACTGACTTCAACTCTTCCAGAACTAGACTTCAACTGTTCTAGAACTAGACTTCAGCTGTTGTAGAACTAGACCTCAATTGTTCCAGAACTAGACTGACTTCAACTGTTCCAGAACTAGACTTCAACTGTTCCAGAACTAGACTTCAACTGTTCCAGAACTAGACTTCAACTGTTCTAGAACTAGACTTCAACTCCTCCAGAACTAGACTTCAACTCTTCCAGAACTAGACTTCAACTCTTCCAGAACTAGACCTCAGCTCTTCCAGAACTAGACTTCAGCTGTTCCAGAACTAGACTGACTTCAACCCTTCCAGAACTAGACTTCAACTCTTCCAGAACTAGACTTCAACTGTTCCAGAACTAGACTTCAACTGTTCTAGAACTAGACTGACTTCAACTCTTCCAGAACTAGACTTCAACTCTTCCAGAACTAGACCTCAATTGTTCCAGAACTAGACTGACTTCAACTGTTCCAGAACTAGACTTCAACTGTTCCAGAACTAGACTTCAACTGTTCTAGAACTAGACTTCAACTGTTCTAGAACTAGACTTCAACTGTTCTAGAACTAGACTTCAACTCTTCCAGAACTAGACTTCAACTCTTCCAGAACTAGACTTCAACTGTTCCAGAACTAGACTTCAACTGTTCCAGAACTAGACTTCAACTGTTCCAGAACTAGACTTCAACTGTTCCAGAACTAGACTTCAACTGTTCCAGAACTAGACTTCAACTGTTCCAGAACTAGACTTCAACTGTTCTAGAACTAGACTTCAACTCTTCCAGAACTAGACTTCAACTGTTCCAGAACTAGACTTCAACTCTTCCAGAACTAGACTTCAACCCTTCCAGAACTAGACTTCAACTGTTCCAGAACTAGACTTCAACTGTTCCAGAACTGGACTTCAACTGTTCCAGAACTAGACTTCAACTGTTCCAGAACTAGACTTCAACTCTTCCAGAACTAGACTTCAACCCTTCCAGAACTAGACTTCAACCCTTCCAGAACTAGACTTCAACTCTTCCAGAACTAATAGAACAAATAACGACTGTGCCATTAAAGGTTTTTCATGGTTCTCTTTTTACTGTGTGTGTTTGTGCTTTAGGAGTTTCCTTTGAATGTTTTAATAATTATGAATATGTTGTACTCATTTATAGTCTGAAGTATAAGATTCAGATTTAGAGATTCTTAACAGTTGTTCCACTGGGTACAGAACAGTAGGGATGAGCTCAAGACACACAGCTCAAGATAAATGAACTATAACTCTATACTAAAATAACGTCAAATACAATCTCAACTTTAGCGTAATAAGGAAGCAAGTCTTAAATCTCCAGCACAATGAAGAAGCAAGAGTTAAGTGTAAAATTGCAGGTGGCTAAATGGAAACTATAGGCAACAAAAATAATTCATTTGTGAATTGTCCATTATTGATTTGACTTTACGTTAGGACTAGAAGAACTAAATGCTCGGAGTCAATGCCTGTTTACTCAAAGACTGTGTGATTGTCTTTGCAGAAAAGTTATGTTGCAGCCTGGGAAGCGGACAAGACCAAGACCCACCTCACTCCTGATCTGCCAGAACTGCTGCTTTCTAAGGCCAATGCCTACAACATCAGCAAGGTCAGTACATATGGTTTGTACCAGGTGTCTCCAACCTTCTCCCTGAGAGAGAGGTGTGCTGCAATGGATTAAGTAGATCTGGCTTTCGAGAGAGAGACCAGAGTGAGACCAGAGTGAGACCAGAGTGAGACCAGAGTGAGACCAGAGTGAGACCAGAGTGAGACCAGAGTGAGACCAGAGAGAGAGACCAGAGAGTGAGACCAGAGTGAGACCAGAGTGAAACCAGAGTGAGACCAGAGTGAGACCAGAGTGAGACCAGAGTGAGACCAGAGAGAGACCAGAGTGAGAGACCAGAGTGAGAGACCAGAGTGAGAGACCAGAGTGAGAGACCAGAGTGAGAGACCAGAGTGAGAGACCAGAGTGAGAGACCAGAGTGAGAGACCAGAGTGAGAGACCAGAGTGAGAGACCAGAGTGAGAGACCAGAGTGAAAGACCAGAGTGAGAGACCAGAGTGAGAGACCAGAGTGAGAGACCAGAGTGAGAGACCAGAGAGAGACCAGAGAGAGAGACCAGAGAGAGAGACCAGAGAGAGAGACCAGAGTGAGAGACCAGCAAGAAAGACTAGAGAGAAAGACTAGAGAGACCAGAGAGAGAGAGACCAGAGAGATATTTTACATATATTTTTTGCAGTGTATGTATATCTTTCTGTATGTAATTGTAATGTCGTGTTTTCTATTGAAACTACGACATTTCAGAAAATCTACAGAGAAGCTGTGGACAAGATGTTCAAAAAGGGCTACGACATGAAACCTGACGCTATCTCTGTGATCGCCGCCAAAAAGGGCAGAGAAATCATCAGTGACGTGAGTAATATGTATTTGTACTTATTACTAACTGTTATCTGAAATCTATGGATCTATCTATCTATCTATGTATCTATCTATCTATGCATCTATCTATCTATGTATCTATCTATCTATCTATGCATCTATCTATCTATCTCTCTATGTATCTATCTATCTATGCATCTATCTATCTATCTCTCTATGCATCTATCTATCTATCTCTCTATGTATCTATCTATCTATCTATCTATGTATCGATCTATCTATCTATGCATCTATCTATCTATGGATCTATCTATCTATCTATGCAGCTATCTATCTATCTATCTATGCATCTATCTATCTATCTATCTATGCATCTATCTATCTATCTATCTATGCATCTATCTATCTATGGATCTATCTATCTATCTATCTATGGATCTATCTATCTATCTATCTATCTATGCATCTATCTATCTATGCATCTATCTATCTATCTATCTATGCATCCATCTATCTATCTATCTATGCATCTATCTATCTATGCATCTATCTATCTATGCATCTATCTATCTATCTATCTATGCATCTATCTATCTATGGATCTATCTATCTATGGATCTATCTATCTATCTATCTATGGATCTATCTATGCATCTATCTATCTATGCATCTATCTATCTATGCATCTATCTATCTATCTATCTATGCATCTATCTATCTATGGATCTATCTATCTATCTATGTATCTATCTATGGATCTATCTATCTATGGATCTATCTATCTATCTATGTATCTATCTATGGATCTATCTATCTATGGATCTATCTATCTATGGATCTATCTATCTATCTATGTATCTATGTATCTATGTATGTATCTATCTATCTATCTATCTACGTATCTCTCCTAATCGCTGTCTTCTCTCCACAGTACAAGTACAAGACCGGATACCGTAAGCAGGTGGGCCACCACATCGGCGCCCGCTGTGTCCAGGACGACCCCCTAATCATGCTGGCTCTGAACTCGGCCAGAATCGCCAGTGACGCTCTGTACAAGAAGGACTTCAACAAATCCAAGACCAAGTTCAACCTCCCTGTGGACATGCTGAACCTGGAACTGGCCAAGAAATGCCAGATCCAAGTGAACGACTTCAACTACAGGACGAGGCTGCACAACTGGACCTGTCTGCCCGACTCCAGCGACGTGGTCCAGGCCCGGAAGGTCTACGACCTCCAGAGCGACGTGAGTCATCACGGACATACAATCACTGATCTATAATATAAAGCGGCAAAATAAATAGCCTAAAAAACAAAATCCACAAACGTATTGGATCCTTCCCCCTTTTATCTGCTATAGTTTATACCATTCTGCTTCCTTTTGGACGCAGATCCATCATTTACATGTCATTACAGATGTTTTCTGTATATTTCATTTTTCTAGATAAGCCTTTCTATACGTTTAGTAAACTAATGGTTGAATATCAAATCGAGTCACCTGGCGATACTACACTAACACCTGTTGACAGAGATGTTCATGTTAAAGTATTTTTCATGACATTTTTAACAGTTTTTATCAGTACTCTTAAATACATTTCTATTGTAGATGTGAACATTGTTCCCTTGTCAAACACAGACCTAAAATTCTGGTACTCCGGACACAGATTGGGACAAACACAAGCCCCGCTCCTTCTGTCAAAATGCTTCTGTTTCAAAGTTTAGAAACATTTGATAAATCCTCACAATATGACTCATAGATAGAGCACACAACAAATTAGTTCGGCCATTTTCAGGCAAGATCTGCATGCCTTCAACTAGACCACACCATCTTGGATTTAGATTTAATTATCGTAGAATTTAATCATTTTTTGCATTGCTGGCACATTGTGATCGCTCGTGTCAGAGTACATTATCCATTTATGTTTTTGTTACTTATTATTTCTGTGGATTGAAAGGTAGGTACCCCTGTCTTAAAGGAAAACTATTCTCTCTCTCTGCTGATGTCTAATGTGTGTTTTCTGTGTGTCAGGCTGTGTACAGAGCGGACATGGAGTGGATCAGGGGGTGCGGCTGGGTGCCCATCGGGTCGGTCGACGTGGAAAAGGCGAAGAAAGCCGGAGAGATCCTGAGCGAAAGAAAGTATCGCCAACCACCCACTCTCTTCAAAGCCGTCGCCAAGACCACAGACATGCCCTACGCGCTGGCTAAAGCTAACGCCGAGATCATGAACAAGGTAAACAACAGCGGAGACCAAAATCAATAACACAAGGCATACAATGATGCAAACTGTTTTAACCTGGATTTGAACATTGTCAGAGAAGAAGCCTGTCTCACATGTTCAGGAAGACTGCTCCCGGTGTTAGATGCATAAATGTGAAATGCAGCCTCCTCATGTTAAGTCCTGACTCTGGGCACCAGCAGGAGGCCAGCCCCTGTGCTCCTCAGAGTCAGAGTTGGTTCATATGGGACTAGCATGTCACAGATGTACTTTGGTGCGAGGCCATGGAGAGACTTGTCAAAACCAGAGACATTTAAAGTATTCTCTGAGCCACAAGAAGCCAGTGCAGAGACCTGAGAACAGGACTAATGTGATTTTACTTCCTGGTTTTAGTCAGGATTCGAGCTGCAGGATACAACTCAATTCTACAGAACAAAAGGTTTTTAAAAGGGGCTGGATGAAGCGAAAACCTACAAACTTCCAACCCCACTCACTCATTCAATATAGAATTTAGACGGCCCCAAACACTCTCTGACCCTACCCCTATCTATCCCAAAAGGAAAAGTCTTTGGTAGTATCAAAATCTTTCTCTAACCTCAACAGTACATGCTTTTGTATGTACTTAAAGTAGCAATATGTAAGATTTTCATGTCAAGTCATCATTAAAGGGCCCTAATCTGTCAAAAGGCATTCATAAAAACCTGCTCTTTTCCAATACTTCTTTAACTGATAACAGCAGTTCAGAGATATTTGAATTAAAAAAATAGTTTTACAGCCCCTAAATCTTGTTATTGTTTTCATTTTGATGTCCCGCCCTCCACCGTTTTACCAATCAACAAGCATCTCTATCTTTAGGAAAAGGTGTTGGTTATAGATTTGCTGTTGCTATTCAGTTATTCTGGTCCCATCTGCATATCTGGCAACCTGAGTCAGGGAGAGAGGGAGAAGCTGCAGTACCACTTCTGGCCAAATTTGTACTCATTGCTCCTTTAAGTCAAAAAGTTAATTTCATTTTTGTGTACTTTTCCTTTGCTCAATCTCCTGTGTGTGTAATGTCTGAGGTACTTTTTGGCAGAGTTGGTTGTAATGTTGTTTGGTGTTTGCAGAAAGCCTACGTCGCTGCCTGGGAGAAGGACAAGGTTCACCTGCACATCCAGCCCGACACTCCAGAGATTGTCCTGTCCAAGCAGAACAATATCAACATGAGCCTGGTAATGTCCCATCTTTTTTATTTTTTATTTGGATCTTCAATAGATTCCACCATCCCCCCGTACCAAGAACCACTAAATACTAATTTTTCAAACTCCTTACGCTATGTATCAAGCTGTTATCGCCCCTTTAAACCAAAAGTATTACTTTCGGGAAGTCATCCAAGTCAATAGACATTCTTTAAAGCTGTATTCTTTAAATTACAGAGCGCTGTGTTTGATGTTGACAAAATATAATAATGTAGCATTCCACTTCTACCACTAGATGGACACCACTACATTAACATTAAATACCAACGTACATTTTGAATACGGGAAACGCACAGTGCATAATAATCAATGCAATAAGCCACGCCCCCTTCTAGAATGCTAGCTTCTGTATATTTCTCTGACGTTTTTCTGTGTTTACGTTCTCAGAAAGGCTACAAGGAAGCCTTCGTTAACATGATCAACAAAGGGTACTACCTCCCCAAAGACGCCGTGTCCGTGCTGGCCGCCAGAGCCTCCAGAGACATCGTCAGTGATGTGAGTTACCAGACATTTTTAATTCAAGACCAAGAGATTGTTTATTCGTACCACTGTGGGGAAATGTATGGATCAGTGGGTATTCACTCTGGGTATATAACCTATTTACCGTAAGTTAACTCTGAATATTTGGTATAAAGATAGATCCATCTGTAATGTAACAAGACTGTTGTTATAAGTCAGTCAATTACAATATTATCTCTGTAATATTTTTAGCTTTAGGTACAGTACATGGTGAACAGTAGGTGCTATAGCAAACTAAAAACATGCATAAGAATAAAGGTCGACTGCAGCTATTGCGTCTTTGAGTTTTGTTAATTCAATAAGTAATGGCATATGCTGGAATATAATGTGTCATTGATGTTATGTACATGTACTGTACCTCTTTCTTCATTAGCATTAAGTCATTATTAAGATATTTATCCAAATGACTAGTTTTTTCTTCCGTCAGCACTAAAATCTCATCTCTTTTTGTGTATTTGATTTCAGTACAAGTACAAAGCCGGGTTCCGTAAGCAGTGCGGACACCACATTGGAGCCCTCAGTGTGAATGACGACCCTATGTGTCTGCTGGCGGCTAACAACGCTAGGATCACCAGCGACAACATCTACAAGAAGGACTTCAACAAATCCAAGACCAAGTACAACCTCCCTGTGGACCTGCTGTCTCTGGAACTGGCCAAGAAATGCCAGATCCAAGTGAACGACTTCAACTACAGAACCAAGCTGCACAACTGGACCTGTCTGCCCGACTCCAGCGACGTGGTCCAGGCCCGGAAGGTTTACGACCTCCAGAGCGACGTAAGTCATCTCTGACATCCATCTAAAACAGTCTCTGCATCCACATTCCCCCAAATCTACCAACACAAAACCTACATCTGATGATATTTTTGTACTGGACTAACTGGACCTTCTGAATCCAGGTCGGTACAGGGTCTTTCTGAGTGGAGTTTGCATGTTTCCCTCCCTGAATCCGTGTAGGTTCCCTCTGGGTGCTCCAATTTCCCCTACCACTACATGTGCAAAAGTACACCAGGTAGATTCACACCAGAGCTGTCGCCACAGTGCCCCCTCTTGGCGCCACATAGAGTACATTAATACAGCAAAAATAATTAGCCCCATTATTTACCCACATTAAATTCTACACATATAATCAGATGGGAGGGTCATGGAGTAGTAGGACAGCTCTCTAAGCAGTTTGTTCAGGTTCTAGATGTAAAAGAGAGTAGGGCACTTTGCAGACTGAAAAAATGGCCTCAGTTTTACAGTTCCACCCCTTCTTTTTCTTTCGTGTTGGGTTATTTGTCTAAGATCTTTCCTTGTTGTTCAGGCTGTGTACAAAGCAGACATGGAGTGGCTGAGAGGCTGCGGCTGGTCTCCTCAAGACTGCGTTGATGTCATCAAAGTGCGACACGCCCAGAAGATCCTAAACGACCGTCTGTACAAACAGCCCCCGAGCACCGTCAAGTTCACCAGCGTGGTGGACCTGCCCGCCATCGTGCTGTCCAAGCAGAACGCCGCCAACATTAGTGAGGTGAGAGCTGATCATGCTAACAATCATATACCAGATGCTAACATTTATAAACCAGAACCAGTCTAGAATCCCATTATAACTGAAGAGGACTGCATAGAGTGACATGCATTTACAAACAGGGACCAAATCATGTACTAATGTCAAACTGTTTCTACAAATGGAGGTCATACAAAAATCTTCTTCATCAACCTTTTAATGATTTCCTCTATCATTTGGTGGATCACTTTTTGTGTCTCTATATCTACTTGAAGATTGGAACTGAAATCTACCTCTTTGGGGCATCTCTGGTACTGGTTTGAGGCACTTTTACCATCAAGCTGCTTCTCACCCATTTGGTAGAGGCCTATCATTGAAAAACCAGGGGATCCAAAAACATGGAATATTTTTCTTACGGCCGCATCTTGAAAAACTGTTTCAGAAAACCTTGTTCATCTGGATTTAGAAATCTAGGAGCTAGCTCTTGCACTTCTCAGCCAGACGGTTCTTGGTTTGACTCCACCTCCAGGCCTTTCTGTGTGGAGTTTGCATGTTCTCCCTGGTTTCCTCTGGGTGCTCCGGTTTCCCTTACTACTACAATACACAATACACAATACAATACAATTTATTCTTGTATAGCCCTAGGTCACAACAGAAGTCATCTCAGAGGACTTAACAAAACCATTGAAATCACCAACACAGGTCAGAGAATCAACAGTTAAAACACATGAAGAATACAGTATAAAGCACACACAGAAGAAAATGTCCATACATGTTGTAGAATGCTAAAGTGTCCTGATCATCACCAATCCTTTCTGTTGGACACTAACTGTCCAACAAGACCCTCCTGCATCGACAAGGAAAAACTCTTAAAAAACCCAGTGGGAAAAAGTGAGAAACCTTGGAGGAGAACTAGGGAAACCCACAGGGAGGGAGACCCATATGAGAAAGGGATCCGCTCCTCCGGACGGACAGGCTAATGATCTAGGACCTAAGCTAGCTACAGAACGTGGACCAGTGGCCGCTGAACGTGGACAGGTCCGGTGCAGGACTGAAGCACTCCCAGGCGGGTCGGGCGGGGCAGTCCGCAGGTGTAGATGGAAGAGGCCAGGCTCAGAGATCCCGTCATCGTACCATGAAACAGACAATGGGACAACGGGTGAATAGCAATGAACAAACTACAGTCAGAATCCTAAAAATGCTAAACAGATAAAGTAGGAAGGAGGAGAGGATAGTGCTCAAGTTACCATACTTCTCCCAGCAAACTGACTCCCTATGCAGCTTGACTAACACTCTGAGGAGTTTAACCTTCTCCGAGTCTTACCTTCCTAGCCATATGCTAAACTAAAGAGGACTGTTTTAAACCTAGCCTTGAATAAAGAATAACATACAGCATAATATATAACATAATATACAACATAACACAATACATTATTGAATAATATATAACATAATATATAACATAATACAGCATATATATATAATATATACACTACATATTATATATTACCTAATTATATGCTAAATTAAAGTAAAGTGCTTTAAGCCTGGCCTTGAATGTGGAGACCGTATCTGCTTCCTTAACATAAATGGGAAGCTGATTCCACAGTAAAGGAGCTTGGTAGCTAAATGCTCTGCCACCAACAGTGACCTTTGAGACCTTAGGGACCACCAGACGTCTGGCGTTTTGTGAGCGCAACGCTCGACCTGGTTGATACGACACTAACGTGTCTTGGAGATAAGAGGGAGCCAAGCCATTTATGGCTTTATATGTTAAGAGTAGGATTTTAAACTTTATTCTGTACTCCACAGGGAGCCAGTGGAGTGATTTTAACACCGGAGTTATGTGCTCCCTCCTTTTGGTACCTGTTAAGATCCTAGCTGCTGTATTCTGAACGAGCTGGAAGCTCTTCAAAGAGGCTTTAGGGCACGCTGCCAGTAAAGCGTTACAGTAGTCGAGCCTTGAGGTGACAAACGCGTGAATGAGTTTTTCCGCGTCACTTTTAGGAAGGAAATTCCTAATTTTAGCGATGTTCCGTAAGTGGAAGTACGCCGTTTTAGTTGCTTGGCTTATATAAGCCTTGAAGGAGAGTTCTTGGTCAAAAATGACTCCAAGATTCCTCACAGTGTTACTGGGTATTATACTGACATTATCGAGAGTAACCATCTGGTTAGTGAGGGAGTCACGCAGGCGCTTCGGACCGAGTAGGATCACTTCTGTCTTCTCCGGGTTGAGAAGTAGGAAGTTAAGAGTCATCCACATTTTAAGGTCCTTTATGCAGGCACTGAGCTTTTCTAGCTGATCTGTCTGATTAGGCTTCATCGACAGATAAAGCTGTGTGTCATCTGCATAGCAGTGGAAATTAATTCCATGCTTTTTAATAATGTTTCCCAGTGGCAGCATGTAGAGAGTAAAAAGAATCGGTCCGAGTACCGAACCCTGCGGCACACCGAATTCCACTCCAGAATAAGGCGACGAGTCCTGATTCACATTGACGAAGTGATATCGATCTGATAAATAGGATTTAAACCAGCCAAGGGCTGTTCCTCTAAGACCTATATCACATTCTAGCCTCTGCAGTAGAATGCTGTGGTCTATTGTGTCAAATGCAGCACTAAGGTCCAGTAGGACCAGCACTGACACTTGTCCATTATCGGCAGCTAGTAGTAAGTCATTTGTGACTTTGACTAGTGCCGTTTCAGTGCTATGATGAGCTCTGAATCCTGATTGAAAGACTTCAAACATATCATTTTCCTGCAGGTGGCAGCGGAGCTGCTCAGCTATAAGTTTTTCCAGGATTTTAGATATAAAAGTGAGGTTTGAGATCGGTCTGTAGTTTGTAAGTATTTCTGGGTCCAGGTTTGTTTTCTTCAGAAGGGGTTTGATTACCGCGGTTTTAAAAGCTTGTGGGACATAGCCACATTGTATGGATGCGTTTATTATATTTACGATAGGCTCAATTATCAAAGGAAGTATGTCTTTGAAGAGCCATGTCGGGACTGCGTCTAACATGCAAGTTGAGTCTTTTGAGGATGTGACCACAGAGATCACCTCTGCTTGGCTCACAGCCATGAATTTATTAAGGCCCACTGAAGAGTCTAAGTGGGAAGTCACGTATGCCGCTTCAACCTGTCCACCACTAACAGCAGGAGCAACCTCCTCCAGCTTGTCACGGATGGATGTAATTTTATTATTAAAGAAGTGGAGAAAGTCGACACTGCTCAGTGAGCTTGGAATTTTAGGCTCGATTGCGCTATGGCAGTTTGTGAGTTTAGCGACGGTACCAAACAAAAATCTACTGTTGTTTTTATTCGCTTCTATTAAAGTTGAATAGTATTGAGTTCGAGCCCCGCGAAGGGCCTTCTTGTAGTTTCGGAGACCTGCTTTCCACTCCCTGTGGACAGGCTCCGAGTGGGAGTGGCGATATAGCCTCTCCAATTTTCTGACGTCCTGTTTTAAAGTGTGGAGTTGAACACTGTACCAGGGCGACGATGATCTAATCCTAATGGTTTTCTGTTTTAAAGGAGCTGCTGCATTCAATGCAGATTTTAAAGACTCCATAGTGTTGCCCACCGTTTGGTCAATGACTGAGGGACTGCTAAAAACATGTACAATTATTCCACATAACACACTACACGCCCCTCTCTCTGGGCCAGGATTCTGCCAGGATAATATGTTTTAAAATGTCAAGGTATGGACTGTATTTATAAAGATATTTTGTCCTTCTATACCAGACAATAGTAAGTTAGCAATATTATTAGCTTGACACGTTTACTACTACTACTACTACTTCCTGGTGTAGAAGAACCAAATACCTTTATTCTACTGAGAAGACAAGATGAACCGTCCTAAACTATGGACTGTATTAAAATGAATCATATGTTGTTTTTTTCTTTTGGTCTAAAACAGAAAAAATACAGAGAGGTTTGGGATAAGGACAAGCTGACGTATCACATGCCGCCAAACGCTCCTGCCTTCGAGCTGTCCAAGGCCAACGCCGTGGCCATCAGCAACGTAAGTTACTCTCTACAATCTTTTAAAGGCTCAAAAGAAATGGGATGAACTGACTCTTGCTCATGAATCTCCACAGAAACTCTACACAAAAGAGTGGGACAACAGCAAAGCCAAAGGATACCACATCAAGCAGGACGCCATCTCCGTGATCAAAGCCAAAGCTTCCAGAGACATCATCAGTCAAGTAAGAGGAAGGAAGATTCTGCTCAATCTTTAACACTTTATAATAGAGCTGCATCGTGTCAGACTTCAGGTCCAGAATGAAAGAAACACAGAAATACAGTCTTACATTTGATTAGTTACAGAACAGTGGGAATGACGAACGCACAACACAAGATAAGACTCGCTTTGGGTGACCTTGTTTTGTAAAATGCGCAATATAAATAAACATTACTTACTTACTTACTAAAATTCAAATCAAATCTCTATCTTTAGCTTACTTTTTGAGTCATACTATATTTACTTGAAGCTTGAATCAGAAATCTACCTCATTGGAACGTCTCTTTTACCATCAGGCTGCATCTCAACCATTTGGTAAAGGCTGATAATAAAAATAATACAAAAATCGAATAGTGTTATTAGTGCTCCTCCATCTTAGGAAGAAAAAAATACATTGCTTTCTTTAAGGAGTGAACATTAAAGGCTTAATAAAGAAGCAAAGTATAAACCTGTATACTCTAGAGCCCGGGGGCCACATTGGACCCTGTTCACGTTCCAGCCACTACCCTCAGACTGCTCTGTGACTTAATATGTTCTACTATTATTATACACATACATTATTATACACATACATATTATACAATTCAATTCAATTCAATTCATCTTTTTTATTTGAGCATCTGAGTTCCACACAGTTCTACTTATATACAAAGTTCAGCACAGTAATCAAAGCCAAAAATAGGTAGGCGTAAGTAAATACGTAAATAATTAAATAAATAAATAGCGTGGATATGATGCTCAAAAGGAGTAGGCAGAAGCTTAAGCTTGTTTGCACCTACCCCTTGTGTACTGAAGAATTTGATACATTCAATACATTCATTTACTGCATGATCAAAAAGATATGACAGTTATTTTGTCATGTTCCAGTGACTATACAAACAGCAATATAAACATCACAATATTCAACTAATCCCAAGGCAATGAAAGAAAACTTGAACCTTTTCTTCAATAATTACAAATACCCATCACTGTCAACACAACTAGTCACCAATCTTTTAACTTGATCATTTGTTACTTGTTATGGATTTAATGCTATTAATGGTCACAATAATTATATACATTATATATACATTATCTGTTCTAATTATTGAACCAGACATTTTATTAGTAATAATTTCCACTGAACAGTATGTCCACAAGCACAAAGAAAACACTGGATGCTGTCATGTTCGTTAAATAGATAAATAATTGATTTTACTTACAAATGATGAAGTAGATGCCAATTTGGAGAGTAATCTGTACTTACAAGACGTATCACTTTTACTCGTGCACAAAGACTTGATGAGTCCCCAATACTCTTTAAAAGGTTATTTTATTTGACCTCGAGCTACCTTAAAATGGCTTAATTCGAGTCCACTTCTTTATATTTTTTTCTTTTTTTAATTTTTCTTGTTTTAATTTTTCTTGTTTTAATTTTTTTTTTAATTTAATTTGTACATGTATGAAGAAAGGGGCAGGCAACATAAGATTTTTTTTTCTTCTTTCTGCTCCTTTTCATTTGTGAGACAAGACGACAATTATTTGAAATGTCATTGTAATATGTGTAGTATTGTTTTTGTCTACAATTGAAACAAATAAATAACATATAACCAAATGTGGACTGTACCAAAGTCTTTTTACAGGTATTTGTACTTAAAGAGCGACTAAACACCTGTGCCCACATGAAGATTTGAAAATTTTCTCTTAAAAGGGCGTTGTCTGGAGGATCAAGGGACAAGAAGGGGGGCTTAGAGTTGGGCGTGGTCTGGGCTGTGATTGACAGCTCACTTGTCACACAAAAAAAAACAGACAGTTGTCATTGCTGCTTAAAGCAATAGTTTACAGACCAGAAAGTCTCATTCCACCCTTGTTTACACACTAAGATAATTGTAAAGCTACACACCTGAACCTAATCACACTCAATAATCTCAGAATGACTCATGTAATTTAATTTTAATCCACTAGATGGCGCCAGAATACTCCAAACTGCAGCTGGGGCGTGTGTGAGAGTTGAATGGGTTCATATCACTGGCTCTGACAGACTGACGTCACACAAAACAACTGATGTCATAGAGAACTTCAGAGTCAATGGAGAGGCCGAGACCAAATTAAAATGTAGTACCACCAAAAAGGTTGAGAAGGCACCACACAGCGTTTTTTGGCTCAAAAGTGATATTTTATCTAATTTGAACTAAAATGTCAAAAAAATGACCAGCATATGTAGAGAGCACTACAATAAACATATGTATGGCGTTTATGAGTTGAAAAAAGTTGATTTGGCGTTTAGTCGCTCTTTAAGCCATCACTTATTGTTGTACATAGGAGCTAACTGGGAGCGCCATGAAACTATTGACCAGTTTAATCTTTCTCTCCTCTTCCAGTACAAGTACCTGGCTTCCTACCGTAAGCAGGTCGGACACCACATCGGAGCCAGATGCGTAGAGGAGGATCCCCTGATCATGCTGGCGATGCACGGCATGAAAATCGCCAGCGACAACATCTACAAGAAGGACTTCAACAAATCCAAGACCAAGTTCAACCTCCCTGTGGACATGCTGAACCTGGAACTGGCCAAGAAATGCCAGATCCAAGTGAACGACTTCAACTACAGAACCAAGCTGCACAACTGGACCTGTCTGCCCGACTCCACTGATGTGGTCCAGGCCCGGAAGGCGTACGACCTCCAGAGCGACGTAAGTTTACAAGCATTCATAATTTATTCAATTCAGTGTATTCTTGTCAAATAACAACAGTAGTTTTCTTGGAGGACTTGAAAAACACTCTTGTGCCTTAATTAGTGTGAGTGAACTAGCTTTACAGATAGCGAAGGACCAGTAGCATCTTTCTGTATTTGGTGTGTTTTCACTGATGGAACGTAAAACTCTAACAAACAGAAAGACAAACAATGCATATAAACAACGCAAATGTAAAATAAGTAGCTTAAAGATAGCGAAAACTTCAAAGTAAAAATAGATAAACGAAGATTAGCACGATGCTAATTTGTATGGGAAAAGCTATAGGGATGCTCCGCCATTAGCGCTGACTATATTTTAGCTAACTGCAAATTTAAAACAGCTACAATGACCAAATTTGTATCTGAAGCTATGCTTATATGTATACACATACTTACAGACAGATATTAAGATTTTAAGAGCCAACACAACATTTTAAAGAAAACAGTGAGGATTAGATTGATTAGATTGTTACTGGCAAACTTTAACTAATGTAGATCTCAACTATTCCCACAAGGGGGCAGTACAAACACAGATCAGAGAATCAAACAGTTCAAACACAAGAAATGCTTGATTAAAACACTCCGTAAGAGGCAGAAACCAATGTCTATAAATGTTGATAATGTCCAAAAATGTTGTTGAATGTGGAGTGTCCTGGATCATCACCGCTGTCCTTTTGACCCTCCTGCATCGGCAACGAAATCACTCTTAGAACCCAGTGGGAGAAAATACATTTCAAGCATGTAAACAGTTTTTATTCCTACATTATTTCTTCTTCGGTCACCACATTCAAAATAAATATTGCGTATTGGTATACAGAAATATACAAATACATGAATGACTGAAGGGTTTTATTTTATTTCAAACCTGCTGAACACAATGTCACATATCTTCACAATAATACAGGTTTGAAAAGGGGTTGGATGAAGCAGATCTGTAAAACAATAATACACAGAATACAATGCAATTCAACAACATACAATATCAATACAAATGTTATTCTGTGCATCACATACCGTAGTATACCATACCCAACCATGGGGTATAGACACACAAAGCACCCAAACATACACACACACACACACACACACTGGCTGAAGTATAAACTTGTTTCACCGACGCCTTTCTATGTCTCTATCACAATATTACGTAATCCATGGATACCCACCAATCAGTCACAAAAGAAAACCAAGAGAAATGCATATAAGAAATACATATAAACACATGAAGAAGATGACATAGTCTGGGATCGTGTCTTTCATTCAGACAGAAGACATGTTTTACTGTTGATGGTAGAGACAGCACGAACAACACGAACACAGATACAACAGAATGCAAGTGTATTATACAGAGCGGAGGCATGGAGACCTCCAATCAGCAGCTGCCACAGTGCCATGTAGCTTGGCCTTCAGATAGACAAAACAAGGGAAAAGTACTGGCTTCTGCACATTGATAGAATGATGAGTTTAACTTTAACAAAAGTTGCTTAAAAGTGTTATGAAATCTCACAGACATACATAGACATGTATACATACATACAATATGACTGTGTCCAAAGCTGAGGTCCAAGCCCCTCTGTGGGTTTCTGGCAGAATATAATGTGCACATGTCATAAGGACTAAAGATACATGTTGTGATTTTTAGATTTATGTTTTTGTTTAAGCAGACAATAAATAATAATGTAATTCAGGACAACACACACACACACACACACACACACACACACACACACACACTCACACAGAGACATCACCTGTATTGCACACACCTACATATTGCACTTATTGCACTGATGAGTTCTGGTTTTCTGTTCAGGCCGTGTACAAAGCCGACTTGGAATGGATCCGAGGCTGCGGCTGGATCCCCCACGAGTCTGTGGACGTCATGAAGGTGAAGCACGCCCAGAAGGTCCTGGCAGAAGTAAGTCAAGTCTAAACCAGACCCTGAGCCTGAGTCTAAACCAGACCCTGAGCCTGAGTCTAAACCAGACCCTGAGCCTGAGTCTAAACCAGACCCTGAGTCTAAACCAGACCCTGAGCCTGAGTCTAAACCAGACCCTGAGTCTAACCCAGACCCTGAGCCTGAGTCTAAACCAGACCCTGAGCCTGAGTCTAAACCAGACCCTGAGCCTGAGTCTAAACCAGACCCTGAGTCTAACCCAGACCCTGAGCCTGAGTCTAAACCAGACCCTGAGCCTGAGTCTAAACCAGACCCTGAGCCTGAGTCTAAACCAGACCCTGAGTCTAACCCAGACCCTGAGCCTGAGTCTAAACCAGACCCTGAGTCTAACCCAGACCCTGAGCCTGAGTCTAAACCAGACCCTGAGCCTGAGTCTAAACCAGACCCTGAGCCTGAGTCTAAACCAGACCCTGAGCCTGAGTCTAAACCAGACCCTGAGCCTGAGTCTAAACCAGACCCTGAGTCTAACCCAGACCCTGAGCCTGAGTCTAAACCAGACCCTGAGCCTGAGTCTAAACCAGACCCTGAGTCTAACCCAGACCCTGAGCCTGAGTCTAAACCAGACCCTGAGCCTGAGTCTAAACCAGACCCTGAGCCTGAGTCTAAACCAGACCCTGAGCCTGAGTCTAAACCAGACCCTGAGCCTGAGTCTAAACCAGACCCTGAGCCTGAGTCTAAACCAGACCCTGAGCCTGAGTCTAAACCAGACCCTGAGTCTAACCCAGACCCTGAGCCTGAGTCTAAACCAGACCCTGAGCCTGAGTCTAAACCAGACCCTGAGTCTAACCCAGACCCTGAGCCTGAGTCTAAACCAGACCCTGAGCCTGAGTCTAAACCAGACCCTGAGCCTGAGTCTAAACCAGACCCTGAGCCTGAGTCTAAACCAGACCCTGAGCCTGAGTCTAAACCAGACCCTGAGTCTAACCCAGACCCTGAGCCTGAGTCTAAACCAGACCCTGAGCCTGAGTCTAAACCAGACCCTGAGCCTGAGTCTAAACCAGACCCTGAGCCTGAGTCTAAACCAGACCCTGAGCCTGAGTCTAAACCCAGACCCTGAGCCTGAGTCTAAACCAGACCCTGAGCCTGAGTCTAAACCAGACCCTGAGCCTGAGTCTAAACCCTGAGCCTGAGTCTAAACCAGACCCTGAGCCTGAGTCTAAACCAGACCCTGAGCCTGAGTCTAAACCAGACCCTGAGCCTGAGTCTAACCCAGACCCTGAGCCTGAGTCTAAACCAGACCCTGAGCCTGAGTCTAAACCAGACCCTGAGCCTGAGTCTAAACCAGACCCAGACCCTGAGTCTAACCCAGACCCTGAGCCTGAGTCTAAACCAGACCCTGAGCCTGAGTCTAAACCAGACCCTGAGCCTGAGTCTAAACCAGACCCTGAGTCTAACCCAGACCCTGAGCCTGAGTCTAAACCAGACCCAGACCCTGAGTCTAACCCAGACCCAGACCCTGACTTTTATGTCCAGCATCCTCGAAAAGGATTGCTCGCAAAAATATGTTGTAACAAATGGTATTAAAAAAATCCAGGGCTTTCTTAGCAATAACTGGACATATGAAGCCCCGTAGCTCTCTGAGGCTGAGGCTGTTTCAAGTGCACTGAGCCAATGAACCGCTTCGACACACCGACACAGTTGATACAAAGCAAAGCAGTGATGCAGAGTCCGAGACACCGACCTGTTTTTATAAGATAAGATCCCAGCTTTAGACCATGTTACAGAACGTCTCTCTGTCTTCTTTAACATCTCCAAAGCTGTATTTAAAAGGCTGCATGTGTCTTCTTCACAGAGAGGTTACCGAGTGAAGCTGGATGAGCAGAAGTACGTGGTTCCCGTCGACAGAATGGATCTTCAGTGCGCTAAAGTCGCCGCCGCTGCTCTCAACGAGGTCAGGAATCAAACCAGTCACTCCAAGGTTAAAAGATCTGAGTGAACGTGAAGGATTTAACCAACTCTTTTGTTTTTGTTTAGGCCAAATACCGTGAGGCGTGGCACAAGGATAAGACCAAGTACTCCCTGGTGGAAACTCCAGTGATGGTCACAGCGAAAGAAGCCGGGAAGAACGTTCACCCGGTGAGTTTTCCAAGGTTTAGACCAGTGTCCCCAGACTTTACCAGCATTTTTGCCACATTTTTTTCCTTCTAAACAATCTCATCGCACCAGCATCAACCTCTGCGGCCTTAATTAACAATGCAAAGTCGTTCTCATCAAAGAATATTATAAGATTACACTTTTCATTATTTCATTATTAAGTGATATTGGATCATATTTTAGACCATATCTATTTTAGGTCACCCTCATTTTATGTAGGGAAGTTGTATAAATTAATCATGTTTTCCAGTAACTTGTGTTGCAAAAAACACAAGAATCAGTTAAAGGCATGAGAGCTTTTAGATCGATAGAAACTTTATTGATCCCTGTTGGAGAGTTTCAGGTGTCCAGTAGCAGCAAAAACACATTCATCCACACAAACAGAACAAAGAAATGTATCATTCTAAAAATCTAACAATAGTAATAATAATAACAGTCCTTTCAGGTCACAGCAGCAGAGGTGGAGCTTGGTTCTGACCATTGTCTCTGCTCTGGTCCAAAGTAAAATGCTAAATGCTTCATTAGCAAGGTCCAAAAAGTTAGCATTCCTCCAGTGGGTTTTCGGCTGATCCGCTTGTTTTGGACCATGAATCCTCTCTGCTCTGGTCTGGACCAGTGTAAAACCATGAATCCTCTCTGCTCTGGTCTGGACCAGTGTAAAACCATGAATCCTCTCTGCTCTGGTCTGGACCAGTGTAAAACCATGAATCCTCTTGGCTCTGGTCTGGACCAGTGTAAAACCATGAATCCTCTCGGCTCTGGTCTGGACCAGTGTAAAACCATGAACACTGAACTGCAGCAACATCTCAGGCAGAAAAAAGCAATAAAAATAAAAATTGTAAAACACAAAACAACAACTTTTTCAGAAACACTTAGGACCTGCTGCCGTTTCAGATCTAGCCTTGTGAATCAGTTTTGACTCTGTAAGGCCTGATTGAACGGCTGTCACCTCCAAATACCACTAATTCGTTTTATATCAACTGCTGCCACATGAACACCACTTTTTATAATATCCTTGTGTTTTTAGATGACTTCAGAAAAACGTACAGACAATACAAGTGACACGGTGCTAGCCAAGTTTGCTTCGAGATTGTAGACATAAAACAGGAAGCAGCGACTTTGTGAAAAACTGACTGTACCAAGAATTCTCCTGAGGAAAATAAAATGTATCAAATGTGTTATTCCAGAAACTGTACACGACGGAGTGGGACAAGGCCAAAGCCACCGGATACTTCATGCCCGGAGACGCCGTGCCGATCAAACAGTGCATCACCACCTCCAAAGTGCAGAGCCAGGTACCAGCACAATCTGGTTTTTGTCTTCTTACTCAAATGGACTGGAGTGGGTGGAGTTAGCGTTCTTGAGCTGTGGATAGATAGTGACCGGATCCATTACCAATCACCAGAAGGAGACATTAGACCTGTACAAATCTGAAACCTGCGATACAAACAGGCTCCAGTGTGTTTTAGATTTCTTATATTATTGATCTATAATAAACTGGTTCATTTTAAGTTTCCACCATAGACCAACACTGGCCGTCTTTATTGTAGAATATCTTTGAGTAAGAAAGAGTCCTGGCTTTGTGTCACTATTTGACTCTTTGGGCTGGGAGCTGATTGGCTGAGTGAGTGTGGTCCTCTCTATATAACTTTTCTGAAACAAAACGTTCTTTTAAAGGCACACTGTGTAATGTTTACAGTTTTACAGTTCTCTGCTCTCTCTGGTCTCTCTCTCTGGTCTCTCTCTGGTCTCTCTCTCTGGTCTCTCTCTTGTCTCTCTCTGGTCTCTCTCTGCTCTCTGGTCTCTCTCTGGTCTCTCTGGTCTCTCTCTGATCTCTCTCTGATCTCTCTCTGGTTTCTCTCTGCTCTCTCTCTGCTCTCTCTTATCTCTCTCTGGTTTCTCTCTGGTCTCTCTCTGCTCTCTCTGGTCTCTCTCTGGTCTCTCTCTGGTCTCTCTCTGGTCTCTCTCTGCTGTCTCTGGTCTCTCTGCTCTCTCTCTGGTCTCTCTCTAATCTCTCTCTGATCTCTCTCTGATCTCTCTCTGGTCTCTCTCTACTCTCTGGTCTCTCTCTGGTCTCTCTCTGATCTCTCTCTGGTCTCTCTCTGCTCTCTGGTCTCTCTCTGGTCTCTCTGGTCTCTCACTGGTCTCTCTCTGGTCTCTGGTCTCTCTCTGATCTCTCTCTGGTTTCTCTCTGATCTCTCTCTGGTCTCTCTTATCTCTCTATGGTCTCTTTCTGGTCTCTCTGCTCTCTCTTATCTCTCTCTGGTCTCTCTCTGGTCTCTCTTATCTCTCTATGGTCTCTTTCTGGTCTCTCTGCTCTCTCTTATCTCTCTCTGGTCTCTCTCTGGTCTCTCTCTGCTCTCTCTCTGCTCTTTCTCTAATCTCTCTCTGGTCTCTCTCTGGTCTCTCTCTGCTCTTTCACTAATCTCTCTGCTCTCTCTCTGGTCTCTCTCTGGTCTCTCTACAAAAAAACTACAGTGCACCTTTAAAGCAGACCAAGAGAGGCCACAAATGCAGGTAAAAACTAGTGATAGAACCAGAGCAAGAAACTATTGAGATGGATTGTGTACATTTTCATACATATTCAGTTAGATTTGTTTGTGGTTTATTTACCGCAGCTTTGATATTTCAGTCCTATTCAAATTAAAAAAGTGTGTACCTGCCCATAGTGTCACCTACAGTCTCTCCAAACCCTCATTGCTTAACACTAACGATCTCCAAATCTTGTCTGCAGCACAAGTATCTGGAGAGCTACCGTAAGCAGGTGGGCCACCACATCGGCGCCCGCTGTGTCCAGGACGACCCCCTGATCATGCTGGCTCTGAACTCGGCCAGAATCGCCAGTGACGCTCTGTACAAGAAGGACTTCAACAAATCCAAGACCAAGTTCAACCTCCCTGTGGACATGCTGAACCTGGAACTGGCCAAGAAATGCCAGATCCAAGTGAACGACTTCAACTACAGGACGAGGCTGCACAACTGGACCTGTCTGCCCGACTCCAGCGACGTGGTCCAGGCCCGGAAGGTCTACGACCTCCAGAGCGACGTGAGTTCAAGCTAGGGCTGGGAACTGGCAACAATGTGACCATTTTTGCCACAAATCAATGGGCAAAAAATGGGCCATTCAGCATTATTGCGATTCTTAACATATTGTGATACAGAGAGCCTTGTGATTAGATTCTGGGATGTGTTTTGATTCATGTCCCTCATATTATTCAAAGACATTACAAACATGGAGATAAATACTGTAAGACTCAGCTCAATTGTCACATTTATTATGGTCTGTTCATGAACTGAAGGAGAGTGAAAAATGTGTTGAACATTCAGGACAAAGGACCTTACAGACAAGACCTTATTATTCTCTCTCCCTGGTTTCTCTGGTCTCTCTCTGGTCTCTCTCTGGTCTCTCTCTGGTCTCTCTCTGGTCTCTCTCTGGTCTCTCTCTGGTCTCTCTCTGGTCTCTCTCTGGCCTCTCTCTGGTCTCTCTCTGGTCTCTCTCTGCTCTCTCTTTGCTCTCTCTGGTCTCTCTCTGGTCTCTCTCTGGTCTCTCTCTGGTCTCTCTCTGCTTTCTCTCCGCTCTCTCTCTGCTCTCTCTCTGCTCTCTCTCTGCTCTCTCTCCGCTCTCTCTCTGCTCTCTCTCCGCTCTCTCTCTGCTCTCTCTCCGCTCTCTCTCCGCTCTCTCTCTGCTCTCTCTCCGCTCTCTCTCCGCTCTCTCTCTGCTCTCTCTCCGCTCTCTCTCTGCTCTCTCTCTGCTCTCTCTCTGGTCTCTCTCCGCTCTCTCTCCGCTCTCTCTCCGCTCTCTCTCTGGTCTGGTAGACGAACAGAAACCTCAGATTTAATTGCTGGGGCAAAATAGGGCAGTACTGAACAGAATCGATTCTTTCCCCCTCCACTTCGGGAAATATACAGGCTTAATATATAAGGACATTCAGAGACGCTTTACATGAGCACAGATTCATAGAAAACAAATGTAAAAATCTAAATAAACATTAAAGTAAAGGCAGTTTTGAGCAGTGACTTGACCTGGTTAGTTATTGTTTAAAGTATTCAATAATTGCTTTTCTTGTGCCATACATTATCTCTGTATGAATGAAGGGCTTCCATTTTAGAACTCAGCATTACCTACATGTACATATTGTTGTTATCCTGTGTCGTTTGTGTGTCCGCAGAACGTGTACAAAGCAGATCTGGAATGGATCCGTGGATGCGGCTGGGTGGCTGCGGACTCAGTGGATCACGTCAAAGTCAGGAAAGCTCAGCAAATCCTCAACGAAGTACGTACCGTGTGTTTGAATGTTCTCTTACTGCAGCTGGTCTCCAACTTTTAAATGACTGAAAGTTTCTAGCTCTTGTTCAGGGTCGTATACGGGCCTCAAGCATCTTCCTGGTTTAGAAATATTCTTAGTGAAACGGCTGTAAACACATTATTATTCTGAAATCAGTGACGTTTCTTTGGATATAGATATAGACTCAGACTTCATTGATCCACAGGGAAATTGTGTCACGGTGGCTTGCAAAGTATTTCACAATAAAAATGAAAATAACATTAAAGCAGCAATCTGAAAATAAGAATAATACGAATATGTTGTGAGAAAAACTAAACATCTGTTAATAGACAATATATACACAAGGACAAAGCTAGGATATGTGTGTCACTGGTTAATCTGTGTGTATTGTGTGTCTCTCCCACAGAGATTGTACAAGAAGAATGCTCAGGAATGCTTTGGAAAGTTCACTCTGATCGTGGATCGTCCGGAGCTCGTTTTGGCCAGAACCAACGCCGCCAACCTCAGCGACGTACGCACACAAACACACACTGTCAACACACACTGTCCTCATGGAACACACTCTTCATATTAGTTCAACATCAGTGATAATAGTTCTAGTCTATTTCATAATCAAAGTGTATCATTGCTTTTTACCTTTTGGACTGGATTTGATTTGACTTGAAAATTAGATTATTTTTTTAAAAGTTAATTTACTTTTTAAACTCAATTTCCAAAGTGAAAATAATACATTCCAGGCTTGGCACAGTAGTATGATTGTTCTACTATAATAACAGGTGTTAGATATGTTAAAGTCATCCTCAAATAAATAATAATAAATGCAAATATGAAGAACAAAGAGCAAAATCAAAACACCTCAGACATTTTCCTGCACTTATTTATCTTGTAATTTTACAAATACATATCTTTTGAAATAGTTTTAAAGCTAATTGTAAAAATATATGGTTAGAATCTGCTCATAATTGCTAGTGGTCTAGATACAATTAGCATGTATTAGCCACCATAGCTAATATATATTATTACAGTAAGCTAATAGTTGCTAACTGTTTTCATTTAATTAGCATGTATTAGCCACCATAGCTAATATATATTATTACAGTAAGCTAATAGTTGCTAACTGTTTTCATATAATTAGCATGTATTAGCCACCATAGCAAACATATCTATGTCTACTAGCATTAGCCGACATGTATCTAAAATGATCCACTTTTACGTCCAGCTCAAATACAAAGAAACCTTCAACGCGGAGAAGGGCCAGTACATCGGAGGTGAAGACTCCCCCCAGCTCGCCCACTGCAGAGAGGTCAACAAGAACATCAGCCTGGTGCGAAACCTCACTCTTCAACTCCATTTCAATCCACCGCTTAAACTGTGTCCATGTTATTTGACAAGATCTGTGTCTTTTGCGTTCACAGAAAGGTTACTCTCAACAATGGGACGAGAGCAAGGCCACCAGCTACCACCTCGACAAAGAATATATTCCACTGCTGAGCGGAAAGAAGGGCAGAGAAATCGCTTCAGATGTGAGATTTTTGCTTGTTTTGAACCAGGAGTTTTTGTCTTGCTAACATGACATATTCTGGCTGCAGGTGAAGTATAAGGACGCCCATGAGAAGGCCAAGGGACACTACATGGCCGGGACCCTGGTGGATTTCCCTGACGTCATGCGTTATGGAGAGCTGGAGAAGAACAAGGGAGTGGTAAGAGAAAGTCCAACGTGTTTGCAACTTTGAGACGCACTAGCGACAAGGCAAGGCGAGGTTATTTGTGTAGCTCAGTTCATGCACAAGGCAACTCCAAGTGCTTTACATAACAATACAGTTTTAGCTCTAGCAACATTAGAAAAACAGCAAAAGCATAAAAACATACAATATTTACAGCCATCTCTATAGGTACTTCCTCTAATGCCTCTAGAGTTCAGGATTGGGCCTAAAACTGGTCTGCTAAAACATATATAATCTCATTTAAAGGTGCATGAATTTGTACATAAGGTTTCTGCTCACACAAACACAAAACACAAAAAACTAGAGAAATTGGAGAAACTATCAGTCAATCGAAATGTGTATAGCACAATTAGTGGCAATTTATTCCATGTATTAGTCCCCACTGTAGGACCCTCTTAATCTAAATCGCTTAATCTTAATCTTAATTCAAAGTGCTTCACAAGAGCAACTAAAAACTTTGCTCAAAATGCATTAAAAACAAATCAAAAATGCAATACAGATTTACTTACAATATAATTAGACAGTGCTGTATAAAAGGATTGGGCTTAAAACTCTCAAAATGGGGGTATAAAACAGATACATAATTCAAAGTAGAAAATGAATAAAGTGAAAAGGCACAATTAATCTGAGAACTGAGCGGTCCATCTTGGAATATCAACAAGAACACCAACATTGTCAGCTTCAACTGACAATTATTATTATTATTATTTAAGTTTACGAACAGAGGTGGGAGTCAATAAGCTTGTCTTCTTCCCACTCCTTTTTCGAGCTAGAATGTTAATTAATTTTCTTTTATTTTTTCTGGCTTTTGTGCCTGTGTTGTGTGTTGTGTAGCTCGAAATAAAAAAGAATCAATCAATCAACTATAGAAAAATAAGCTAACAACGCAGTAAGTGGAGTTATAGAATATTGTGAGACCGAGAACCCAAAGAACTGAATGACTAAAGTCTGGCTCTAAACTGCTTCCCTTTTGCTTCTCTCCAGAGGCTGTACCACAAGGACTACCACCAGACCAAGACCAAGAACCACCTCCCTCCCGACGTCATCGCCAACAAAGTGGCCAAGCGCTGCCAGGACATGCTGAGCGACGTCCTGTACCGCACCTACCTGCACCAGTGGACCTGCCACCCAGAGCAGGAGGACGCCATCCGGGCCCGCAAGACCAACGAGATCCTCAGCGATGTACGAGACTGCGGGATTCTACCATATTTGTGTAGCGCCCGAAAGGCAGAGCAGAAGGGCTTCGGATGAGCGTCGCTAGTAGCAGATGAGATCATTTATTTCCCCGTAATCCCCGCACTCAATTCACAGAGCAGAGCAGAATAGTCTTGATCTTTCAGCGGGGGCTTCAGGCAAAGTGGGGTTAAGTGTCTTGCCAAAGGACAGAACGACAGCAGACATCAGTGGGAGTTGGTGGAGAGGGTTTCGTGGCGGACTCGAACCTACAACCTTCAGGCTTAAATGCCAGTGCTCTACCAACTGAGCCACTGTATATATACCTATAGTTATCATTCATAATAATAATATATATATTTTTTAAATGTTATCTCCCATTGTTTTACTTTTAAAGGGAAACAGAGTGCTGTCAGTTGAACCCGTTAATAATGGCGTAATTTTCTTTTATCGCGGCACATGAGGTACAGCAGGAAAGTTTTTTTGTATAGCACGATTCATACGCAAAGCAACTCAAAGTGCTGAACAAAACAAGATTAACATTCAAATCACAAATAATCACAATATGTCAAAAAGAAAGATACAAATATAAAATCCCTCAGTTGTATGCGCAGCTAAACACAACTGTTTTAACCTAGATTTAAACATGGTCAGAGAAAAGGCCTGTCTCACACTTTCAGGAAGATTGGTTCAGATTTCATCAGCAGGCATGAGAGAACAGAAGCAGTCGCTCTCACTGCTGATGACCTACTTACTGATCTTAAACAAAAGAGTCGCCGTTATCGTTTCCACTTTGTAAAATAGTTCACTGTAAAAAGCCACAGCAAAAGCAGAGATTGAGACGTCTGTATTAGTGAATCCAAATACTGTGTTTTTCGAGGCGATTGGATTAATATTAGTTTTTGCTTCCTCCAATGTCTTTTCAAACCAAATCTAGGGATATTTACAACAGGGAACAATATATATTTGTTTAAAAAAAGTAATCAGGGAATGTTCAATAGAATAAATTTGTATATGAGACATTAAAGGTGCAGTTAGCGATGTTAGCTTAGCCATAGCACCAACTGGAAACCACCCCCCCTCCCCTCCCTCTCCACCAAACCAAACATCCAGCATTTTCTTTTCTTTGTCACAGGGAGAGTGAAGCAAACGGGAAATTGGCATTTTCTGTTCAGCCATTTTAGAAAATCCGATAACTCCGGTGCACTCGCAAGAAACAGGAAGAACAAACAATAAACACATCCCATTGGTTTATTTTTCTCGGTCGGTATTAATTTTTGGAGACTATAGACATCAATTCGATCACTATTTGAAAACACTTAATAACTTGACTAGTTTTAGGGTTTAGGGACAATATCTCACAATATTTAAAAAAATGCATCTGGAAAAAATCACTGACTGCATCTTTAATATTTTGCTTGTTTCTCAGGTTTTCTACAAAGACGACCTGAACTGGATGAAGGGCATCGGCTGCTACGTGTGGGACACTCCAGAGATCGTCCGCGCCCAGAAAGCCTACTCCCTGCAGAGCGAGGTCAGTGACAAAAACACCAACACCAACTGTGCGTGTGTGTAACGTCTGGTTGTTGTGTTGTTTTTTAGCTGAAATACAGAGATGAAGCCAAGAAGGAGTTCAACAACTACTCCATCGTGACGGACACCCCTGTTTATGTGACGGCCATCCTGGGACACACCTGGGCCAGTGAGGTGAGAACCAACACAAAAACACACTCTTTCAGAATCAAAAAAGCTGTTTAAACCTTCACACACTGGGACTCACACAATCCTGAAACTACTAGAACTTTCATAGCTGATTTTGACTGCTCCCATTTAAATCAATAAGTAGATTTTTTGGGAGAAATTGCCCCAAAAATGTTTAGTTTTTCACTATTTAAAGAGAGAAAGTAAGTCATTTATATGTTTGTTTCCTTTACTCACTTTTAATAAGTGCTAAAACTGGTGAATATATGAAAAAGGATTACGCTAACGGCTAAATGCTAACGATTAAGTGCTAACAGCTAAAAGTGAAATGCTAACGGCTAAATGCTAATGGCTGACAGTGATAGTGATAGTGTGTTGATAAATAGAATATTCATAAATATTCATGATAATTATATCTAAAATGGCTAGAGAAACCATTCATCAAAAGAAAAATAATAAAACATTCAGAATATTTTCAAATTATAGAGAGAAAAAGAAGGGAAGAAACAAAAGTTCTGTAACAACAATAATAATCATTACAATAATAAACCATTCCCCCTGAAACCCTGCCAATGATGGTACATATCTCCATTGTTAGATTAGTAAAGTTTATCTTATCTTAATTGCCCATTTTTCAAGCATTAAAAATCAATTCAATTCAATTCAAATAACTTTATTCGTCCATGAGGAACTTCATTTACAGACAGGGCACCAGTGGGGGTACACAAAAACACAGACACACACAGTATACGTATAAATACTGTGAAAGAGCAGAAATACAATATAAAATACACAAACAGGTCTCCAAATCGGCTGTTTAAAAGGAGAATTGAGGTTGGGAGGAAGCTCTTATTTAGTCTACAGCCGTTAAAGTCTCCGAGAACAATAACAGTGTCTCCATGTCTCACTTCCACAGCTGAACTACAGAGAGGCCTACCACAAAGAGAAGCACCTGTACACCACCGTCCTCGACACCTACGACTACGCACGATGCCACAACTTTAAGTACTTCTTCAGCCAGGTGAGCAGCCGGAGGTGGTGTTACTGCTACTGTCACATCTATCTACATGCACTACATCATCTGTCTGTGTTTGATCATAACAGAAAAACTACACCGCGGCTTGGGACAAAATCAAAGCCAAGAGTTACCAGATTCCCAAAGACTCACACGCCCTGCAACACGCCAAGCTCCAGAAAGTCATCCTCAGCAACGTGAGTAAATCTGCATTCATACTATTTATCTGTTTGTTTATCTATCTATCTATCTATCTATCTATCTATCTATCTATCTATCTATGTGTCTATCTATCTATCTATGTGTCTATCTATCTATCTGTCTATCTATCTATGTGTCTATCTATTTATGTGTCTATCTATCTATCTGTCTATCTATCTATGTGTCTATCTATCTATCTATCTATCTATGTGTCTATCTATCTATGTGTCTATCTATCTATCTATCTATGTGTCTATCTATCTATCTATGTGTCTATCTATCTATCTATCTATCTATGTGTCTATCTATCTATGTGTCTATCTATCTATCTATCTATCTATGTGTCTATCTATCTATCTATGTGTCTATCTATCTATCTGTCTATCTATCTATCTGTCTATCTATCTATGTGTCTATCTATCTATCTATCTATCTATGTGTCTATCTATCTATGTGTCTATCTATCTATCTATCTATCTATGTGTCTATCTATCTATGTGTCTATCTATCTATCTGTCTATCTATCTATGTGTCTATCTATCTATCTATCTATCTATCTATCTATCTATCTATGTGTCTATCTATCTATCTATCTATGTGTCTATCTATCTATCTATGTATATGTACAGCTGTATCTGTCTATTTATTAATTTATGTATTTATTTAAATCATAGACAATAAACCACTTATTACAATAATATTTCAATTCATTGTGGTCCTTTATGGTTAATTAGCTCTTAATTTGTATTTTTTGTCCTCATTCTACATGGACTTATTACATATTTAACTTACTACCAACTGACACTTTCCCGTGTGGCATAAGGAAAGAAAAAAATACATACATAAAACCTAATCTTCTAACTTAAATTAATCTTCTATCTTTATGAATGTATTCTCTCCATTCTTTCAATCATTCATTTTATCGGATGTCTTTGTTGTGACTTGTGTGAGATGCAGCAGTGACAGTGATGTGTTGTTTTTCCCGTTCAGGTCAAGTACAAGGAGGACTACGAGAAGTACAAGTCTCTGTACAGTCTTCCCAAGTGTCTGGAGGACGACCCCAACACGGCCCGCTGCGTCCGGGCCGGAAAACTGGTCCTGGATGTGAGTTTGTATTCAATTAATGAGAAAAAGTGTGTGTACAAACGGTGTGTGTTGTCGCCTAAAGCTGCTGTTGTGTATGAGTTAGGGTTAGGGTTGTAGATACAGGACTGAGGCTGTAGATCCAGGACTGAGGCTGTAGACCCAGGACTGAGGCTGTAGACCCAGGACTGAGGCTGTAGATCCAGGAGTGAGGCTGTAGATCCAGGAGTGAGGCTGTAGACCCAGGACTGAGGCTGTAGATCCAGGACTGAGGCTGTAGACCCAGGACTGAGGCTGTAGACCCAGGACTGAGGCTGTAGACCCAGGACTGAGGCTGTAGATCCAGGACTGAGGCTGTAGATCCAGGACTGAGGCTGTAGACCCAGGACTGAGGCTGTAGACCCAGGACTGAGGCTGTAGACCCAGGACTGAGGCTGTAGACCCAGGACTGAGGCTGTAGATCCAGGACTGAGGCTGTAGATACAGGACTGAGGCTGTAGATCCAGGACTGAGGCTGTAGATCCAGGTCTGAGGCTGTAGATCCAGGTCTGAGGCTGTAGATCCAGGAGTGAGGCTGTAGATCCAGGACTGAGGTTGTAGACCCAGGACTGAGGCTGTAGACCCAGGACTGAGGCTGTAGCCCCAGGACTGAGGCTGTAGATCCAGGACTGAGGCTGTAGATACAGGACTGAGGCTGTAGATCCAGGACTGAGGCTGTAGATCCAGGTCTGAGGCTGTAGATCCAGGTCTGAGGCTGTAGATCCAGGAGTGAGGCCGTAGACCCAGGACTGAGGCTGTAGACCCAGGACTGAGGCTGTAGACCCAGGACTGAGGCTGTAGACCCAGGACTGAGGCTGTAGACCCAGGACTGAGGCTGTAGACCCAGGACTGAGGCTGTAGACCCAGGACTGAGGCTGTAGACCCAGGACTGAGGCTGTAGACTCAGGACTGAGGCTGTAGATCCAGGACTGAGGCTGTAGACCCAGGACTGAGGCTGTAGACTCAGGACTGAGGCTGTAGATCCAGGACTGAGGCTGTAGATCCAGGACTGAGGCTGTAGATACAGGACTGAGGCTGTAGATCCAGGACTGAGGCTGTAGATCCAGGTCTGAGGCTGTAGACCCAGGACTGAGGCTGTAGACCCAGGACTGAGGCTGTAGACCCAGGACTGAGGCTGTAGACCCAGGACTGAGGCTGTAGACTCAGGACTGAGGCTGTAGATCCAGGACTGAGGCTGTAGATCCGGGACTGAGGCTGTAGACTCAGGACTGAGGCTGTAGACTCAGGACTGAGGCTGTAGACCCAGGACTGAGGCTGTAGACCCAGGACTGAGGCTGTAGACCCAGGACTGAGGCTGTAGACCCAGGACTGAGGCTGTAGACTCAGGACTGAGGCTGTCGACCCAGGACTGAGGCTGTAGACCCAGGACTGAGGCTGTAGACTCAGGACTGAGGCTGTAGACTCAGGACTGAGGCTGTAGACCCAGGACTGAGGCTGTAGACCCAGGACTGAGGCTGTAGACTCAGGACTGAGGCTGTAGACTCAGGACTGAGGCTGTCGACCCAGGACTGAGGCTGTAGACCCAGGACTGAGGCTGTAGACCCAGGACTGAGGCTGTAGACCCAGGACTGAGGCTGTAGACTCAGGACTGAGGCTGTCGACCCAGGACTGAGGCTGTAGACCCAGGACTGAGGCTGTAGACCCAGGACTGAGGCTGTAGACCCAGGACTGAGGCTGTAGACCCAGGACTGAGGCTGTAGACCCAGGACTGAGGCTGTAGACCCAGGACTGAGGCTGTAGACCAATGGCATATTCTTGTTCTGTAATCCGTGTTGAATGTCCCCACAGCGTCTGTACAAAGCGGACTATGAGAAGACCAAGGCCAAGAACCACATTCCCGCGGACATGCTGGAGATCCTGTCCGCCCGCAAGACCCAGTCCACCGTCAGCGGCATCCACTACAAGAAGTACCTGCACCAGTGGCTGTGTCTGCCCGATATGCAAGTGTTTGGACAGGCGCGCAAGGTCAACGAGCAGCTCAGCGACGTAAGTCTGTACACATACAGTGGGATACCACCAATAAGATACAGCATACAATAGCATAATGATAGCATATGATAGCTTACGATACCATACAATACCATACAATAGCATTCAATAACATACAATACCATACGATAGCATACAATAGCATACGATAGCATACATGACCATACGATAGCATACATGACCATACGATAGCATACATGACCATACGATAGCATACATGACCATACGATAGCATACATGACCATACGATAGCATACATGACCATACGATAGCATACATGACCATACGATAGCATACATGACCATACGATAGCATACGATAGCATACATGACCATACGATAGCATACATGACCATACGATAGCATACATGACCATACGATAGCATACATGACCATACGATAGCATACATGACCATACGATAGCATACATGACCATACGATAGCATACATGACCATACGATAGCATACATGACCATACGATAGCATACATGACCATACGATAGCATACATGACCATACGATAGCATACGATAGCATACATGACCATACAATAGCATACATGACCATACGATAGCATACATGACCATACGATAGCATACATGACCATACGATAGCATACATGACCATACGATAGCATACGATAGCATACATGACCATACGATAGCATACGATAGCATACGATAGCATACGATAGCATACATGACCATACGATAGCATACGTGACCATACGATAGCATACATGACCATACGATAGCATACATGACCATACGATAGCATACGTGACCATACGATAGCATACGATAGCATACATGACCATACGATAGCATACGATAGCATACGATAGCATAAGACAACATACAATAACATAGAATAACATTTGCCAAAATTATCTACCGGTAATTTTAACAAGTATGGAATCATCAGTGTTTATTTATTTATTAACTGTATTTGATATCTGACCATTGTTGACCATTTTATTCATAAATCTATACATTAATTGTAGAAGAGAAAGAGAGGGACATTTCCAAGCCTTCATTTTGGCTTTAATATGATCTTTAATCTTGCCAATTTGTTTATCAAAACTCTGAACTGCAAACAATTATGAAAGTTTGTTTAATCTATAATTAAACAAATGTATTAATCTGCACATTATGACCACCTTAAAACCAGATTTGCCAAAAATATCTCCTAAATATGTCAAAGAAATGTCTAAAGAGAAGAGAAAAGACTAAATGGTTTTGTCCCATTGCAGAATCTTGCTTAAACACAGTTAGAATGAACAATTATAACCTCATGTTTTATCATTTTTTGCCGTGTTTATATTGGTAGCGGTTTTTTAGCCTTAAGAATCAATCATATTTCTTGTGTATTCTGATATAGTGTATCTTTACCAAACGTGCGTGTGTGTTTGGTCTCCACAGATCTTCTACAAGGACGACCTGAACTGGCTCAGAGGCATCGGCTGCTACGCCTGGGACACTCCTGAGATCATCAGAGTCAAACACGCCGGGAACCTGCAGAGCGAGGCCAGTCCCCACCTGCACATTATCCATACTATCACACGTACATATAGTTAAACTTCACTTCTTCTTCTTCTTCTAATTAATTCCGGCAGGCTGTACGCTGGCGTGCGCAATGCTGCCCTCCACAGTTATGAGACCGTCAGTACTCTAAATTCTCAAAAAAGTGCCTGTGCGGCGGAGGAATAAAACAATGGCTCTGTTAACTCCTTGAGTGTTTCCACGACTTGAAAAAATTGACTTAAATGAAAAAGAAGTTATCCCCAAATCTGCCAATTCCACAAATAGTTGTTGTTGTTCCTTGGAGTATTTGCTGCATGACAACAAGATGTGAGAAACAGTCTCCAATGTCCCACAAATGCACAGTCCATCTGCATGTTTACTTATTCTATACAAAGAAGAAGTCCACAGTGCCCCAGTCTGATTCTAGTGAGAACCACTTCCTCTCTACGCCCCTCAGCTACAGCCTGCCAACTATTTTGGACTGATGATTGACATGAATAATAGAGTCTCCCCCTGGTCTCCCTCTCCCACTCTTTCTGCCACTGACTTTGAACATATTTTTTACTAATGCTGTAACACTCTTTTTTTCCCCAAATTAAGATGATAATCTTAAACTTCACTGTGTGACCTCCGCAGGCCAAATACAGAGCCAAGGGCATCGAGAGCTTCAAGGAGTACACTGTGGTGACCGACACGCCCACGTACGAAGTGGCCAAACAGAACGCTGTCAACCTGAGCGACGTGAGTCCTGCATCTCCCACACGCATTACACCAGAGGCTCACGCTGTGTTTACTGTATATATTACTGTATATACAGGTATATATTAGGTAAAGGTGAGAATTGGCAAAAATGTGAAGATTCGATAGTGTAGTGTTGCGATTTGGGCCGCATTTCAATATTATTGCAATTCTTGACATATCGCGATACAATAAGTTTTGTGATTTGATTCTTTGATTAAAAGCGATTCATGTCTCTCATATTATTCAAAGGCATTACAAAAATTTAGGAAAATAAGACTTACCTCATACGTCACATTGATTGTGTTTTACGGACTATAAGCCGCTCCTGATTATAATCCGCAGGCTTTAATTTTTAGAAAGAAATTGAATTTTGTATTTATACACTGGGGCGACAGTGGCTCAGTTGGTAGAGCATTGGCCTTTGGGCCTGGAGGTCGTGAGTTCGAATCCCACCATGGGACCTACTCCAACTGCTCCCACTGATGACTGCTGTCGTTGTGTCCTTGGGCAAGACACTTAACCCCACGTTGCCTGAAGCCCCCGCTGAAAGATTAAGGCTGTTTCACAACTGATGGAGCAGCCATCTTCCTGTGGACTCACCCCCTGCAGAAGATCAGTGAGGGACTGGTGCTATGAGCATTGGGTGGCAGCTCTCATTGCCACCCCCCCGACCCAGAAACGGACAAATAAAGGGGTTGAAAATGAAATGAAAAAAAAAACAAGTCACACTGGATTATAAGCTGCACCTGTCCCACTTTGTAATATTGAAAAACGTAGCTCAAAAATGTTCATCATGTCTTTTTACTGCGAGTAATAAGAGTAATAAGAATGAAGCAGAAATGTAAAGAGCAACTTCTACTGGTCTCTTTTCTCTTTCATGTCTGTACAAAGAACCAAAAACACAAAGTCTTTTATTCTGCTTGACATATCTGAAAATGGAATTGGACTTCTTCTACTTCTACTCATCAATTCTGTTAGTCAACTGTTACACAAAAAAAGGTTTTTGGCGCCACAAAGAAAAAAAAATATATATAATTTAGCCGCACCTGACTATAAGCCGCAGCCTTCAACATGCAGGGGAAAGCTGCGGCTTGTAGTCCGCAATTGACAGTACCATAGTCTGCTCATAACTGAAGAACTACCCTCCTCACCGCCTCCTTACAACAAAGAGGCAGTGAAAACTATCAGTCTTTAGGAGCACTTTTCCTACACAAGGCAACACAAATCTCTACACAGTCCACACCACACAAAGCACTAAAAACACAATTCAAATCAGTTAAAATAATCAATTGAAAACATACGTCCATACATCTCACACGTATACGTACATTTCTGCATTTATACAAAGATTACATTTCTATTATTTATGCCATAATAGTAAAAAATACTGAATTCTGCACAAAAAACAACAGCTCTAAAGATGAAAAACACCAGAATGATATAACTATAACTAGGTTTCTTACGCCATTGAGAAACCTTTATAGTCTCCTTTTTAATGCACCACTTTAGACACATCCCAAACTGAGATAAAAAAGAAGAAGGGAAAATAGGGGCAATGAGGGTGATGGGTGGATGCACAAATTTGGGAAAATTGGAACACACACACACACACGCACACGCACACGCACACACTGTCCTGTCTGTCTTGTTATATTTGTTTGTACGTCTGCACTTGTTTTGTAATGTCTATTTTTTCACAATAAAAAAAACAAAAAAAAAGAACCTTTATAGTTATATCATATAGTTATAGTGGCATTGAGCCTACAGTTGTAAAAGTTAGTCGTGTGTATTTTCTGATACTAATAATGAATTCTTTCCTTTAGCTGCATTATCACTACGACTACAACACCAACGTGAAGGGAACCAACACTGCTCCAGCCGTCACCATCGAGGGAGAGAGAGCTCGCATGGCCAACTACATCCAGAGCAACGTAAGACACACCGACTTCATTCTACTTTTTCAGGATACCAACCTTTCACACACACCACACTCATTTTAGGCAATGTGAGTTGAATGAATGAACGAATGAAGTTTATTTTGGTCACTTGAACAGCTTACACATTGTTTACAGGACAGTAAATTGCAGCAGAAACAAGAAAGACCAGAAAGGAGTAGGCTGAAGCTAATGCCGTTTTTGCCTACCCTCCTTTTTACAAGTGTCATTAGTATAAGTGAATTTAAATAACAGCATTTAAATGAGCAGCTATAGCAACTTTAAAAATATCCGAGTTCAGGTAGCCATCCAGAGTTAAGCTAGCCAAAGGACACAACAACAGTTTGGCACTTAGCAGCCGCTGTTCTCAGTGGTCTCCCATCACATCACTAACCAGGCCCAGTCTAGTCCAATTCAAGCAATTTGTAAAACTGTGAATCAGAGTGGAGGCCGTGTACTGTTCTTGGTAAAATTTCTTTCTTTCTTTTTTTAAAAATATCATTTATTTTTGAGCTTTTAGCTTTTGAGTTTGATTGGTCAAAATGTAATTCAAAAACATAACAACAATTATAATGCAAAGGAAAATATTACATACAAATAATAATAATAACAAATAAAAGTAATAATAATAGACAATGAATTGAGAAAAAAACATTGAAAAAAGTGTATATGTAATTAAAATGTATACATATAAAGACAAAAGTTTGAATAATTCTGATAATAACAATAACAATACTAATAATAATCAGCTAAAGAAGTGGGAAAAAGACCAAACATTTAGCCTATACGTACACACACATATATCCCCCTGTGGCTCCACACACCTCTTTACCTTTCTCCTTTTATGTGACTCTGACATGTCTTTTCTCTCCTTTTCCCCCAGAACCACTACAAAGAGGCCAACAAGCAGTTCATGCCCACGGGCTACTCCCTCCCCTACGACACGCCCGTCCACAAACAGGTCAAACACAACACTGTCGTCACCAGCAACGTGAGTATTCCTCTTTTTCCTTTGATTTTCACACGTTTATGGAGCCGTGAATGTGTGTTTCTGCTTCAGTACAAGTACAAGGAGGCGTACGAGATGATGAAGGCCAAGGGCTACACTCTTCATCCAGAGGGAGTCAGCTTTGTCACATCCAGGAAGGCCAACAAGATGATCAACGAGGTGAGACGTGGACACACATGAAGATGGAGAAAGTTCAGTGTTGCATCACAAGTTACAGAACAGTAGGAATGAGGAGCACGCAGCACAAGATAAATAAACAATAACGCTAGAGTTAAATGAAAGAAAATCTCTATCTTTGTGAGATAAATAAAGCACATCTTATCTTATCATAAAGAAGCTAGTATTAAACTTTTAGCTTTAGCATAATAAAGAAGAAAGTATAAACCAAGCCCCGGCGATCCAAGATGGCGCCCTATTCAAATGAATGGTTGTGCTCAGTGGCGCTTTGTGACGGCACGGGGGCTGAAAGATTAGTAGAAGTCGCCTGGAACTCTCAAAGATCTATGGGAAACTCTCAAAGAACTTTGGGAAACTCTCAAAGATCTTTGGGAAACTCTCCTGTATTTGGGCATCGTCTGGTCCTCCCGGTTCTGTGCAGTGGATGATCTCCCATAATGCATTGCGTCAAACACACGTGTGTGGGTCTCACACCGGGTCTCACGCACGTGCACAGAGGGGCTCGGCTCTGACCAATCAGAGCAGTTCATCAGAGCGGGAGTTAGAGCGAGAGCCAGACGAGCAGAGTTTGTGGCACTAAAGTGTGGATTTAAACAAAACCGAAGGATTTAAAAAGAAAAAAAGTTCAGGATGACAAGGGACACTAAAATCCCCACAAAATACTATCTTTATGAAAGCTGTAGGTTCTCTGTCAGCTGAGGTCGAGCTGTTTTAATATGCATTAAGGTTTATGGGGAAAATGTCTGGGTAGCCCGTGTGAATTTAGTCTGGTCTAGTAATACCCTATCCAGTTATTATAATAGATCCATGGTATAAAATCTCAAGCTTTAGCCTGATATAGAGGTAGAGTTTGTGAAAAAGTCATTGAGGAGAAACAGGGAAGAACAGAGGTAAGTGGACTCTGTATAAGCTCGTCATGTCTTGATGGGACACCTCTGTCGTGAATACATGTTTTTAATGAACTACGCCTGGATTTTTAATATCACTTCACCTTTTCTTTTCCCAGCGTCTGTACAGAGAACAGTGGCACAAGACCAAGGACAAGATCCACACCACGTACGACACCGGAGAGATCAAGCAAGTCAAGATGAACCAGAACCACCTCAGTAACGTCAGTGCTGCACACATCACACCTGCTGTTGTGCGTCCGCCTCCGTCCTCTGACACTGTAAACCCCTTTGTCTTCCTCAGTTGTGGTACCACGAGAAGCACAACGCGGCGAAGGGCCAGCTGCTGCCGATGCCCATCACGCCTCAGCTCATGCACTGCGCCCACGTCAACGAGATCACCAGCGACGTAAGCTACCAGCGACCGCCGCGCCTTTTTAACTCCTGTTTTGGATTTTGCCATTTTCTCGTATTGCACACTTTACTGTAAATGTAGGTCATGATACTAGCAAGATGGATTCAAGATACATACAGTACTTAACGGGCAATATACCAGTAATTTTGGACAGTGAGAATCCGGGGCATTTAAAGACATTTTTTTAACCTTTTACAGAACTTCAAAATTCAACTTCTTAATTCAATAAACCGACACATATAGAGGCTAGCATAACCTTTATAATGATTCAAGGAGGTACAAGATATACAGTACTATATATATATACACTACTTAATGGGCACAGATACCTTTTAATTTGAGGATCCGGGGATTTTAAAGAGCGACTAAACACCTGTGCCCAGCCTTACCCCGCCCACATGAAGATTTGAAAATGTTCTCTAAAAAGGGTGTTGCCTGGGGGACCAAGGTACAAGAAGGGGGGCTTAGAGTTGGGCGTGGTCTGGGCTGTGATTGACAGCTCACTTGTCACACAAAAAAAAAAAACAGTTGTCATTGCTGCTTAAAGCAATAGTTTACAGACCAGAAAGTCTCATTCCACCCTTGTTTACACACTAAGATAATTGTAAAGCTACACACCTGAACCTAATTACACTCAATAATCTCAGAATGACTCATGTAATTTAATTTTAATCCACTAGATGGCGCCAGAATACTCCAAACTGCAGCTGGGGCGTGTGTGAGAGTGAATGGGTTCACATCACTGGCTCTGACAGACTGACGTCACACAAAACAACTGATGTCATAGAGAACTTCAGAGTCAATGGAGAGGCCAGGACCAAATTCAAATGTAGTACCACCAAAAAGGTTGAGAGGGCACCACACAGCGTTTTTTGGCTCAAAAGTGATATTTTATCTAATTTGAACTAAAATGTCAAAAGAATGACCAGGATATGTAGACAGCACTACAATAAACATACTTGTGCAGTTTATGAGTTAAAAAAAGTTGATTTGGTGTTTAGTCGCTCTTTAAGGACTATTTTTGCTGAAGGCGGAGCAGACAGAAGCACATTACAAGCAAAAATAATTTCTCTTTTATATGTCCAATAACCATCTTTGTCCTTTTATGTTTGAGTGAGAAATAGGTCATTACAATAACAATACATATGTTATTATGTCATTGTCATTATGTTATTCTAATACCAAAAAGGTACAAGATACATACAGTACTTAATGGGAATTATCTTTTGGTCTTAGGACAAGGAGGATTCGGTGCATTTAAAGACATTTATTAAAATTCTTCTCGTCTTGGAAAATACAAAGTTGTATATTTGCCAACAACAAATCAGAGAATCAAACAGTTAGAATTCAGGAAATGCAATAATAACAAAGACATAGGAGGCATTGGTTCACAGGGAGCGGGACGACCACTGTCTATAAATGTTTATAAATGTCCCGAGTCCTCACTGGCTCAGACTCAAAAGACAGTGGGAAAAAGTGGAAAAACCTCGGGTCAGTCTTTTATGAGGGAGGGATCTGCTGCCACAGACCCAGGACTCAGACTGTAGAACGAGGACTGAGGCTGTAGACCCAGGACTGAGGCTGTAGAACGAGGACTGAGGCTGTAGACCCAGGACTCAGACTGTAGAACGAGGACTGAGGCTGTAGATCCAGGACTCAGACTGTAGAACGAGCACTGAGGCTGTAGACCCAGGACTCAGACTGTAGAACGAGGACTGAGGCTGTAGACCCAGGACTGAGGCTGTAGACCCAGGACTCAGACTGTAGAACGAGGACTGAGGCTGTAGATCCAGGACTCAGACTGTAGATCAAGGACTCAGACTGTAGAATGAGGACTGAGGCTGTAGACTCAGGACTCAGACTGTAGAACGAGGACTGAGGCTGTAGATCCAGGACTCAGACTGTAGATCAAGGACTCAGACTGTAGAATGAGGACTGAGGCTGTAGACCCAGGACTCAGACTGTAGAACGAGGACTGAGGCTGTAGACCCAGGACTCAGACTGTAGATCAAGGACTGAGGCTGTAGACCCAGGACTGAGGCTGTAGACCCAGGACTGAGGCTGTAGACCCAGGACTGAGGCTGTAGAACGAGGACTGAGGCTGTAGAACGAGGACTGAGGCTGTAGACCCAGGACTGAGGCTGTAGACCCAGGACTGAGGCTGTAGAACGAGGACTGAGGCTGTAGACCCAGGAGTGAGGCTGTAGACCCAGGAGTGAGGCTGTAGACCCAGGAGTGAGGCTGTAGACCCAGGACTGAGGCTGTAGACCCAGGACTGAGGCTGTAGATCCAGAACTCAGACTTTATATCCAGAACTCAGACTTTATATCCAGGACTCAGACTGTAGATCCAGGACTCAGACTGTAGAACGAGGACTGAGGCTGTAGACCCAGGACTGAGACAGACTTTTTGAAAGCTCTGGCCATCACACATGTATTCTATCTTTTTTGTCGAAAATATGTTCAAATCCGGATATACAGTATATTAGATGTGTATGAATCTACATTTGAAAACTAAAAATACAGCCTTTAAGGACTATATTTTCTGAAGGCCGAGCAGACAGCAGCCTCATTACAACGTCAATGTCAATCAAAAAGACTAAATATTTTCTAATTTGTATATCAGATAACCATCTCTGTCTCATTGTGTTTTAGTGAGAAATAGGTAGTTACCAGACAGTTAAAAATATGTTATTATATCATTGTTATTCTATTATTCTAATGCAACTGAACTTTAAAATTAATCTTCAACTTCTTAATTAACAAAAAATATACATATAGAGATTAGCAAAACCTTTATAATGATTCATAAAGGTAAATTTCATCCGCTTTTTAAATATTTTTTTATATACTAGTTAGATATCTTTTCCGTTTCATGCTAACAAGGTGATAAACTTGTCTTTTAAAATAGCCACAACATGTATGATGATGATGATTTTTGTTTTCAGCTGAAATACAAAGAGGACCTGTCGTGGCTGAGGGGCCTGGGCTGTTTCCTCTACAACACCCCGGAGATGGTCACGGTCCGCAACATCTCCAAGTTCAGGGTGAGTTTTGGTCCGTCTGGATTTACCCCAACGGTTCCATCTCAACAATCTTCGCTGGTTTGACTTCATCTGAGTCTAATGTTGATGGGTTTTTTTAGGCCAATTACCCGGTGGAGGCCAAGAAGAACCTGCATAACTTCACCGTTGTCCTGGATACGCCGGAATACAACCGTGTCACGGAGCTCAAGACACACATGAGCGACGTGAGAGGCTTTTTCACCTTGTTTGAGAATATCTGCAATATCGGCTCGGACGTTCAGAGTCTGAAAGTTTCTCTCTCAAACTCGCTTCACTCGGACACATCCTGACAATATTATGGTCCAAACGTTCAGGAGAGATGAGGGCTGCAGTGGGTCCAGCTGTGTCAGGGGCTCAGCAGGGCTCATTATTTAAATGTCAGGATTTTTCCCCATTTCAATATTACGGACCCATTTTATTCTTGTCAAAACAAAAGTATTTGTTAAAGAAATCTGACGTGTACAGAATTGAATGAACATGTATTTAATAAAAGTAAGTTATAAATGAATCCTCAAGAGTTCGGGATTAGTTTAAATCTTTCTCTTATCGGTATTTAATCTAAACAACTCGGATTTAATTCACGTTATTGTTTGTGTGTATAACATAGACTGTAAATATTATCCGACGTAGTGGGGACTATTTGCTAAAATCACTGACTGCTTCTTTATGAACTTATTTTTGTTTTCTAGTGGGTCTACAGAGCACAGAGCAAAAAGGAAATGGCCAAAATCACGACACCAGTGGATTCCATCGATGTCAAGAGAGCTAAGTGGGCCCAGCAGCTCACCAACAAGGCAAGTCCACCCTGAGACGCTCTGAATCCTGTGTGACCGTTATTATGCAGCTCTGCAGGAGTCTGACGTGTGTGTGTGTGTGTGTGTTCTCAGTGGCAGTACTCGGAGCTGGCCACGAAGGAGAGAGCCTTCTTCACTCCAGAGATGGAAACTCCAGGCATGGGCCATTGCAGGAAGATGAAAGTGGTCTACAGCGACGTACGTACACTCTCCTCTGAACTGAATTCTTTTGGTTATGACAGAAAAACATTTGGCTCATAGTTTAGTTGAATTGTTTTGGATTTGTATGTCCTTGGCATAGAACATTTATTCTGCCTTTCCCTGCTATAGATTCAGACTTTCTGCAAGACTTGATAGTTGTTGGAGAAACTATATATGTACAGGAAATATATCAACTCCAAGAAGAAGTTGATATATTTCCCGACTAAATATTCCCAAAATGATTGAACTAGAAAAGCAATTTTACATCAAAACAAACAAAAAATCGGGTGGGAATCCAAATCACCCCAAAAAACGGTTTCCCATTTCCTCAAGATTCCACAAAGTTCTTAAAAATCCGCACATAACTTTTTAAGATGAAGAGGTTCTTTATTCGTCCCACAGTGGGGAAATGTCAGTGTTGCATCACAGGTGACAGAACACTAAGGAATTCTGACATTATTGCACAGTTATGTTGTTTAATAGAGAAACAAACCCTGGTGAACACATCACAACACTGGCCCCTGGTAACGACAGCAGCAACACACAAAGATCCTCGTTTTTCATGACTGTTTAAAGTTTATGCAATTGTCGTCGTCCAGCAGTAAACACAAAACGTTCTTTTGTGGTTGAATTAGGGATTCTCCTACATTTTCAGATATCATATTATTGTCATGTATATATACCGTACCTTTGCTAATATACCATTCTTTAACAAAACCTTCTCGTCCAGTTTTATCAATCTCAGTACCATATTCTTTGGATTATAAGTCACAGCGTCCGAAAAGAGAAGGAAAAAAAACATATTAGTCACACAAGAGAATAAGTCGATTTTTTTAGTAGCTTAATCCTAACTGTAAAGCCCGGACTATTATTTGATATTTTACGGTAAATAAAATTTTATAATTTCGCACATTTGTCGCTCCAGATTATTATCGCACCCCGGGCCAAACTATGACTAAAACTGGTACTTATGATACAAAAAATATGGTTTTATTTTTTGTTTGGGATCTTGAAAATGCAACAAAAAACCACATGATTCAGAAAATACAACACTAATACATTCCATGAAATGAAGAACGGGAGTAGGATGAAAAAAAAAACTTTAAAAAAAGTCTCATATAAAGACATTTACAAATAGTTAGTTTTTTGAGAGGTTTTGTTTGTGGTCACTTTTCATGCATTCTTTCAATAATACTAATAATAAGAAGTCAATGTGTTTTTCTGTACATTCTTTTGTCTTTTTACAGAACAAGTACAAGGACCAGTATGAGAAAATGAAGCACAGGTACACTGCCATCGCGGACACTCCCATCCTGATCCGGGCCAAGAAAGCGTACCTCCAGTCCAGCGATGTGAGAAACCCCTGCAGAGACTTCACTTATCACATGATTCACCAAATCCACTCATTTTGACCCCGTTTCTTTGTTCTCAGCTGCGCTACAAGGAGAGCTTTGAACTCGCCAAAGGCCACTACAGAACCGTGAAGGACGCCCTGGACATCATCATCCACCGCAGAGTCACGGACGACATCAGCGAAGTGAGTCGGACTTTTTATTTATAATTATGACAGTAGCGCGAGGAAGTAACAAAATAACCAAGATGTTAGAATGGTAACTAAAATCTGAATCTATTAGGATGGTAAAACGGGTAAAACTGGTTACGAAATAAGATTTAATATCAACAAAACACACAGGAAATTAATAACCTATTAAACGAGCAAGCAAGTGACAAAACTAAGCAGAAGTAACAATCCTACTTTCAAATTAGTTATAGACTAATAAGTCCTTAGGGTGGGTCTGAGTAAGATGGTTAAGGTTAGGGTTAAGGTGGTCTGAGTAAGATGGTTAAGGTTAAGGTGGTCTGAGTAAGATGGTTAAGGTTAGGGTTAAGGTGGTCTGAGTAAGATGGTTAAGGTTAGGGTTAAGGTGGGTCTGAGTAAGATGGTTAAGGTTAAGGTGGTCTGAGTAAGATGGTTAAGGTTAGGGTTAAGGTGGTCTGAGTAAGATGGTTAAGGTTAGGGTTAAGGTGGTCTGAGTAAGATGGTTAAGGTTAGGGTTAAGGTGGATCTGAGTAAGATGGTTAAGGTTAAGGTGGTCTGAGTAAGATAGTTAAGGTGAGGGTTAAAGTGGGTCTGAGTAAGATGGTTAAGGTTAGGGTTAAGGTGGGTCTAAGTAAGATGGTTAAGGTTAGGGTTAAGGTGGGTCTGAGTAAGATGGTTAAGGTTAGGGTTAAGGTGGGTCTGAGTAAGATGGTTAAGGTTAGGGTTAAGGTGGGTCTGAGTAAGATAGTTAAGGTTAGGGTTAAGGTGGGTCTGAGTAAGATGGTTAAGATTAGGGTTAAGGTGGGTCTGAGTAAGATGGTTAGGGTTAAGGTGGGTGTGAGTAAGATGGTTAAGGTTAGGGTTAAGGTGGGTCTGAGTAAGATGGTTAAGGTTAGGGTTAAGGTGGGTCTGAGTAAGATGGTTAAGGTTAAGGTGGGTCTGAGTAAGATGGTTAAGGTTAGGGTTAAGGTGGTCTGAGTAAGATGGTTAAGGTTAGGGTTAAGGTGGTCTGAGTAAGATGGTTAAGGTGAGGGTTAAGGTGGGTCTGAGTAAGATGGTTAAGGTTAGGGTTAAGGTGGTCTGAGTAAGATGGTTAAGGTTAGGGTTAAGGTGGGTCTGAGTAAGATGGTTAAGGTTAAGGTGGTCTGAGTAAGATGGTTAAGGTTAGGGTTAAGGTGGATCTGAGTAAGATGGTTAAGGTTAAGGTGGTCTGAGTAAGATAGTTAAGGTGAGGGTTAAAGTGGGTCTGAGTAAGATGGTTAAGGTTAGGGTTAAGGTGGGTCTAAGTAAGATGGTTAAGGTTAGGGTTAAGGTGGGTCTGAGTAAGATGGTTAAGGTTAGGGTTAAGGTGGGTCTGAGTAAGATGGTTAAGATTAGGGTTAAGGTGGGTCTGAGTAAGATGGTTAAGGTTAGGGTTAAGGTGGTCTGAGTAAGATGGTTAGGGTTAGGGTTAAGGTGGGTGTGAGTAAGATGGTTAGGGTTAAGGTGGGTCTGAGTAAGATGGTTAAGATTAGGGTTAAGGTGGGTCTGAGTAAGATAGTTAAGGTTAGGGTTAAGGTGGGTCTGAGTAAGATGGTTAAGATTAGGGTTAAGGTGGGTCTGAGTAAGATGGTTAAGGTTAGGGTTAAGGTGGTCTGAGTAAGATGGTTAGGGTTAGGGTTAAGGTGGGTGTGAGTAAGATGGTTAAGGTTAGGGTTAAGGTGGGTGTGAGTAAGATGGTTAGGGTTAAGGTGGGTCTGAGTAAGATGGTTAAGATTAGGGTTAAGGTGGGTCTGAGTAAGATAGTTAAGGTTAGGGTTAAGGTGGGTCTGAGTAAGATAGTTAAGGTTAGGGTTAAGGTGGGTCTGAGTAAGATGGTTAAGGTTAGGGTTAAGGTGGTCTGAGTAAGATGGTTAGGGTTAGGGTTAAGGTGGGTGTGAGTAAGATGGTTAAGGTTAGGGTTAAGGTGGGTGTGAGTAAGATGGTTAAGATTAGGGTTAAGGCTGTGTTGGGGTCATTCTATGGGAATGGCTGGTTAAGTTTAGGTATGAATAGGTAGTTGGTTATATTTACTTCTGCTTTCGTCCCGATTCCGTATATGATCTAGTGCTGACCCTGGCACAAGTGACAGAGCAAAAACAAAACTAAATGGTGAACTGGAGTGCCCGAGCCGTGAAAGATTGGCTGCTTATGTGGGCGGGTCCTCCAGGTGAGTGCGTGCGATTGGAGGACTGCCTCAGCTGCTGTTCAATCAGGACCCAGGCACCGCAGTCAATCAGCTGCAGGTGGGGAACGACTGGCCAATCGGAGCCCAGGACTCACGAGCGTGGTCTACTGTAGGGAGTAACACAGAGACACCCAAAACAGGGAATTATGGTACGTAAAAAGCAGTTTTTTGGACGTTGTGGAATAATTGTCATGAGGTGAAGTGAATGAGGACCCAAACATGCGGAAAGGCGGGAAAAACAAAACTCCAAACAAAAGTCAGAAACCAGGAAAACAGACAGAGAACGACGAGCAAAGACAATGGACCTTAGATCAGAGACCAGAGACCTGAGACCTGGACCAGCAAAGTAGCAGCATAGAAAGAATAGATGAGTACATTTCAGTTTTACTCATCATTTGTAACCGTGTCTTCTTTTACTTCTGTCCAGGTTAAATACAGAGAGAAGTACATCAACTCCCTGGGCACCTGGAAGTCCATCCCTGATCGCCCCGAGTTCTTCTTCAGCAGGATTGCGGGCGATAACGTCAGCAGCGTGAGTTCCATCTTTTCTTTTACCGTCTTCCAGCTGTAAGACCTTTGGGTTTGATGCCACAAAATCCAGAGCAGTCAAGTTGTGTCTTTTGTGTGTATTCCAGGTGTTTTTATGTGTGTTTTAAATGTGTTTTTCTGTGACGGTGGTTTTAGGTGAAGTACAAGGAGGACCTGGAATGGCTGAGGGGAATCGGATGCTTCGTGTGGGACACTCCGGCGCTGGTCACGGCCGAGAGGAACAAGAATCTGTACAGCGAGGTGTGTGTCCAGCTGCTTCAACACACACACGTTTATATTATCTCTGTATTATTATTATTAGGCCGAGCCAATACGTAGTATTGGGGAGGCCTATTGTTATTCGTTGGTTTCATATTATTATTCTTTTTCCGCCGAAACAATTCGATTTTTGACCCTGAAGACATGCACCAAAGTCTGCACATGGGGGGTCTAAAACGACCGGTTCGGCGAAACATTTGATAAAACGGATGTTTCGAGATTGTCCGACAAAAGGCGAATCAATAGCACCCCCTTGAAAATTCAAAATTTGCCATTTCTATTGGAGGCAGGATTGCATATTTTGGAGTAGGTACACGAAATTCGGATGAGTGATAGATCTGTATGAGACGAGCATAAAAGCCGGTCTAAGCACATGTCTGGGACCAACAGGAAGTCGGCCATGATGGGCCAAAGTTTCGCCACTAATTTGACTTTTCATTTATAAATTCGAACTAGTCCCTGGTTTTCTACCAGAATTATACCACGTCATTTCCTAATCTGGACGGATTGAAGTTATATAATCATCAAAAAAAAGTTAGAAAATCTTCACCGTTTTTGTCCCTCGCCATGGCGAATAAGGCCTTCGTTTTGGCCATTTTCGCTGAGCCCTGAGGGCCACAGGCTCAGACCTACAGAGCTGAGACTCACATCAGTAATATTAGGTTATGGCCTGAACGCAATGACACTAAAATCACTCGCCCAATTTGAGCTCTTTAGCGCCACCTGTCGGAAAGTAATAGGGCACTAGTGCTCGGATCGGCCCGAAAATTTCCTGAGTGTATTCTCTGGACCGAGACGAGTAAAAAATTACATTATGCAAAAGTTGTAAGTCCCACACCTGACCACTGGGGGCGCCGGAAAGTGAATGAATTAGCTTTTTGGGGCAAAATGTTTGTCCGATGAGGCTAAAAATGAATTCAGAAATACGGCGTATGACCCTGAACATAACGATATGCAACCCACAACTGTGAGTGCAACAGCGCCACCTACAGGCAGTTCAAGGTGTCGCATCTTTGGCTTCGTACTAGTCCCTGGATTTTCATTGCACAGACTTCTACCATGTAACTTCTCCATCTGGACGGATTGAAGTTATGCAATCATCGCATAAAAGTTAGAATTTTGTTATCGTTTTCATGCGAGGTAGTGGGGAATTTCTCCATGTTTGATGCTCTCCTGACCACAGGCTCAGACCTACAGAGCTGAAACTCACATCACTAACAGTTGGTAATGGCCTGAGAGTAATGGTGTGAAAACACACACCTAATATGACTCTACAGCGCCACCTATGGAAGGCTTCTGACCTAAACTTTTCCGATCTTCACCAAAGTTTCAAAATCAAATCTTTACATCTGTACGAGCAAAATACTACTTTACGTAGAGGGTGCATGTCCCGGAGGTGACCACTAGGGACGCACTTTATCATATAAATGAGCTTTTATTAACGTAATCCTGGTCAGATCGGGCTGCCAATTCGTCGGCGTGACGCTTGTGGGAGTGGCGCCCAGGAGGCGGTCGCAAGAGGGGCGAGGCCTTTCATCGCCGCTTGCGGCTTTAATTATTATTGTTATTATTATTATTATTTTGTTATTGGTTTGTTTATGTGTTTCTCTAAATGTGTGTAAAAAGATACAACACTATAAACAGGGCACAGACTGTTAAAAACACTTTTGGTTTCAATGTGACTTTCTCATGCAACACAAAACACACACACACACACACAAAAACACACACTCACATTAGTACAGACACACACACTCATTCAAACAAATACACACACACACAAACATGCACTCACATTAATACAGACACACTAACACAGACACACACACACACTCACACACACTCACATTAATACAGACACACACTATGGCGCCAGATTTACGCCAAAAGTCCACACGCTCAAATAACACATACACGCGCAGCTTTATTTAATTCACACGCGCGCAAACTACTCTCCACGCGCACATTTCACACCACACGCGCGCAGACTCAGTACCACGAGCCACAATACGCGCGTGTGTGCGCTCGTGACCTGCCCTCTTCCTTCTCGTGGTCTGTGTTCTGCGCGCGTTGAACACTTTTGCCATCTCTTCTACGCGCGCGTGAAATACTTTTGTCGCTTGGGGGCGGGGCCAGTGAAAGGTAAACAGCCCACTGCAGCTTGGAGATGGAAAGCATATGATTAATCCATAGACTGTATATCTTTTTTATAACCCTAACTGGGCTGGCTATTGTAGTCTTTAACGTGGTATGTACACTGTTGTGGACACCCTATAGGCTTACACCAGGACATGTTTAGTTCGTAAATGTTTAATATTCTCTCTCATCAGCCTATGTTGCCGCAAGGCTAGCCAGGTACATCCCGGGACCTTTGTCATCGCTGTACGTTGTTTACACTGAATGCTTTGTCAGAATCATGTCAGGACCATTATCAAAGTTTAATAAAACTGTCTCTGAGTTATTTGTTTGCTTTTTATTTGCATAATTATAGGGGGTTGACCTAATGAGTCTATGCTAACTAGCAATAAATCTGTCAGTCCATAAACCCAAATATCAAAAATGTGTATACAAAGTTTTGAAACAAATGAGCTATCTGAATTGTTAACATTGCTAAATAGTAGTAAACTTCATTTGATTTCATGTATTTTTATTAAAATGAACTTAAAATTGGGGCTAAGCTGTTTCAACCTGTCATAATTGGCTTCTGTACCTGTATTGTGTTTGCTAGTTTAGGATGGCTATCATCTCTACACACTACACAGAACCCCTGAATAGTTCTGATCGTGCAGGTTATCTTCATAAATTGGTCCTCTGCGATGGGCACCAGTTCCTGATCCACACACACTGCAGACCGGCAAGATGTAAAACATCATTTGGTCAGACTTCGTTTGCAGTCGAAGAGCCACAGCTCGGAACATTTTACCTGCTGAACTGAAATCTCTAATATTTTTATGCCTTAGCGACTGCCAATTATCTGTTTGCTATACGGCCTATGAACATGGCATTGGTTACCTGTAACAATACTTTTTGTTCTGTGCCTGTCAAATAAACATGTAATAATAATACTATTCTCACAGAACAGTGGGTTGTAGATAGGAGAAAATGGCCATCAGTTACCTGGCCTAAATATCTATAATTACCTCACTCAGGCCCCCAGTGTCTATACAAAAGAGAACCTAAATCATATAAATCTATCGATGCAGACAATTATGTGTTATGTAAAGAATGTGAAATACTTTGACTCTGGTACTGAGTTCCGTGTTTTGAGGCAGATGTGCTCCCCAGTCAGAGAGTGGGCATTAAGTCAAAGCCTTATGATGCCTGGGAGTAACTATGGCCACAAAGACTTGGGGTACATCCTTACCCCAAACTGTTCTTGTATGGCAGGAAATGGACTTGTAACGGGTGTGGGCACCGTTGTAACTTGTTTTTATTGTTCAATTACAGTCTTGACTTGGTGCACACCTGTTAACCCCTTTATTAGTGTAATCTGCGTTGTGTTCCATATTCTGCGCTGTCTGAAGAAGGACCACGACACAAGGAGGATCACTGGATGACTTTTACTAGTAGTTATGCACAAAATAAAAGCAAACATAAATCCACATCACGTCTCTCCATGCATTCAGCTCAGCAGTCCTCTCCACAGATGCAAGGCACAGACTATGGTTCTCCTGATAAAGGAAAAAAGCAACATTAGCTCAAGTTATTATTGCCTTTTTAGTGGTATACAGGTTGATCACTTTTGTTCTCCAGTTGTTGTAATCAAGGAAAAACACCACACACTTCGTGGTTTTAGAGCTGAATACTTTAGCACTAAAGTATGTATGTGCTTTTGTTGTGACTAGAAGGCTACACAGGCTAAATCATGAACAGCTGTTTCTCCTCAGACTAAAAGGAAGGAGCCTCCTTAGCTAACTTAGCAAAACAGCTAAAATGCTAACTGCCGGTTAGCATTTTAGCTGTTTGAGCTTGCTTTAACTTGACTGATCATGATAACTACATCTAGCGACATCATGTAACCTAGTGATTACTTATGGATTGGACTTTTTGATTATTAGATAATGTAGGACACAAACACAAAGTCTGCTCCAGTGTTCTTCCTTCTTTAGCCACTCAGCTATGCACACAACTTGCCTGTAACGTCGCCCAGAAACCCAGTGTTTACCTTTCACTGGCCCCGCCCCCAAGCGACAAAAGTATTTCACGCGCGCGTAGAAGAGATGGCAAAAGTGTTCAACGCGCGCAGAACACAGACCACGCGAAGGGAGAGGGCAGGTCACGAGCGCACACACGCGCGTATTGTTGCTCGTGGTACTGAGTCTGCGCGCGTGTGGTGTGAAATGTGCGCGTGGAGAGTAGTTTGCGCGCGTGTGAATTAAATAAAGCTGCGCGTGTATGTGTTATTTGAGCGTGTGGACTTTTGGCGTAAATCTGGCGCCATACACACACACTCATTCAAACAAATACACACACACAAAGGCACTCTCACACACACACAAACACACACACACACACACACACACACTCACTCACTCACTCACTCACTCACTCACTCACTCACTCACTCACTCACTCACTCACACAAACACTCACACACATACACACTCGCACACACACCCACACACACACACACACACTCTCTGACACCCTACACCTCCCTCTCATCACTTCCTCCACTTCTTTAGATTTGTGACTTTTATTATATTTCCATGTTTTTGCTTGAATCTAAACCTGTTTCTCTCTGACAGAGATTGTACCGAGCGTCTTTCGAGAAGAACAGAGGGAACTTCAAATACACCTGTGACTCTCCGTTCTTCGAGGCCGCCAAGAACGCCTCCATCCTCATCAACGACGTGAGTCCATCTGTTCTTGTCTCGTTAACATTACAATCAAGATTTTATTTTTTAACATACAGTATTTCTGCTGTTTTTTGCATTGAACATTATTAAGGGCTGTGTTTTAATATTGATTCTAAATGTATTTTTCAGCCCAAAGGTTGAAAGTCCTAGAGGCGATGTATTACATGTTTTTGTTTATTCCCCTGGTTTTGATATCAAAGCTAATGTATTGAAACAGATTTTTTACTCACGATTTCTTTGTATTAGTAATATTGTGTTATAACAAGTCCATCTGTGTCTATCCATCCTTTCTGACTCTCCCTCAGGGCCCATGCCGCTGCCTGCGTTCTCTCTCCCATGTCTTTCTGTATTAAACTGTTTTTTGACGTTTTGAGCAGAGACACTACAGAGCTAATTATGAGAAGAGCAGAGGTAAATTCACCATCACCACAGACGACCCTAGGTACCAGCTGGCCAGAGAGAACAACAAGATGAGCCAGGTAATCCCAGGAGGTCTGCCCTGGTCCACGGTGCATGAAGGACCGTCCAAAAACCCTGGTCCCGGACGGTCTACGCAGCATGGCATCACCTCGTCTGTATCGCTGTCCTTTGATTTCTTATCTGAGTTCACACAGGATGTTTTAAGATGCTCCTTCTCTGTGCCGTCAAAGTTACAGATTATAGATAATTGTGGCGTGCTTCTGTTTACATAAGATCTGTATATCAGTGGGTTTGGTGCAATGCAAGGTAAAGGCAGAAGAAATGGAAAAACTTTAGTAAAATAAGTTCATTTACTGTATGGTTTTTGGTCAAAATAGACAAACTTACCACAATGGCATAAATAAATACAAAATGTTCTTTATTTGTCAGACAGCGGGGACATTTCAGTGTTGCTATCTCCAGTTTCAGTAGAAATGAGCAGCACACAGAACAAGATAAAGGAACATTAACTCTATTCTAAAATAAAATACATTCTCTAGCTTTAGCATAATAAAGAAGCTAGTTTATATCTTTAGCTTTAGCATAATAAAGAAGCTAGTTTATATCTTTAGCTTTAGCATAATAAAGAAGCTAGTTTATATCTTTAGCTTTAGCATAATAAAGAAGCTAGTTTATATCTTTAGCTTTAGCATAATAAAGAAGCTAGTTTATATCTTTAGCTTTAGCATAATAAAGAAGCTAGTTTATATCTTTAGCTTTAGCATAATAAAGAAGCTAGTTTATATCTTTAGCTTTAGCATAATAAAGAAGCTAGTTTATATCTTTAGCTTTAGCATAATAAAGAAGCTAGTTTATATCTTTAGCTTTAGCATAATAAAGAAGCTAGTTTATATCTTTAGCTTTAGCATAATAAAGAAGCTAGTTTATATCTTTAGCTTTAGCATAATAAAGAAGCTAGTTTATATCTTTAGCTTTAGCATAATAAAGAAGCTAGTTTATATCTTTAGCTTTAGCATAATAAAGAAGCTAGTTTATATCTTTAGCTTTAGCATAATAAAGAAGCTAGTTTATATCTTTAGCTTTAGCATAATAAAGAAGCTAGTTTATATCTTTAGCTTTAGCATAATAAAGAAGCTAGTTTATATCTTTAGCTTTAGCATAATAAAGAAGCTAGTTTATATCTTTAGCTTTAGCATAATAAAGAAGCTAGTTTATATCTTTAGCTTCAGCATAATAAAGAAGCTAGTTTATATCTTTAGCTTTAGCATAATAAAGAAGCTAGTTTAAAATCTCTAGCTTTAAAATATCTAGCTTTAGCATAATAAAGAAGCTAGTTTATATCTTTAGCTTTAGCATAATAAAGAAGCTAGTTTATATCTTTAGCTTTAGCATAATAAAGAAGCTAGTTTATATCTTTAGCTTTAGCATAATAAAGAAGCTAGTTTATATCTTTAGCTTTAGCATAATAAAGAAGCTACTTTAAAATCTTTAGCATTAGCTTAATAAAGAAGCTTGTTTAAAATCTCCAGCTTTAAAATCACTAGCTTTAAAATCTTTAGCGTTAGCATAATAAAGAAGCTAGTTTAAAATCTCCAGCTTTAGCATAATAAAGAAGCTAGAATAAAGTATTATGGGAACTTCAAATAAATTCATAGCAATTACAAATATACTCTAATTTGATTTAAATCCTGGTAGAATATTGCACTCCCAGCACAAAAGTGAAGTAGAATCGTTGTCACTATGAAGGCACAGACCAGGACCCCAGCGCTCCCTCCAGTCTCCAGTCTTCTCCCCTTTCCCCTTTGTGTTGCTCCAGTGTCTTTGTTCACTCACATGTGGCATGCCGTATGTTCTATCGTGTTTTAAAACAGAAATTATATCAAGCCAAAGCAAAGGAACTGCACCGAATTGGCTGCAATGAGCTGCGCAGGCCTGACATCCTCACGGCCATGTACATGTCCGCTACAGGCAGCAAGGTAAACCAGAACCAGAACCAGAACCAGCCCAGTCCCCGCACCTACGCTCCATCCTCCATCCAGAAGATTTTAGCAATAACACTTTGCTAAAATGACGCTTCTCGCCATCTCCGGACGCCATTTCATCCAAGTCCATCATAAAATGTAACAATATAGTCGTTCAAACAGTCAACAAATCAGCCAAGCAATGAATAGTAACTTGAATAATGCCTGAATTAGGTCACATGTATTAATATTTAATTTCAAGTTTTTTTACTACCTGCCCTTCACTGATCCTCCAGGAGGGTGGGGGTGATGTCTTGAGTTTAGTTTTCTTAAAAAGTCAGTTAATCATACAGTATATAGGCTATAAATAAATAGCCTATATATGATACAGCTAATGTACTGTATGTTTATGGAGGTACAGCAGGGGTCTCCAATCTACAGTTTAGGAGCCACCATAGCCATCCGCCCCCTCTCAAGTAGCTCCTCAAAGCATTCAGGAATTTAACAAAATTTTTGGACACATTTTTCAATTCCATAACACTTAAAATCTCTATAAGAACTGACCATATGTGTAAAAATGCAAGGAGAATCAGTTTATGTGTCATGGGTGTATACTACATTTTCATTACGACCACACAAGGGAGTAGCTCTCTATCTATCTGCTATTTCTGCCTTGTAAAAGAAGCTCTTCAGATGAAAAAGGTTGGAGACCATCTCAAAGGGGCACAGCTCTATCAGTGTTTTATGTTTATGTGAACAGTAGAGAGATTACACAAACATCAAGGAAATACATTTTTTATGTGGTTAGGGTGGTCAGACTACGCTCCCCCAACACCGGCTGCTTCCAGAGATGTACAGACATTACCAGAGCCATATTTTTTTCTTTTTTTTTTTTTAGAGTTTTTGTTTTGTCGTCCTTTAGCCACTTTAGCGAATGATGGACTTTTGCGGTCATCTCCATCCACGGTAACATCTTCCATCTGCCCATAACTAACCTGTGTCTTCATATGTCACCAGCATGAAACCCATCTGTCCGTGCATGGCCTTTACACAGGATCACACTGAGAAAAGGTCATATTTAAGTTAAACGTTAATCAAAGAATGTTTATCTTGATTTGACCCTTATCTCAAATAGACACAGATTCTTGTTTCAGATCTGAGAACTTCATACATTTTACAAATAGCAATTTTTTTGTTTATTCTCAAATTGAATTGTTGTTTTTTATGTATAATTTCACATTTACAACAGATGAAGAAAGAAATTGAAAGAAATTATGATAAAAATGAAAATAGTCCAAGTAGTACATCGTTTATTGTTTTTTTTTTTGTTTTTTTTTACGAATACTTAAACATGTAAAATAGTATAGTCAATGTACTGCAATAGACCCTGACTATCATTTGTTGCAGGGAAAATTAAAAATATATTCAAATATGGCCATTCATTTGAGTTAGAATTAGATATGATTGAACTAAAAATCAAGATAAACATTTTAAATTAACTTATTTTTGTCTTTTTATTTAATACTTTTACAGTGTATCCCGCCTGCCTCCATTACACCCTTCAAACCACATGTAGATTATGAATGTATGAATTTAGTTTAGTTTTATTTTTGGACATTTAGGACTTATTTACTACTAAATTAATACAACAGTGAAATAGTGGATCCATTTGTACTGTTATGTTAGCCTTTGGTATGAGTAGCCAGATTAGCAATAGTCTGGATTAAAGTCTAGATAGATTAGCAATAGCCTGGATTAAAGTCTAGATAGATTAGCAATAGCCTGGATTAAAGTCTAGATAGATTAGCAATAGTCTGGATTAAAGTATAGATAGATTAGCAATAGCCTGGATTAAAGTCTAGATAGATTAGCAATAGCCTGGATTAAAGTCTAGATAGATTAGCAATAGCCTGGATTAAAGTCTAGATGTATTAGCAATAGCCTGGATTAAAGTATAGATAGATTAGCAATAGCCTGGATTAAAGTATGGATAGATTAGCCTGGATCAAAGTCTAGATAGATTAGCAATAGCCTGGATTAAAGTCTAGATAGATTAGCAATAGCCTGGATTAAAGTCTAGATAGATCAGCAATATCTTGGATTAAAGTCTAGAGAAGTCTAAATTGTTAAGCTAGTAGTTAGTTATATCAAATTTATTTTAAAGAAGATGTATTATGCAAATTCACTTTTTCTCTATTTCAACCCCGTTGCAACATTGTCCCTCTTCAGTCACAGACCTGGGGGTTGTTTTTAGTTCAATCCACGTTAATCCCAAGACCTCACCTCAGTCCTGTAAAAGTCTGATGTCATTGTACCACTATGACATCACACTTTTAAAACAAAATTGGCGTAATTCATTTGTTTTGGCAACTCCTCTGGTGAAATTAAACTGTTTATAGAGTCATATGTGTTTGCAGGCTGTAATCCTCAATTTTGTTAAAAAATTCACTGAACTCTAAATTCTACTGCTCCCTCTGGTGGTATCATAGGGAGTTACAGGCCGATGTCATTATTGTTATTGTTATTTTTTATTTTCTTCCTTTGCATTGAAATTGTTATGTTTTTGAATTTTGACATCCTCACCATTTGAAAAACTCAAAAATAAAGTATAAACATAACAGAAAAGTAATTGTAAAGTAAACTATCTCATATCATTTAAAAAAAAAAAAAAAAAAAGTAATGCATAATATGTCTTCTTTAATCTCAGTGCTGCATATCGTCATTAGCTTTGCACAAAAGTTAGTTTTTAGTTTAAATATGGGCCGTGACTCTGTGTTTCTAACGGGTTTCCTTTCACTGGATGCTTTAGTGGAAGTACAGGGAGCAGTATGAACGAGCCAAGGACAAGTTCACGTCGGTCCTGGAGACGCCGGAGTACGAGTCCCACAAACGCACCAAGAAGATCGGCGACGTGAGCGGAACCTAATCTCTAAATAATCTCTATCTCTGTGTATTTTGATATTAAACCCAACTGTCCAATAAATGTTGAGTTTGTTTAAAAGTATAAAATGTTTAGCATAATAAAGAAGCACGTATAAAATTGCTAGATTTAGCATAATAAACAAGCTAGCATAAAATCTCTAGCTTTAGCATAATAAAGAAGCTAGTATAAAACCTCTAGCTTTAGCATAATAAAGAAGCTAGCATAAAACCTCTAGCTTTAGCATAATAAAGAAGCTAGTATAAAATCGCTAGCCTTAGCATAATAAAGAAGCTAGTATAAAATCGCTAGCTTTAGCATAATAAAGAAGATAGTATAAAATCGCTAGCTTTAGCATAATAAAGAAGCTAGTATAAAATCGCTAGCTTTAGCATAGTATAAAATCGCTAGCTTTAGCATAGTATAAAATCGCTAGCTTTAGCATAGTATAAAATCGCTAGCTTTAGCATAATAAAGAAGCTAGTATAAAATTGCTAGCTTTAGCATAATAAAGAAGCTAGTATAAAATCGCTAGCTTTAGCATAGTATAAAATCGCTAGCTTTAGCATAATAAAGAAGCTAGTATAAAATTGCTAGCTTTAGCATAATAAAGAAGCTAGTATAAAATCTCCAAAATAATCTCCATCTTGATGTTTTTTTAACATTAAACCCAACTGTCAATTTAAAGTTGAGTTATCCTCTTATTGATGTGTTGTAACTCATTTCTCTGATCTCTCTCAGATTATTTACAAGATGGAGTACAACAAGAACAAGGCCAAGGGCTACACTCTGCCCTACGACACGCCGCACCAGAACCACATGAAGAAGGTCAAGGACATCACCAGCACCGTAAGATTTCACTGTTTTTGTTTCGTTTAGGAAAGAACATACACAGACAAACATGGGAAAAGTCATGGGAAATACCGTCTAATTCTCTGGAAGTTTGAGAATCGTATCGTTTCCTGGCGTTTTGAAGACTAATCTATAGGAACATACATTTTCAAGAGTTTTTGTGGTTGTTTTGGTAATGGTCCTTGGACATTTGTAGGTTTAATTAAAGTCTAAATAACATGAAAACAGACATTGTATTGGGGAAAAACATACAACAGCCAGTTTCCTCCCAGACTAGGAAACAGACATTTGTTTAGGAGTGGGTCCATGATAAATAAATAAATAAGTACATACAGCTCATAAAGGTGCTTTACAGTTAATAGTAATTATTCAGAACTGGTTGATTAAAGCACATTTCTGTATTTTCCGGACTATAAACCGCATCTGATTATAATCTGCAGGTTCCAATTTTTAGAAAGAAATAGAATTTTGTGCATGTACAAACCGCACTGGATTATAAGCCGCACCTGTCCCACTTTAAGAAAAATGTTTCTCTAAAACTTTTATTGTGTCTTTTTACTGTGAGTAATAAGAGAAAGAAGTGAGTTACTGACTGTTCTTAATGTTCAGTGTGAAGCAGAAAGGACAAACATCTCCTGGTCTCTTTTCACTTTTATGTCTAAAACTATTCATTATATGAGATATTAACACAAAGATATTATAAGTGACTTTTAAACTTTATTTAATCTACTTGATTAACAAACCTTCTGTGAACTACTCTTTCATTCTGTTGGTCAACTGTCACTTGGAAAAATGTTTTTAGCAACACAGCAAAAAAAAAAAAGAATAAAAAAGCTGCACCTGACTACAAGCCTCAGCCTTCAAAATGTAGGAAAAATCTGTGACTTATTGTCCAAAAAATACAGAATATAAACTCATGGGTTGTTAAACGTATCTTGGAGGATTTTCCCGCATTTTTGTAAAGAACCGCCCTCTCCACTTTTTGAACTAAACTCTCTGATCTTATTGGACGAGCATGTGTCACCAGAATGATTGACACCTGGGAGGACCAATAGGATTGGATGATCTGCCAAGAAGTAGAAAATCTTCCTATATACACCTTTTAGTTATTGAAAAACTGCTGGATAGGGATCCTGAAGTGAAATCCAGACTCTTAACGATCTCTCTGTGTGTGTTTGTGTGTCTGAAGCTGAAGTACAAAGAGGTTTATGAAAGAAGCAAAGCCCAGATCAACATGGATCCTGAGGCCTACGAGATCCGAGCGGCTAAAGAGGCCTACAAGAACATCAGCAACGTGAGTCCTGCTTCTCTCTGCACCGTTCATACACACTTTTATTACTGTAGAATTTGTTTTAGTTTAAACCATACTAGTTACTTCAACACAATAGAATCTCACACCATTCTAATACCAGCACAATATTATTATTATTATTGTTATTATTATTATTGTTATTATTACTATTATTATTATTATTATTGTTATTATTGTTATTGTTATTATTACTATTATTATTATTGTTGTTGTTATTATTATTATTATTGTTTTTATTATTATTTTATCTTATTGTTTTATTTTATTTATTTTTATCTTATTTATTTTTTCATGTTTATTTTTGTCTTTTTTTTTATCTTGTTTATTTTTGTCTTATTTGTTTTTATCTTACCTTGTATTTTGTCACTTTTTGCAGTGTAACTACCAGTTGTTTCCATGTTTCTCAATGTAACTATTTTTTTTTAATATGGTCACAGCTTGACTACAAGAAGAAATACGAAGCCACAAAGAACAAGTGGATTTGGACGGCGGACAGACCAGACTTCATCAACGCAGCCAAGAACACCCTGCAGCAGAGCGATGTGAGACGTTTATCACTTTAGTTTGAATCAGAAGTGTCAAATTAAACTAACTTTTTTATATTTCCGGCCAAAGGTTGAGTACAAATACGACAAGGAGTCCATGAAGGGCTGCGTGATCCCAGTGGTGGACGACAAGCTGACACTTTTGTGCGTGAAGAATGCTCAGATGGCCAGTGACGTAAGTACCACAACAGCTAGCAGTAAATGTTATGTTAGCTTAGCAGCCGTTTTGTTCATCTTTTACCCCGAAAGATTTTATTTTTATTTCACCTTTGTTTAACCAGGAAAGTCCCTTCGAGATTAAGAACCTCTTTTTCAAGGGAGTCCTGGACATAAGTTACATACAGTTTCATAAAATTACGGATTATATAAGCAGTTACGTTTCAATGAAGACGTCTCAATTGCTCTTCATCTGGATCTAAAAGAATTCAATGAAATAAGTTCAGATCATTTCCAGTCTTTTTGCAACACGTTCCATGTAGAAGGAGCAGCAAGGAGATCTATCTATCTCTTTTTAGATACTGTAGATAGATAGATACTTTATTGATCCCAAAGGAAAGTCCCTTGCTCACATTTATACAAACATAGGATAGAGTTAAGAGATAAAAACATGAAAAAATGACAATAAATACATAAAACATAAAAAGTGAGAAGTTAAGGCACTGCAAGACAATTCTCAAGTTCTCTCCCTCCCTCCTCCCCCTCCCCTTCTGTTCCTCCCGGTCCTGCTCCTTCCTCCTGCTCCTCCCCCTCCTGCTCCTCCCCGTCCTGCTCCTCCCCCCCTGCTCCTCCCCGTCCTGCTCCTTTCCCCTGCTCCTCCCCCTCCTGCTCCTCCCCCCCCTGCTCCTCCCCCTCCTGCTCCTCCCCCTCCTGCTCCTCCCCCCCTGCTCCTCCCCCCCTGCTCCTCCCCTTCTGCTCCTCCCCCTCCTGCTCCCCCCCCCCCTGATCCTCCCCCTCTTGCTCCTCCCCCCTGCTCCTCCCCCCTGCTCCTCCCCCCTGCTCCTCCTCCTCCTGCTCCTCCCCCTCCTGCTCCTCCCCCTCCTGCTGCTCCTCCCCCTCCTGCTCCTCCCCCCCCTGCTCCTCCCCCTCCTGCTCCTCCCCCCCCTGCTCCTCCCCCTCCTGCTCCTCCCCCTCCTGCTCCTCCCCCCCCTGCTCCTCCCCCTCCTGCTCCTCCCCCTCCTGCTCCTCCCCCCTGCTCCTCCCCCTCCCGCTCCTCCCCCTCCTGCTCCTCCCCCCTGCTCCTCCCCCTTCTGCTCCTCTCCCCTGCTCCTCCCCCCCTGCTCCTCCCCTCCTGCTCCTCCCTAAAGTGGCTTTGTTATAAAACCTGATGGCGTTAGTGACCAAATAAAACTTGTTTGAATATATTAATAACACATTTTCTCGTCACTGATGTGTTGTGATGTCCTTGTGTTTCCAGGTGAAATACAAGGAGAAGTATGAGAAATCAAAGTGCCACTACAACCCGGTCTCGGACTCGCCTCAGATCCTCCACGCCAAGGCCGTGCGCTCTCTGGCTTCTGAGGTAATCTGTCTGTAGCGTCCAGATGAGTGTTGAAGCCAGAACTGATGGTTAAAATGACTCTGTCCATTCCATATAGTCATATAATCAACGTAAGAAGCAATAGTCTGGATTAAAGTCTATATAGTTTAGCAATGGCCTGGATTAAAGTCAAGATAGATTAGCAATAGTCTAGATTCCAGTCTAGATAGATTAGCAATAGCCTGGATTAAGTCTAGATAGATTAGCAATAGCCTGGATTAAGTCTAGATAGATTAGCAATAGTCTAGATTCAAGTCTAGATAGATTAGCAATAGCCTGGATTAAGTCTAGATAGATTAGCAATAGCCTGGATTAAGTCTAGATAGATTAGCAATTCCCTAGATTAGGGTCTAGATAGATTGGCAATGGTCTGGATTAAAGTCTGAATAGATTAGCAATGGTCTAGATTAAAGTCTAGATGGATTAGCAATAGTCTGGATTAGAGTCTAGACAGATTAGCAATAGCCTGGATTAAGTCTAGATAGATTAGCAATGGCCTGGATTAGGGTCTAGATAGATCAGCAATAGTCTGGAATAAGATCTAAATAGATTAGCAATTCCCTGGATTAGGGTCTAGGTAGATTGGCAATGGTCTGGATTAAAGTCTGAATAGATTAGCAATGGTCTAGATTAAAGTCTAGATGGATTAGCAATAGTCTGGATTAAAGTCTAGACAGATAAGCAATAGCCTGGATTAAGTCTAGATAGATTAGCAATGGCCTGGATTAGGGTCTAGATAGATCAGCAATAGTCTGGAATAAACTCTAAATAGATTAGCAATTCCCTGGATTAGGGTCTAGATAGATTGGCAATGGTCTGGATTAAAGTCTGAATAGATTAGCAATGGTCTAGATTAAAGTCTAGATTGATTAGCAATAGCCTGGATAGATTAGCAATAGCCTGGATTAAAGTCTAGATAGATTAGCAATAGCTTGGATTAAAGTCCGCCTCATGTTGCGCGAGCCACTTAACCTCCTGTTGAGACCGAAAGTGTCAAAATAAAACATTTTTCTATGGATATGGATAAATCCACCTTTACACTATCATTGAATTCACTTCTACAATACTCTATGAAATGTGTATGTGTGTGTCCTGCTTGAATGTGAGATTTTAGATTAACATTTTTGTATCATTTGGACAGAGCAAATACAAAGAGGCCAGTAAGAAGGAGATGCAGACGGGATCTTTCACCACTTTGACTGAGACCAGAGACACCAACCACAGCAAAGAGATCAACAAACTCATCAGCGGGGTAAAAACTGTGCTCCTATGTCCTAAATATGTCCAGTATTAGCGGAGAAGCCACTGAAGTCAGACACATACAGTATATAGATGCATACAGTCCAGCCTTTTGAGTTTAAATCTCACTTGAAAAAGATTTGTGTAGTATTTGCATGCTTGAGGTTGTATGTATGTATGTAAGGTGGTGTAAAATAAGTACAAATTTAGCAAAATGTATCTTAGTTTGAGCACATTTTGATTGCCTTACACCGAGATTTAGAAGAAATGTCTCCCTTTGAATGAGAAAATATAGCAACAGTTCTTGAGATAAGCCTGAATGGCTTTGTCCCATTGGAGAATCTTGTTTTAACACAGTCAGGATGTGTCAGATTAAGATAAAAACCACTTGATTGAAGCAATTATACCTCAATACTTTCACTATTATTACTACATATTTCCCATTGTAGTAGCAGTAGTAGTATTTTTTCATTTCAATTTTGTATCACATGTTCACATCCATTCACCACACAATACCATGCAATAACAATACTGTTGAGTAGATTATGATAATGCACACAGGTACGGTGTAAGACAAAACAAAAGAGACACACACACAGACCCAGACACTCACTGACCCTACACCTCACCCTTTTAGAAAGACCCAACATTCCATACTCACACGTCTCCATAGAAACCATTCTTTGCAGATGGAAATGAGTCTCCACTTGCTGCTTTCAGAAACTGTACAAGGAGAAGTTTGAGAAGGAGAAGGGCAAGTCTGAGTACAACAACATGACGGTTCCCCCTGATGTGAAGCACGCCATGGATGTCACCAAGAACCAGAGCAACGTGAGTCCATGACACGTCTGTGCAGCGTGTGGATTCGTCTCAGTGGGGGAGGGTCCCAGCTCAAAAGTGGCCAAAATGACGTGCGCTGACATGCTGCAATACCACCCCGGGCCTGTGGGGGTGGACCCGGAATAAGAATTAGCCAATGCTAACATATAGCATTGGCTGACCTCTCGCAAACACCTTTACAGGATGGTCCAAAAGTTGTCTCTTGGCCCAAAGCTCCGTTCCACATGTGTGTCAATGCTGAGGGGGGTGGATTTTTTTGGACCACTCTGGTTTAGTCGCTGTGAATTTTTGAGGGCACTCGTTTAAATGAATGGAGCTTGCGCCGGCTGACGCATGCACAGATGCGTTTTTTCAACAAAAAAATTGTGGGCGGGACCTATTTGTTTGAACGGCGGAGATAGGCGTGACTACATCTGTTAATATACACAGTCTATGATTATGATAATCTGGACTAGGAACAGATTGTTAATTTCAATCTGAGATTGAACACAGACAAACATAGATCTCGGCAGCGGCACTTTTTCTGTGACAATCTTTCCTTGTTTGCCGCTTATTATCACCCGGGACCTAGGTACTGGTGGTGACAGAAGACCAAGGTACCGGTGGTGACATAAGACAAAGGTACCGGTGGTGACATAAGACAAAGGTACCGGTGGTGACATAAGACAAAGGTACCGGTGGTGAAATAAGACAAAGGTACCGGTGGTGACATAAGACCTAGGTCCTGGTACTGGTGGTAAGGCAACCAGTCCGTGCCATGGGCCCCTCTGATGGGTGAAGTGTCTTGCCTAAGGACACAACGCCAGTTTGGCACTTAACAGCGGCAGCCGCCCCACTGTGGCATCAGGTGTTCCCAGAGGTCTCCCATCCCAGTACTAACCAGGCTCTGCTTTAAAGGTCTGACAGGATCTGGCTTTTGCATGCAGGTATGGCCACAAATAGGCAAAGTGGGGTTAAGTGTCTTGCCCAAGGACACGACGACGGCAGACATCAGTGGGAGTCGGTGGAGAAAGTCTCTGAAATGATAAATAATATGAAAGTTATAGAAGTTTGTGTAAGCCCTCAGTCGTACAGGGATTAGTCAAAGCAAAGGAAGGTTTCTCACCCATCATCTGTACTTCTTAGCAAGTTTTCCTGACGTTTCGTCCTCAATCCTAAGGACTTCTTCAGGGAATGAATTCTCAGACCGCGTGTTGGAGATTTATAACCTCTGGGTGTGGTTAGCCACACCCTAATCCTGATACTAACTCATAAACAATCTACGGTCTGCTTGATGTAGAAGGGAGCAGGTCTAACGACCCTGCTAAGGCTAACGACCCTAACTCCTTAGCATGTCACAGACCTATTGTCTGCTGGGATGCTCAAGTGGAGTGCAGGTCTCACCCCTCCTAACTCATTAGCATGTCACAGACCTATTGTCTGCTGGGATGCTCAAGTGGAGTGCAGGTCTCACCCCTCCTAACTCATTAGCATGTCACTGACCTTGTCCCAAGTTAGGGCGTTGTTTTTAGGATGTTGTCATAGATGCCAGGCAAAACAAATCTTAACCCTCCTCCTCTGTTAAGAGAAGGTTTTTGTTTCCTCACAAAAATGGCTTCTTTCACCCCTCTCTCAAACCAATTCTTCTCCCGAGCCAGAATTTTAACCTCTGTGTCATCCACCGTGTGGTTGGAGGCCTTGAGGTGGAGATGAACAGCCGACTGTGGCCCACTAGAGTTTTCTCTACGATGTTGGTAAAGTCGTTTCTGTAGAGTTTGTTTGGTTTCTCCAATATAGTGGTCAGTGCACTCCTCTTCACTACATTTAATTGAATACACCACATTGCTCTGTTTGTGTCTGGGTGTTTTGTCTTTGGGATGCACTAATTTCTGTCTTAACGTGTTGAAAGGTTTGAAATACACAGGGATTTTGTGTTGCCTAAAGATTCTTTGTAGTTTCTCTGAAACTCCCGCCACATACGGTAAGGACACCCCTCTCCTCCTACTTTCTTCTGTCTGTTGGACTGTGTCTCTGGCCTTTCTCGTCCTTTGGGCTTTAGTAAAAGACAGTAAGAGACTTATAGAAGACACATTTGCTGTCCTGAATTTAAATGTTTTTCACGCAAACTCACCTGCAAAAAAGATGACGCCTTTCTCTGCTCTCTCCTTGTTCGTGTCTTGTTAGCATTGCTTCTAATCCATGTTTCAAATCCCCTACAGTTTGCCTACAAGAAGAACGCTAAAGCCAACCTGTCCTACACCTCGGTGGTCGACCGGCCCGACATCAGGAAGGCCACACAAGCAGCAAAACTCATCAGTCACGTACGTACAAACTCACGTTCTCCTTTCAAATCAACCAAATCTATATCTCATTAAACACAGACACACAGAAACTCTCAGTGCTCAGATAAAGCTGTTTAATACTGTTTCCTTCCTCTTTTTTCAACTTCTTCCAAAAGTCACAGCAAAAAAATGAAGGTTTTTGAACTATTTTTGGACTAAAAGCAATTCCTCTTTTTTCTTTCTCTATCAAAGCTAACGTCCGATCTTTGTCCTTGATAATAACATGGTAATAAACAGTAGTAATTGTGGTATTACTGCAGTATCATATGAACAAAACTAAACCCAAAAGTCCTATAAGGCATCCATGACTTTACTGTTTGATACAATACTTCAGATTACTACACTACTGCCTTTTTAATGGTTTATTACTATACTATTATCAAGGACAGTTTCGTGATGAAGTTGGTTCAATTAAACTGTGGCTTTAACAGATTTAAAACACAGGGACACACTCTTTTTAGATCCTTGTGAAGGTTTTGTTGCTTGATGCATGTTTCCAGCTCTGGAGGATGAGAACCGATGTCCAGATGTGTCCAGTCTGTGGTCTGTCAGTGTAATGTTCTGTTTTGTTTATATGCACTGGGGTATAATAGATTAAAGGAGATGTGTACAGTACTGGCAGGACTATTAAGGGCACCTGTATGTGGACCGCACCAGCGAGATTTGAAAATAAAGTAAATTTTGTCCAGATACAGGCCGCACTTGAATTTGGTGTGGCTTGGTATTAGCTGGAGTGATAATTTACAAAACAGTAGAACTAAAGCAGATGGGTACGTGGCCATACAGTACATACAGTATTGGACAGACATGCACGTTAATTTACCATCAATACAAGTTATGATAAAACTACTACTGTTTCACAGCATACACACACACACACACACACACACACACAGACAGAGAAACAGATGGACAGACAGACAAAGACACACAGACACACACAGAGACAGACACACAGACAGGCGCACACACAGACAGAGAAAAAGATAAACAGATGGACAGACAGACAAAGACACACACACACACAGACAGACACACAGACGGAAAGAGATGGACAGACACTCAGATGGAAATAGACAGACAAACAGATGGACAGACAGACACACAGAGACAGACAGACGGACAGACACACACACACACACACACACACACGCACACGCACACACGCACACACACATACACACACTGCTTCACTGTTCCATCAATAGAAAACACATAACCATAAAAGTATTTCTCCTTATGGTCTTTAAGTGTCTTCTTTAGTCCAAGTATGGAACAGTGAAAACGTGAAACGTCACTAGACAACAGCTCTTTTATAAAGTACACAACACAATCATGATTTCAGAACGCATATATTTGTGTGTGGAAGGCCCTGGAAAGAATAAATAGACCAGGACTCAGGAGTGTCAAGCCGGTCCTCAAAGTTTGAATTAAAAATAAGCAGGAGGACATCAGACTCCGCCCATTTCCTCAAGTTTCCATTTTTCCCACAAAAAATACGTACAATAGTGCCCCCTCTGGCAACTTTTGATACAACCTCATAAAAGGACAGTGGCCAGGACTCAACAATAATAATAATAATAATAATATTAAAGCACAATATTAATGTTGGCTAAATGACAAATGTTTACCATCTCACCAGCTCAAAAGTCAACGACTGAACCCCAGACGTACTGGGCTTTAGAACGAGGTACAACATGTCTGTATTGGCTCAGCTGAAGTTGGATGGATGACACAGTAAACTTATGTTTATGATCTACTACTACTTTAGACTACTTTAGTTTAGCGAGGCAGAGGGCCACATAAAATGACACTGAGGGCCGCGATGGTCTCCCGGGCCTAAGCTTGGACATGTCTGGCATAGACAGTGTTTAGATGGACAATGCTAACCCATAGAATCACAGCCAAATGAAATTATTATCCAATTCTCACACCAGTGTCTTTCCTTCCAGTATTCCCACACAGCCTCCCTCCCGCTGCCTTCTCCAGTGCATATAAACGCAGTCCTGTGTTGAGCTTGTTCTTGCCTGTGTCCTGTCTAATAATGATATTCCATCAGATTGGGTACCGTGATAAAGCACGAGAGGAGGCCAGCAAAGGAGGCTCTCTGGCCCACCGCCCTGACATAGCTCTGGCCACTGCGGTGTCCAAGCTGACCAGCCAGGTACCCCATTACCCCCCCCCCCCCCCCCCAATCCTAGTCCGCCCCGGTCCAGTCCGATGGAATCAAAGCACTAAAGCCTTTCGTTCACAGGGAGATATATGTTCTGTGTTGTCTATACCGGTCGTATCCAGCAGGTGTCGCCACTTCCATGTGATTTCTTTAGCTTGCTTTTAGCTGCAACGCTTTGAATGCTCATTTATCATGCAACCAGCTTTTTCACTATGGGATGCACAATACAAGAAGGGTATAAATATATATTAAACAGGCTATTTTAAAAGAGAATCCATTGTAACTGCATACTTTATAGCAATTTACAGTGGTTTTATCTCAGCTCTAAATGCAAATCTATCTGTATATCATATTGTGCATCCCTGTGGCTTTCCATGTTTCTCACTGTTACATCTGTCCTGTGTTTTCTTCAGTGTTTGCTCCTATTGCCTAACTCCATTTGTCATTTCTTCTCTTCTCTCTTTCTGAATCCTGACATTTTCTGTTTCTTTCCACCGCTCACAAATCCTCACCTATTTTGAAAACTTCCTGTCCTGTCTTCTTCTCCTTTTCTTCAGGCGTAACAATTGAAATGTGTTAAATCGTATGTAGTTTATGTTCACAAATTGTGTAAGCAAAATAAGGAACATGTAAGTATTGCGTACGTGTAGTAGTGAATCTATAAATGCAAACTGATAAATGAACAGATGTGGTCTTATGTTAAAAGAGACATAATATGCAAATTTGTCTTTATTAAGCTTTTATTCATGTTATAAATTTCAGTTTCTCATCAAGTTTTTTTTAACTCCATACACGTTAACATCAGGAAGTTCTGGCACAGATACATTCCCCCGTCCCAGCTGCCCAAATGGTATTTTTAAAGCTGTGATGCCTTAATATATTGCTTACCCATTCGTTATTGATAATTTCTCAAATGAAATGACATTATTTACAGCTGCATGTCTTGGGCTAGCACATAGTCTGTATGTAGATGGACAATGCTAACCGTCTGGCTCAGTGAAGGTCAAAAGAAAAGCGCTAATGGGCAAAGTTTGCTTCAACTCGCTCTGGCTCCTATTGACTTACATTGAACAGTTAACTCCTAGAGCTCAATACGCGTTTCGGGCTAAAAAACAAAACAAAAAAACAACAACACTGCAGGTTTAGTGCTCTCTGTGATCCTGGTGTTTATATGTGATGTTGTCTTAGTAATACCAGACATGAGCCATTTGAGGATTGACCAATCAGAGGCCTTCATTCTTGGGGGAAACTCCAGTTTGCCGTAGCAACCGTCTTAGCAACCCCTCTGCCTCCTGTTACAACGTGAAGCTAACAGTGCAGCCCATGCCTATATGAATAAATTAGCCACTGCTAGCTTATGTTCAAATTAGGCCTCTTTCCGCAATAAGGCTAACGCTACGATGACGTGAGCTTTCAGTCCGTCCACTCCGGGATGATCCAAGATGGCGCCCTATTCAAATCAATGGCTTGTGGACAACTATAAACTAGTAACACCATATCCAGATATTATTATAGATCCATGGTTAGCGTCATGTTAGATTTAGCTCTGGAATGTAATTACCATCTTCCACCAGCAGATGGACCCCACATTCTCTGAGAGGACCCTGCTCTAGCCTCCTCTCTCTCTTTCTCACCTCTATCTCTGTCCATTCTTCCATATTTCCACCTCCTCTCTCCATCCATTCATTTGCTTCTGGCTCTGTTTGTTCTCATCCCTCCATCTTCACTGCGCTCCTTCAGGTCCCCGCAGCAGGTGGCAAGCCCATCCTCCACGGAGCTTCTTCGTACGACACGCTGCAGATGCGTCACACTAAGAAAATGAGTGCCATGAATAGTGATGTAAGGAGGGCGCAGGCCTGAACGCAGAATGTCCGCGGGTCTTGCAGATGTTGGGGTTTTCCTGCATTTGATTTTTACAACTACCAATTTGTAATGATGTCTGAATGTGCGTCCAGTGTCCTCAGTATCTATCCAGTCAGTCCAGAACGTACCGACTGACTTGATAGGTACTTGTATGTAGCCTTTTCTTCTCCCTTGTCACGACATTTGGTTATTTACAGTTGAAACTCGTCAAATTAGAATATCGTCCAAAAGTCCCATTTAATTCTGTATTTCTACTTCCAATGTGCATCTACTTTATGACAGACATATATTTAAAAAAATATATATGTATAGCACAGTTTATACTCCAAGTGCTGAACTAAACAAGAAAATCAGAAATAATCACAGTGCGTTTAAAAGAGAAAAAGGCGCTGCAGCGAAACAGAACTGTTTTTAACCTGGATTTGTCCGAGAAGTAGACTGTCTCACATTTTCAAGAAGACTGTTCCATATTTTACTTGCAGCAATCTAAAATGCTGCGTGTTTAGTCCTGACTCAGGGACCAGCAGGAGACCAGTCCCTGTGCTCCCTAGAGTCCCAGCAGAAGGCCAGTCCCTGTGCTCCCTAGAGTCCCAGCAGGAGGCCAGTCCCTGTGCTCCCTAGAGTCCCAGCAGGAGGCCAGTCCCTGTGCTCCCTAGAGTCCCAGCAGGAGGCCAGTCCCTGTGCTCCCTAGAGTCCCAGCAGGAGACCAGTCCCTGTGCTCCCTAGAGTCCCAGCAGGAGGCCAGTCCCTGTGCTCCCTAGAGTCCCAGCAGGAGGCCAGTCCCTGTGCTCCCTAGAGTCCCAGCAGGAGACCAGTCCCTGTGCTCCCTAGAGTCCCAGCAGGAGACCAGTCCTTGTGCTCCCTAGAGTCCCAGCAGGAGACCAGTCCTTGTGCTCCCTAGAGTCCCAGCAGGAGACCAGTCCCTGTGCTCCCTAGAGTCCCAGCAGGAGGCCAGTCCCTGTGCTCCCTAGAGTCCCAGCAGGAAGCCAGTCCCTGTGCTCCCTAGAGTCCCAGCAGGAGACCAGTCCCTGTGCTCCCTAGAGTCCCAGCAGGAGACCAGTCCCTGTGCTCCCTAGAGTCCCAGCAGGAGACCAGTCCCTGTGCTCCCTAGAGTCCCAGCAGGAGGCCAGTCCCTGTGCTTCCTAGAGTCCCAGTTATCCTAACAAATTGTCACTTTGCATTTACTGAATCTATATCACATCTTAGACTCATAGTTTAAGTTAAATCACAGAAAATAATTGACTTTTGAACAATATTCTCATTTCCCGAGCATCACTTGCACATGTTTAGAAACGTTAACCTTTTGTATCTATCCAATCGATCGGAGTGAATTGATTTGATAGGTACAGTCTGTAGCCGTGGTTTTTGCCTGAATCCACTCACACGTGAAAAGCCAGGGCAGAAGTTTCCTCCAGATAGATAGATTGGATGTGTTGTTGGTGATGCAGACAGACAGTTTCTCTCTTCCATGTCTCCGTCAGCTCTGAACCAAACTGATGCTCGGGTGTATTTGCTCAAGGCCATTCACAGAAATAGGTTTTCAATCTTGGTGTATTTAAAAGGCTTTGAAAAATAGGGTTAAATTGACTTTCTATAGCCCCGTTTCTACCATCCCTACTCTGCTCTACTCTGCTCTACTCTACCCTACCCTACTCTACTCTGCACTACTCTGCACTACTCTGCTCTACTCTACTCTACCCTACCCTACCCTACTCTACTCTGCACTACTCTGCTCTACTCTACTCTACCCTACCCTACCCTACTCTACTCTGCACTACTCTGCTCTACTCTACCCTACCCTACCCTACTCTGCTCGGCTCTACTCTACTCTGCTCTACTCTGCTCTACTCTACTCTACTCTACTCTACTCTACTCTACTCTACTCTACTCTACTCTACTCTACTTTACCCTACTCTGCCCTATTCTACCCTACCCTACTCTGCTCTACTCTACTCTACTCTACTCTACTCTACTCGTCTCTACTCTACCCTACTCTGCTCTGCTCTACTCTACTCGGCTCTATCCTGCTCTACTCTACTCTACCCTACCTTACTCTACTCTACCCTACCCTACTCTGCTCGTCTCTACTCTACTTTACTCGTCTCTACTCTACTCTACTCTACTCTAATCGTCTCTACTCTACTCTACCCTACTCTACTCTACTCTACTCGTCTCTACTCTACCCTACTCTACTCGTCTCTACTCTACTCGTCTCTACTCTACCCTACTCTACTTGTCTCTACTCTACTCTACCCTACCTTACTCTACTCTACCCTACCCTACTCTGCTCTACTCTACTCTACTATACCTTACCCTACTTTACGCTACTCTACTCGGCTCTACTCTACTCTACTCTACCCTTCCCTTTGCTACCTTACTCTTCTCAACTCTACTCTACTCTACCTGACTCTACTCTAGTAGGGCTGGTGGAAATGGGACTTAATACTCATCGACCCTTCTAAACCTAATCCAATAAAAAACACAATCAATTATGACAAATACTTTCATAATGTGGTATTCTCTAGAAAGTATCTTAATCCAACGTAATCTGTTTCCTAATAGACCTTAGAGAAAGTTAGTCAGAGCCAGAAGCACTAAAATGTACTTTTCTGATTGAAGTGATCGGTTGAGGTCTGTATAATGTCAGTAAAGTTGGAAACCTGAACAGCAAGACAATTCCACTTCATTTCAGTCCATCTGTTCTCAAAGTGGGCCACTGGGCATCTTCACAGCGTCTATCGTAGTAGAAATAATGCCCATTTAGTAATGTTTGCACCCAAAAGACTGTGTGTGAACCTGCCCACTGACGCCCACTAATGTCATGACAATCTATGCACAAAATCAGCCCAAAGTTTGCATGATAACTTTAACGTTTTTCAAAATATGTCGTCTGTTTGGTTTGTGTATAACAAGAGATGCATCGACAAAGCAGACAGAGTCGTTATAGCAGATATCTTCAAATCCTCGCACTTTGTATCTCTTTTTATACAGAATGGTAGAGTTTGTGTTGGTATGTCTTGTGTTGCGTTATTGCGGCGCTAACGGATTCTTTTGGCGTGAACAGGTGAAGTACAAGGAAAAGTTTGACAAGGAGATGAAAGGAAAGAAGCCACAATACGACCTGAAGGAGAGCAAGATTTACCAGACCATGAAGGACGCCAATGATCTGGCCAGCGAGGTACGACCACATAGTATCAGTACCTGTAACTTTACTACTACTACTACTACTACATTGGTTTTATATAATGCGGTCACATGTCATTATTCATTCACTTCATACACAGTGGTGATAAACTACTACATTAGCCACAGCTGCCCTGGGGCACACTGACAGAAGCGAGGCAATCAGTCTTTGCCATCAACTCCTCCCCGCACCACCAACCATTCACACACACACACAACAGACTCATTCTAGGCAATGTGGGTGAAGTGTCTTGCCTAAGGACACAGCCACAGTTTGGCACTTTACAGCCATAGCCGCCCCACTGTGGCACCTGCTGTTCCCAGAGGTCTCCCATCTCAATACTAACCAGGTCCCGCTCTGCTTAGCTTCAAAGTTCTGCCGAGATCTGGCTTTCACATGCAGGTGGCGCCAAAACACTGAATGGCAAAATTAATTCAACATATTTAAAATTTCCAGAAGTAGAAAAAGTTAAATTCCCATTTGTTTTCCCAACGGGAGTTTGGAAGTGATATTGAAGCCGACATATTATGGAAAATGTACTTCTTCATCCTGATGCAACATTGTTCCCTCATCCAAACCAGACCTGGAGTTGTTTTTAGATCGAGATAACATATGGGACAAACCCCGCCCCTTCTGTCTCAAAGCTCCTGTCTCAGTATAACACATTTCATAAATGCTGGAGGGTCTAAGGACAGTGGTGATGATCCAGGACATTTGACATTTGTGGACATTTTACAACATTTATGGACATTGGTCTCTGCTCCTTATGGACCAATGGCTCTATTTGTTTGAACTGCTTGATTCTCTGATTTGTGTTGGCGAATTGACAGTTTTGTGAAGTCCTCTGAGATAACAACTATTATGATTTAGGGCTATACAAAAAAATGAATTTAATTGAGTAAATACCAAGTTTCCAAAGTGCTGCACGGGCTAAAGACTAAAATGTATGAACAAATCCATAGTAAAACAGTAAAATCACATGTATTTAATGTGTTTTGTGTTTGTTGCGACATGTTCCAGGTGAAGTATAAGACTGACCACCTGAAGAAGATCCACAAACCCGTGACGGACATGGCCGAGTCTCTGTCCATGCAGCACAATCTGAGCACCAGCAAACTCTCCAGCGACGTAAGACCCTCTACTCTACCCTACTCTACCCTACTCTACTCTACTCTACTCTACTCTACTCTACTCTACTCTACTCTACTCTACTCTACTCTACTCTACCCTACTCTTCTTGACTCGACTCGACTCGACTCTACATTTACTCTACTCTACTCTACTCTACTCTACATTTACTCTAGTCTGCTCTACTCTACTCTACTCTACTCTACCCTACTCTTCTTGACTCGACTCGACTCGACTCTACATTTACTCTACTCTACTCTACTCTACTCTACATTTACTCTAGTCTGCTCTACTCTACTCTACTCTACTTTACTCTACTCTACTCTACTCTACTCTACATTTACTCTACATTTACTCTACTCTACTCTACTCCACTCTACTCTACTCTAAATTACTCTACTCTACTCTACTCTACATTTACTCTACTACTCTACTCTACTCCCTAGTCTACTCTACTCTACTCTACATTTACTCTACTCTACTCTACTCCCTAGTCTACTCTACTCTACTCTAAATTACTCTACTCTACTCTATTTTACTCTACTATACTCTACTCTAAATTACTCTACTCTACTCTACTCTATTTTACTCTACTCTCCTGTACTCTAAATTACTCTACTCTGCTCTACTCTACTCTACTCTACTCTACATTACTCTACTCTACTCTACTCTAAATTACTTTACTCTACTCTACTCTACTCTACTTTACATTACTCTACTCTACTCTACTTTACTCTACTCTACATTACTCTACTCTATTTTACTCTATTCTACTCTACTCTATTTTACTCTAATCTACGTGACTCTTCTTGTCTCTACTCTACTCTACTCTACTCTACCATACTCAACTCTGAATATGATACTTTTTCCTCAACCGTCCAACGTTTTAACACTTCATAATATCACATGTTTTCACCCTTCACACCTGACCTCATCTGGTGGTGATCTATACCCCCCTTTCATTTCCTCCTCCTTCATAGTACTACCAAAATTCTCTCTAAAAATCCATTCTTCTAATTCAATTCCGTCTTCACTATATGCTAATAACCTATCAACGTTAACCCCCCATTCACTCATTGATTCTGTAATTGGAATATTGTTTTTGAGAGACAGTAGTTTGTGTCTTGACTGGGCCTGCCCTTGTAGTACCAGTACAAGAAGAAATTTGAGGCGAGTAAAGGTCACTACCACATGGTCACCGACACACCTGAACAACTTCACCACAAGGAGGCGTCAGAGCTGCAGAGTAACGTAAGTGCGAGACAGAATGCACAATATTCACAAAGAAATACACAACTGTGGTATGTGCAATGTACAGGAACCGTGAAAAATGTATCTCAGCCGTTATGGCTTTGTGTGGAATGAGCCTCAGTCTGGTGTTTTTAAGAGAAGATTGGAAAATGGAAAAGGGAAAAGTCACTTGGATGTAATTAATCACTCATTCCTCCATCTGAAAAAAGGCCTGGACATTTATGGGGCAACAAAGACTTAAGACAGGCAAGTCCAAGCTCAGGCCCGCGGATCAATTGCGGCCCTCTGTGACATACTATGCGGTCCTCTGCTGCTAACACACAGTCGCAATTGAGGCACTTTGACAGTGTCATCCAACCAACTTCAGCTCCACCAATACAGTGCTATACCTGGTAAATCTCAGCTGAATGGATAGCACTCTCGCCTCTCAGCAAGAAGGTCCTGGGTTCGAATCCTGGTTGGAACAGGGCCTTTCTGAGTGGAGTTTGCATCTTCTCCCTGTGTCTGCGTAGGTTTTCTCCGAGTGCTCCGGTTTGCCCTACCACTAAAAATATGCTCACTAGGTAAAATCCTCCAGCTCCGGCCCTGACCAAGCCGAGTATTAACATCTGGAGATGGGTTCCCGGGCGCTGTTACTACGGCGACCACTGTTCCTAATGTAAGCTTTAATGGCATCAGGGTGGGTCAAATGCAGAGGACACATTTTCCTACGGGGACAATAAAGTGCACATTTACATTTATATTTGTTTTATGATGGCGTCTCAACATTCCAAATAAAAGGCAGCTTTGGTGTGAATCATTAAGGACGTATCATACACTTTTTAATTCCAGAATCCAGTCAATCTTGCTCAAATATAGTTTTTTAATTCCCGGTTGTCAGACCCAGGTCAGGTCTGATGAACTAAAGTACTCTTACTACAAGAGTACTTGGACACCCCTGACTTAAGACGAGAAACTTAGTATGTTCTCTCATCTTATAGAGTAATTTCTGAGTATTCTTGTTTAATGTCTTTCTATTTAGTTTGGTTTTAGTCTTTCCCTTTCATTGTCCATTGTAAAACACAAAGGGAATCCATCAACACTAAAGGCCCACTTTAGTGTTGATGGATTTACTAGAAACGGTTCCAGTCTGGCATCGAACCAGCGACTTTTCGGGGAAAGCCTGTGTTTCGTCCCAATTTTGTCTTAGTTTGAGTTTGGCATTCTGTAATCCTGAATTTGGTTATTTTTAAGTTTTTCTGTATTAAATCTTATATTTTTGGCAGTCCTGCATTTTGGGACTTTCCTCCTTTTCGAAACGGGACAGGTTCTGAGCTTTAGCACAAAGTTTTTGGCTGAGCTGAAGTTGGCTGGATGACACTGTGAAAAACAAGCAGGGCAGAGACAGTACACCTTGTGAGAATGCTTGTCTCTTTGATTGTGTATACATATAGATGGATATTCTTCTTAAAGCCATACGGTGGAACACTCTGGGCAGAGCAATAACATTCAAACACACACGAGCAGACGATAAAAACCATTTGCTAAAACATTTCTTACGTTTTTTGTGTTGTGGAATAGGTGAGGTACAAGGAGAAGTACGAGAAGGAGAAGGGAAAGCCGATGCTGGACTTCGAGACTCCGTCATACGTGACCGCGAAGGAGGCGCAGCAGATGCAGAGTGCGGTACGGACTTTTCTCATCTCTATAAAACCACAACCAACTTTCTACGGCCAAATTAAACTATAAGATCCAGTTCTTAGACGATGGTGTTAGTATAGTCTTTGCATATGAACCATGTGGGACCATGTGTGTCCAGCTCTGTGCAGTATATGTAGTGTTTGTACATCTATTTTTACATTGTCTTTGCAGTTCTGTTGTATTTTTTCAATAGCCACAACTTTCACAATTCTAAATATTATTATTATTATTTAGTAGTAGTAGTAGCAATAGTAGTAATCTTTATTTTGAACACACAAAGGTCCATAGACATTAAAAAGACAGGAACCGGACGGACAAAAAATAAAGTTAGCAGAGACTTATTTTCCCAATAATTTGACATTTAGCTGAAAACAAATTGAAGAAATATAATCCAGTTTTGCAAATGCATGGCAGCAGATAGATTGACCTTGTTTATGTTTTATCATCTGAGTAATTAGAATACAGACAGAACACAGAACAAGCTTTTGAAATTGGTGCAATTTTCCAACCACAAAGACGCCGTGTTTGGAATGAAAATAGTTAGAATTTATGATAACAAGTAACAATTGTACAATATGAAATTACACCATGAGAAAAGATTACATGAAAACAGCCCTTACATCATTTTTAGTTAAAATCCTAGAGTTATACGGATTCTGAAAGACAATGTAAATTCTGCATCTTGGTATTCAGATTTTGTATGTGTCTGTGTGGTCTCTTTGCTTTTATGAAGTCTGGGACAATCTGGTAAAAAGTAGAAAAATGTACATAAATAATTATATTAAAACAGCCTTAACATTTTACTACAGACAGGAATAAAATGTGCCAGAAGTCACAATGGACTCGCAACGAATAGGGGACAGACAAAGAGAGACAGAGTTGACAGGGCAGGAAGTAAAACTAGAAAATGTATCCACAACATGACAGGTGTAGGGTTATCCATTGCTTCCCCATTAGTCCATAAAACAGCGAATCTTCAGTATTCTTCCAGGTCCAACATCATTTCTATTCAAACCTGTGGCAAATCACAAGTTATTATATTTTTGTCACTTGTTTTTACATAGATGTGTTTTTGTCACATCTTAAGATCAGATTTTTCACTTTTTTGACATAAAAGTGACAAAGAGAGGATTGAGTTGACTTCAATGTACCTTTGTATCGCCCTAAATCACAGCAGTAGTTATCTCGGAGGACATTACAAAGTTGTCGATTCGCCAACACAGATCAGAGAATCAAACACATTAGAGCCATTGGTCCATAAAGGCTGGAAATGCACAATCCTAAAGGGCCATTTTTCCCCAGCCTTCATATGACGTCGTGTCCTCACCTCCTGCTTCGTCCGGTGCCCGCCTGCCGTTAGCTTACAGCAGGACGGTGTGCATTGCATTGTGGGAAATGTACGCTGCATGTTCATGTTTCTGTCTTGTGTCCTGTGTCTTCACCCGCGTGGATAGAAAGACTATAAGAAGGACTTTGAGGAGACTATGAGGGGTAGGAACCTCACTGGACTGGAGGTCACCCCTGCCATGATACACGCGCGACACGCCACCAAAATAGCCAGCGAGGTAAACCCAACTGATTCCAGACTTTTTATCACCCGTTTCCCATTTCTTCCCCTCTTTGAACGTTCCTTTACTTTTCATAACAATAACTGGTCTCTTTGAACCACCTTTTGCCCTCACTTCTTCCCCCTGAGTTTCCTTCCCACTTCACTTTCAAATCTACAGTTTTTCACATGCACCTAACACTGTTGAGGTTTAAACAGTAATAATAATCCCACATCTTTTTGGTTCATTCTTTTGCCTTTCGCTTTAAATTTACATCTTTAAAATGGTACGATGTCGACATCTTAAAGGAGCAGTATGTACAAATATGGGCAAAAGTGGTACTGCAGCCTCTCCCACTCTCCCTGACTCAGGTTGCCAGATATGCAGACGAATCCAGCTGGGACCATAACAGCTGAATAGACAAGAGTTTTGTCAACAACAAATCTATAACCAACACCTTTTTCACAAAGATAGAAATCCTGGTTTTATTCCATGTTTTGTCGTTAATGGTTTGAGAATCATAACGAGACCTTTTTTAGTTCTGCGCCACATGGTACTTTACCAGTGAGATTAGCTTGATGTGGTGAGTTCTGGCGCCCGGATTACAGACTTTCTGATTGGTGAAACGGTGGATGGAAAACTAAATTTAAAATCCAAATATCTCTGAACTACTGTTATCAGTTAAAGACGTATTGGAAAAGAGCAGTTTATTATTATAACAGATTAGGGCCCTTTAATGATGACTCGACATGAAAATGGTACATACTGCTACTTTAATTGTCATGATCATAAATGTTAGTAAACCATCTGTAATTACGTCATAGTTCCTGTGTTCTTCATTCTGCTTTCTTCTGTTTGTCGTCTACTTGCCCAGTTTCTAAAGAAGACATACTATGCAAAATAAACATGTTGTATTTGAGTCATAATTGCTTGTTTTCTGATGGTACACCCAAATATCCACGTTTTTTTCTTTGTGGTTCTTTTGAAAGACAAGTTAAATGTATTACTTTATTTACATGTGAGCCTCAGAACTGTCACTGTCCTGGTGACCTATCATATATCAGCTGATGATACTTCCTGGGTGGGCGTGGTCCGCTTGATTGACATGGCAGGTCACTCAGACTGGCCACGCCCCTGAAGGTGTCTCATAATATAGTATGGAATGATTTTTATTTTTACCGAGAAAGTGTTCGATAAACATTAGCCAAGAGGAGAGATGCATTGTAGCAGGTTTTAGCAGCAGTGCTAATTTACTATAGCCTCTGAGCAGGTTGTGGTAAAACAAAAGAAATAGGCAACATGTGTGCCTCCCTGATCTAAAAAGTAACACATCTCACTCGTCTATCAAAGGAACCACAAACACAACAACATTAGTCTTTTTGTTGTTAGCTAACGTACCATGTCGAAAGCAGCTTTAAAGACCTTATGACGGGTTTTTTTTTTAAAAATTGTGGATATCAAAATTGCATGATAATGTCAATCTGAAAGAGATTCCAGCAAAAAAAATCCTATATTTTATAAAATAACGTGTTTTTCATGAATTTAAGCTGTCTATGCTCTAACCTGTGTGTGACGTCATAGCGGGTAACGCTTATGCATTGAAAACCATGGATCTATGCCACAGGACTGCCTTTTCTCTCTTCTCTCCACTGATGCCCAACACAATACTGCACTCTACAGTTGCCTGGCCTGCCAAACGATATGCTTTTTCAAAGACATATAGTCTGGGAACGAGCTTGATCTCAGCGAATTCCCGGTGGGCGTGGTTGACAGACTGCATCAACCAATTAGATGCATACAGGATATGACGCAGCAACTAGCGGCACCCAAGCCGTTTCAGTAAACACAAAACAAGGGATGGCGGCATGTCAGCTAGTGCAAATGTAAACGACTGCTGTCGATTTTGTAACAAAAACTTAAAGATACGAGGAGTTATTAGCAACTCAAAGGTGAAAGGAAGTCCCGCCTCTCGGTGCGTGATTGGACCGATGTGGGTAAAATCGTGAAATGATAGGCTAGGAAGAGGTGTCCAGACGGTTCTTCTTTTGAACAGAAAGGAGGAGTGTCTGGCAGGCCAGGCAACCTCTACAGGTGACAATTGCTCACTACACATAAATTGTCGTTTTGAGAGTGAAAAAGTGTCTGAGGTGGGATTTGAACCCCAGTATCTGGATTGGCAGTCCATCGACACAACCACTGGACTATCTCAGTGACAACGAAGAATAACAATCTAGTATTTATGTCACACTCGCTGTACACGGCCTTGTCGTCTTGAATATCTGCAAAAAAAGAACGAATACCAAATTGTAAACAACTTACAGCGTTGAAACGTACCCGTTCTGACGTCACCAAGGGCTGTGAAGTTTTTTCGTTTCTAAGGGCGTTGCTATGGGGTTATTTCGATTTGGGGGGATCAGACAAAAAAAAAAAACAACCGATTTTGAAACCTTTAGTAGTTCTCTTCTAATACAAAATGGTATTAAAACTGTATTTCTAAATAAATCAAACCCGTCATAAGGTCTTTAAGTCGTCATAGAGCAATATCCAAAATTCTATTTATTGTGAATTTAAAATATAAAAACATAAATGTCTTCTTTAAAAGCACAATTGAAATGTCTTGTGTTGTATCATGTCTCTGTTGTTTCCAATGATTTACTTTAAAGCATCTTGTCCTTTTTTTTAGCAGGAAACAGACAAAGTCAAATCTCCCACTCAGTCGCCCATAATGTGTTAGTTTTAGCGTTTTTCACCTCCAATTTAGGGTATTTATAAAGTTAATTGCTGTGACAGACGGTGGCTTCCATTCTTTCAAACACATCTGACATTTATTGTGGCATTTTCAATCAAAATACAGCTACATCAAAGGGAATACTTTCTTAATGTAAGTTTTTAGATTGAATGAGGAGCCACTATCACGGAGTACGTTTACAAAGCACCAGTGGAAACCAAAGAATGCTTCGTCCAATTTAAAAACCAAATGCTTTCAGATGTTGCGTGATTACAATTAACAAAAGTGTGCTTATAGAGTATTTATGATATAGAACTTACTGTCACAAGTTTGCACGCTAAGCATCCCAACGCTCCATCTGCAAATGTAGACTGGGATCAGAGTGGTCAGACCAGTTTGGGATCAACTCCAAATAGAGTTTTCTCGTGTAGGCTTTGTCGGTCAGTGTGTAGAAGGAAACAAAACCCAACTGTTTAGAGACGCAGAAATGCAAAAGTAGTGACCTCAATGCAAAAGATAAAGGTTTACTTAAAAATATCATACAAAAATTATACATTCAATTAAAGTTCTCAGCCTAGACTTTTTATATTTTACGGATCTAGATGGGTCTTATTGAATGTAGACTGGTACCAGAGTGGTCAGACCGGTTTGAGTTTTTATGCATACTGCTTACTCATATGCTTTGTCAACGTGCTTACTATCTATTATAATGGGGAAACTGGCTGACGTGATTTTCCCAAGGAGAAAAACAGAAGTATAGACCGATTAAAGTATTGTTATGGGCCTCTGAGTGTGAATACAGATTTTGACTTTGCGCTCACGTTTGTCTTGTTCACGCCTGTGCCTGTCCTGTAGAAAGAGTACAGGAAGGATCTAGAGGAGGGCGTGAAGGGTAAAGGGCTAACTCTAATGGAGGATACACCTGATCTTTTGAGAGCCAGAAATGCCACTCAGATCCTGTCTGAGGTAAAGCCCAACGATGGAAGAAAGAGGCCGTGGAGCCGCTGGTGCTGTGCTTCCATCGCTCAGAATCCACAAAACCTGACGCATAAAAACCTCATCAGACTAAAATGCATTGGTTTGACTGTGTCCGTCCCCGCTTGATGACATCACTAACAAATCAGCTTCAAATTCCTTTTTCTTTTTGTTTAGTCTTTGTTGAATTGAGTGGGTTTTTTCCTTAACTGACAATCTTAAAACAAGATTCTCCAATGGGACAAAGCCATTTAGTCTTATCTCAAGAACTGTCGCTTTATTTTCTCATTCCAAGGGAGACGTTTCTTGTATATTTTTAAAACTAGACCATTTTAACTTTGTTCCATTGGGAAATTTGGTTTTAAGGCAGTCAAAAAGTGCTCAAATTTAGATGCATTTTGGAAAATCCGAGCAATTTCGGACTTATTTTTCATCTGTTTTTGCAGTATATGATTTGTATACAACATTTAACTTCTGTAGGCACAATCAACTGGGAAAAGTGAGGTACCCAAGCTTTAAAGTGAACGAAGCAAAGTTCAGTCCAAAAACAAAATGTCTCCCCTCCTCCCTTTCTCATGCATTTCTTAAATCCCAATTATTTGTCACTAAGTAGCTTTTCAGATTTTAGATCCCAGAGCTATTTCGTCCGCCGCTGTGAGCTAACAACATGATGAACAAGCTAAATCGCAACGCACTCATGTTTCACCGAGAACAAAACACAAGGAGATACAGGAGCCACATGAATTAGCAAAATTAGCTCTTATGGTCAAATTGAGGCCGCCGTTTCTAGTCTGTATCGAATCATATAATAATTTTGTACTTTACATCTTTACCAAACTCACTTTGGGTTTTGAAAGTTGCAAGAAAAATGCTTTTGATTTTATAATGAAGGTGCTGAAATGCATGAGAAAGCCTGCGATACAACCGGACCAGTGATTCCAGGTTCACTCTAGAGATAGCACTTGATGTAGTACTTACAAACCTGGTCCCAAATCAGTCTCCATTGTTCCACATTTCACCATCTTTCGTCATCTTCCACCGGCTTATGTCCTGGCGTCTGCTGATTCTTGTGAAATATGTGATGCTGTGCTATTATGAGTGTCCATGTGCACAGAGAGAGTACAAGAAGGCACTGGAGAACGAGATCAAGGGCAAAGGCATGTTGGCTTTGGCTACAGACACTCCGGACTTCATGAGGGCCAGGAACGCCACCGACATCCTCAGCCAGGTAACGCCCTCTGCAGGCAGCGCGTGGAAGGACACAGAACACAACTGTTTAGAAACTGCTGAATACACAGTGAGGAACTCGGTGCAAAATATTAAAGTTCTTTCGAAAAATCAGTCAAACACAGTTAAGGACAGTTCTCAGCCTGGACTTTTAAAAAAATTATAATTATTGAATGTTAGGTGGTCTTGTTCCATTTATTGATAGATTGATAGATGAAAGAGAGATTGCTAGACAGACATTCATTAGTTTTCTTTCATTCGAGCAGACATTTTACAATCATAATTATATACAATATTTACATTTCTTAGTTTACGTGACCTTTTATACATGTTTCCTTCTGTGCTTACACGGTATACACCTATACATACAAATATATAAACATAAATATACGGTATTTGCCCTAGTTTCACCATGTGTCGTATATTTAAATATCAGTATTTACCGACAGCGAGATAGCTATAAGAAAATAGTGATGGATAGAAGGTAGAGACAAGTTTTGTATATTTCTTTATGTTTTTTTGGTGCTCTTTTTTCAATGGATGTTTGTACTGCACTTTGGGAGGTCTAGGCGGTTTTATTTTGATAGATTGACAGATAAATAGATAGATAGACAGACAGATAGATCAATAGACAGATCTACAGTATAGATAGATAGATAGGTCGATAGATAGATATACAGACAGATAGACAGACAGATAGATCAATAGATAGATAGATATATAGATAGATCAATAGACAGATATACAGACAGATAGATATATAGATAGATCGATAGACAGATATACAGACAGATAGACAGACAGACAGACAGAACTAGACTAGACTGGCCTGGACTAGACTAGACTAGACTGGACGGGACTGGACTGGACTGGACTGGACTGGCCTGGACTAGACTAGACTAGACTAGACTAGACGGGACGGGACTGGACTGGACTGGACTGGACTACAAATAGTAAAGAGAGAGATAGAGATAAGCCATATGATGTTTTCTGTTTCAGACTAAGTACAAGCACACAGCAGAGATGGACAGAGCGAGCTACACCAGTGTGATTGACACTCCCGACATCCTCCACGCTCAGCAGATGAGGAACATCGTCAGCCAGGTATCACATGTTTACGTTCTTCATTATGTCCAACACATCCTCTTTGAGCTGGTGCTGGACACACTTAAACCGGGGCCGTCCAAAACTTTTACTGACACTGTAGTTCACCGAAATTGTCCAGGGGCCGACAGCACGGATTGACTGGTTTCATGTTGTTCTGGGGTTTAAAATGAGGTATAACGGCTCCAAGTTTAAGCATGAGAAATGGACGATCTGTATAATACAATTGTCAATGTCAACTTTATTTGTATAGTACATTAATAGCACCAGCTAAAGAATATTTAGAGCTAGCTGTGAATACTACTGTTATAATATTTCATTATGATTGTCAATTATTAGCTTTGTTTTGTGCCGAACAGAAAAAGTATAAGGAGGAGGCGGAGAGGACCATGTCTCACTATGTGCCAGTGCTGGACACTCCGGAGATGCAGAGAGTCCGCGAGAACCAGAAGAACTTCAGCACTGTAAGCACAGCATACTTTATATTTATACTCTATATTTTCTAGATAAAGAACTTTTTTAATTTTGAAGTTGTTTTGAGTATTTCTGTTATTTATTTTTCTTTTTATTATTTCCGTATTTGAGGTGTACACAATTTGACTGTCCTTGTATATTTGTTGCTATGGCGTTGTGAGGTCCAGGCTAAAGCTAGCTATGAACAAATTGACAGTTCACCTGCTTAAAGCTGCACTAACTGACTTTATTTTTGTATTCATTACAAAAATGCTATCCATGTCCATGTAGTGCATTGGGATATACGTCCTTTTGAAGAAAAAGTAGTGCAGATTTGTACTGGCGTGACATTATATTTTAGATCGAGTTTTGATGAAACAAGGAAGAGAATGTGTTTCGGGTCGCGGATTGTGACCAATCACAGCGGACCACTAGCCCCCACTTTCGTGAGAAATCTACAGGTCCGTTAGCATAGACGGCTGAGTTAGCACAACAAGCGGCGGAGCTAACCTGAAGCTTCGTCTCTTCGTCACCGGTTACTGCTTACACAGCGAGACAGCCATCCAAAAGAAAGCCCCGTTCCTCCGCTCTTCCCGGTTCTATCGTTCTATGGTCACGCCATCCACGTACAAATCCATATTCGTGTATTATCCATATTGGGAGACGCTAACTCCGTCCCAACAGTGGGTGTGTGTGGGGGGCGATGGCTTCGTGGGTGCGGGGAGGGGAGCAGAAAGAGAGAGGCCAGCGAGTCTGCGGCTTCAAAATCCCAAAGTCAGTTAGTGCAGCTTTAATTTTCTTTTTATAACATAACCACCACTTCTGCAACACTTCTATGTCCTCTCTGTTGTATAAGGATTTGTTGATGTTAGCTTAGCATCATTAGCAACGTAAAACAAAACAGCTGCTAGCATAACTTCTTCCTTTGTTTTAATCTTCTAAAGTCTGTTTATCTAAATTTTGCATCTATTTTTCACATAATTTGGTGCAAAGTGAAAAATATTGCCACTTTTTAGCTGCTTTGAACCTGTAAGTGAGGAATTATGCCACACTTTACAACCCCATAATACAGCTGGAACAAGCTATGTTGCTATGACGACTGTGGCAGCCATCTTGCGATTGTACCCGTGTTTTTTCAGTCTGTCTTTTGATAGTTTAATGTTTGTTTTGTCTTGTATACTCTGAAATGTCTGTTCAGTACATGTCATATCTGTATTTTCTGTCTTCATAGTTTCATGTTTGCAATGATTTTTCTGCTTCTCGTTTTCTTCCCAAACTCAATAACTTTGTTCTCTTGTAGCTTCAGTACCAGGCAGACCATAAAAACATAAAAGGGAAAGTTTCCGCTGTGCAGGACACTCCAGAAATGCTCCGTGTTAAAGAGAATACAAAGAATTTCAGCTCGGTATAAACTCAGAGTGTATAATTAATAACTTCTTTATCATAATAACCCTACCTTTTTATGGTTTAAATCCATTACTTTAACAGACCCTGACTTGCAGCCCAGAAATCTTAACATTTCATATATTTTACAGTGTTTCTAACCTTCATGTGTTTTGAGTGCTGTGTGTACAAATATGTTTCATTCCGGTGTCTGTCTGTGTTGTATACTGTATGTGGTGTTTTTATATGTATTTCTATGTTTGTCCATCTTGCTCCCCATTAGTACAACAAAAATACAATTAAGATTTCACTCTCCCTTACATAATTGCCTTTAGTTTCTCTATATGAAAGCTTATTGTAAATATTATATCTTGGTTCACTGTGGAACATGTGTAGAAGTTATGCAGCTAAGACCATATGAAGTCGTCAATAGGACTTTCCCATAGATGCTGTAGAGCAGAGGTGTCAAACTCATTTTTGGTCGTGGGCCAAATTAAAAAAGATAAGATGTGGTTGGGGCCAGAAGTAAAAGTGGAATTAAAGTGATTGACTAATTAACTGTATTTGACATGAGTATAGATGTTATTTTCTGGTAGGTTTTGTTTCAATCACAACGGGGCCAAATACAATGATAGTGAAGTTTTAGAAGACTGCTCGCTAAAACGATACTATAACTTCTTTATATATTTTTGTTAACATTTTAGAACAGATACAATTATTCGGCTGTTTTCCTGAGACAATAGGCTTTCAAAATCAAGTAAAACATTCTATAATAGCCCCTTACCATCAATGCTGCAAGTAAAGCCTGGTTCACACGAGACAATTTTAAAAATGTCGGCCGATTTTCCTAACCTGAGAGACCCCACACACGGAGATAAAAAATCACGGGTCTAACCACTTTGGTCGTACAGTGTGTGGTGCGCAGCCATACGGCAAAATCACACAAACCACAAACGAACTGATTACACCTAAATTGGGTTTTTAATCGTCCTAATTATCCTGCCGTGTGAACCAGGCTTTACTGCGATAGAGATCATTGAAAGTGAATTGTATTGTGGGCCGGATTTGGCTCACGGGCCTGAGTTTGACATGGCTGCTGTAGAGCAGGGTAATTACAGTTTTCCCAAGGGCCAGATTTGACTTGATATGATAAAGTTTTGACTGTATTATCCACTGATATTGTTCATTTAAGATTCAGTACAAAGAGGATTTGGGCGGAGGAACTGCTCTGTCCGAGACCCCAGAGATGGAGAGAATCAAACGCAACCAACAGAACATTAGCACGGTACACTTCTGAGTGACCCTGCCCTGCCCCAATCCTGCTTTCTCCTCTGCCGTTTGGATTTATTTATTTGTTATTCATATTTTATACATATGCTGTCGTTTACATGCAGCTTTTCCTCATCTGGATGACCAAAAGACCATATGGATCCAACAAACCGTTTATTTTTCTCTTCTTAATTTACATGTTGGCTTTCAGATTGTAAAAAATGTCTAATGGAAGCTAGATCATAATAATAAAAATAATAATGTTTAGAGATAGATGGTGATTGTTTTACCTTTATACTGTATAATCAAGTAAGCAACAGTTTATGATATGAATTAACCCTTTTGAATTGTGGCTGCCTCACCGGTGTGTCGCTGTAAATGTTATTATAACATTAAAAACTTTGGCCATTAAAAACACTATTTACATTGTCACTCCTGAAATCAAATCTTCAGTAGAAAATATGTGTTGAAATAAGTAAGAAAAGTAACAAAATAAACGCTTTCCGCCTGTAACTCCCTGTGCTACCACCAGAAGGAGGCAACACATTTGTTTTTTTCCCCAAATTTTTGAATTGGATAAATAAGGAGAAAATAACATATAAAACAGCTCTTACTGATTTTAAAGTTTGTTCTAGTAACAGCTGAGCGTTAAGGAATTTAAGTTCCAATTTTGCTATAATTAATTCGTCTCAAAACTTAATCATAATATTGTTTAAAAGCAATATTTTCCGACTCAAGACCGACCAGTGTAAATGTGACACTGTGGTCATTTGGTCATTCAGTGCTTCCTTCTTCTGCATTGGAAAAAAAACACATCTTTTCACTTGTTTTGCCTTTCTCCCTTTGAACTGAATCCAATCCAACCCATAATGCTCCTTCTTCGGCCTCGGTCTGTTCACCACTGTCTTGTCCTTGTCTCTGTCTCTGTCTCTGTCTTTGTTGCTTTCACGCGGCACAGATCCACTATAAGGAGACTCCGGGTCAGGGCACGTCCATCCCAGACCTGCCCGAAGTCAAGAGGGTCAAAGAGACGCAGAAGAATATCAGCCGGGTAGAAATACAGTCGCCCATAATTACCTGTATTAAGCTAACTTACCATAAAAGTATGTTAGAGTGCACGTGCGGCTCATAGACTGTATATACATGGACAATGATAACCTGCTAGCTCGATGCTAACCTGCTAGCTCGATGAAGGCTAATAGACAACTCGCTCTGGCTCCTATTGACTTAAATTGAAAAGTAAAGTCCTCCTGTGATCCTGGTGTTTATATTTTGGTTTTGTCGTTTTAAATCCAGAGTTGAGCCATATAAGGAATGACCAATCAGACGCCTTTGTTTGCAGCGGAAAATCTGGCTTTCCTTAGAAACCACTTTGGAAACACGTCTGCCTCTGTTATGGATCAAAACTAACACCATAACAGGGGCACAAAAATCCTCTTTTTCTTTGGCCTCTCTCTGGTCTTTCTCTCTCATGTCTCTCTGGTCTCCTTCTCTCTCTCTTTGGTCCCTCTCTCTCTCTCTTGGGTCTCTTTCTCTTTGTTCCCTCTATCTCTCTCGGGTCTCTGGTCTTTCTCCCTCTCTGGTCCCTCTTTCTCTCAGGTCCCTCTCTCTCTCTCTCTCTGGCCTGTTTCTTCATCTCTGGTCTCTCTTTCTGTCTGGTCCCTCTCTCTCTCTGCTCTCTCTCTCTCTCTCTCTCTCTCTCTCTCTCTGGCCTGTTCCTTCATCTCTGGTCCCTCTCTCTCTCTGCTCTCTCTCTCTCTCTCTCTCTCTCTCTCTCTCTCTCTCTCTCTCTGGCCTGTTCCTTCATCTCTGGTCCCTCTTTCTCTCTGGTCCCTCTTTCTAGTCTCTTTCTGGTCTCTCACTCTCTCTCCCTGGTCTCTCACTCGCTCTCCCTGGTCTCTCTCTCTGGTCTCTCTCTTGCTGATCTCTCTCTGTCTGTGGTGCGACACGTCTGCCCCTATTATGGCGCAAAACTAATCTGAACAAATGCCCATATAAGGTTATTGGCTCCAGCTAGCTTATGTTAATGACGTTAGCGCTCGGCCAGTCCACTTCTTCTTCACAGTCTATGATTCGCACGATTACGAATCCCCTTTATTGAAGCACATCCTTCAGCTTCGGCTGTGTCTCTGTGGTTGTGTTGATGTGTTGTGTCTTGTTCTTGTCTCTGTCTTTGTTGCTTCCACTCGGCTCAGATTCAGTATAAGGAGACTCTGGGTCAGGGCACGTCCATCCCAGACCTGCCCGAAGTCAAGAGGGTCAAAGAAATGCAGAAGAATATCAGCCTGGTAGACCAGAGTGACCCTACTCCCCTTTAAGAGCCAAACCAACACCTCTCAAACCCCTCAACACTTCCCCTTTAAACTCCTAAAAAACTTGTTAACTTGTATTTTGTAAAACACACTTAGACTTTAGATTATTAACCTTGGTTTTCAGCAGTTAGAGATGAAGTATATCTTTCCACTACCACTACTTTCTACTATTTATTCTACTACTACTACTATTTTTACTATTTTGTTCTACTACTTTACTACTTTCTTTTACTTTTACTGTTGACTGAGTGTATTAGGTTGGCCAATCTAAGTGAAACATAGTCCATATAACCCTCTCCAATCAAGGTCGAAATTCTGAATTGAAATAGATTTTAATCTTATAAACGTTCTTTTCAAATCCACCTGGTACGGTGTATACACAGGTGTGCTTCATGGTCCAGGAAGTACAGTATTTGGCAATCCTTAGTAATCTATGCCCAGTCCATTGGAACCTAGTTTTTAAAAAGCCTATCTCTCTCGCTCTCTCGCTCTCTCTCTCTCTCTTTGGTCTCTCTCTTTGGCCTCTCTCTTTCTCTCTCTCTTTGGTCTCTCGTCTTTCTGGTCTCTCTCTCTGGTTTCAGTCTTTCAGGTCTCTCTCTTGCTCTATTATCTCTGCTCTCTCTCTGTTTGGTCTCTTTCTCTCTTTGGTTGCTCTCTCTCTCTCTGGTTTCTTTTTTTCTATCTCTCTCTCTCTCTCTCTCTCTCTCTCTCTCTCTCTCCCTTTCAGGTGTGCTTAATGGTCCAGGAAGTACTGTAATTAGCTTTTCAAGAATCCTTCTTTAGCTGTGGTCCAGATTCTCAACACCCAAATTCATGTTTATTAAAGTAATCCCTCGGTCAAAATACCTCCATAATGTAAAAAAAATAAGCCTAGGATGAATTTGTTATTATCTAAATGGGTTTGACGGCACCTCCCACAGACTGTAGAGAACCACATCCCTCTGTGTCTCTGTGTCTCTGTGTCTCTGGGTCTCTGTGTCTCTGTGTCTCTGTGTCTCTGGGTCTCTGTGTCTCTGTGTCTCTGTGTCTCTGGGTCTCTGTGTCTCTGTGTCTCTGTGTCTCTGTGTCTCTGTGTCTCTGTGTCTCTGGGTCTCTGGGTCTCTGTGTCTCTGTGTCTCTGTGTCTCTGTGTCTCTGTGTCTCTGTGTCTCTGTGTCTCTGTGTCTCTGGGTCTCTGTGTCTCTGTTTCTCTGTGTCTCTGTGTCTCTGGGTCTCTGGGTCTCTGGGTCTCTGGGTCTCTGTGTCTCTGGGTCTCTGGGTCTCTGGGTCTCTGTGTCTCTGGGTCTCTGTGTCTCTGGGTCTCTGTGTCTCTGTTTCTCTGTGTCTCTGTGTCTCTGTTTCTCTGGGTCGCTGTGTCTCTGTGTCTCTGGGTCTCTGGGTCTCTGGGTCTCTGGGTCTCTGTGTCTCTGTGTCTCTGTGTCTCTGGGTCTCTGTTTCTCTGTGTCTCTGGGTCTCTGGTCTCTGGGTCTCTGTGTCTCTGTGTCTCTGGGTCTCTGTGTCTCTGGGTCTCTGTGGTTGTGTTGATGTGTTGTGTCTTGTTCTTGCCTCTGTCTTTGTTGCTTCCACTCGGCTCAGATTCAGTATAAGGAGACTCTGGGTCAGGGCACGTCCATCCCAGACCTGCCCGAAGTCAAGAGGGTCAAAGAAATGCAGAAGAATATCAGCCTGGTAGACTTTAACCAGAGTGACCCTACTCCCCTTTAAGAGCCAAACCAACACCTCTCAAACCCCTCAACACTTCCCCTTTAATCTCCCCTATTTATTCAGTTACACTGCAAAAACATGCCTGGATTGTGAATTGTAATTGACTTTAGAATATTAACCAAAGTTTTCAGCAGTTAGAGTTGAAATCTATGAAATGCACTGGATACATTGTATTGATTATTTAATTAATAATCAATACAAACAATTAACATACTTAACACTTAAATATATAGGTTTGCTCCCTCACACCCTCCTACCACCAAATACTACATTCAGAAAATATACTTTACTACTATTCTTGGGTTTCATATGACGTCAGGGCAGTGACGTGACGTATTTGATAGTTACCTAATGTAACTCAAGTTCTACGAATGGTGCGTAGCCCCTTAGGCTTCGCTATGGGTATACGAAGCATCTTGCTTCCCGCCAGAGAGAACAAAATGCTCCAATCACCTGCCAGTCCCATCTATAAATAGCCCTCTACGGCCCGTACCAACCACTTTGAACTCAGCCAAAGCCATGCTGGACTGATGGGCCCGTAGCTAAGGGGCTACGCACCATTCGTAGAACTTGAGTTACATTAGGTAACTATCAATTCTACATCATGGTGCTAACGCCCCTTAGGCTTCGCTATGGGTAACCACGCGTAAGCCGTCGGAGAATGTACTCCCATCAGGCCAGCGTAGAGTGATTGGAGCCCTGCCCGAGTTCCCGCCGCACTATCAAGGCGCATGGACTCGGGGCAGGAATAAGAAGGCGCAGTGTACGAGGCCGCTCCTACCAAGGACGCCTGAGTGACACTGACAAGCTCCAGAGGAGCAAGAACACCGAGCAAGGGCCGCTCCTATCAAGGACGCCCACACTCAGGCAGGACTCCCGTAGGAGCCAACAGTGAACATACCTAGGACGCCTCTACCAAGAGCTCCTGAGGTATGAGAAGAGTGAAAGGCCATACCCCGGACGCCTCTATCAAGAGCTCCTGGAGTATGGCAACCAATAAACGGGAAGAGCGGGTCTGTCACGGTGAGTCAGACCCCTGCGTTCAGAATGGAATGGGCAACCGACCGTTCTGCCACGTCCACTAAATAAGACCGGGCAAAGGTAGAGGACGAAGCCCAAGACGCGGCTTGGCAAACGTCCTCCACAGAGGCACCCCGGAGCAGAGCTGTGGAGGCCGCGACTCCTCGTGTGGAGTGCGCCCTGAACCCCACCGGGGGAACCAACTCCTGAGCCTGGTACGCCAGGCGAATCGCCCGCGACACCCAGTGGGACAGCCTCTGGGGTGTCAATGGTGCGCCTCTGTTCTTAGGGCCTGTGCACACAAATAGCTGATCCGACCGTCTGAAGGAAGCTGTAACCGCCAGGTAGGATCTCAGCATCCTGACTGGGCACAACAGATGCAGCCGCTCCTCCTCCTCGGAGGCATGAGGCGGCGGGTGAAAGGGTCGGACCCTGATGACCCTTGACCTAAAAGCCGAAGTAACAACCTTAGGCAGAAAGGCTGGGTTCGGCCAAAGCACAGCCACACCGTCCTCAGCACCGAATGCTAGACATTCTGGGCGAACGGAGAGTGCGCATAGCTCCCCTGCCCTCTTGGTTGAGACCAACGCCAGCAAAAGGGCAGTCTTGAGAGCCACACACTCAGGGCTGGCCTGGGCCACAGGTTCGAAGGGAGATCCCGATAACCCCTTCAAAACCACTTTAAGGTCCCAGAGTGGGGGGGTCCTTTGAGGAACCTGCCTTTTCCGTTGGGCCCCCCGAAGGAAACGCTTGACCAGTGGGTGGGAACGAGCCGAAAAGGTTCCGAACCCTTCATGTCCAGAGGCAATGGCTGCCGCGAACACCGCCAGGGTGCCGGCAGCCCTCCCTTTCTCTAAAAGCTCTTGTAAAAAGCCCAGCACTCCCTCCAGAGGGCATGACATGGGGTCCCAGGACCGGGCCGCGCACCAGTCACTGAAAACCTTCCACCTACATCCGTAGGCCCTGATGGTGGAAGGGGCCCTAGCGCCCTGAATGGTCTCCACCACCGACTGGGGGAGACCCAGACCTACGAGAGTCCGCCTCTCAGCCTCCAGACCCAGAGTCTGCGGCCCAGTACCGGACGCGAGTGAAGCGTCCCCCCTCCCTGGACCAGAGCCCCGGGCTCGTCCGGGAGAGGCCAGGGGTCGCACACGCCATGCCCCTCAAGAACGGGAACCAGAGGGCATGCGGGCTGTCCGGGGCGACGAGGATCACTTCCCGACCCTCCTGCTCGATTCTCCTCAAAGAACCGGCAAGAGGCGAGTCGGGGGAAACGCATACAGCTTACTCCTGTGTTCACGGACATTTTCAACTCCTCTCTGCAGTCCTGCCATGTCCCGGCCTGCTTCAAATCCTCCATCATTGTCCCCGTCCCGAAGAAGCCCAGGATCACAGGACTCAATGACTACAGACCTGTAGCACTTACGTCTGTCGTCATGAAGTCATTTGAACGCCTGGTTCTCTCCCATCTCAAGTCCCTCACCTCCCCCCTCCTGGACCCCCTGCAGTTCGCCTACAGAGCCAACAGATCTGTAGACGACGCCATTAACCTGGCCCTCCACCACATCCTACAGCACCTGGACTCCCCGGGGACCTACGCCAGGGTCCTGTTCGTGGACTTCAGCTCTGCCTTCAACACAATCCTGCCATCCCTGCTCCAGGACAAGCTCTCCCAGCTCAACGTGCCCGATTCCACCTGCAGGTGGATCACTGACTTCCTGACGGACAGGAAGCAGCGAGTGCGTCTGGGGAAGAATGTCTCGGACTCTCGGATTATAAATACAGGAGCCCCACAGGGCTGTGTTCTTTCTCCCCTGCTCTTCTCCCTGTACACCAACCACTGCACCTCCAGCCACGACTCCGTGAAGCTGATCAAGTTCGCGGACGACACCACCCTCATTGGACTCATCTCCAACAACGATGAGTCCGCCTACAGGAGGGAGGTGGACCGGCTGGTGTCCTGGTGCAGTGGTAACAACCTGGAGCTGAACGCCCAGAAGACAGTGGAGATGATTGTGGACTTCAGGAAGAGCACTGTCCCCCCGCCCCCACCCTCCGTGATGGACTCCCCCATCACCTCTGTGGAGTCCTTCCGTTTCCTGGGCACCACCATCACCCAGGACCTCAAGTGGGAGCCGACCATCAGCTCCCTCATCAAGAAGGCCCAGCAGAGGATGTACTTCCTGCGGCAGCTCAGGAAAGCCAAGCTGCCTGCACAGATGTTGGTGCAGTTCTACACGGCCATCATCGAGTCCATCCTCACCTCCTCCATCACCGTGTGGTTCGCTGGAGCCACAGTCAGGGACAAACAGAGACTACAGCGCATTGTGCGCTCTGCAGAGGAAGTGATCGGCCGCAGCCTTCCATCGCTGCAGGACCTGTACGTCGCCCGAGCTCGAGGCCGGGCTGGTCGTATCACAGCCGACCCCTCTCACCCTGCACATGGACTATTCCAACCACTCCCCTCAGGCAGGAGGCTGCGGTCCATCAGGACTAGAACCTCCCGCCACAAGAACAGTTTCTTCCCCTCTGCTGTTGGACTCTTGAACACTTCTTAACCTGTCCCCCCGCCCTTTATAAAGTCACTTTACTGCCCATCATACGTCACTTTACTTCACTGTACTGCTGTCACCTTACATTGTGTGCACCATGTGCACTTGTATATTGTAAATAGTAACTGTAACTCTATTTTAAATTTAAATTTATTCTTTAGAAGTGTTTTTTATTCTTATTTTTATTATCTCTTTTTGACTGTTGCACTGAGCCAAAGCAATTTCCAAGTCTGTGACCTCCCGTTACTTACGTTGGCAATAAAAATGATTCTGATTCTGATTCTGATTCTGATTCTGATACAGAAGACCCCCCGGCCACGGGTAATGCGCCAGGGCATCCACCCCCAGAGGTGGATTGTCTGTGGGCCGCAGCGCGAACCAGAGTGGACACAGAGCGTTGCCTGCACTGGCGAATAGGTCGACCCGAGGTCGACCGAACCTCTGCCATACCTGCGCTGCTATCTGCGGGGCCAGGCCCCACTCCTCCCTGAGTGGGCCCCCCCTGGACATCAGGTCCGCCCCTGTGTTCCTGTCTCCGGGAACGTGGCGTGCCCTGAGAGACAGCAGATTCGCATCGGCCCAGATCAGGATGAGGGCCGCCAGGCGATGGAGAGCGGGGGATCTCGTGCCCCCCTGCCTGTTTATGTAGGCCACCACGGTGGTGTTGTCTGAACGCACCATCACGTGTCTTCCCTGTAACCGTGGTGCAAAGTGCAGTAGCACCCTGCGCACTGCCTCCATCTCCAGTATATTGATGTGCGGAGATGGATCTGACCAGAGCCCTCCCACGGAGCTCTGACCCAGAACCCCTCCCCACCCCTCGAGAGAGGCGTCCGTAAACACTTCCACGTGTGATACGGCGCTTTTGAGGGGAACCCCGTCCCTCATCACGCTCTGGGTGAGCCAGAAGCTGATGTCTGACCTCACCCTGGGGGGAACTACGAGCATGGTCGCTGCGTCCCGGGAGGGGTGAATCCTGAGACCGGAGAACCATCTCTGAAACCCTCTCATGTGGAGAAGACCCAGGCGTATAACTGCATGGGCCGCTGCCATCATCCCCAGGAGTGATCTGAGGCAACGAGCAGACACGCTGGGGGCAGTCAGCGCCCTGGTGGCCAGCTGTGAGAGGCTCTCCTGTCTGTCCCTGGACAAAGCTGCTCGGAACTCCACCGAGTCCAGCTGCAGACCGAGGTAGAGTGCGCGCTGGGTAGGCTGTAATCTGCTCTTCTCTCTGTTCACCACAAAGCCCAGCTGTTGTATGTGAGACAGAACCCGGAGCGTGTGTTCCAGGGCTACCTCCCTGGACTGAGCCAGGATTAACCAATCGTCGATGTAGGTTAAGATCCTGACCCCTGCTTGTCTGAGTGGCATCAGGGCTGCCTCCACGCATTTTGAGAAAGTGCGAGGAGCCAGAGCGTACCCGAACGGGAGGCGGCAGTACTCGTAGCACCTTTCTCCCACAGCGAAGCGCAGAAAGCGTCTGTGCTCTGGCACTATCGCAACGTGGAAATAAGCGTCTGTCAGATCGATGGAGGTCATCCAGTCTCCGGGTCTGACGCATTCCAGCAGCTGCTTCGTAGTGAGCATGCGGAACGGCCGTCTGGAGATGCACTGGTTGAGTGCGCGCAGATCCAGAATAGGGCGCACCCCCCCTGTCTTTTTGGGGACCAGAAAGTAAGGGGAGTACAGCCCTCTGTGAGCGTCCTGCGGGTCGACCTGGATCGCAGCACCTCTTAGTAATAGAGAGGCTACCTCCTTTTGGAGAGCCTCTTCTGTCCCATGTCGCCTGGAGTTTGCCGCTCGAACGCCCTGGAACGGCGGTGGTCTCCTCGCGAACTGTAGGGCATAACCTCTGCGTAACGTCCTGTCCAGCCACGCGTCTGAGAGGAGCCCCTGCTCTCTCCAGACCTGGTAAAAGAACGTGAGAGGGGGCACCGGGCCCGTGAGACCTGATCTTAATTCCCCCCACACTCCTGGTGCCTTCACAGAGGAGGGGGGAACCACGAAAGGGCCGAGGAAGTCTGTGTTGCCCCGTTGCCTTGGTAACCACAGCTTGTCTCTGTCCCTTTGCCCCGCTGCGCGCTGCGGAGGAGACCCTACTCCTTGCTCCGCTTACAGCAGCGTGCTCTGCCTCCGTGCAGTGTGAGGCAGACGGACCCTGACCCGTTGCCACGGCAACCACGGCTTGTCTCATTTCCCTGCTGCGCGAAACAGGGGAGTCCTTGTCCCTTGCTCCGCTTACAGCAGCGTGCTTTGCCTCTCTGCAGTGCGGGGCAGACGGACCCTGACCCGTTGCCTCGGTAACCACAGCTCTCCTCTTTGTCTTGCTGCGCGAAACATAGGAGTCCTTGCCCCTTGTTCCACTTATAGCAGCGAGCTTTGCTTCTCTGCAGTGCGGGGCAGACGGACCCTGATCCGTTGCCTCGGTAACCACAGCCTGCCTCTTACGCTTCAGACCCCTGCTAATTGGAGAAGTGTGAGGGACAGTGGAGCTAGAAGGGACCGTAAATCCCCTGTTATAGGGACCCTCGCGTTTCAACACTCCCTGTAGATATGAAACACTAGATCTGTTACTCTGAGCGGTGGTCTGAGACATTCCTATCAAACCACCCTCTGTACCGTGTGTATGCTCTGTGTGTAAGACCACACTGCCCTCTACCTGTGACGGCATGTGGTGCAAGGGAACAGAGGACTGAGACAGTGGATAAACTTGATTCTTTCTTTTATTGAAAAAAGCTTTTCCCCCGCGTCTCCCACCACCGAAAGGGGGAGGACGCTGGAGAGATCTGTCTCTTGGGCCTCCGGAGGTCCAATCCTGGCCCCTGGATCTCGCTGGAGCAGGCCGCGCCGAGCGTGCAGTGGTCTGGGGGAAGGCAGGGCGACGTAGCGGGGACCGGTCCCTGTCTCTCCCTCTCTCTCTGCTCTCGAAGAAGCGGCGTTGTTGACGCGGCGCCAGATGAGGAGCCAACTTGGCGGAGTCCTTCGCCGCTCCGTCGAGTCTCTCCATCAGACCTCTCATATCTGGGCCGAAGAGGGACTCTGTGGAGATGGGGAGGTCCAGAAGCTGCTTCCTTTCCGCTTCTCGGACATCAGCAAGCCCCAGCCATAGGTGACGGGCACCGACCTGCGCCGCTGCCATCGTCCGACCACCATCAATTGCGAGCGCCTGGATCATGCGGAGGGTCGCTGCCGTGGTGGTCCTGGCTCTGGTAAGGTCCTCGCCGCTCAGCGCCTCGCCAGCGGCGAGTGACCTGTCCAAGGCGCCTGTGATGAGCGCCATGTTGCTCGCCAACGCAACGACCTGTGCCGCGTTGGCGTAGCACCGGTCCAGTACCGACATGGACACCCGGTCCTTGTCGGTGGGGAGGAGCGGTTTGCTGCTCGGCCACAGGGAGGATTTGGGGAGGAGCGCCAGCCTCACCGCATCCTCGACCTCCGGTACGCCTTTGGACCAGGACCAGTCCTGGACCTCACAGTAAGGACCGTACCCCAGGGCAGGCTTCTTAGCTGTGGAGGGCTTGGTCCAGTCACGTGTGGCGTAGTGGAACACCGGCTCCATACGCGGACACAGCGTGGGCGCCTGCCTCTTCCTCCCTCTCTGAGAAGACCCCACCGAGGTGAAGTCTTCCCTGGGTTGCGCGGGTTGCGGGGGGAATGGAGTCTCCATGGTCCTCGCCGCAGCCATGAAGAGGCGGGGCATGTGATCGAGCGGGAACCGGTCCGGCTCGCACAAGGAGGAAGCTTCGTCTAGCGTGATGAAGGAAGCCTGATCCTCCTCACGCTCCTCCTCCTCCACACGACGCAGTCTCCCCACTCCCTGGGTGCGGGAGGCAGGTCTAGCGGCACATACTCCACCTCGAGTTCGTCCTCCTGGGAGGAACCCGGGTGAGCCACCGCGGAGTCCACAAACGCCATGCGGCGCTCTCTCTCCTCCCTGGGGAGAGAGAGGCACGCTTCGCAGCCAGCCTCGTCTCCCTGGTAGTGGGACACGCCCAGGCAAAGGAAGCACAGGCTGTGCTGGTCCTTGCGGGAGATCCTGGTCCTGCAGCTCCTGCACCGTCTTCGTCCGACGCCGGAGGGCGACGGGGTTCTCGGACGCGACGGGGAAGGAGACGACATCTTCAAGTAGTGAGTAGTTCTTCTCTCAGTGGCGCCAGAGTGAAAAAAAAAAAGTGGTTGGTACGGGCCGTAGAGGGCTATTTATAGATGGGACTGGCAGGTGATTGGAGCATTTTGTTCTCTCTGGCGGGAAGCAAGATGCTTCAGGAGTATACCCATAGCGAAGCCTAAGGGGCGTTAGCACCATGATGTAGAACCTGGCGGTGCAGTCTGCCGGGTTTATACACGGAGATATAGTAGAAGAAGAAGCGCTGTCAAAATGCCATCTTTTTGTGCGGTGTACGCTTGTAGCAACCGCACAAATAGAGAGAAAGACAAGAGTTTGTTCATGTTCCAACTGTGCTCTCATATAAAGGAAGACACTTTGAACAAATCACTGGAATGAGGCGGGCGAGGTGGATCAAGGCTTTCCCAGATAAGCGCCCCCTGCAGGCCACCCCAATGAAACACAGCAATATCTTCTGTTTTTCTTTCCAAAAATGCCCAAAATCAAGACTTTTTTGATACATATTTGTTAGTACTCCCTTAGAATTGAGTGTCCCCGATTAAGACTGTTACAACAACCGTACACCGCACAGGAGCAGAGCCTTTTGACTCCAAAACAGACTTTACATGGTTTTCAATGGGAGCAACACTGTCACACCTCTGCTCATTCGCCCCCTACTGGTCAGTTTAATGAAACACAAGAATCATTTCTGTATTCAATATTATAGTCCAAACACACAGCAGCAGGTACGATTATACAACTTCAAATGTACATACAGATATTACAACAAGTTTCATTTTCTTTCATGGATAATAACATTTTTGGTTTGATATTTCTTATCTTAATACATTTAGCCAAATGGCCAATCATTCATATTATTCAAATTCATTATAGGGACATCTTGTATGCTCCTATTTAATGAAACACAGTAAGGTCTAACCATTTTTAATCCAATTGATTTCAAGAAAGACATTTTCTGTAGTGTCTCCCTTAGTGTTAAACTCTCCTCCCATTACTGACATCTACTAAACCATTTCCCCAAACTTTTCTTTAAAATTACTTTTTCTGACCTTATCTCTGTCCACGTTCTAAGCATCAGTACAGAGAAGGCGTGGGACAGGGCACCTCCGTCCCCGAGACCCCAGAGATGGAGCGAGTCAAACGCAACCAGCAAAACATAAGCACGGTACACCTCAGCGTGACCCCATCTCCCCCGAAGTCATGAAAACTCAAACATTTCATGAGGTTTTGATCAATGGTCGACCACCCCCAATCCCCCTCAGACCCCCCCAGACCCCCCGGACCATGTGCCTTCGATAAACGCAAATATAATAATAATATAATCTGTAACAAACTTGCTTTTTCAGATTTCTAGATGTTTTGTGTGGTTGGTTGTTGTTGTGGTGTCTTTTCATGCTGTTGTACATATAGTGGGATAACTGCCTCTTTTATACATTTGCTTTTTAGTTTAGATTTAGTTTTATGTTTTAGTATTAGTTATAGAACTCAATATCAGTTTCTAGAAACAGCTCGGAAAAGAATCTTGATCTCATTAAAGCTGGGGTACCTAATTTTTATTCCATCTTGGGATCCTCTCTCTCTGGTCTCTAGCTGGTCTCTCTCTGGTATCTCTCTCTCTGGTCTCTCTCTGGTCTCTAGCTGGTCTCTCTCTGGTCTCTCTCTCTGGTCTCTCTCTGGTCTCTCTCTCTGGTCTCTCTCTCTGGTCTCTCTCTGGTCTCCTCTCTCTCTCTGTTCTCTCTCTCTCTCTCTCTCTGGTCTCCTCTCTCTCTCTCTCTCTCTCTGGTCTCGCTCTCTGGTCTCTCTCTCTCTCTCTCTCTCTCTCTCTCTCTCGCTCTCTGGTCTCTCTCTCTGGTCTCTCTCTCTCTCTCTCTCTCTCTCTCTCTCGCTCTCTGGTCTCCTCTCTCTCTCTCTGGTCTCTCTCTCTGGTCTCTCTCTCTGGTCTCTCTCTCTCTCTCTCTGGTCTCTCTCTCTGGTCTCCTCTCTCTCTCTCTCTCTCTCTCTCTCGCTGGTCTCTCTCTCTGGTCTCTCTCTCTCTCTCTCTCTCTCTCTCTCTCTCTCTCTGGTCTCTCTCTCTGGTCTCCTCTCTCTCTCTCTGGTCTCTCTCTCTGGTCTCTCTCTCTCTCTCTCTCTCTCTGGTCTCTCTCTCTGGTCTCTCTCTCTCTCTCTCTCTCTCTCTCTCTCTCTCTCTCTCTCGCTCTCTGGTCTCGCTCACAGGGTCATGTATTATTTGATCTGACAACATTTTACTTCTACAAGACTTGGAGCAAACATGTATTTTTTATGAACCCAAAATGTTAGGTACCCCAGCTTTAATAGATTTCATTATTGAGTGAGAGATTTTCTTACCAGACCGGAATTTGCCCTTTGCTCTCCCAAACCTTACGTAATCATAAACGTGACCATAAAGTTCTTAAAGTCACATTATTTCATCTCTATGAGCAACAGCCTGCGTGTCTTTCATTGGTCTGTTTTTATTCTTATTTTTGTGTCAAAATGTAACAAAACCGGATGATTTTCTTTGGAGTGTAGATCAAATACAAGGAGCACGTGGGGCGGGGCATTGCCATCTCGGACCTGCCCGAAGTGAAGAGGGTCAAAGAGACTCAGAGACACATCAGCTCGGTACAAGGACTTCAGTCTGGAGTGTGCGGCTAAAGCTAATGCTAACCCTCACCTTTCACAGTGAAACCAGCCAACTCCATCTCCATCTGCAGCTCCTTCATCTTCATCTTCACAGAACGTGTCACGACCAAAGAGACAGCTTTGTTCTTTAAAGTTATCAAAATGGAAGAGATTTTCATGTGTTTTATACCATTTTTTTTTTTAGCCTCTCTGTGGTCTCTCTTGGGTCTCCCTCTGGTCCATCTCTGGTCTCTCCTTTCTTTCTCTCTCTGTCTCTCTCTCTCTCTCTCTGTCTCTGTCTCTCTCTCTCTCTCTCTCTCTCTCTCTCTCTCTCTCTCTCTCTCTCTCTCTCTCTCTCTCTCTCTCTCTCTCTCTCTCTCTCTCTCTCTGGAATCTCTGGTCCCTCCTTTATCTCTCTCTCTCTTTCTTTCTCCCTTGTTCTATCTGGTCTCTCTCTATCTGGTCCCTCCTTTCTTTCTTTCTTTCTCTTTCTCTCTCTTACATCTTACATAGACTCAGTTCAGTGAGGTTAACTTGGTCTAATTCTCAGACCGGAGTCACTTTTTCTTGCCCCCAGTGCCGTCAGACTATGAACCGGGACGAAGGAACCTTTTAACTCTCGCACTCCTTGGATAATACGATCTTTTACTACTTTATCCCACCAGGGGCACACAAAAACACACTGGAAATGTTGATCAATAACATATGCCATATAAAGTGGTATACAACAAAAACACAATACAAGCACACACACACACACACACAGGCACACACAGACACACACACACACACACACACACTTAAGTCCATATCACAAACAGGCTACAGTTCAGCAGTCTTAAAGCACTTGGGAATGACCATTACTGATGATTTAGTCAATACAAAAACATAGTCTGACCTCCAACTCATTGAATTTAACTTTATTCGTTTATTAGTTTGAAAAAGACAAATCTCTGACGTTGGTCTTGACACGTCCTCTTCCTCATCGACTCCTCTTCATCTTCATTGCCACCGTCATCATCGTCTCCTGCTCCTGTTTAGTAATCATTAGTAATCCTGTTTCTTTTCCACCATCTGCCTCTGATCCCTGCTGTATTTTTACATGTTTTCCAGTTCCCTCTTGTTTGTCTATAATCCGTAAAAATCTCTGCTTCTCCCACATAAAGTTAATTTCCACTTTGCAGCAAATGACTTTTGAACCTCCCGCTGACGTGTGTTTCTTTGTGTAACTGTGATAAATGTTTTTTTTCTCCCTTGTTTGCAATGATCCACGCTGTTGGAATCTACGGTTGTGTGTGTTTCAAAGTGCAATGCGGTAAAAGAATAGAGACGTTTGTTAAAATGACTTGGATTCAGAATTATATGTTTGTGTTGAATCGTTTTTTTATTTGCTTTAATTCTAAAATGTTGAAACTGCAGGTTGGTCACAGCCAAAATATTAGGACTACAATATATTACAGAACCCTTTACGCAAGATGAAAATGGGAATAGATAGACAAAAAAACGAGGGAAAACAATCTGTGTGTTATTTTAGTTTTTTGTTTTTTATTAAATCAAAGCAACAATATTAAGAGAGGTCATTCTTCAAGATTCTATCATTTATTGTCATTGTCACAAAAACCAACGAAATGACCTTCAGAGCCTCACTGGAACGACAGTGTAGACAAAAGTACAAAACAATACTTTTAAAGAATAGAGCTGCACCAGTTGGTTCTCATCGATTGCTTTTAAAGTTTGTAAGATTGTAAGTTTAATTTCAACAGTGAGAAAAAAAATCATGTATTTTTACAGAATATCCACACAGCAGTCCTAGTTACTCCCTGATTCTGTCACTTGGAGCAGGCAGATGTATTGTTTGGTATAGAATTATATGTATAAACGCTAGATATGGTTTTGACCCGAGATCCCGGCTGAAAGATAGCATTCAGGAGAGTATTTGAATAAAGATTTTCAACAGTAAATGCCCCTGGGCGCTAGACCATGGGGGCAGTAGGTGCTGAGGTGATGGGGAGGAGGAGGGTTGTGACACGAGCTGAAAGAGTGGAGGCTGATGAGCAACGGTAAACTGGAGTGAAGGTGAGATCATAGACATGCTAACCCGCTAGCTCAATGAGGTCCTATAGGGAGGTGAAAAGCTTTGCTCCAACTCTCTCCGGCTCCAATTGACTTCCATTGAAAAGTAAACGCCTCTAGCTCAGTAACCGTAAGAATTGACCAATCAGCAGTGTTGGGCACGTTACTTTGAAAAAGTAATTAGTTATAGTTACTAGTTACTTCCCCCAAAAAGTAACTGAGTTACTAACGGAGTTACTCCACTATAAAAGTAACTAGTTACCAGTAAAAGTAACTATTGCGTTACTTTTTCGTTTTGTTCTGGAACATAATGTGCACCCGACGTGCGCATTTTTACCTTTAACAGTGCCAATATTTCCATCTAGAAAAGGCTGTTTTGCTGCTGAAGTCCTGTTCACTCTTCATCTCTCTCTGTGCTGTAAGCACTAAACACCAACACGCTCCACTGTGAATGTGGAAACACCGGTGACGAGCGGTGAGGCTGGTGAAGCACTGACTTCAGTCCAATCAGATGAACATATACATCATATAAATCAAGTGGACAATTTGTTTGGCTACAGCAAAATATGTTTCATGCCCGCATTGTTTGTTCATACAAAACGCAAAACTATGAGTTAAGGGTCTTACCTTATAGCTATACCTTATAAATGACCTGCACAGTCCACTTCGGTTCAGACCAGTTCCATGTTTAAGTCCAGATAATAGTTTGAGCGTAGATATGTAATCCTCCGTTTGGAAATGAGTCCAATGAGTTTTAAAAAGTAAAACAAAACGCGTGTGTCCTCCGTAAACTCCTCTGTTTTGCTGCAGCCGGCTGCATCCAATTTCTAAAATCAACCGTCTTACACTTCACCTCTCTTTCTTATCATTCCTATAGTAATTGAAAAATTACCCTATGTGCATTTTAGATTATGTAAAAATGTGTTATATGTATGTTAGCCAAACCTGTTGCTGTCCTTAGCAGATAAACCAGGAAGAGCAAGGAGCTTATCGATGGAATTGTATGCAGCCGACTTCTGCGCTCACATGCGCTCCTCTGTGGCTGACCTCACGGTGATACAAGCCGTGGTTGAGCGCGATTAAGACCCATATTTGTTTCAAAAACACAATTTATGACCATCCTCTCAACTGTAGACATGTGGATTGTAAAGGAAATATGTTTTACATCAGCCAATAATTGCTGAGAGGTTTTCTCATCCTCCCTTCTCTCATGACAACACGTTCATTGTGCGTCTTGAGTAACGCGCAGTAACGGGATGTCGGAAATGATAACGGCGTTATAGTTACTGTCAAAGTAATTAGTTAGATTACTCGTTACTGAAAAAAGTACGCCGTTATTCCCATCACTGCCAATCAGATGCTTTCATTCATGAGGTAAACTCCAGTTTTTCTGAGCAACCACTTTAGCAACACCTCTGCCTGAAATTGGCTCGAGCTAGCTTATGTTCAAATCGGCATCTTCCGCTAACACCTTAAGGCTAACACATTAAGGCTAACACTATGGTTCCGTCAGTATTCAGTCAGTCCACTCCTGATACACTCTCTATGGGTGATGTAGAGAAAACCAGTCCAAACCTTTGCTTTCGCTCCATTCTTATCCCAATGAAATAATAACCAAATCCTACAAAGTCATAAAAGCCTTAAGAAAAAGGGTATCTTGAAGTATAAATACCAACTCACGCAGTCTTTCTTCTGAATCCAGCACTTTTAGCTAACGTCGCTATTCCGACTTTGCATTGCACTGTGTCTGTTGTCTCTGCTGCCATGTGTCTGACTGGCCCGTTGGTGGCGCTGTGCTTCCTTTGTAGGTTTTGTATAAAGACAGCTCTGTCAAAGGGACTCCGGTCGTGTACACTCCGGAGATGGAGCGAGTCAAACGGAACCAGGAAAACATTAGCTCGGTACCGATCAGAGCTGTTTGAAACCCGGCTAACGTCTTCCCCCCGCTCTCTGTTAATATCTATATCTGAATCCACCTTAACGAGTTTGCCGCCCCTCTCTCCGCTGTGTGCGCTAACATTCATCTTATAACTCTTCATCACGCTGACACTGCTGGTAGTAGAGTCTGGTAGTGATAGTGCTGTGTTGTGTTTAAAAGGTTGTGTGGCCTAGATTTAGACGTCTTTTCTATCTTGTATCTCTTGTCAATGCTGCGTAAGTCATTCCATTCTTAGGGCTTTTCCTTTTGGGTGAGTCCTCAAACTACAATACCATATTACAATTCAACTAGATGTATTCGTGGCTAGGTCTAAATCACAACAGCAGTCGTCTCGAAGAACTTTACAAAGTTCTCCAAAAACCGATCAAAGATTCAAACAAAAATACAATCATGACTCTCACATCACAACCATTGGTCCATAGGAAACTGAATATCTATAAATATGAATAAATGTCCCTATGGATTATTATTGTCCTTAGACAGCATCGGCAAGGAATAACTCAAACAAAAAAATACTGTGGGGAAAAAATGAGAAAAGTCCACATTGAGAGAAGCATCCACTCCGATGGGCTCTATGCACAAACCACTTCTGCGTTTTAGTTTTAACACCACTTAACACAACAGGAATCAAACTGTGAGGATACTGGGCATTTTTGATTATGCTGTCATTGTGCTTTTATAAAGTTAACAAATCTCTCTTGAGTGGCCACAGTCAAAGCTATTCCTCAGAGAGAAAGCACTTCCACACTTTTGTTCAATCTCAGCTGAATGTATCAATCTAATTACTACAAAACGTCACTACAACTCTCAACAAAGCCATAGCGAAAGCACAGACAGGAAGTAAACTGTTCTTTGGTCACAGGACACGACGTCATGCCTCCCTGTGCATATATCCCATTGGACGAACAGGCTGTAGATCCAGAACTCAAGCTGTAGAACGAGGACTGTGTGATCCAGACTTAGGGAGAACCACGGGTGGTTTGAGCAAAATGGGTTCTCTTAGCTTTGTGAGAAACGTTTGAGAACCACTGTTGTAGTAATTAGCCATCATTGAGTCAAAAATACTTTATCCAATACAAATACATGTAACTTTCAAAACAATATAAAAACAGTTTTGTCTTCCATTTCATGACCATACAGTATATTGTAAATCTGTGGTAAAACAAGACAATATTGATTAGATTAAAAAAAGCATTGATGAATCTAAAAATCCAAAGACAGCCTTTTTGTAATTCCATAATTTGAGTGTAAATATGTCACGTTCTGGTAAGTGTTGAACAAGATACGAAGCAGTGAGTTCTGGTTTTAAGATTTGGCTTTTATTGACGAGAATACTGCAACTAAATCTTAATGAGTAACAAGAATAGATTTGCTAATAATTTCCTTTCCCCATTTTTAATCCTTCTGAATCCCTGACTCTCTTTTCTTTTCCATCTTGTTGTGTGTGTTTTTCACCTCCCTCTTTGCCGCAGAAGCTAACCACTCCTCCACACGTCTCTCATCTCTGACTGTTTCTCTGTGTTTGCATGATGTTTGTCGTTGTGCAGGTTTTGTACTCGGACAGTTTCCGGAAGCAGATCCAGGGAAAAGCCGCCTTCGTCCTGGACACTCCCGAGATGAGGCGCGTCAGAGAAACACAGCGCATCATTTCTGGGGTAAGATTTCAAAAAGCGTTTTTAAAAGTCCCATTGCGCAAAAACACTGGAATTTTGACCAAAAAAACTCCATTCTTTACACACTGAGAGACACAGGCTGGTGTGTCAAAACAACTCAGAATTGAACCCGCCTCACGATCTAGTGTTTTTGCAGAAACCGACCACGTTTAGTATCATTTAGACCAGGCATGTCCAAACCAAGGCCCGCGAGCCAAATGCGGGCCCACTGTTTCATTTTATGTGGCCCTCTGCCTTGCCGATACAAACTATCCATTGAGGCGTTTTCGCAGAGTCATCCAGCCAACTTCGGTTCCAACAATATAGTCATAATGCACCTCGTTGTAAAGGTCTGAACTATTGGAATTCAGCCATTCAATCTATTTATTTGCATATACTGTCTTTTGTTTTCAATTGTGTCTCAAAATAGCACCAGTGTAGATTTGGTGTTAATAAATATGAGCATATAATGTTAAAGCCCAAATCCTGAAAAGCAGTTTTAGAATGTTGTCGGCCCCTGGAAAAGTCTGGTGAACTAAAATGGCCCTTCTACTAAAATGTTTTGATTTAGACAGTGATAGCCTGTTGCTTAGGCAAGGGAAGTTTATTTGTTTGACATGGAGTTGGAGAAAGGAAAATCTGGAGAGACTCAAACTTAGAACTGTTAGTATTGGTTGGAAATGAATCTCTACATGAATTAGCTTTTATGACTCTGTAGACAATATTTGATTTTTAATTGGGGATTATAAAATGGAATCCCCGGGGCCTAGATCCTGGGGTGGTGGCTAAGAGAGAGGGTGAAAGAGCTTGTCTGGACGACAAAGCGGAGATGGGGAGGAGGAGGGTTGCTGCATGAATGAAAGCTTCCTGTACAATATGAAGGCTTGCTGCCGGGTGAGGATTGGCAGCAACGGTGGGAGCGCGATGAGCTTAGTTCTTCCTCTCTTCCAGACTGAATGTATGTTGTAGTTCAGTTTCTCACTCCGGGCTGGTGGGGGTGTACCTGGAAAGAGAATTACCCAATGCTTTTGTATGGCGTCTTCTTTCCTCTCGAAAATCTCTTTACAGGATGGTCCCAAAAGTCGCTCTTGGCCCAAAGCTACGTTCCAGATAATGTCGATGCTGAGTATATTTTTTGGACCAGTCTAGTTTAGCTGCTGTGGACTTCAGAATGCACTTGCTGAATGAATTGGGCTGGTGCAGCTAACGTAAAGGATTTTTTGTCACATTTTCCTGCCCCGCGGCCATTTTGAAAAAGCCCACAGAAGCCATAAGTGTCGGCACATTAGTTTGAACGGCGGAGACAGGCGTGATATTTACGGTCTGTGGTTCCTCTGCAGGTGCGGTACCACGAGGACTTTGAGAAGAGCAAAGGCAGCTTCACGCCCACAGCCTCAGACCCAGTGATGGAGCGCGTGAAGAAGACCACGCAGGAGATGAGCGACGTCAACTACAAGGGAATACAGCGCCGCGTAGTGGAGATGGAGAGGAGGCGCGCCATCGAGCACGACCAGGAGACCATCACCGGTACGAGACCGTGGCACCGCTGGGATGGGAGACGATACTAACAAAAACTATTCCAATTCATAGTTCTTCACAATCTGGCTTTTGTGTGCAGTGCAGTGAATCACCACAGCCACAAACATTAGATCTTCACTCATATATGAAGTGTAAACATAATTGTATCAGTGCGTTTTATCTTCACATAAAAAAACAAAACACTTAAAGCATGTTTTAATAAAGCAGTTGTTTTGTAAAGAAGAATGACCAATTATTGTTCTGGGAAATAACAAGATCATTCACTCTGAGCGGCATGGGTTTCCTAGTTTCCTCCAGGTGCTCCACGTTTTGGAAATATCAGTAACAGTAGAAGTGCAATATTAAAGTGCTTTGTGATTCAGGTCTGGGAAAGGCGCTATATAAATAAATAATACTTACTTGTTGAAAATGTAGCTAATTGTATGATTTGGATTTGGTGTAAAAATGTGCCGCTTAAAATACTTAAAACAATAGAACAATAAAATATGAGTTGATTTTAGTTTAAAAACATACATTTAAACTATTATTTACGTTTATTCAAGTGTTTTCTTAAAATATTGCATCACAAACTTATTTTATCCAAACAAGTAGAAAATCTCTGAAAGTCTGAAAATAAGAGAAAAAACACTAAAAACTCACTGCTCAGACTTTAATGTTTTTAGTTAAAAAAAATGTTTATTGTGAAATACTTTGCGAGCTTCTGTGACAACACTATTTCCTGTGGATCAATGAAGTCTGTCTAAGTTTCTCTAATAAGATTATGAAGTATTATCTTCAAACTAGTCAAGTAATCTCACCCGACAGACCACACTCAAGCAAAAAAATGCCTTTGAAAAAATAAGCACAATTTAACGTATTTTGTGTTGTTTGTGTCAGATCTGAGAGTGTGGCGCACAAACCCCGGCTCAGTGTTTGACTACGACCCGGCGGAGGACAACATCCAGTCCCGCAGTCTGCACATGATGTCTGGTGAGGAGAACATGCAAACAGGACTGAGGTCTGGTGAGAGGAGAACATGCAAACAGGACTAATGTCTGGTGAGAGAACATGCAAACAGGACTGATGTCTGGTGAGAGGAGAACATGCAAACAGGACTGATGTCTGGTTAGAGGAGAACATGCAAACAGGACTGATGTCTGGTGAGAGGAGAACATGCAAACAGGACTGATGTCTGGTGAGAGGAGAACATGCAAACAGGACTGATGTCTGGTGAGAGGAGAACATGCAAACAGGACTGATGTCTGGTGAGAGGAGAACATGCAAACAGGACTGATGTCTGGTGAGAGGAGAACATGCAAACAGGACTGATGTCTGGTGAGAGGAGAACATGCAAACAGGACTGATGTCTGGTTAGAGGAGAACATGCAAACAGGATTGATGTCTGGTTAGAGGAGAACATGCAAATATGACTGATCTCTGGTTAGAGGAGAACATGCAAACAGGACTGATGTCTGGTGAGAGGAGAACATGCAAATAGGACTGATGTCTGGTGAGAGGAGAACATGCAAATATGACTGATGTCTGGTGAGAGGAGAACATGCAAATATGACTGATGTCTGGTTAGAGGAGAACATGCAAATATGACTGATCTCTGGTTAGAGGAGAACATGCAAACAGGACTGATGTCTGGTGAGAGGAGAACATGCAAACAGGACTGATGTCTGGTTAGAGGAGAACATGCAAATATGACTGATCTCTGGTTAGAGGAGAACATGCAAACAGGACTGATGTCTGGTGAGAGGAGAACATGCAAACAGGACTGATGTCTGGTTAGAGGAGAACATGCAAATATGACTGATCTCTGGTTAGAGGAGAACATGCAAACAGGATTGATGTCTGGTTAGAGGAGAACATGCAAATATGACTGATCTCTGGTTAGAGGAGAACATGCAAACAGGACTGATGTCTGGTGAGAGGAGAACATGCAAATAGGACTGATGTCTGGTGAGAGGAGAACATGCAAATATGACTGATGTCTGGTGAGAGGAGAACATGCAAATATGACTGATGTCTGGTTAGAGGAGAACATGCAAATATGACTGATCTCTGGTTAGAGGAGAACATGCAAACAGGACTGATGTCTGGTGAGAGGAGAACATGCAAACAGGACTGATGTCTGGTTAGAGGAGAACATGCAAATATGACTGATCTCTGGTTAGAGGAGAACATGCAAACAGGACTGATGTCTGGTGAGAGGAGAACATGCAAACAGGACTGATGTCTGGTTAGAGGAGAACATGCAAATATGACTGATCTCTGGTTAGAGGAGAACATGCAAACAGGACTGAAAACCTGAACCGTCCAACTGTTTATCACAGAGTTTTGGTCCAGTACTGGTTGTTAGCGTGTAGCCGTACCTGCATCCTGTCAGACCTCTGAAGCTAAGCAGGGCAGGGCTTGGTTAGTGCTGTGATGGGAGACCTCAGGGAACACCAGGAGCCACAGTGGGGCGGCTGCGGCTGTAAAGTGCCAAACTGTGGCTGTGTCCTTAGGCAAGACACTTCCCCCACATTAGAAAGAGTCTGGTGTGTGTGTGGATGGTTGGTGGTGGTGGGAGGGGC